GTCGCTACTTTATTATAGATAGACTATATAAGTTTACCCTTACTTATATGTTCTAGACGTTATTTAAAGTCTACTACTCTCTTATTAAGGTAAAGGTTAAGTAGAGGCGTAGCTGTTTTAGACTTAAGAAACTAAACAAGAGTCGTCTAGTACGCTCTTATAATAACGTAAAGATACTATAACTACTTTATAATAAGGTCTTTTACGATCTCCTTAGCTTGTTACCTAAAGGGACGGTACTAGACCCTTATACTATATACTATAGTACTCTAGATTACCTTTGTATAGATCTCTCTTACGTATAGTAGGCTATATCCTTATATAGACGTAGCGAGCCTTATAAGTACAAACTACTAGATAGCGAACTTTTGTTTAATAGCGTTAAGGTAGCCTTTTTACCTAAGCTTCTAATCTATCTAAACTCTTAGAAAGTAGGCCTCTTAGACTAGGGGTATAACCTAGCTATTAAGGTAGACAGGCGTCGTTAGTATAGCGTAAGTGTAGGTAAGGTAAAGGAGCTTACTCTTTTTAAGGGCGAACTCTATCCCTCTTATACACGACTACTAGCTATATGTCTACTACGCCTCTTTAAGGTACTAGCGTATCTTTGTAGTATCTCTACTAAAAGCTAAGAGATTAAGGTTATTAGTAAACCTTACTATAATAAGGCCTGTATGTCTTTATAGTAGCGTATATAAGCTAGTAGTATAGAGGAGGAAGAGGATAAGAGAGAAGAGCGAGCCTTATAGTACCTTTATAGTAACTTCTTAGGGCGGCGCCGCCTCTTTATTAAAGAAGAGGCTAGCTGTCTAATTAGTAAGAAAGCTATACACTTACTATACAGCCTATATAAAGAACCTTAGGTATTAAAGAGTATAGAAAAGGCGTATATAGTTTACTATATTAAAGGCGCCTTTAATATCTAGTTAGAGAAGAGACACTACAGCCTTATAGCTTTATACTATATATATAGTATTAACTACTATTTTAACTATAAGGTCTATTAAGCGTTATAGCCGGTTTCTTATCTACGTTTCTAAAAAGAGCCCTTACGACTCTATAGTATTAGTAAAGCGCCGGCTAATTACTAACTTAATTACTTTACCTATTACGCTTAAGAGTAATATTAGCCTATAGGCCCTAGTAGTTTGTTACTATTTAAGGGTCTTTTTAGGCTTATGTAGTACTACTACCTTTACTACTTTAAACTACGCTAAGACGTGCCTTAGCTAGAGGCTTATAGTTACTACTACTATAAGAAGCTTAGCTAAGAGGCGCCTATATACCTTAAGGAAGCTAGTAAGTAGTAGGTTAGGTCTTAGCGCCTTTTAGGTACCTGTCTTTTAGAGAACGTTAGTAATGTCTGCCTCTATTATAGTGTCGTTAATAGTAAACTACTAGTACTACTTGTTCTAGAGGTCTAGAACGACGTTACTAAGATCGGCTACTAATTCTAGAAAAAACTACTAGCCTAATACTATTACTTTGTTATAGTAGCTTATAGCTAGTACCTTTTTATTAGCGCCTTAAAGAGGAGAGAGTAAGGCTGGTTCTAAAGGTATATAGCTATAGAGCCTAGCCTACCTTTTAAGACTCTAGAGTTTTTATTAGTCTTTTAAAGTAGTAGTAAAGGCGCTATACTAGCTCTTAGTCTTTATATCTTAGATCGTCTAGAGTTAGTAAGTACTAGCCTACTAGAGGTCGCGCTAGTAAAGTTTAGTTAGGGTAGTAGTATATTAACGGCGTACTACTTGTGTTTACTAGACGGCCTTAAGGACCTTACTACTCTACTAGGGTTTAGTACGCCTCTAGCTAACCTTCTTTCTTAGGGTAGATAAGTCTATAATACGTATAAGCTAAGAGGTAAGCGAGTTAACGGCCTTATTAACCTTATAAGGTATGTCTAGTAGCTTAGAGAAGAGGTAGAGCCTTCTAGCCTTAATCGCTACTAGCTCTTAGTCTATTAAGGTCTAGCTCTATCCTAGTACCTTTATAGCTCTCTTATAGCGATCCCTTACTTAGGTAATAACCTTAATTAGCTAGGCGTAGTAGTTAGATCTCTTATACCTTAGGTTACCTTAGTAAGTATACTAGAGCGTTACTATAGCCTACACGTAATTAATTATTAAGTCTTATTTACTATATCTCTTTTAGGTTAGCTTTCTTTAGGGTATACATAGCGAGAGTTACTACTTATAGGCTAGATAAAAGAGGGTCTCTAATTTAAGGGTAGTCTTACTAGCTCTATCTTAGAGTAAGTAGTAAAGGTTTATATTACTTATAACGATCTATAGCCCCTTTAGGTCTTCTTTAGTAAGCCGCTAGAGAGGGCTAGTCTAGCTTAAAGAGTTAGGAATTAGTAAGTATATTAACTAGACAGTAACACCTTATAAAGTAACGTAACACTAGTCGACGCTAGTCTCTACTACTTAAGTAAGAGGTAGGTACTACTTATAAACGTAGATAACTATACGGCCTTTACTCTTATAGACCTACTAGTACTTTACTTACGCTAAGTAGTAGACTATCTTTGTCTGTTTGTTATACTATAGCTCTTAGATTACTATAACGTTAGCTTTATAGCTATCGTAAAGTACTATTAAGATAAGGCCGTTCTTTCTTATAGTGTTCTAGTATACTATTATTAATTTTATTACTAAGAGTCTAGGATCTATAAGTCTTACGTTATAAAGAGGTCGCTAGACCCTTAGTTAGTTTCCTAGCTTAATATCTCTATAATGTCGTAGCTCTAAACCGTTACTATGTCTAGCGCCCTAATAAAAGGGCACTTACGCCTTACTAGAGTCCTTACTATAAGCTTCTTGTTGTTACTTATTTATAGTCTCTTAGGTACTACGACCTAGTAGCTATTGTTGCTATCTTATAAGGACGCTAGTATAATACTAGGTACTTAGCTAGTAAAGCTACTCTTTAATACCTTAAACTGTCTAAGTCTTTACTAATATATAGTATATACTTACTCCTTTACTTTAAGAGCCTTAAGACACTAATAGTCTTACGCTACGTATAGTCTACTATAGTTAACGTATCTCTTCTTACTATTAAGTTAAGGGTACTCCTCTTTACCTTAAAGGTATACTACTCTTATATAGTAGCTATACTAGGCCTAGTTCTTATAGAACCGCCTAATATAGCTAAACTAGTAGTACTAGAAGTATCTTTAGATTTATAGGTCGGCCGAATATAGCTTGTAGTTAAAGATCTAGGCTTACTAGATTAGCCTTTATTTATATAAGCGCGTCGTCGCGTTAGCGCTTTAGAGGTATAGTACTATTATTATAAACTTTACTATAAAGGCCTTAATAGGTTTGACTTTAACCTTTATAACATATAGTACGTAGGCTTAGATCTTTACTAGTAACGCTTTTAGCTCTACCTATATAACCCGGTCTACTAGTAGGCCTTTTACGATTACTATAAACTTACTCTTATAGAGCTAGGCTATAGGCCTAAACGCCCTTTATACCTAGCCCTAATCCTAGATCGTAGTCTTTAGTATAGCCTCCTTAAAGGTAAGGATAGTATTACTACTAAGGAGCTAGTAGGTCACTACTACCTTAGCGCCCTTAATCGCTATATTAGCTACTATTACTACTTTAATAGCGTTATAACGTACTAGGTCTTTTATCTGTCTATCTACTCTAATCCTTAGCTCTCTAATCTGTCTCTCTAGTATTACTTATACTCTTATTAGGCGCTAGCCTACTACTAACGCGTACGTAGCCTAAGGGGCTACCGCTACTATTAGCCTTTAAAAGGCCTCTTTTAACATTATTCTTAATTACCTAATCGTTACTAGGTCGTCGTTAGAGAGGGTCCTAAGAGTACGTAAGAGGGTCTTTATGTTTACTACCTTTAGCTCTACTACTACTATTATTGTTATAATAAGGTCGTAAAGGAGGCGTAACGCCTTATCCTCTTTACCTAGTATTACGTAGGCTTTGATTCTTTATATGATTTTCTCTGTCTTATTGTCCTTACTACCTTTACTACTCTCTAGCTCCTTACTATAGCTCTTAGTTAAGGTGTAAGAGTACTAGCTCCTACTTACGAGTAGGTAGTGTTAGCTCTGTTTAAGTCTAGTATACCTACTATCTATTACTATAGGCTCGCCTATAGTCCGCTAGTACTCTAGAGAGTATCTAAAGGTACTAATTTTAATTCTATTGTTTGTTTTTAAGTTTTTAGGGTAGTAGGGGGCGTAGACAACCGTTACAAAAGTTTTTTTAACAGATTATATAATACTTAATAATAATAATAATATTACTATTATTATTATTTTAAGGTTTAAAAGAAATATACTATATATAGCTATATATAAGTATAGTATAAAGAGAGATTAGCTATATCTAGTATAGCCTTTATATAGCTTTAAGATAAAGTTATAAGAAAAAGAAGTAATGTTAAGAACTTAAGAGTTAGTATTATAAGTATACTAACCTTACGTATCTATAGGTATACTAAGGCTACTTAGGGCTCTTAAGTAGTACGTATATATATTCTTAGGGGTTAAGAGTAGAAAAAAGATAAGGATTAGTTTAAATTTAAATTAATGTATATAGTAACTTACTAGCTACTCGACTATAATTCTCTACTATACTACCTGTAGTACTAATCTCTAACACTCCCTTTTCTTAAAGATGGCTAAAATGTTAAAGCCTACTGACTTTAGAGGATAGGGACAAAAAGGTAGACCGCTTAGAGGAATTAAAGGAGTCAAATTTAGTAACAGCGACAGCGACAGCGACAGCGACAGTAATAGTAAGAGTGTACGCTATAGACAGTACCTATAGGCACTAACTAAAGCCCCTAAATCCTGACGCTCTTATTAGTCAACTCAAAACAGCGGTACGCAGAGTACCTTACGTTAAACTATCTGATACTAGTGCAGGGTATGTTAAACTTTCGGTCGCTATTTACAAGCGAGCCGACGATTAACAACCCTCCTCTAGAACACCCTAGCCCTACTATCTTAAACCTTACTTCCCCATCATTATATCTCTATAGAAGTCCTTAAAGAACCCTATCGCTTCGTAAATAGGCAATATAGCGCAAGCAAACAATGCGAAAAACTCCTCGAAGAACCCCTTCGAAAAAATATAATGGGTCAAGAACATCGGAATAGGAATAATAATAAGCATCAGTAAAGTCAAGACTGTGGAAGAGACCACGGCTACGCGCAGAGCGCCATTGAGTCTTTTGGGGTCCTCGAGGACGGCGGCGTCTTCGAGCGCTTCCTTTTCTTCGTCGATTATTGTGGGCAGGACTGATTTAGGGGCAGGGACCTGAGTTGGTGGATGGGTCGAAGACACGGATTGCTCGTGGTCGACTTTCTTTTCTTCAGAATCGGTGCCAGCCAGACTCTGGTCTTGACTATCGAGCGCGGCTGCCTCATCAACAGGAGATGTATTTACTGCGTTAAAAGAACGCGTAATCTCCCAGTCAAAATCATCCGGTTTGATATAAGAAATCACGACAGTAACGATCAAGCCTGTCAGCACACCCGCCATATTCCCTGCAAGCGTGGGATAAGACGCTCCGGTTGTGGCAACTGTCAACTCGCCATAGTACTGTTTAGCTTCCACAAGCCAAGCGATAAGTCCAGCCGCAAGACCACTCAGACACCCACAGATAGCTCCCCATTTGTTCTGTTTCTTCCATGTGACGGCGAAAGCGGCAGGGAAGACAGCACCACCGATGAGTAGTCCCATGACGAGGAAGAGCCACCCTAGATCGATGCCAATTGCATTCCAGATGCACGCAAACACAGCCATGACCACACCGAAGACACAGATCATGATATGGGCGATCCTGATGAGTTCTTCGGGTGTAGCGTGCGGTTTGATGTACATCTTGTAGACATCGAAAGTGAGAATTGAAGAGACGGCTATTAGTTCTGAAGAGGAGGAAGACGTGACTGCCATGAAGAGCGTGAGTAGCAGGGCAATTGCCCCGGGTTTGCCAAGTAAGGCGACAGCTGCGAAAGGTGCAGATAATCCCGAGGAAACTTGTGTCGAAGTCATGTTGTTGGGGTAAGTTGGGTAAGCGGGGTTATCTGTCAATGCCACGGCTGCAAGGCCAAGTGTTGTGGCGAAGCCGAAAGGGATGGCGAACCAGGCCATGCCGCCCATGATGTAGGCTCTTACAGCAGTCGTAGGCCGGCTGGCGATTGCGCGCTGCCAGTATCCTTGGTCGAGGAAGACAGTTCCCATTCCGGAGCAGAGTTGGATGACGCCGAAGATTAGGCCGTAGTTGGATTTCAAGGTTAAGTAGGAGCCGCCGATATTCCCGGCTACAGGACGCTTGATTGAGGCTTCCTTTAGCAATTCGAACATTGCTGATGGTGAGCCGATGAGAGCGTTGGACGTGTAGACTGAGAACATGAAGTAGAGGATTATTATCATTACGATGAAGGTGTGGGTATAATCGCCTAAACACAGTCAGTAACCAAGGAACACCAGATGGATGAAGGTATCGCCAACAGAGGAAGGTAGCACGTAGCCCTCCTAAGACGACATAGATGCAGACTCCGAAGGGAATTAGGAAGACGGCTGCGTAAACATTCATGCCCGTGAGAGCAGTCACGACCGCACTACCCCCCAGAAGCAGCTGACTCGCGACGAGAACGTTGGTGAGGAGCGCAAAGAAGATGAAGACAAGATGTGTCGTCTTGCCATAGCGGCGGTGGATAATCTCCAGGAAAGTGTGGCAACGAGGCGCATTTTGCTTGACTTTGCAAGCAAGAACTGCAAACATGAAGATCTGGACAACTGCTCCTGCAGCATCTGACTCTTGCTTTAGTTTGTACCTAGACAGAATGGCAAGCGGCTTTACTAACACTATTCGACAGTCAAAACAAGAACTAAATGATAGGAGTTTGACGGCAGCTTACCCAGAAGGGGCCCGAGATGCCATACTCGTAGGCCACTGTGCTACTCTGCAAGAGAGTTGCAGCCCATGTCCATGCTGAGACAATGCCCGCTGCGATCAAGCCGGACTTAATACTTCTACTGGCAGTGTTGAATTCTTCACTGCCCTTGGTCGAGTACTTGGTATATCGGTTCTGCACATTGTTAGCAATCAATGCCTCGGAGTGGTGGTAAGTACCTAGCACGAACCTGGATAAATGATATGCCTGCCATTACAAGCGCAAAGAAGAACTGCCAAAGGGTCAGTAATAAACTCTGTTTAACTAAGAAGAGCTTTCACGGTATCCCTCAGGTCAGAATAGACTTACTCCTATGCCAACGACGACCCCATAGCCTGCTCCTTCCGGGAGGACAGGCGCAATTTTACTTGTAGACATGATGAACGGATACGAAGAGTACTCCAGTTCAGAAGACTGCAAAAGTGCAAAAGATCACGACGAACTTCACTATAGGAATCTCGTTGTATAAGTAAAGTAATATGAGATATCTCCTCAGCTATCTGAAGATAAGGGCATGGCCTCCTGACGGACTTGGACCGCCGCATGGTTGTTGTTGGCGATAAGGATATCCAACTCCTTCATAGCGGCTACGTTGAGATGGGCCCCGCGAATAACAAATTGTCCTAGCAAAAGAAGATAACCAGGGATTGTCGTCAAACTGGAGATAAGGTTGATGGGGCGTGGAACCGCCAACACGTATGCGACAAATGATCAGCTATTATGCTTGCAAGAGTAACAGTAGCGTAAAGAACTGAGGGCTTCCATTACTCAAATAGACTATCCGCATATAGAGCAGATAAAGTAGAGGGGCTCCATAACCCTTTACGAAGAACTAATGCGCGCAGCTTCATAGATATAGGCGTCGGAGAATGCTTGAAACGGTGGGATGGAGATGCGCGCAGCTGACAACAGGCGATAAGGCAATATTGAAGTTGATCCTATCAAGATCCTAGCTATGGGCAGATATATGTACTATCAATTACTTGATTGAGCACGTCTGGCTACGATTAGCCATAGTAGTGAAGAGAGTGTAGATATAAGGCGTAAACGTAAGGTAAAAGGGCTTAGAGGATCTAGTACAGGCCAAGAATAAGGGGATAAAGTAGGTAAGGTAGTGTTAGGAAGGGGGGAAAAGGGTAATCGCGTAGTTAGCGCTCGACGATCATACAATTCTGCGCCTAACACCGAGAATGGACCCTACCCCAGAGTATTCCAAGCTTTGGAGAATGGAGGCCATGATGATTATGTTGGAGAGCTGATAAGGGTCACGTGGGGAATTGACATGGTTGGATATTTATATCATAGTGGCCCTGGAAGTGGAATCGTGAAAAGTCGTGGTCTTTAGGTGTCCAGAGAAGATTGACCTCAACTAATTCTTCGCAATGACTCTCTTCAGGCGTACTGCGATATCACTCGCTCGGGGCCCATATGCCAGACGCTCATACACTAATGCTGTTGCTGCCTCTAACTTCACAATCAATGGAGACAGGTTGTGGTAAGGAGCTCTTGTCCCTGTGGAAATCACAAAATGTAGCATGAACTAAAAACGGAATCAAGGAATGACATCCATGAAACCGCGAAATGGAGTGCGCCATCTCCAGGAGGCGTGACTCGACTTTGCGCAGATGAGAATGACAAGATGGTGAGAGACTGGTTCCGAGATCAAGTCCTTGCCTTGGGAGGAAATTACAAGGTATGTTGAGTGTTGATTGAATGGACATAGAGAATGACAAGGGCACAGGTGAATGCAACGGGAACTCAATTTGCGACATTCGATGGCGCAGACAACAGTATACCACCCATCGCAATGGGAAGTCATCTAGACACTGTTGCAACGGGTGGAATGTTTGACGGTGCTCTTGGAGTGCGTTTCTCTTTGCTCCTTCGAATGCCATTGTCACTAATGATCTCAGGTCATTGGTGCCCTTGAAGTTATGCGAAGCATGAAAGAACAAAATGTCAAAACTAATGCGCCTATTTGTTTGATCAACTGGAGTAAGTAAAAAGAGAAACGTGCCAATCTTAACTGGTCAGAGACTCGCTGGAGCCATTTGTTCATAAGGATGCCTCTCATCTATCACGGCCGCTGATTTCTTGTAGCAAACGAAGAGGGCGCACGATTTTTTCCGCTGCTCGGATCGTCTCTAGTCTACGCTGGCAAATCGACAGTCGAAGAGGCCCATGCATCTCTGTCCACTGACAACAGAGGTCTGACATTGGGCGGAGAGCTGGCCAAGATTGGGTATGTCGGTGATGGCCCAAATACCTTCGAAGAATTTCCAATCTCAGCCCATTTCGAGATACATGTCGAACAGCACACAGACCTTGAGAAGGCAGGGAAGCCTGTAGGCTGGGTGACCGGGTGGAATGGTGAGTTCACCAAGACCTGATCAATGAAACTTACTGATGCGACGGTGCTAGGCATGACATGGTACGAGGTAATCTTCCATGGTGACGATGGCCATGCCAACACAAAGTCAATGTGGGGTCGCAGAGACACGCTTGCTGCATCAGCGAAGCTGATCAGCGAAGCTGATCAGCGAGATTGAGAGCCTGGCATATGACTTTGGAGGTGACACGACAACCACCGGCTTACATAGTCATCCCTTTGGAAGTTGTAATATCCAATCGAGAACAAAGGTTGTTTTCTGCTTGATGCACGCCGAGAAAGAGGGACTAGAAAATATGGGTGATGAAATCGAGAAACGAATCAAGAGCATCGCAGGACAGCGGGGGCTGGACTATGATCTTGAACGAACAATTCATCTGCCTCCTGGTGATTTCGTGAGTTTTGTCTTGAGAGCGACTTTTCTAAGTCTGGATCGCTGACATTTGAGCAGTGGCCAGAAGCAGTTGATTGCGTAAAGCGAGCTTGCGGTGACAAAGGAATCGCATCGAAGACAAGGACAGGCCACGATTCGACTATGACAACAACGATAGTACCAACAGCGATGGTGTTTGCCAGAGCTAAAGATGGCATCAGTCACTCTGCAAAGGAATGGACAAGTAAAGAGGACTGTGCAGAAAGTGCCCTTGTACTTGGTAAGGCTGTTTTGGACTACGATATGATACTAAAGCAGAAGATGGCTTCATTGTGAGAGTAATTACTCGGATATTTGCACTTGCAAAAGGTAGTAAAACAGAATCTCGAGGCCTTTAAGGTAGAAAAATTTGTTCCTGATCGTGATGTCCTAAGTTTAATGTGAATAACGGGTTATCACACCTGGATCTTGACCTAAAGCAGATCTGCTTCTGTTGGGAAAGGTGACCAGGCTGCTTTATTGTAATAGAAGGCGAATTAACGTAAGGGATGAGGCCAAGGTGTGAAGCAGGTGAGCAATGGGTAAACGGGTGAACTGTTAGTCATGAATGATTACGGCCCTCTCGGAGCAGAACCCGCTTCCTTTTCCCTTTTATGTAAGCTAGTGATTAAACTTGACAGCTGTTAGAAATACTTTGCATTACTTGGGTACAATAAGTATTCACACCTCCAACCTACTATAACCCCTTTCAGCCCTTTGTTTTGATGCAGCTTTCTAAAGTCAGTAGTTAAAGCTTTTGCTAATAGCTAGTATATTGTGTTGCCCCCCTTTGCTTCTCTAACAGCCTCTACTCGTAAGGTTTTGTTATAGCTATACTATATAGGATCTCCTCTTCGATCTCATTTCTCTAATCCAGATACAGAGTCCTTTATTACAGCACCATAAACATCCTGATGAGAAGGAATATCTTGTCCGTTCAAAACCTCGGTCGATCGTCCATCCAGGGATGGCCCCTTAAAGGAGTTTCCCTTCCAGACATAGTATACCAACTCGAATATTATTCCAGCCCCTACAATAACGCAACTATGAAAGAAGATATGAGGTTAGATTGATTCAAACAAGTCAAGCGCTGTCATCCCAACCTTTGACAGGACAGGAGAACTTTACGAATGTTACTCACGTGTAATTCATATCTGAGGAGTGGACCGGCATGAAATATGGGATCTCAAGAAATATAATCAAGAAAACGATCCAACACATTGAGACGGCGTTGATTAACATGCCATATTTTCCCAAGTGGAACCAGCCAGGAACAAGCGTCTTTCGTTTGCGAAGCATGTTGATACCGACAGGAACAACATAACATAGATTAAAGAACACAAGATTGGCAGCCTACACAGAGGAGAGAGTATTAGTATTGTCTCCTGTTTTGCAAAGATGAAGAGAATTGGAAATAGGAGAGGAGCAAACGTACTATGAATGCATTGAAAGCTGTGTTTGCCCACATATAAAGTATACCTAGAATCGCCACGATGAACGCCGTGAAGACATGCGCACGAAGCGGTACGTGAAGACGAGAGTCAACAACTGAGAAGAACTCGCTGAAAGGAACACCATTATCACGTGCAAGCGCCCAGTAGATGCGCCCCTGAGCGAGCTGGCAATTCCAAACGGTGCAGAGATTAGAGGTCATGAGCAAGAATGTCAAACCGAATCCCCCAGCGTTGGATCCCGTGGCTTGCCGGAAGAGCTCTGCAATGGGTAAACCTGTTTTTGTTTCCAGTAATCCATTGAGGTCTTGGTAACTGAAGAAAATGGCCATCAAGAAGAACCATCCTGTACCAAGAGCGAATATGAGGGTGTACATGATGGCCTTCGGAACATTCTTTTCAGGTTGAGGAACTTCTTCGGATATATGTGTTGTACTATCAAGAACCGCAATTGCGAATGCGGGGTTGATGAGGCCTGAGATAAAGGCCATACCTGCTGTTGACCACCCGGTGGAATTTGTAAAGTTTCGGAACACTTCCTCTGCAGAACGATGACTTGGTGCCATAGCCAGAACAGTGATAGAACATATAAGGAATGAGGCTAAAAACCACCACATGCTGGCTTTATTAACCAATGGAAGAAACTTGTTCCCAAAGACAACCATGAGCAGAGTTGCTAGATTGATTAGTTCCAACAATAAAAACACGTTCCATCGCTCGAGCTCGTAATCTGGCTTGGCTAGGGAGACCAAAGCAATGATTTGAGTAGCAGAAGCGGTTGAGACTGCAGCGACGGAGGTGATGTATGCCAACACAGTGTTCCAGCCGGTGGTCCATGAGACCAATGGGGCCCATCGTGGAGGGGATAAGTAGGCTGCCCAATGATACATTCCTGTATGTCCTTATCAGTGTTGTTCTGCCACGGCATTAGTCCACACCGTCGAGCCTACAGACCTCCAGTAGTAGGATACGAAGAAGCCAGTTCAGCAATAGTGGCTCCAACAAAGCACTGTCCCAGGAAGACCAGGATAAACCCATATATGACACCGCATGGTCCTCCCGCATAGATTCCGCCATTAAGAGCACTTCCGAGGCCAGCCCAAGTGGCAGTCAGAGTGACACCAAATGATATGATGCTCCATTGACTAAAATTGCGTTGTAATTCTTGCTTGTATCCGAGTTGAGCAAGGTGATAGGTATCAATATTAGTGACTTCTGTTGGTGTCTCGACCGCAATCGCAGAGACTTCTGATTCTCCCATATTTAAATGGCGCTGGTTTCAAAATGAAGAGGGGGAAAAGGGATTAGACATAACACAGACATACGTCTAACGTCTTACACAAATTGAGCATTTTGGAACAAAAGAGACCTCTTATAGCATCTGAGCCAGATAAGGATTGAAATGAGCTGTGAGGGATGGCGAAAAGACCACTGTATCATCTCCAGAGTCCAGATGGCTTTTCTTATCTCTTCACGAAGATTCCTGGCATGCTGCCAAGATACTGTCGGAGGGCCGAGATACTGTCGGAGGGGCCAAGTTTGCAAGGCTGGCATTGCTCCCCACTCTCCAATACTTGGAATGAGTCGAAATCAATCCACGCCGGGTAGAAGAATATCTTGTATAGCCTCTAAGGTGGGCAGATATGCCATCAGGGTGGGTGGTACGGACGGGTTAGAAGTGGGCGAAGAGACGTATCCAAGTTATCGGAGACTTCTCCGCGTTCTTGGAACGAGAGGATATAGATAGATATAGCAACTCTCACGAGCATCCCTTATCAGAAACAACGCATCTAGTAAGGCGTAGTATTCGGACGTTACATCGTAGCCAACGTCCCACTTTGCAACCCTATCTTCAATTGGGCATAGGCCATAAGGTTTAAACGTCAGGGCTTGCCAAGGACCGCTGATCTGACCATTAGATCTCCGGCACTTAATGGTGGGGGCGGGTTATGAACCGCTGCAGGTAAAGTGGTCCACTCGGTTACAGTACACAGGAGCAAGAAAGCGTTGATAAGGCTTACTGTATCAATTGTTCCTGTCTGGATCGTACTTAGCTTTCACGTACCTAGAGTATATTATAACAAGAAATAACCGCTTCAACAACTGACACGCTGGTCATTCAAATCCCAGATCTATCCGCTTTCACCGTTTTCTTTCGAGGCAGTAAAACAAATCATCGATAGTAATCATGTCGACCACAACACTTAAGACTCGTTTCGGCGAGATAGAGGTTGCCAAAGATATTGTGCAAGGAGACTTCGACACCATCCCCGTCATTGACCTGGCAAACATGAAACACCCAGATCTCGCAGAGAGAAAGAAGGTTGCCTCTGAGATCTACAACGCTTGCGCCCGTGTTGGCTTCTTCTATATCAAGGTAAGATCTCACACGTCCAATCATCCAAACCATACAATCAGCCAACAATCCAACAGAACCATGGAATTTCCGAGGAGTCAGTCACGAAGATCCATGATGCAGCTCACAAGTACTTTGCTCTTCCACTTGAGAAGAAGATGGAGAGCTTCATGGGCCAATCAAAGGTTTGAAACCCAAAGACGCTGTGTTTCGAGAGCGTAACCGCTGATCTTACTGGGCCCCACTAGAATTTCCGGGGCTACACACCTCTTCTCGGGGGACACCAGAGCACGGATCTGGAAGAGAACCCTTCTGGTAACTTGTCTGAAGCATTCGACATTGGTTATGAGCTTGCGGGGGATCGACAAGCTAAGATTGACGATGTTCTCCCTTCCGATGACGCGGGTTTGTATGGCTCCAACATCTGGCCAAGAGATGAAGTTCTTCCAGGTTTCAAGGCTACTTTCTTGGACTACTATGGTCAGATACTCGACCTTGGACGTGACCTTTTGAGGGTCTTTGCTTTGGCCCTTGCTCTGCCAGAGGATCACTTTGACGGCGTTGTGAAACACCCAGGATCTCTTTCGCGACTTATGTTCTACCCACCCCAGAAAGTTGGCATGGATGAGCATGAAGGAATCACTCCTCACACGGTAAACTAATCACAGACCTTACCAACGAGAAGTCAACTAATAGTGTCCTTACAGGACTATGAATGCTTCACAATTCTCTCTCAAGATGAAGTTCCTGCTCTTCAGGTCCTCAACGCAAACAACCAGTGGATCATGGCGAAACCGATGAAGAATCATTTTGTGGTCAACATTGGTGATTTCTTCAGCTTCTGGTATGTGGAATCTTCTGTGAATCCTCAACGGGCCGCGACCGGGACTACTGTGACAGCAAAAGGAGAAGTTGCCCAATAGTATCAGTGCAAATACTAACTGACCCATTGCAGGACAAATGGCATCTTCAAGAGTACGATCCACCGCGCTACAAACCTAACAGGACAACAACGCTACTCTGTACCCTTCTTCTTCGGCGTCGACTACAACGCTACAGTCTCCGTCCTTGAGAGCTGTATCTCAGAGGGTAATCCCGCGAAATATCCTGGCCCTGTCAAGGCAGGCGACGTAGGTCTATCCCTCCTGAGGCATGTGTATTCAAACGTGCCATGAGCTGACATTCCAATGTAGTATGTGAGAAAGCAGCTTTCAACAACCTATGTTGTTCATGGAGAAGAGGCTCCCGACCACGAAAAGGGTCAGTCGCTTGTGGTTAACCCTACTCAAGCCTAGTAGAATGAGTATCTGTATCCACTGGGAATTTTGCAATTTGACAGCGGTCTAACGCATTATATAAAAATTCAAATCTGAAGTCTTGCCAAAGATTTTAATCAACTGGTAAAAGAATCATCCTGGCTGTGAGTTCCCATTTTCACTATAGTCATCTGCTACTATAAGCCGTAGAGCCATCGGACGTAGGCCCCACTTGGGCCATATTCCGGAAGATTGTCGCATGAAAATCGTGGTCAAGAGATTACTGATGATGATTTGAATGTCGGCACAGTCTCTTCTGCATTTCCGGAGGCCTGACTCGATGGTATCCGTTATGTTATCCTTGCCTTCTTTTTCTTCTTCTTTTTTTGAATTGAAACCTCCGTCACAGCAAGTCATTACTGTCTGATTCAGACCATGACTAGAAAAGACAGCCGTTTGCACAGCCTTGAGTCCTTGACCCGGATGACGACGCACTCAAAGGATATATGTTATCTTAGTGAAAGAGTAAGCAGTTCTTGAACTTAGTTAAATGGCTTTTTTCTCTAGGAAGCTGTCGCTATTCGGGAAATTTTGCCGCTTGGAACGTACCTATGTATAACAGTATAAGGAAAAGGGCAGCGATAGAGAGTCAGTAAAAGATGCCTAGGTATCGTTCAAGATTCAACATCCCGGAACACCAAGTATCATTGTGAGTTGAGTAAACAGGGTTTGCAATACCACGCTCAGAAGCTCTACCAGAGCATGCATAAAATAGACAAAGACAAAGACAAAGGGGGTTCTAGTGCCTGTAGACCTACTAAATCCAAGCCTACTTACTTATGTAGAAGGATAAACTGAAGCATATTAAGAAGTAGAGGCATTTGCAAACAATGATAGTACTCTCTGACACATATAGCACCATAGAAGCGAATAACCCTTAAGAGTGACAAGTAAAGATGGTACGAGCCTTAACTCCGCCTATATCTATAGCTTCACACCTAGGTACTTGCGATAAATAAACATACACGTGACTACAGTAAGACGCAAAGCAAACCTCAGAACCAACACAACACCGCGAATAATGCGCACCTGACTTTCGACACCAAGACGCCTTTGGCGACACTTGTGTTTGATACACGCCGGTAATTGCGACGATGTTATTCCCAGAGGAAGAGGCGCCGCTGCTTAAGAAATGGATCGTGAAGAGGCTCGAAAATACGTATGTGCAACCCAAAGAGCTCCTCACACTTCAAGGAGCTCTGTTACTGATGGACCATCTGTTATAGCTCTGACGCAGATGCCGATGTCCTTGCAGACTATGTCCTTGCGCTTCTGCGCCATGATGGCGATACAAATACCGTCCGAGCCTTGTGCGAGGCCGAGATACCTGATTTTCTGAAAGAAGACTCTACAGTTTTCGTCCAAGATGTTTTCGACGCGATTCACTACAAAACCTACCTACCAGGCGCTGCACCGCCTCCTCCGAGGCCCTCGATTCCATTTGCGCCGCCGTTGGGACCATCTGCCCTCCCGTATGGCGGCCCAGGTATGGTAGGCGCTCCTTTGGGGCCTCAGAACGGTTCGAGGAAGAGGTCATATAACGATCGAGGCGATGGAGACCCTCAAGATAGGGGATATCAACCTGGAGGAGATTTGAATGGGAGATTCTATAAGCAACCGCGAAGAAGCGGAAATATGGGAGGACCAATGGGTCGCGGGAATTTCGAGAACTTCAGCAATGGTAGAGGAGGGTTTCAAGGTCGACCACCTGCTGCGAATCAACAAGCCGCTCCTCCGCAAGGTTTCATGCCTAGGATGCCGACCCCGCCTCCTGGGATGCCTCCTATTGATCCGAATAACCCGATGGCTGCCATACTCGCCATGCAAGCAATGGGCTTCCCAGTCCCCGGTTTACCCTCTTTTCCACAAGCGAATTCATCTGCAAATCGGGGACCCGCACCAGCAATGAAACAGAAGAAACAGAGATGCCGAGATTACGACTTGAAGGGGTTCTGTGCTAGGGGAAATACTTGCATGTATGAGCATGGACAGGACTCGATATATGTTCCACCTGGCAGTGCAGGCGATGAATATGATCCGAGCAATTCAAGCCTAATGACCGGAATTGAAAGCAGCAATGGGACTCCTGCAGGAGCGTTCAACCACTTCAGAGGCAATGACAGGGGAAGGGGACGTGGTGGGCCTAGAGGTGATCGAGGAGGACAATTCAATAACCCCAACCGGCGGGGAGGCCGCGCGGAGTTTTCCTCTGATAGGCCGAATTTTGACAAGAGCAAGACAACTATTGTGGTTGAAAATATTCCAGAAGAACGGTTTTCAGAGGATGAAGTGCGCGCATTCTTCTCGGAGTTTGGTGACATAGTCGAAGTTTCAATGCGACCCTACAAGAGACTGGCTATTGTCAAATTCAGTGACTGGAATGCCGCAAAAGCTGCGTACAGCTCTCCAAAAGTCATCTTTGATAACAGGTTCGTCAAGGTATACTGGTATACTGATCAAGAATCGCTTCCGCAGCCACCAGCAGTTCCTACAACAAAAGGATCGAATGGGGAAAACGGAAATGGCACACCCATTCCAACCGCCGGGAGAACAACATCAGAGCCCCAGATTGATATAGAGGAGTTTACTCGAAAGCAGCAAGAAGTCCAGAAAGCCCATGAAGAGAAGATGAAAAAGAAGCAAGAAATGGAAGCTGCACGAAAAGAGCTAGAGAAGAGACAGGAAGAACTCTTGAGGAGTCAGGCTGAGGAAAAGAGGAAGCTGATGGAAAAGATAGCCGCCAAGAGCGGAAAGTCAGCTAGTCCTGCCGGCCCAGAGAGCGGTACACCAGCCGCATCTGATGCCAAATCGAGTGCGCAAACCGAGGCTCTGAAAGCACAATTAGCTGCCCTGGAGGCTGAAGCACAGTCCTTGGGTATCGATACATCTCTCACCGACGATTCATGGAGTGGTCGTGGTCGAGGCCGAGGACGGGGCGGTTACAGAGGAAGGGGCGCCTTCGTTCCTAGAGGCTATCGTGGAGGCTATCGTGGTCGTGGTGGAGCTACTTTTGGAGCAGGGCCTTCTACGTACAAGCTTGACAACCGGACCAAGAAGGTGGGCTTAACCGGCATCGACTTCTCAGACCCAGAGAAGGATGAGAGCCTCAGACAGTACCTCTTGGTAAGTTTTAAAAGCTTTACCCCATTCTCTCGAAGCTCACACTAACTTTCTCTAGGGTATCGGCGAGTATACCGATATCGAAGTAACCCCAACCCGCACCTCCATCACCTTCAAGGACCGCTTCACTGCCGAGAAATTCATGTACGGTACCACCGGCGGCGAGATCCCCTCCGTAGGCAAGGTTGAGCTCGCTTGGATCCAAACACCTCTCCCGCCCGTGACCCTCCCTCCCAAGACGACGCCCAAGGCCGAGAACGCTGAGGATACAGCCATGGATGAAGGCGATGCTATGGCTCACGCTTCGAGCCCGGTACGCGCCGCACAGGGTCACGAACAGCAGGAGAATATCGATTACGATGTAGCTGATGACAATGAGTGGGGAGTTCAATGAAAAAGACAGCCAATAGAGAATTGAGGGGTTGGACTTTCAGGATCGCGGGTTTGGTGAAAAAGGGAACAGGACTTAAAAAATTTGTTGGAGCTCGTTGTACCAGTACTGTAGGCTAGGTAGGCTATTTGGCAGTGTGTCACGATATTTGATGAGTAATTGAGCCTTTCCTGTGAGTGCCATTGTCTCGACTATGATATGGATCCAGATAGTGCGGGAATTGAGCGGGTAGGTTCTGTCGTAGGTGTTTTGCTTGCCCTGTAATCTCTCCCCAGTGGTATCATACACCTAGAGACGAATTTGTTACTGCGACATACAGAAGAATAGATGGGCAAGAGAAGATATGGAAACCTCATCTCTTTCCGGATACTCCCTCTGCTAAAAGGCTTTGCTTGCATATCCTATAAGCACCATAATATAAAGGTAACTATTATCATGTACTATCATATCAAGACAATCTTCGCCCGCCAAAACAAAGATGAAGTCCTAACGCCCGCTCTAATGCTCCTCAACTGATCTTCTCGCTCCGGGGTATGATGCCGCTGCAATCCTCATCATCTACTAATTCAATCACTCTTTCCGGCCTTCGAACCCCCTGGACTCCTCTCCCTGATCAACGCGCCCAAACCCTCCCTCCCGGTCCCACCGAGGTTTGGCGTAGAGGTTCTTGCTGCCCCGGGGTGGGGTTCAAATCCCCGCCCATCATCACTGCTTGTTCCATCGAGTAACTCGATGAGATCAGTACTCTCAGTCCTACCCCCCAGACTGGGAGTCCCAGGCGCTTTGATAGCAAGTCGTCTAACCCAGCCTTCAATCGCAGCCGCCGCGCTTTCTAGACCCAGTCCCTGGCCCGAGCCACTAGGCGTAGCCGTCCCGCTGCCCAGACCTCCTCGCATCGGACCTCCTTCCGCAATGCTAGCCAACTCATCACTAAATCCAAAATGCGCCGATTCGCCCCCAACGAGGGAGGCCGAAGGCAGAGAATCAATTGCTAATCCGGGGATGTGTTTTCTCGCCCATGCATTCAACCCATCTTGACTAGGACCCGGCTTTCGCACATTCTTGCTTAACGTCCCTACGCCACCAGGCCCTTGCATCCACCCCAATCGATTCGCAGCTTCGCCGACACTCTCGCGGCGGGGGCGAGTGCTAGATGCTACCGGGGGGAAGTAGCTGCCGTAGCTCCCACTCATAATCTGCGAGGGTCCGGGTCCAAGGTTGCTCGTTCGGCGTGGTGGAGTGCTGGCTGTGCTTCCAGCTGGATCATTCGAGGAACGAGAGATGGTCTGCGAGATTCGTGGGAACTCGGAAGAGCCGCGCGGTGTAGAGATCGAGGAAGCTGTGACTTGACTCTTTCTTCGTCGGGGTGGGAAATATCCTAATGTCTTTCGGGGCATGCGCGCAATCTCGACAGGTTTGGAGGAGGGCGAAGAATCGACGAGGACCCAACGAACATGTGTCCATGGGTGCTCTTCTGTCTCAGGGTGTTCTGCAGACGACCCGTTCTGTGACGAAGATGACCCTGGCCATGTACTACCGTCGTTAAAGGGGGGAGAGTCTTCTGCAGCAGGTGTTGGTGCTAGGAGGTCAACGCCTTGCGAGTCGGGTGCAGGTGGTTCACAGGGTCGGCCTTTGATCGTGCAAGCGTCCACGGGAAGGACTACAATCTTCCGTATCTGGATCGAATCATTTGGCCAGAGTCGATTCGCTTTCCTAAACACTGCCGGCTGACAATTGTACCTTAATACGACACCAGCAAGCGTGTCTTGCGGTTGGACGTGATGAATGTAGACCAGCGCATCTTCGTCATCATCGTGCTGCCCGTCTCGCGTTGCCTCTTCCAACGATATCCTCCGCTTGTAATTCCCATTAGTATCCTTCCTGACATTGAGATCCTCCTCACGACTTTCAAGTAGCCCTCTCATCTTCATTGCCCTCACAGCTGCCTCTCTATCTTTGGCACTTCCTGCCCCTATAACGTCTTCTCCCTTCTTAGGTAACCCCGCGGGCCCCCAGGTATCAGGTATCTTCTGCCGCTCTGTGCCCCCTTTCAGCTTCTTCAAAAACCCACCCGCTTTGCTGCTCTCCCCATTGTCATTATCAGTGTCCACTCCAAGGACTGAGCTCGCAAGTCCCTGCAACGCGCTCCAGCTACTTGTCCACCCACCCTCCAAGATGCCACCAAGGCTGGGACTGCTTCTGCCCCCTGAATTCGCCCCCGGAACCTCCAATCCACCCACGGGCCTCCCATTGCTTCTGGTTCCAGCTTCCGCTGCGCTCCGTGACGGATGTTTCGAAGGGATCGGGCTGACAGCCCGACTTGCACTGGGCGTACTGGTCGCGGTCGTCTTCACCAATTCCTGCTCCGCAGTCACGAATCTGCGATTCCGCGGTCGCACCGTTGTTGCTTCTCTGCCATTTTCATGATCGTCCGTGTTGGAGGGGAAGCGTCGTAAATTCGGATTCGACGCTCCGGCATCTCGATTCATGGTTGGTCTTCGCGGCCAGTTCCGCTCTGGGAGACAATGGGACAATCAGGGCATTTCGATGGCGGTGGTTCGAGATGAGATGTTTGCGCAGCGCTGGTACGCTGGTGGTGGAGGTGGTGGTGGTGGAGGTGGAGGTGAGCGCTGGAGCCGAGCTGAGAGAGAGAGCCCGTGGAGAGTTGCAATGTAGTTGAATAGTGGTTGTAGCAGTGGCAATAGCAGCAGGATAGTGCTATTATGGTGTTGTATGGTGAGGGGCCCGATGTACCAAGTATTGGGGATACCGTGGCTAGTCGTCGTCATGCTTCCGAAGGCTTGCTGATCCTAGCGCCCGCATCTTTATTTATGATTATAAACGATGGCTGTAGCGGCATCTCCAGCGATGGCTTGGATCCATTGATCAATAACGGTTCTTGTTATCACGGCATTGTTATCTTTAATTCTACAAGAATCTCATGTGAGTTCCAAGTTTTGAGTTCGATTTTCTCTCTTAACGGCTAGCACTGGATCCCACTCATTGACTAAGGTAAAGGTAGGTAATCACTCCAATCATTCAACATATATTCGTTAGGCAAGCAAAACTCCAGGCACACATCCGTCAAGCTACTAAAAAGTAGGAGTATACACTGCTCCTGGCAAGTCGCTGGAGCAAGACCGCTTTTTGTACCGCTAGAATCCAGACTAAAGACGACGCCTTTTACCCCTCAAAGATACTCCACCCGATCCACAACCCTGGGTACACCGGACGAAGATTTTAAGCAAGCGGCAGATGGTCACCGTTCATACCGCTGAGGTCTCCGTTAATCCCAAAAAATTGGAACCTGTCTCTCTTTAGCATAGCACATACATTTTCACAGGGTGAGTACTGACCAATCTTCCACGTTCACAGTCGTGGGCACAGCCTGGGCTGAAGTATTGCTCCAGCTATCACTTGGACTGTGGCCCTGATCATCGTGCATAGGTTGATCGAATCCACTCTGCCACAAGTTCTGCTGTAGTTGATAGCCTGCCTGTCCTGGTTGGAGGACCCCTCCTTGGACCGGACTGCTACTCATTCCAGTACCGCGCATTCGTTGTGGCATTTGGGATGATTGACTAGAGTTTGACACTGGCTGCGGCATCATCTGGGGCATCAGATTTGGATCCAGATTGTTATGGGTTTGTAACGGCGAGAACTGAGTTTGCATGCTGGCGGATCCTTCTGGAAATAATTGATCTGGCTGGAAATTTTCCCAGAGTGACTGTGAAAGGTTGGGCGAGTTCCGCGTTACGAGGTAAAGGTCGGGAGGCGTGGCTGGTACAGAGAAAGATGGGTTAAAGGGGGTAGGAGGTCGGGTGTGTGGACGAGAATTTGTACCGCCCATAAATGTGTCTTGGTTCGGTCTCGAGCCTGGAGATGAAATCGGCGGTGCCGCCATTGACGCCGTGTTATGGGGCAAGTCTCGTGATGGTGTGTGGCTCGGCGTCTGAGGACGTGATCTTTCGTACGACTCTTGTGGCGCTGGTCCATTGTTGACGGTAAAATCAAGTGCCATATCATCGTACTTTCGCTTTGCTTGATCTTCCCGCCTGAGCTGGTTAATGCCCTGGCTGAGATTTTGTGCCATCCTCTTGTGTCTTTTCCCAGGAGCCTTCTGTAACCTCTCTTCCAAGACCTTGTTGCCCAAGATTGACTCGAAGAGTGTGTACACCATCTTCGCGACAAGCCAAACCCGGGAAACATCTTTCAATGCATCCATGCATATCCTCATCCGCTCTTGAGTCGCTTGGACCACCGAAGGCACATTGGACCGCATTTGGTATACGTGCATGATGAGAGCAGAGAACAGACTATAAACAATGAATGCTGGGCAGTACCGAAGTTCATCGTGCTTAGACAGATTCTCGATGATCGACGTAATCATGGCAGCGGCTTGGAAAGCAATATTTCGCGATGGGTATGAGTTGTCTTCCATGTACCCCCCTCTTTCCGTAGTAGCCGGCGGCATATGGGCGCGATGAAGCAAGCAAAGTGTGGTGTAGTAATTTGAGTGTAGCAAGGCGGCCCAGAAATGATGTCGTGGCATCTCCCAATATACTTCCTTCGGGCAGTTTTGGAGCCAGTCTGCCAGAGCCATATCACTGTGGGTAAGATCGATCGCGTTCTGACGCCGGGCTTTTGAGGCAACTGAGTATTGCAGCGATAGAACAAGACCCATAATCTCGCATAATTTAACATACTGCAAGAAAAACTGTACATGGAGCGAATCTTGTGCAAATTCGTTGTTTGGGTCATCGTCCTCAATGAAATCCTCTTCGCATACCATCTCCACGTCAGAGTCGTCGGTGTTGATGTGCACAGGACGACCTAGGGCAACGGCAACAGACCGATCACGCGTGAAGAGCGTCCACCAGATCCGTTTCCACAGCCTCTTGTCGGCCGTACTTAGTTGAGATGTTTCTACACTCCGGTGCATGCCTGAGCCTTGTGCTACGATTGTTGCAACTCTGGACCAATAGAAAACGTTCTTAGTAACGTCTTCTGGCCCTTCCCAGTACCATCCCATAAGCACCAAAGCTTGGACGATAGTAACCCTATCATCTTCGTAATTTGCATCGTAGAGTGCTTTGGCTCGTTTATAAAAAGTCAACGCTGCTGGTGTTGTCGATCCATTGGCGTCCATGAGCTGGGGATTGGTGCAGACTCGAGATCCGGCAAGCAGGATAGCCTGCAGTAACAGGAGCGAAGGAGGGTTCTTTGGATCTCTATACTGCCTCATGAATCGAGTTCTATTGATGACTGGGACGATGGGGGCAACCCATTTGAAGTACGAATCCACGAGCTCGTCGCATAGCGATCTCGGTGGGAGCAAGAAGGCACCTCTCTGATGTAAGATATCGATTTCCACATTGTCCAATTCCGTTAACCTCGCTCGAGAGCCTCTGACGTTTTCCGGTAAGGGATAATGGACAACATCTGCGGAGCCATATTTGTCGTGGACAAGCAAAGTCAGGTTTGAGGATTCTCCAAGGTAGGCCACCCTACCAGCCTCCTTGATAGGCGCTCTGGTGAACTTGGGCTTCATGAATTGGGCATACGCGCGCTCGTCGCCGTCTCGCTGGCGTAATTGCGCCTCGTTGGGAGCGACAGCAGGGCGTGTGCCATCGGTGGAGTTATATACACCGGTGCTTTGACCCGTTTGTGTACTGGGGGAATCATTTCGAGGGGATCGTTCGTCGACCGTCTCTCCACGGTCACTGGTCTGGTCAGCATGCGCCCTGGAAAGGGGCTCTCGGCGCTCGTGCCTATCGGAATCCTTTTGTTTCCCGTTTTGTGTCTTCTTTCGCTTTGGGGCTGGGATTTTGCATTCGATGCTGAAAGCCACGCAGTTCGTACACGGCACCCCGAGGGACGCAGCGTCGCACCGAACCTATCGACAGTCAATCATCCATCCTTACAGTGGGCCGGGACCTTATCGATGGGTTGTAAGGTCAAGGGGGAGTACCTTTCGCGCATGGCAGGTCTGCGTCGATTCTTTGATCAGCAATCATCGCGGTTCTCCAAAATGATCCTCGGTGCCGAGGTACGGCTTCGCAGCCTAGATAAACGCACAAGGGATCGGATTGCTATCATACCTCACAAGCTCTTGATGCACGTTGTCTAGGAACTGCGCGTCAGTCATGGACTCCTCAGAAACGTGCGCACAGCGTAAACGAACCTTCGAAAGCTGGGGTGGCCGGGCGTCTGGGACGACGGAGCAGCATTTTGGCTTTGAGAAGTCGAGGCTGCTCCACCGTATGGCTGCTGCGGAGCCTGCCCGCTCGAGACCGGATCCATCGTCCTATGCTGTTCTCATTGGCGACTCCTGCTCGGCCTTGGGTATATTCGTGGTGGGCGACACGCTCGAAGCGATGGAGGGAAAAGACAAGTATTGAATCGAACTGAACAATGGCGAGGGGCGTTCTTGTTCTGGTGGATGGCAAGAAAGGCCGTGTGATTTCTGCGTCGTGATAGAGACGCTCCCGGAAATGGATAGAGAGCACGCGCCGGATACTCCGCTCCGCGCCGCCGCCGCGCGTGGGCGTGGGGATAATAAACTCTGACGTCGGGATAGAGCGCGATGCGGCATGGAAGATGCCGTTCAAGCAGGTCCCGCTGCAAAGAGGAGCCGCCGGCTTTGATGGATCGATCATCTACATATTACATGCCTACATACAAGGTAGGGGATGTATATAGATTTATACACATATATATACTCCCCAGATACCGTCGTTTGCCCCCATGGCTCTCTTCCTACTTCTCCCGCTTCGACCACTGCGAGAACCTTTTGATCTCTCTGCCTCCTCTGCCCTCGCCTCTCAACCCCGGATTCAGGCCAACCCCTATTATAAGTGGGCCGTGCCTGATATCTCAGAATGCGGAGATCAGAAACATGCCGAGGTTCATGAGACTCCCTCTGCGAGTCTGCCTCTGCCACGAAAGGACGCTTTATGGACCCTCGACACGGCCCAATAGGTTGAGCTAAACCGTCCCTTGCAAGTTGCGTCCATGGGTACTACGCCAAAAGGACCGCCAGATATGGGCCAGGGATCCGGAATCACAACAGGCAATAAGTCCTGCTTTTACGAGGTACATACATACTGTACTTTATTACTCAGCCCTACAGGATCTTCTTCCCGTCAGCGACCGTTTCCCTCGAGATCTCTCCATTCCCACTCCCGTTAAGCTCCGACTCCTTGATTACCCCGCCAAGTTCCCGCTCTTTCCTCAGCTGACGGGAGCCATCTTCGACCTCTACCCCCGCAATGAGCACCTCGCTCACACCCTCCAAACTAGCCACAAATACACAGAGCAGACTCGCGATACAGAAGTGGCTAATCGTCGACCCAATCTCCAGCCACGATCCTTCGTCTCGGACTACCCAGAAGAAGTTCAGGGTGAGGAAATCGCTGATCGCCATGACAACCATGAAGAGCGCAGATGGGGCAACCCCTAATCGTTTGTTGAGAATCCCTAGGTTGGCGGAGATCAAGGCGAACGGGATCATAAGCTTTAGTATCAACAACGCTCCTTGTGAAAAGGGGTCGAAGATTGGGATGAGCCGGTAGACACTGTCTAGACTAAAGGATGAGACTGAGGCAATGTTCCCGGTGCTGAAGAAGGCAGATTGGAGGAGCGTGAGGAAGAATAGTGAGACTCGAGCGTCCGCTAATGTGAGTGATCGGTAAGGAGAAGACGAGAGTGCTGCTGGCACTGCGGGAGTACCATTTATCTGATTGGTCGAGGGCGGCTTCGACTTCGTGAACACATAAACACTGTGTTCAAGACGGACCCAGCTGATCAAAGTAACGCAGAATCCAAGGTAGAAGAGCCCTTCATAGGATATTGTGAGGATGACGAAGATCGGCGCAAATGTCAAAAATATGACCATCAGCCGATGTAGATAATGTTTATTAGGTTGAAAGCTGTGGAGAAACGGCATGAATAGTGGTAGAACTATCTTATGTGAGTATGGTCATGGGAGAAGTGTCCATGATCCAACCTACCTAGAACACACCAGCCGACTATTTGGTTGCCTCGAGGGAGACCCCGTTTTGCCTGCAAAGAGATCACGCTTGATCTAGTGACGGCCATGGCTAGAACAATAAACCCGATCTGGCTTGTGTCAGGTGGGAATCCTTAGGGTTGTCGAGTTGGCTTCTTACCTGTGCTCCAACTAGCAATCGCGACAGAGTGTTATGAGCTGGTGCTGTTGAATCGGCTGCGAATCCAGACTCCGCAAGAAGACGCTTCTCGAATGTGAGATATAACACCCCAATTATTACCATTAAGATCCCGCCAGACAAACTTACGTCTCTGTTAGCAGTTAATATCTATGGAGGAGTTCAGAACTTACATAAGAGTAAGATCTTCCACTTTAATCGCTGGCAGCAGCGTGAAAGAGCTCATTACAACACATGCTGCCACCCATGTCCCCACAAGAGATGTATTCTCTTTGAGAAACTGCAAACCATACAACGCCGGCCAGAATGCTGCAGCTATGAACAAAACAGAGAATATCTCCCGATGGGTATACCCTAATGCCTAAATCTGTGTTAGTAAACGGCAACGCTAGAGGTACCAAGAGTATTCACAAGAGATTCTATGAGTCCCAAGAAAACAACTGTTTTCAATAACAACGTGATCCAGCCTCCAGCGGATGTGATCTGCCCGAATAGGAGTTTCCCTCCCTCTACCAGTGCCTTCCGACGTGCATAGACCTCTTCCCAGAACCCAACTGGAAAGATAGCATATGCATAGTATGTCAATGGCGATTTTGACACAATGAAAGAAGCAAAGAGAGCAACGAGAACCGAAGAAAAGAATATCGAGCCAAAAAGAGTCCTTGATGTCTCTGTCTGGCCGTGGAGAACATGAAGGTCAATTACGGTCGTCAGCGCAAATGCGATCCAACCAAGGTATCCAATTGTGATCAGGGCTCTTAAGAATAGCCAATCGTAGGTCTGAAGGTAACGTAGGCCCTCCAGGCCTAATTTAACAACAGCTGCCGTTTCCTTGATCGCTTCATCGTGCCGACCCAGATCTATGAGACCTCGGATAGCAGAGAACCGATGTTCCACGGAATTTGCTTTATCGCTTAGAGCCTTGAAAGGACGGAATCTTAACTCAGTTGCCTTTTTCTGTTCTTCCTTTACCCTATACATATCAAGAATACCTCTCGCATTTGCCAAGAAAGCTTCGGATTTTGAAGCAAGGTCTCCTGATAAATATGACAGAGGCAACTCGCCAACCGAGTTAACTGGGAACTCAAGGTCAACTAGGTATGCCATCAGAGCCGCGACATCTGCTTGAGCAACGTCGTGCCTTTGAATATGGTCCAGATTCCAGTCTGAAGACAGGTCGTCATGGCCCGGTGCAGTCGAGTCTGGTGTAACCACTGGTTTTGCAACCCCTGAGCCCCACGCAATGAGAGGTGTTCGGGTATTGTCAGGGTGCCCATCACCATGGCTGCCCCAATCGCTCATCCCATGGTCCGCTGTGAAGATAAATGCGGTCTTGTTATCATTATAGAAATCCTCAATGAGTTGCGCGATCTCTTTCACTCCCTGGTCTACAACTTTGATGTTGTTTAGATACTCCTTCGAATAGGGTCGATAAGCGTGTCCGTTCGTATCCAGCCCCAGAAGGTGAAGAAAGAACACAGTTTTGTCCTGCCTTAGAGCATGATCAAGAGTAGAGTTCGTAGCAGCTTCCGCAAAAAGGGCCTTGACCCTGTCAAACACCCAAATATCCAAATTCAGGGCATCCTTGGAGAAATCTTCTTCTTCAGCAGAGTATGTATAAGCGTCCACCCGGCCCGGCACAGCGCCCAATTCGAACATCGGTAAAATATCTGGACTACCCCAACTCCAAGTATGTCGGCTCCTGTTGAAAACACTGTCGAAATTGACTGGGTTGAGCTTCCACCCGGTAGTAACCGCAGAGACATCTTCGTAAAGGCCCGCGATCAGAGCCACATGGCCTGGCCTAGATTCCGTTGGGACGCGAGTATGCGACACGCCGAATGTTCCATGCTCGAGGACGCGCGAACGGAGGAAAGGTGCGAGAGGCCTTGGTGTAAGATCCGCGTCGTTCTCGGGGTACGGTTCTGGAAACGATTGAAAGGCTTTATCTGCACGAAGACCATCACCTGGAAGCACACCACGATTAGCGCCCCCGATTCACATTGAAAGCCAAAAGCGGTGATTACCAACGAACAGAACCAGACGCTTTGCTGGAGCTTCAACGCCATCTGGCCTTTCCACCCGGAACTCCCGCATGCCTGAGACGATGGGACTGACGAAATATATATCAAAGATTGAGTAGATATACACCAGATGGAAGGCCATCGCAATGGCTAAAAAGCCAAAGCGAGTGACCCGAGCCATGATATAACCGCTTGCTTGTATGTGCTGTGATGGTCCTTGGGAGGATTGATTTGGCGCGCGTTACCCTTGGAATAGCCTCGTGTGCTCGGTTGTCCGCCCCTCGCTCATCTGAAAGTGCTAAAAGAGTGGCGCGTCCACTGAAAGGACAAAGTCATAGATGGTGTATGTATGTAGAGTAAACCTACTTGGTACGAGCTTCAGGGGAGATGGAGCTTTCTGAAGGTGCATATGTACCTTGGCTTGATCCGCGAATTACAGGCCGGCAGTGAGCACGATGTCATCTTTGCCGAGAAAATTATTTGTTTAGCCAACAAGGTGAACCAGAGCGGCGGTACTAAGGTGAATAATATCCCGTAGGCGTTTATTTATGGAATAATACGTGGGTAAGGGGTACTATCAATGATAACTTAATAATACGTGTGTCGACAGGGCTCAAAAGAGAACTCAGATTGACACGAAATTGAATCAATGTCTTCCTTCATGCTCTATAGACAAAAAGATACCGGGTATTAGGTGTATGTACCACAGGGAAGAATGCAGTGGACCTCATTCAACTCCGAGAGATAAACATTCACTCTGTAACTCCTGACACCTACCCCCCCCCCAACCCGCCAATACGCCAACCCGTCAGTCGTAAAGTAGTTCAATCCGCCTTCTCGGTCAGAGCTTTCACAACTCGTGCATAGAATTTCGCAGCCTGGAGCCTTGGGAAGGCGATCTCATCCACCAGATAGTCCGGAAGTAACTCCGTCAGACCTTTATCCCTACTAGGGTCAAGCTGAGGGACGTATTGGCATTGCGCATCGTCGTAACAATCAGCCGTCTTCTCGTTGGCCACAGCCAATTTGAAGTGCAGAGCTATTTTTCTAGTAAGTATAAGGATTAAAGGGACAAGAATGTGGCAAACTTACTGCCATTTCGACCTGTTTGGATGCAATCAAAAACATCGTCTTCAGCTTCTCGCTTCACACCTCTGATAATCAAGCCAGTGAGATCGCTGTACAAGTTTTCCTTTAGTTGAGCTGCATTGGCTGCTTCAGCTGCCTCTGCAGTTCCCATCATCCGGATACCGCCGTTGGCTTTAACAGCGCTGCCTGGAATCTTCGTATTTGCGCTCTCGACAGATGCAGCGACGCTACGGTTTGCTGCTAATTTTGCTGATAAGGTCTTGTTTTGGGAACGTGCCTCTTCCAGAGAAGCATTCATCTGAGCGACTTGAGCCTTAAGCGTTGCCATCTCCGCAAGCTGCGATTCAACCTTCTTCTTGAGTGCCCGAGACTCTTTTGCCAAAGCCGAATGAGAAGCAACATCAGCCTTGAGCGATGCGATTAGCTTATCAGAAGCTACGTTGAGTTAGTCTCCGTCTTATTACAAAGGCAGGTAGCATTACCTGCTGTTTTCTCCTCGCTCTGCTTCTTTAAACGCTCGAAATTTCGCTCCGCTTCCTTCAATCCGATCTCACGAAGATCCTGATACTTAACATTGAGACTCTCATATTTCTTGGTCATTTCTCCTAGCTTGCGTCTCAATATAGGATCGCTTCTTTCAGTATCTAATACACTGCCCGCTCTTCGTCGTGGTACAGAAGGTTGACGAGGACGAGACTGTGATCGCGGACGTTGGGCAGACTGGATCTCTACGGAGATATCTTGCTCTACTTCTTCATCGCCATCAATCTCCATGTCAGGCACTTGTGATTCCTGGATGACCTCCTTGGAGGTTGGTGCTGTAGGGGCCTGTCGTTTAAGTGGGAGCTTCTCTTTCGTCGCGCGTGATTCCAAACGTGGTGCAGGGGGGGTAATGTCTTCAATACTGTAGTTTGTATTTGTAGAGACTTCCTTTGCAATCTTGCCTCGTCCTACCGGAGCCTTCTTCTTCGTAGCCTTAGATTCGGGTTCTTTAGCGACAAGGGGATCAGGTTCACCGCCCATAGCAATGTCGTCAAATTCCTCGACCTCTTCCGTGTCGCTTGCATGTTGCTGGTTCGTCTTGTCTGCCAAAGCTTTCCTTTTGCCCTTTGGCGCTGCTACAGCCTTTGACTTCGCGACGAGGCGACCGCTCGTACGGCGCGCAGGGGCTTTCGTCTTTGTTACTTTAGCAGACACAGCAGCTTTTGGCCTTCCGCGTCCCCTCTTCCCAGGCGCCTTGTTCTCCGCCGCAGAATCTGGGGTCGGCATTGCGTCGCGTTCAACGAATTGGATATCATCAGAGTCCGAATCCACTAGCCCAGACAACGTCGAAGTCCTGTATGTTGATTTCGACATCGAAAAATGAGGTATAGTATGTCCAACGGACGCGACAATAGAGTACGTGCGCTTCGGAACAGAGAGTTATCCCGACTGACCCAGAGATAAGGGATTCCAAAATCGAAGTGATCGAATCGAAGTGACTGGATCCTGGTAGAAATGTTAGATTTCCCTCGCGGCGACGAAGAACGAACCCAGGATGACGGCGTTGTGTTAGTTGAAGCTCTGTGCAGCGAAGACTGAGGGGGGGGTCGCAAGTAAACAAATGTACGGGGAGCGCGATAGACCAAAAGTCAAGCCGGCTGCACCTTGGAAGTTTTAATCCCCGATTCCCCGAAAACAAGCCACTTTCAGCCACTTCAAGGATCAGCCACATCATCGTCTACTCCGTATATCGTGGCGGCCGCATCGAAGCCACGAAGGACAGTGCTCGTGTTCCATCCTAGCTTCAGTGTTGCTTTGTCTCCAGTGCTCACACCATTTGTGTTTGAATACCGCGTATATCAAATATCCGGTATAAGGCACCTGGCCCTATCTTGCGATGGGGGACGGAGCGAGGAAGTATGGACTTTGGCAAGACATCCTGCTCATCGCGCTCTCGGTGAGACAATCTCCCAATCGCATTCTTCAGCAGCCCTTCGCTGCATAGTTAAAAGCACTGCTGACTGTCTCCGTTCTTTCCCAGAGCTTCTCAGCATACTATGTCGCGAAGAGCGTGATATCAAGCCTTCACTTTGGGAGCGATCCGGAGAAAGAGCAGCATGAACAAGCACGCATCAAAGCTGCCGCTAATCTACGAAGATTAAATAAATCACTCGACGATCCTAGCCAGCAGCATGATCCGGATAGGAGGGACGGTAACGCATCGCGAACGCGGAAAGAAGAGTTGGTATTGGATCAATATGAAAATCAAATAGCAATGGAAGTCGTTGCCCCCGAGGACATACCCGTTGGTTTCGATGGTATGTATTACTCATTGGATGCGGTACTTGAATGCCGGTGCTAACGCATGCCAGATATTGGGGGGTTGGACGATATCATCGAAGAACTCAAAGAATCGGTTATATATCCCCTGACTATGCCTCACTTATACTCTCACTCGTCACCTCTTCTTGCCGCGCCGTCCGGTGTGCTTCTATACGGCCCTCCTGGATGCGGCAAAACCATGCTTGCAAAGGCACTGGCGCACGAGAGTGGAGCATGTTTTATCAATCTACATATTTCAACCTTGACGGAAAAGTGGTATGGTGATTCGAATAAGTTGGTCCGGGCGGTGTTCTCCTTGGCACGGAAACTGCAACCAAGCATCGTTTTCATCGACGAAATAGACGCTGTGCTTGGGCAAAGACGGAGCGGAGAACATGAGGCGAGTGGTATGGTGAAGGCGGAGTAAGTATAGTTCGGGCTTTCTCAGGCCAGTTGCTAACAGTCTCTAGATTTATGACGCTCTGGGACGGTCTTACCTCCTCGAACGAGGCAGGACTTCCTGCCCGCATTCTGGTTCTTGGCGCCACGAACAGAATACAAGACATCGACGAAGCCATTTTGCGGAGAATGCCGAAGAAGTTCCCAGTTTCACTGCCCTCCAAATCGCAACGACGACGTATCTTGAAACTTATCCTGAAAGACACAAAGATTGATCAAGATCAGTTCGATATCGAATACCTTACGCAGGTTATGGCAGGCATGTCAGGTAGCGATATCAAGGAAGCATGTAGAGATGCAGCTATGGTCCCTGTCCGAGAGTTCATCAGAGCGCAACGCGAGCGAGGGGTCTCCATGGCTGGCGTGCAGGCTGAATCTGTTCGTGGGATAAGAACAGAAGATTTCTTTGGAAGGAAAGGAGGTGTGCAGGTGGTGAGGGACACCACGGCGCAAGACTCCAGTGAGCGCTCTGAACAGCAGATTAATGCAGGCTCTAGCGATGAATACGAGGACGTTGAAGACAGCGAGCCTTCGGCAGCTTCGCTGGGTTAGTTATAATTGTAGGTTATAGGCGTTTTCTGGAGGGGTGGGTGCATAGCGTAGAGAGAGAGAGAGCAGGGAAGATCTAAAGTTGCGGAGTTGTGCCTGGGCCATACCTAGCTGATGCTCTTGGGATATCGCGATATATACATATATACATGGCAAAAGGGTGGGAACCCACCTATTTTCTTGCCTCTCTCCTCTCCCTTCTCTTCCCATGACAAACAGAAAGAAAGAAAACCAAGCATCTGTGGCTGGATATTCTACAGTAGACATATCAAAATATACTTATATATATACCTGAAAACCCCCCCCCCTCTCCCCCCCCCTTTTTCTTTTCCCAACCCGGAGTGATGCCTTAAAATTTAGTCCCCAAATCACGTCATCGCCGGAGGGCAAATCGACCGACCCCACGAGATTTGTCCCTCCGAAGCGGAGGCTTGCGGTCAGGAACCACCAGAAATCAGAAAACACCAACGTCCCTGCAAAACACATACAAAATCATCTTGTTGACGGCTTCATATATCACCACCAACACTTCAACGCTCAGTTATACATGCTCGCTCCTACGTACACATCCGATTGAGCTCATCCCCCCCTCCTCCCCCGCCCACTCTTCTACATCCGCCCGTATCATCAACACCAAAAAAATGTCGACGCCGCCAGGAGGTCCTGGAGCTGGAAAGGTCAATGGCGCTTTAGGGAAGGCCTTCGCGCACATTGACCTCGATGGTCACAATCTGCCTCCCTCACCTGCGCCCTCGAGCCCAAGCAACGGAAGAAAATATGCATTGGCGACTGCGCTGGTCTACACCGAGAGCAAGGATCAGTATGGAGCTTCGAGCATGCCAATCTACCAGTCCGCAACATTCAAGCAGACCTCTGCCGGCGGAGGTTCTGAATATGACTACACTCGCTCGGGCAATCCCACACGGACACATCTGGAACGCCACCTTGCCAAGATCATGAACGCCGCGAGAGCGCTGGTAGTTGGTTCTGGTATGGGAGCTTTGGATGTTATTACCCGCATCCTACGCCCTGGGGATGAAGTCATTACTGGCGATGATCTGTACGGAGGGACTAATCGACTCTTGACATATATGGCCGCCAATCAAGGAATTATTGTGCACCACGTCGACACAACTGAGCCCCAGAGAGTGAAGGAGGTTGTGTCGCCGAAGACAGCCATGGTTCTGTTGGAAACCCCCACGAACCCCCTGATTAAAATTGTCGATATTCCTACGATTTCGAAAATGGTGCACGAGATGAACGAGAAGGCCCTGGTCGTGGTCGACAACACCATGCTTTCGCCAATGCTGTCAAACCCTCTTGATCTTGGCGCTGACATCGTCTATGAATCTGGAACGAAGTATCTTTCAGGCCATCATGATATCATGGCTGGTGTTATAGCATTCAACGATCCGGCGATTGGCGACAGGATGTATTTCACAATCAACTCTACCGGATGTGGTCTCGCACCAAACGACGCTTTCCTGCTCATGAGAGGTATCAAAACTCTCGCAATCCGCATGGAGAGACAGCAGTCCAACGCACAAGCAATTGCCGAATTCCTCGAGTCGCATGGCTTTCGTGTCCGATACCCGGGCTTGAAGTCCCATCCCCAGTACGATCTCCATTGGTCCATGGCAAGAGGAGCAGGAGCAGTTCTGTCATTTGAAACTGGTGATGTTGCTCTCTCTGAGAGGATTGTCGAAGCAGCCCGACTATGGGGTATTAGTGTCAGCTTTGGTTGTGTCAATAGCTTGATCAGTATGCCGTGCCAGATGAGTCACGCGAGTATTGATGCGAAGACAAGAAAGGAGAGACAGATGCCGGAGGACATCATTAGACTCTGTGTTGGCATTGAAGATGTGGATGATCTAATCGACGATTTGAGCAGGGCGGTAAGTTTTTCTTCCCGACCATCATCAGTAGCGGTGCTAATGCCCAGCAGCTCGTTGAGGCGGGTGCAGTCACCGTTACTATGGACGGTTTCTACGCGAAAACCCCGGCTCAAGCATCAATAAAAGAGCCCGGTGCAGCAGCATCAGCATCGTGAAAAGAAGAATTTCGTACTTCGCATCTGCCAGGCGTTTGATTGGCTCGGATATCAAAAAACAAAACAAAATATTAGAATTCGGCATCTGCTTGGTGGCTCATGGCAGTTATTAGGACAGATGACAGTGTAAAATACATTTATTTTGCGGCTATATCCCTCTCTCCTTGGTCAAGAGAGCTGAATCAGTCAGATCGCTACCGCCTCAAAGCGTGTTGAAGCTGGCCTCGATCGTTACCAACGGTAGGCAGATGATGACAGTCTGACACGGCCTCATTCGATAGAAGAGTGATGAATGTATTTTGGGAAAGAAGTCTATCAACGTTCTGAGTGACTTAAAGTCGTGCAATTCATGGTAATAGAGATTCAAAGATAGTGTGTTCCGGTGTTGTGGCTCGCCTGATGCGACATCATTGCATATACTGCCAGAAGTTATATCCGGTATAATGAATAGTATGCTACGATGCAGGTGATACCAAGCTCAAGCAAGGCTCAGACCAGGGTGACTGGTCTGTTCAAAATGTCATGTCTTACCAATCAATCCATTCCTAACATGCGTTCTCCTGTTATGATGATTCCGCGAACTCACCATCCTGGGGGAGTTGCTGGATGCCCCCTACCCATTCCGTCAATCTCTAAGCATTCTTCGGGTTTGATATAGGAGCGCCGGAAGATGCGGCTCCAAGGGCGTATTGTACAAGTGTTTAACGGTAATATCACCCGCCGTTTACGAGGAGTCGTTATTAGACTTTGCGATGTAGCTATAGGTAGCTCGCTCAGCCTGTTATTTTATGCTGAAGTTTCGCAAGTCCCTGTGATCCTAGTCCTCATATCTTATGAGATGCGGATAATCTAGGGGTCGACTATAAGTAGAGGCTCTTACTGTAGTTCATGACAGTAAGGTAGAGACATACAATCAAATCAATGGCTCTTCTACTTTAAAAATATCAAGTTGCTTATATGCAGTGAACATAGATAGACAGAATCAAGGGCTCTTTAAATTCTTTACTTCGTTATCTTTACAACTTAGAAACTAACCTGTCTGTCTCTTCTAAAGAACGCAGGGCCAGTAGAAGAATGCAGAGCTATGTAGTATGCCATGCGTACAATCAATACCCTCTTCTCCGGCATTTCCCTTTACCCACCAGTAGCATTATCATCTCGTTTTAATCAAGGAATGTCAAAAAGCGGCTTCAGCTTCTTGATCAGCAGCCACTCTTCATTACTAACGTCTGATCTGTAGAACTCCTTGAGCGTATCGATACTTGCTCGGCTGATTAGCGAGTATAGAGTGTCTTTCTCTTCGAGATGTCGGCCGTAGGTTGGTTGGTGGGCGCCCATTTCGATCTTGACCGCTACAGATGGCTGTCCCTTCTTGCAGACTTGGATCTGCTTGTGATCACGCTCAATGCCAGTTCTGTGAATCTCAGGTCAGTAAAAAATTCTTTCCAAAGGCACGGGGATGGCTTACACTCTGCCAAGGCTCACAATCTCCTTGGCGCCGGTGACTGGGTTCTGCTTGACGGCTGCGATGGGAGTGTGCATCTTCAGGCTACCCTCGATAACGTCAACACCAATGACGATCGGTCCTGTCTTGTTAAATACTGCAACGGGGGAGAGAACACAAGGGAAGACTGCGAGGAGTTTCGACTCCTCTTTCTTCTTCTCGGCAATGAGTTCCATATGTTTCGTGAATGCATCGAAAAGATGATAGATGATGTCCGCTGTGAAAATCTTGATACCCTGCTCATCGGCATAGGCCTGTGCTTCCTTGTCGATTTTGACATCGAAACAGAGCATGACGGCATACTCCTTGTTTTTCTCAAGCATAGTACCGCAATTCATGACGTCTCGCTTGTAGACAGGCCCAATACCTACATTTGCAACAGGGATTTTGGAGACCTTCAAGAAATCCAGTAACGCTTCGAGGGATCCAAGTGTTGAAGCTTGCACCGTGACACCCCGTCCTGACTTCTCCACACGACTGAAGAGCGCTCCGAGATCAGATTCAACTTCTGCCTCAATATCTGACTCGTCGTCATCGGGACCAACGACCATCAATCTTGAACCCGCAATTGCACCTTCAAGGTTAGGTGCGCTGATCTTTACACCGAGGGCTGCTTTCACTTCCTTGTTATGTACGTAAGCAGATTTGAGTCGGAGTTCCTTCAAAGGCGCAGGTGTTAAGAGAGCTCGGATGTTGGTCGTAATAGCACCATCAACACCACAGAGAACAATACGGTCGCCCTCCCGCAAGATACCGTTGGATAGAATAACGTCGATCGTCATACCGAAACCTTCAATTGCCTTCACTTCAAGAACCGTGCACTGCACCTCTGAAAGATACATCAGAGAGCCGACCATCCGTTCCTGAGTGAGTTGAACGATCAACTTCAGCATGTCTGGAATACCCTCTCCAGTGTGAGCTGATGTGGGAACCAAAGACACGAACTTGGACATTGACTTGTTCTCGTAGAAAACCTCGGAGTTGAAACCTTGCTCCGCGAAAGCCACTTTAGTGTCTTGCAAACGCTTTGCGAATTCGTTCTGAACGCCCTTGTTTTGGAGCGCCAAACTTTCTTGAAAGCCATTGTTGTCAACCTTCTTCCAGCCATAGAGACGGTCAATCTTATTAAGTGCGACGATGAAGGGTGTCTTTCGGTCCCGCAGAAGTTTCATTGATTCCAGAGTCTGCGGCTCTAGGCCGTGCATGATGTCGACAACAAGGATGGCAATGTTGCACAGAGATGAACCGCGAGACCGTAGATTTGAGAAAGATTCGTGACCAGGAGTATCGATGACAAGAAGACCAGGCACCTTGAATTCAAAGCTGTTGTCACGATTGACAACTTGAGTCTTCTGTTTGATGGCATCGACAGGGAAGTAGGTAGCACCAATTTGTTGTGTAATACCACCAGCTTCTCCTTCTTGCACATTGGTCTGTCGGATTTTATCCAAGAGTTTCGTCTTGCCAGTATCAACGTGTCCAAGAATACAGCAAATGGGTGAGCGTAAGTTATCCTTTGATCTAGCAGCCATTGCGGCTTGGTGGGCCTTCTCTCGCCTCTCGGCGGCCTGCTTCTTCCGCAAGGCTTCTGCAGCTTGGGTAGCGGTGGTTTCTTCATCCTCGGACGATTCTTCTGATTCTGACTCGGATTCTGATTCTTCTGCCTTCTTTCCGCGGGATGGTAGAGTCTTAGACTCTGTCTTGGCAGCCGGTGCAGCTGGTTTGCTAGCAGCTTTCTCTTTCTCTTTTTCTTTCTCTTTCTCTTTCTCCTTTTCTTTCTCTTCTTCTGAATCAGCATCCCAGCTTTCTTTCAGGTCCTCATCCTCTTCAGCGGCAGCGACCTCCCAGTCATCAAGATCACTATCTTCAGCAGCCTTTGCTGCGGCAGCCTCAGCAGCTTCTCTCTCGGCCTTGGCAGCGGCCTCTGCGGCCGCTCGCTCTTCTGCCTCCTTTCGTGCCCGTTCAGCTGCTTCAGCGAGAGCTCTCTCTTCCTCAGCCTGCGAGGTTGTTAGACTCAACAGAAGCATGGATACTGATGGCGACGTACCTTGATCTCTTGAGGATTCTTCCGTCCACCCTTCTTCTTTTTGTCGAAGCCAGCCTTCTTCTTATCCCCTCCTTCAAGACCACCAATTTTAACACCAGCTTCAATCATTTGCTTCAGCTTCATTTCATTGCGAAGCTTTTCTTCCCTCTGTGCTTTGGTGAGGTATGTCCCTTCTCTTTTCTGCTGTTCGATCCTCTCCTTCTCTCTTTGTTTCTTCAAAGCTTTGGCTTCCTCCCTCTTCCGCTCCTCCTCGGCCTCTCGGCGTTCTTCCTCCTCGATCCGAGCCCTTTCTTCAGCTTCTAGTCTGGCCTTTTCTTCTTGCCGTCGTCTCAGTTCCTCTTGTTCTCGTTGCAGTTTGGCAAGCGCGGCAGGTAATTTCTTAGGTTTGCCACCAGCAGCCGGTTTAGAGGCGATGGGTTCTTCGACCTTTGTCTCGGCCACAGGCTTTGGCTCAGGGGCCTTTGCAGCAGGTGCAGCGGCCTTCTTCTTCGCAGCCTGTGAAGACAAGTTAGTGAGTCTCACATGTTATGCAGGAATCTTTAAACGCACGTTCTCCTTTTTCCGTTGCTTCTCACGCTCCTTCTTCAATTTTTCCTTTTGTGCCTTGGTCAAAACCTTTCCATCTGCGCCTCTCTCCTCCACATCCTCCTCTTCTTTCTTCTCAGCTTTCCCCCCCTTGCCCTTGCCCTTCTTTTCTGGCAAGGCAAATTCATCCTCTATTGATGCTTCAACTGGTGCCTTTTCTGTCAAGTCGGGCCGCTCTTCTGCCGCTGGGGGTTCCTCCCCATCAACAAAATCTTCTCCTTGTTTCCCCTTGTTTTTCTTCTTTTGTCTCTTCCGCATCATGGCCATCAGACCGCCACCTGGGAACTCCTCCTCCGCGTCAGCCTCTGCCGGTTCATTTTTGGTCTCTGGTGCTGGTGCAACTGCTGCGCCGTCAGGCGTCTCGCCCAACTCCGACTCCCAGTCGTCGTTCTTCTTGTTATTCTTCTTCTTGGGCGGCATTGTGAATCAATCGTACGGATTAAGTTTTGGCGATGAAGTGGGATCCGTTGTCGAGTCAGCAACTCTTGGGTTGAGCGCCAATAATGGCCAGAGTTTTGTGGCGAGCCAAAGCTGAAGCTCTGACGCAAAGAGGTGTTGTAAGATAGGTTGTATGGGGCGAGAGGGAGGCAGAGCCCTAGGACGGAGAAGTCTTTTGAAGAGGGCTGTTGACTTTCCTTGCGCACATTTGCCCGCATTATTACCACCCACCGTAGAGGTAACGTGAAAGTGCGGGACACCTTGGCGCTAGTGATTAAGCGAGTTATCGGTTGATAACGTCCCAACGCACTCTCTCTAAATCTACACCCTCTCCACGAGAGAAACATGGCCAAATGTCACAATCACAATGGCTTATTCGCATTATGGCTTCATATAGCATGGTATTCCTTCGTACATATACATGTATATATGTGTGGCCTCCTAATACCCAAAGGAAAATCCAACCTTCAACCATCGTTATAGCACAGGGCGAAGAAAGAACTCTAAGTCTTTGTATGCCTGCTTGAGGTAGACACCCATCCCAGCATCTTTCTGCAACCTTCCTCGATGCAGCTCCTGGAGTAGTTCACAAAACTTGCCCTGGGTTTTGACGGCCTCCTCTGTCTCCTGCCCGATGCAAAGTAGTTCTTGCAGGTTCCCATCTTGAGCACAACGCCTTAGGATATCCCCGTCTACATGCATCATGACCTTCGGCTCAGTGACAGGTTCGAGGGGTAGAGTCCCCTTGGTGTAGGTGAACTCGCAGATCTTCGGTGACTGCATCGCCAAATTTACCAGAAATCTCAGGAACTTCCATGAGGCAGAGTCAAGGATTGTAAAGTGACAGAGTGATCCGTCAATCGACAGACCGAATACTTCAGGGTAGCTCGTGGAGCCTGGAGTGATACCGGGACCCAGAACCTCATTCCCCGTTGATGGGTACCAGACTGGATCCCATATGGGACGACAATTCCCTGAACGGAATCTTAGAATCGAGTGCGGGAGCTGTGCCTCAAAGACAGGTTCCAGAGTGTCAGCTCTGGTATTATGGGTCGCCCACAATCCCACTATAGAGCATGACTTGTCCGAAACCAGATCTATCAGGCTTTCAGAGGACCTCCCCAAGACCCTATGATGTAGGGCATTTCGGGTTACTTGATCACCATGTGTGCGGTAGATCTTTGAACTTCCATCGGCTTCCTTGACCAATTCGAGCACTTCGAGCGAATGAGCAGCAGTGGTAGCATATATCTTTCCGTTCTCATGCACCAGATCTACTGCGGGCGAAGGAAGATCATACTGAGCGACTGTCTGGAACTTCTTCTCTGCCAGATTAAGAATGTCGCAATAGAGTGTGGCTCCAGAACAATAGAATAGTCCCTCTGCAAACCCGGCAACAGAGTATACTGGCTTTGCACATTTGAATTTGTACCGTGTCCAATGTCGTATTTTCGGTGGCACCCTTGAAGCCTCATTGATATTCGACCCCGTTTCCCCCATTTCAAAGGGATCTGATTCCGTCCTTATGTCTGATGGTACCACTGTTTCTCTTTCCGTAGATAGGATCAAGAGTCGCCCAGTATTTGTGCAAACGACAATAAAATACCAGGTTTTGCCATCTTTCATATATGACCATTCGAGTAGCCTGAACACTCTTTCATTGAACTCGCCAAGGCCTGATACGAAATCGACTGGCGCACCCTTCTTATCGACAGGCTTCGAGAGGTCTACTCCTGTTTCGGGGTCGATAAAAAGAAGTGTGCATCTACCATCCACCGACGCTGCGACGATGAGGGCTTTCAGAGTTTGTGAATATAAAAGACGGGTCGGAGTACCTCCAATCGGCATATGGCGAGGAACGGCCTTTGGCTGGGTGCTGAGACTTGCCAGGAGAAGTTGAGAACCTGAAACTAGTAATATATCGTCCCCGTTCCCGCCCGAAATGTCTGGCAGGAGTCTCGCTATCGAGTTCACTGCTGGCTGCTGGAGACTAGGGTTCATGACATCTGTCAACCAGACCCGATTTATGGACGTCTTTTCACTCGATGTTTCCACATCGAATCCAGGCTGTTGCGAGGCCGGAACCGTTAGGACATATAATTTAGAGTCGCAGTTCACAAAGAATAGCTCCTTAGCGCCCATAGATTCATCTCTTCTGATAATCGCCGGGGTTGCGCCAATTCGATCACACCAAGAGCTCACAATCTGAAGATTGTGCTCATTGAGGTATAGCGTGATGACCATTCCATTCCGAGTCCCGCATAGTAATACGAGAGATCCGGGAGGTGAAGAAGACACCGAGATACTAACGAACGCTTCGAGACGCACGCGACTGTCGCCATAAGTAGTAGGAATCTGTAGGATATGGGGTTCTCCGCCAGAGAGAGGTTGGAATATCAGATTCACCGAGTCTCCACCCCATTCAGCTACAACAACACAAAGTGTTTGTTCTATCAAGCAGATAGCCATACCGGTAACATTGGATGAGAATTTCCTTAAAGTCCGAATACATGTGTTGCTTAAAGGTCCTGCTGGCTCGCCATTGGCCAACGCTTTGGATGATCTTGGATCCAAGATCTGAAGGTATGTCGAGCTCTGAAAATGGGTTGAGAATATTACAATAGTGTCGTGCGCAACGGCGTCATCTACCCTGGCTTCAGAGCCAAGGAAGACTCCATCTTGGTAGATTCCAAGAAGTTTTTCGTCCTCATAAATATGACTACCAGAACCTGTTAGCCGCTTTGCTAAGAATAATCTGCTCTACCTCGACCCTTATAATGCAGAAGCCCCATGACCTCTACTAAATGGAAACGCTTTGACTAGACACAAAAGACTTACGAGTTCTGCCCTTCCATAAATAAGATAGATCGTTCCGTGACTTGTATCTTTATGTCGCCATGTACGCTAGTTGCGATGGTCCGGTATCTCAAGTCCAAATGTGTGGAAGTTTGATCGAGCTCGTCAATTTCGGTGGCATCACTAGATAGGTGTAGCAGTGCTGATCGATTGACTAGTGACAGCAGAAAGAGGGAGCCGCCGTCATAATCGACAGAAAAGAGACTCGGGGGAAAGACCCAAACGTCCATAACAGGCGTATGAAATTCGGTCTCTAATCCAAGACGAGCTTCAAGTCCATATCTGAATTCCGTGATGGACCCTTTGATGCCTTTCCCAACACAAGCAAAAATCCTATCTGGTTTTGGAAAGGTTTCTTTGCCATGATGAGATATATTTGGCTCCTCGGTCTCCCGATCTTGAGTCTTAGAAGTCGTGACAATATCCTGTGCGGGCGACCAATTCTGGATGCTCTCTCTGAAAATAGGGGCCTTCCTCGCTCTAACCTTGAAACCGAGCCGTCAGCGATTACAAGCTCACAGAAAAATCTGCCTACCATGGAATCAGGCGTGGCCTGCCTAGTGGAAGGCGAGAAGTTAGAACTTACTAAGTAGGTCCCTCCAACGCATGAGTCACCTCCAGTGATGAGCAAGTCACCCGTGTTGGCGTTATAAGCCTGATAATCGAGACTTGCCAAGGCAGTACCACAGTTGGATTCAAATGAACCAATGTCCATATCAGCTCGGACGATATCCTCTTCCGAGGAGTCAATCTCTAGAAATTTGATGAGGCCGTCTTCTCTTACGATATATATATCATCCCGCTTGGCGGTATGGTGTGGCAAGCGGTATGGGCGAGTCCATGCTGTCCACAAGGGAAATCCTGAACCATGGTGGAATGGAGTGGGCGGATCCACTCTATCATTAAAGTCGATGAACTGGGGGCTTCCCTGAAGGATATCCTTACAAACGGCCATGGAACCATCAGAGACAAGTATGAAGGATGACTTGATAGTCAACGGAATGACTAGGAGAGGCATCTGACGTGATTTTTCCAGTAGGTGTCCCCGTCGGCTATGGGCTCGAACATCCCTTAGATCTGCGCCAGTTTCCCACTCATATAAAAGCATTCGCGTTTTGCCTTTCCAAACCAACAGGACCAACAGGATGATGTGTTCATCATCATCTGGTGAAGGGTACAGAAATTCCATTTTGTGAATGATTCCATGGAAGTAGATATATCGTTCAGATTTGACATAGCGGGGAGACTGGCCTTGGGAGTATTGCCTCTTCAGTTCCTCTCTGGAATTCAGTGCATAGATTGCGAAGAGACCTTCCGAGCAGCCTATAGCCACATATCGTGAACTCGGGTCTACAGTCAAGTGCATGCCAGGCTGCACTGTGAGCATGGCTTTTGAGACCCGGTGTCGGCTAGAGACAAACTCCCATCGTCCACTTCCTGTCTGACGCAATATTAAGAACACAGAGTCCCCGGAATCCAGTTGCAGGAGAATGCCTTGAGGCGGGAGCAGGGTATTTCTCTGGCGTTGGGCATTTCTGTCTCCCTCACCATCCATCTCAACATCCTCATCCTCATCCTTGATTTGGGTGCTAAGGGGGTCTCCACTGTGGTCTCGGGAGAATGCTTTCGTTGATCCAATGACTCGGGCATTGCGAATCCGGGCCCCGAAGTTTTCCTTCTGGACAACATCCCATAGATGGCCATCAAGTCGCAACTCCTTGATCTGAACAAATTCGTCCTACATCAATCAGCCTTCAGCCTCGTCAAAGGTTGACGTGGATGGCCAAAAAGAACGGCTATTCTGCTCAGTGCCAGATGTGTCTTTGCAGCGAGAATAAACGCAGGAGGAACAGAGATAGGTGGCTGCCACATTCACTGCCAAATAACGAGCAGGAATTCTGATACGCAATGGTTCGATAAATGGAGGAAAGTTCACCTACCCCGATGAAAGCCACGTCGTTTGTATTCAGATCTCTCAGCCTTACTGGCAGAATCCAGTGCACAAGGGGGCTTCTGATAACAGTCTGCGTCAATAGACCAAGTACAGGCGGCCTCTCGACTTCCATGGCATTCGCAGAGGCTTCCTTATCCTGCTGGTCATAATGCCGTAGCACTGCGTTGACATCAATCGTCCTCGTAGTCCATTCCCCGTTAACGAGAGTGTTGGTCGCAAAGGCCATCGTGACAGGCCGGGTCACTCTGATGCCATCCAGTGCCAGGGACTGTATCCAGTCAAGAAGAACCAAGGTGACACAAGCTCTCAGCCTCCAGCGTCCAGCTTCGACAAGAGTCTCAAGAGTGAAGGCTTTCACATTCCAGACCGGTGGTTAAGCTGCAGTCTGGGGCGTCCGCAAGTCCCCGCAAGCCGTGAGACAGGTGGGATTACTGGGGAAATGGTTCAGAGGGTAGCCTTGCCGCGCGTTGGATATGAAGTGGTTATCAGTGTTTCTAGCCTTGGGAGGCGAGGCTGTAGGCACCTTACCTCAGGAAGAGATCACCCTAGGGCGTTTCGATGGACGGCGATGCGGATGCCCTCGAACCACTCTGCTCGGGGGATCTGCGCAAACTGTTCGAGCTGCTTCACGGGGGAATCATGGCCATTGTGCCAGTCTCAGTCTCAGTCTCAGAGTGGTGTCGGACCTGACAGATCACTTTAAGGATTTATGCGTCGAAGCACGCGGCAGCAGAACCCTTTCGACCGCGCTAAGCTTTAACGAGGCTCAAGGGGAGAGCGGCCGACCTCAAGAGACACGCGTGATTGTGTTTCAACTCTCCAACCCGTGCATCGGTCAACCTCTGCACCAGAAGGCCATGACAACCAGGTTAGGGGGCCTCTGTCCTTGACATGGAATTCAGTGGAACAATCCCGGAAGAGAACGCCAATACCAGAGGATCCGCTGGGTCGTCTCCTCCCCAGGATGAAGAGCGCGTTGCCAAAGCCAAGGGGATCCTAGAGGCGTGTCGGTGGAAGGATGTAGAGACTCTGCGGGCACTGTCGACATCTAAAGGCGGACTGCTTTCGGACGATATTCGACGCCAGGCATGTTCGTGTCCCCGAGAGAGACCCCTCGGGGCCAAGGCTGACCTCGATGACAGGGCCCCTTCTGCTTGGCTACGACTGCGATGGAGGCGGTGTAGATCGCAACTCCGGTGACATCCAGGGCTGGAGAAGCCTGCCAAAGCATCGAGACGAAGGCCAGGTGCAGCTGGACGTGGATAGGTCTTTTATATACTATCCCGTCGGTACGTCATGGCTCTGGTCGCATATCACATGGAATTGACATCTGGCACAGACCAATCTCCGAAAGAGATCGACCGACGCAAAGAAGAGCTTTCCGATCTCATACTTGAAGTTCTACGACGGCAGCCCTATCTACATTACTTCCAAGGTTACCACGATATCTGCCAGGTCTTCCTCCTGGTCCTCGAACCACGAAGCCGTGCATCGGCCGTTTCACGTCTCTCGGCCCTGCGAATCCGGGATTACATGCTGCCGACTCTCGCTCCCTCACTCGCACAATTGCGCTTGATACCTTCGATCATACGCACGGTTGACCCGAAGCTCTACAACCATCTCCCCTTAACACAGCCTTTCTTTGCTATACCAGGTATCTTGACAATGTACGCGCACGATATACAGGAGTACGGCGACATAGCGCGGATATTCGATGTCCTCTTAGCACGAGAAGCCGTGTTCTCCGTGTATATGTTCGCACAGATCATTCTTCAGAGAGCCGATGAGCTCTTTGAGATCCCAGCGGACGAGCCCGAAGTGCTTCACTCAATCCTTTCCAAGCTGCCCAAGCCACTTGACATAGAAACGTTGATTGCAAATACTGTTAAACTATTCGAGAAACACCCGCCTGAAACCCTGAGGACTTGGCGGGCAATATCTAAGTTTAGTGTTTTGAAGACGGCACGTTTGCCAGACCAGGTCCTAAAAGAATCTATAGAAGACGGGGAAATGTATTTTTATAAACAGGTAAAAGACTTACAATGGACCGAACGACGCGAGAAGGTGTTGAAGACGATGTGGAAGTACAGAAGGCCTGTCAGAACAATTGGACTTGCTATACTAGTAGGAGTCTTATCATTCTGGTTGCGGAAGTCTTCCGGTTTTTCGGGGATTCTGGGGGCGTTTTGGAGGTGGTCAGGGTACTCTGGGTATGGAAATATCCCACTAAAATCAAGTGATTAGAAACGGCGTTACATGGGATATATTGATCATTCATTTTGTACATAAGTCTCAACACCCCCTCCCATCATGGCGTAAACGCCGATTTAAGAGCCTCAAAGTGCTGCCGTTGTTCCAACGCCAGTTTTCCGTCGAGGTCCCCAATGATTGTAAGAATCAATGAATAGTTGTTGTATAGGAACCTTTCCTTTTTCCTCGAATCGCCGATGGTATTACTTGTTTTCGTCAGGAACGCCTCGATTTCACTCCGTAGTCTCGTTAAGCTTGCAGACACAGGCTCGTCATCCCCTGCGTCGGTGCTCAAGGCAAGAATGCCTTGCATGAACTGGCCGAAGCGTTGAGTCAGGAAGTGAGGTGCTGCCGACTGCTTTGCTTGCTCCGCAGCGGATGGCTTGCGCGTCGAGACACCGCTAGTTGTGTTACGGACTGACTCACAGTGCTGGTCCATGACGACCTGGAACCGTGGCCAGAGTAGCATAGCGGTACCGTTAATATAGCCATCCACGGCTGGGATTTTGCGGCGCTGCAGCTCAAACGCAAAGTGCTGGTTTAATCTCACGCATAACAATAGGCCTAACCCGTCAAACGTCTCCTGGATAAGAGATTTTGTGAAATTTTGGCCAAGTGCAAACGTGGGTTCAAATATGTAGTTGAAGTGCTGTGAGATCGTTGTGAAGGACAGGGAGGGCGAGAAGAAAGAGGTGAGGAAGGAGTATTCCGCAGAGGCGTTGTCTACCAAGGCAAGATTAAAATTCCGAAAAGGAAATTCCAAGTAATGAGTCGATTTATCTTCTTCGGCAAGAAATGATGAAAGGGCCGTTTGATTCGAAGTCTTCAAGAGGTCGATCCGGCGACCTAGATTGAAAGCATCATGGGGAGGGCCGGCGGGCTTTGCTCCCGCCAAGATGGTATTCTTTCGAGTGCCGTCATCCTGGCCAAGAACATCGTACTTGTCGACAATATGAAGCTTGATCTTATCAAGCGCTTTCTGGTATCGGGTAAACTGGTTCAAGAAATACCACCTCATGGTGTTCATATAGGCCTGGCAAATTTCTTCCGCCAGCTGTTGATGGTGCCTATATAAAAATGCATAGAGGTCTTTGTACCGGATGAAGTGTTGTTGTTGTATAATTTGGGCGTTTATATTTGGAGATCGCAAGGCCTTGATCTGGGCTACTAGGAAGTCTCGGATTCTTTCGATTGCCTGCAGAAGTCAGTATTTCGTCTTATACACCTAGGGTCTTCTTTACCTTATTGATGAGGTTCTCCAGCAAAGGTTTCAGATCGTTGATTCCCTTGATTTTCCGTGACTCTTTGGACTTTGCATCCATTGCCTTCGATCGTTTCTCCACCTCCGCCAGTGCTCTCACCCATGCCTCATCGATTGCGCCCTCGACAACCTTTCGCACTACAGCTGGAGACAGGCTGATTTCCTCGACTATTGGACCCAGACCATTCTCGACTGCTTTCCGATTCTCCAGCCTGATACTCAACGCCGTGGATCGGGCCTGTAATGTCTCTATCTCGGCAGAGACGGCTGCTAGGTCATCCTGGAAGCTCGTCAAGTTTATTTCCACCGAATTCAAAACATCATCGCAGACGCGTATAGACTGATGGAGATCTTCGAACTTTTCCTTCTCTTGTTCGTCTATTACTGTGAGCCAATAAGCATGATGAGAAAAGTGTTGGGTTGTACATACATTCATCAATTGTTTGCATGTTATATACAGCTTCTAGGTCGGATTCCGGTGTTTCTTGCTCCAAAAAGTCCTGTAGACTCAAGCCTGCAAAATCCAGCTCAAAACCACTCTCCTCTGTTGTATCCACCCCATCCTCAGCTTTCGAAGAGGGTGCCAATCCCTTTCCCTTAGGCCCCAGCAGCTTCTCGAGCACTTCCAATGGATCTGGCGTGCTGGAGACGGCAGCAGGACGCTTAGGACCCGTACCATTAGGATTTCGGGACGAGGCTAACAAAGATGCCGTTGAGTCATTGGAGACCAAGGAGAGAGAAGAAGAGCGCGGGGTGAAGCCTGGTCGTTGGGGAGCTGAAGTGGGTGCAAGATGACTAGGTCGGCGAGATGCCGGGGAGAAAGATCGATTTGCGGACGGCGGCGGGGATGCAGAGGGCGTCGAATGCGACGACAGACGGTCGAGCCACATGTCCGCCTCTGGACCAGAGTGACTCCCTTAAGTCAATTAATGGTGCGAGGTTCCTGCGCGCCCCTTTACTCTGTAGAGCGTAGCCTCAGAGCAGGGCAGACCACTGCGACACTGAATTGAGGGAGAGTGAAAGAAGAACAAGGACAGGAATGGCGGGGCAGATAGATAGAGAGGATGTAGCAGACCTGCGAGTGACCTTCAGACCTTAGAGACTCCTGCGCAGAGAGATGAGGGATGTCGAGGCTGTCGTTTGCTGGCCTTACTATCCTTGCCTTACCTGAAGCCTGACAGCGAGCCTTGCCTTAACGGTGACGCGGAAGCTTACCTAATATCACTGGTCCGGTAGGCTGATTGCCTTGGATGCCTTGGTGCCTTGGCGCGTGACTGTCTTCATGGTCACGAAGGGACTTTTTCCCTTACTGCCTCAGGCCCCCATCCTGTCCAATCCTGTCAGTCTAGCCCCTCTGGGCAAAGCGGATATATCTTCTCACCTTACCATACCAGGTGAGGCCAGCGCTGGGACTAGCGGTCGCTTCCTGCCCACACTACTCCATCCCGATCTTCTGCTCAATTGATTTTGTTCTTCAAACACAAACCCTTCCAGACAAGACACTCCAAGTCTCCCGTCGCATCCTCCTCTCTCCTTGGTCCTTTTCACTCCTCACCAACCCCGTCGCATTTCTTCACCCCCCACCAACATCCTTACTCAAGATGGCGGACGATGCCCAGGTAAGTCCTACCTAGAAAAAAACCACCCCGCACCCCCACCACCGGCTGGGCGCATGCCTCGACAACCTCTGTCCTCGGCCATCTTCCCGGATGAAATAAACAGTCACTGACCTGAATGCCTCTCTCAGCATGAGCACACCTTCGAGTCCGCCGACGCCGGCGCCTCTGCCACTTTCCCTATGCAGTGCTCTGCCTTGAGAAAGAACGGTTTCGTCGTGATCAAGAACCGCCCCTGCAAGATCGTCGACATGTCTACCTCCAAGACTGGCAAGCACGGTCACGCCAAGGTCCATCTTGTCGCTATCGACATCTTCACCGGCAAGAAGCTCGAAGAACTTTGCCCCTCTACCCACAACATGGATGTCCCTAACGTCACCCGCAAGGAGTACCAGTTGGTAAGGCGTGCCCCCTTCATGTCTCCCTGATCGATCTAACTGGTTCTTCACAGCTCGATGTCTCTGACGATGGTTACCTCTCCTTGATGGCCGATGATGGTGAGACCAAGGATGATGTCAAGGTTCCCGAGGGCGAAGTTGGCGAGAAGATCGAGAAGCTCTTCACCGTTGAGGAGAAGGATACTAGTGAGTGTTGCCATCAGGCTTAAGCCACGTGAGAGCATTACTGACTTGCAACTCTTTTAGACGTCATTGTTCTTACGGCTATGGGTGAGCAGGCTGCCATCGAAGCCAAGGAGGCTCCTCGTGGCTAGATTTCCCTAAGCCTGCACCACTACGGCAACGACATTGTTGTCAGCGATGGCAGTGTCTTTTCATTGACAGATCTGTCTGCTCGAATGAAAATGGGTTGTGGACGACCTTCCGAGTTGCTGCATTCTAGTGGTCGTTGCGTAGAACGCTTTATCTGGACACTTGATTCTACTGGTTATTGTCTTCCCGGCTCTGCGAACACCATCTTTCTTTTGTCAAACTCGATACTACATGATCACAAATGGCCGGCGTAGTCAAAAAGTGAACGCTTGGGATGTAGCGACTCATCCTGTGGGAATCGATACTTCAACTGAAACTCTATTTTACTTGCCCATGTGAAAGTGAAAGTGAAAATGACGTGCGTTGGGCAACCATTGGGTTGTGCCACTGTAAACGGATTGTCCTCGGCATTTGACCCCCGTAGATCAATAACACTATTTGTGTCGGTACATACATCAGTATCCTGGAGAGCCTGAGATAAACAGGTGATCTGAACGTAGAGTAAACGTAGATTAAACATTTTAATGACCGCACGACTAACGTGATTGAAATTTGGCGACATCTGCGCGTCGCTCTCTGCAAAACGGAAGAGGCAACAAAATATCGCCAGAAAGACATCAAAAATTATATAGCCACGGCCACGAAATGAACATAGTAACTGATTCAATCCGGCCCCAAGGATAGCCATCAGCCAAATGTCGTCCCAGCTAGAATATCAACGTTTCGCACGTGGCGAAAACTGCACCGAACATGGTTGTCGGGCGCGCAAATGGTACATTGAAGACGGCCGCAAATTCTGTCAGAGAGGCCACGAGCAAACTGTGCGTCCCATCCGCCCTCTCCGCTTCCTAATCCTGAGTGAAATTTAGGGCTTCACCCAAACACAGCAAGATGACGAGGAATTTGACCTTAAGCAAGGCAAGACAACGCGCGTAAAGGGCGATGGAAAAGAGCGGGCACCGAAAGTAGTCACGGGGAAACAAGCAGTGGAGTTGTATCTGCAGTGCTATCAATTGATTCTATGGAAGCAGTGCTTCTGGTTGGTCAATGTAAAAGGGTTTCCCAAGGATCTGGAGACCGTGGTCAGGGACTTATGGGGGCTGAGGCTGAGGCTTTTGCATGGGGAAAAGGAGGATGGTGGGTATAGGTCGGGCACGACTGGCTTCAGTTCTACGAGCGAGGGGGAGAATACTGAGTCCGACGGGATCAGCTTGACGTCAAGAAGAAGCAGAAGAAGCGACAGAGCGAAGGATCGGCTTCCAAAGTTGATCGAGACTCTGGCGTTGTGCTATCTAGGCATTTTACTGTTGAGGCTCCCAACGAGCTTGGGTGAAGTGTACAAATGGGCTGCGGAGGAGGAGATAATTTTCACGAGAGCTGTAAGTGATGAGATGCTCCTTTTCTTGTCCCTCTTAATCCTATTACCAGCCAGTTGAATTAATATTGACCCTGAAATCAGATCAAGGAAGTGCCAACGGAGATGCTGGCTCGCCTGCCAGCTCATTATCATGCCGCATTGCAAATCCGAGCACCATTAAAAGGGACAACTCTCCATAGTACCGTCTTGGACCTGGTCCAGTTCTACCATGCTCAATTTGAGATGGTCTTTCCTCCCTTGAATTCTCCGTTGTTGATATTTAAGCACGTGAGAGACCTTGGGCTGCCTGGTAGGATAGACGTTCCTTTTCCTTAGCCCACCCCTATATCCTCAACATATATGACAAGATATGAGCAAGCAAAGCGACTTCCTGGGGTCTAGTAATAAAAACGCCCCCCCCGAAAGGAAGCCTCGACAGACAATCCTCTTCATAGCTTTATTGCGCCATCAGTTGTGTCTTTCCCGAACCTATGCTAACTGAAGTAGTGGAGATCTATCCAGCAGTTCGTCGTCTCGCTGCAATTCTTGGAATAGATTTCACGTATCCGATACCGCAAAAGAGGCCCGGGTACATCACATATCCTGAGATCCAACTCATGAGTCTGATCGTGGTTGCGACTAAACTCAGTCACCCATTTGATGATATAGTGCGCTATCCAGAGGATGATAGCGACCCTACTATCGTGAAGATAGACTGGAGCAAGTGGCAGGATATTATGATTGAGAAGTCTCCAGCAGGGCTGAAACGGGGAGAGGAGATTAAGGTCACGGATGAAGATGTCTTAACAATGAGTGGGAAGAAGCTGGACGACTATCTCGATTGGTATCAACGCACTTGGATCGATAGCAGAGCTCCAAAAAGTCCGTTGTCCCTCTCCCTCTCCCTCCATTGGCCACTGACAGTGCTAACCCTTAACAGTGTCCGCGGAAATATTGGAGTTCTTCCCACTCCAAGATTTACCACCTCGGCGAGCTGAGGAGTCTGACCAGGAGCAACGAGAGAACCGTTTGAAGCAGGTACAACAAGGTTTAATCTTACAAAAACCGAAGCCAGTTCAGAATGAAGAGGAGCAACCGGAAACCGTGAACCGGCCAGGGGAACTGTACAGGCGTTATCGAACTACTGCAGAACTTCCAGACAATGCGAGGGTCTTCTATGAGCTGGCTGGTATGTTTCGATTCTCATACCCACGATCCGGAATACACCTTGCTGACGTTACACTAGCTGCAAACGTGGGGACTTCCCTTCATAAGCTCGTAAGAGAGGTTTTTCAAACGGAGGTGCTGTTGGAGGGGTGGGCCTTGTCAGAGAGAAGGAAGCGACTGGCAGAGGAGGGAGGGCTGTCTTCACATGGGTAACGACTAGGAGCAGTCTCTTGGAGTTTAACGGCGTTTGCTGGGTTGAGATGGTTGGTATAGGTACGGAGTTTATAATGAGATACCCGCGGAAGATGATGCCAGACGCTCTTCTGCACACACATATTAGCAGCATATAAAGAATTGGAATTTACAGAGTCACTCGATAAGTTGATGATCGCTGAAGACACTCCTAAGGAACTCCTACCTTATCTTCTTCGCTTACTCCGAAGAGTGACCTTTACTCCGTGCACCTTATTCCCCCTCTTCATCACGTGACCCACCCGGAGAAATTCTAGCTTACTAATTAGGGTTTCGCCTGCCTTCGCCTGCCGAACAAGCACTTCACCCCGAATTTTCGATATCTCGAGATCTCATCAACAACGACGTCGACGACCGCAATCAGTAAGTCATGTCTTCCTCCACGAAATGTATATCGTCGAAAATTTAAGCTGACTTGTCTTCCCTTACAGTGCAGATGTGAGACCGCCACCCTATACCGCACAACAGTGACGATATATCGAGATGTGACTGACAATCGATCAATAGCTTCGTCAAGACCCTTACGGGCAAGACCATCACCCTTGAGGTCGAGTCCTCCGACACAATCGACAATGTCAAATCCAAGATCCAGGACAAGGAGGGAATTCCCCCGGACCAGCAGCGTCTGATCTTCGCCGGAAAGCAACTTGAGGACGGTCGCACTCTTTCAGACTACAACATCCAGAAGGTACGAATATAATGAGAATCCATTTGGAGGATTTAGAGACCCCGAGGCTTGGACTAGAGATGGATCTGGGAAACTGTGTGGATTTGATGAAAGCGGGCAGCGTCAGACCAGAGGGCTAATATGTCTTTGTCCTACAGGAGTCGACTCTCCACCTTGTTCTCCGTCTCCGTGGTGGTATCATCGAGCCATCTCTCAAGGCCCTTGCCTCCAAGTTCAACTGCGAGAAGATGATCTGCCGAAAGTGCTACGTACGTCTTCCCACGGCAATCCTCAAACCGGATCTCGGAACTAATGCTATACACAGGCCCGCCTCCCACCCCGTGCCACCAACTGCAGAAAGAAGAAATGTGGTCACACCAACCAGCTGAGACCAAAGAAGAAGCTTAAATAGATGACTCGCTCATTTGGCGTTTGGGTTCGACGGTGGAGGGAAGAGTGCATAGTTTCTTTTCATGCCTAGCTCTATTTACCACAGCATAAGGTAGAGAAGCAATGGAACACTGGCCGAGGCACAATTGTGACAATTCATGCGGTTCGAATCCGATATTCAAGCGCGTTTCGTGAGAGCCAGTTTTCGATGTGAGATGGAATTTGACCCTCGTGCTCCATTGATGTTCCGGCTGTTCTCCCAGGGGCCTAGACGTCGTCCTTCAGCCTGGAAGGGCTACCTCTTGAGGTTACATGGATAGTCACTGGATTGAATCGACTTTGTGCATGGATTTGGAGCCTCCTCGTGCGCAAAGGACAAACCACTACTACAGCATTGTGAGCGTCTTCAGTCTAGCCGGTCTTTCCTTGCTTTTTCCTCTTCTCCCCTCGCGCAGATGTAGATGGCCTTCTGTGGACCTGTGCCTCTTCTGCCAGCAACAAACTATAGTATATACCCAGAAGGTTGTACGTTAGTAAGAGCCGGTCTCACCAGTTTTCAAAGTCCCAATGTGCCACATACAATTTGCGGGTAACCTATCCTTTGGTGAAGGATGGACTTGAGAGGCTAGAGACTCTGACTGAGGCCATTCATCAAATTGATACGACTATGAAGTATGAAGTATGAAGTGAGATGTATTATTGGTACAGAGTATACTGTGTTAATACTGTTTGTTACACGGGATATTCGATCTATCGTCGTATCGCAGGAACCAATGAATTGAATTAACTAAGTAAAGTAATCATACAGAGTGCCTGTATAGCAATAGTAAACAACTAACTTTTTAGCGGGTTACTAACCCCGATTAGGTTAGACTAGGGCCTCCGGAGCATCCTAGTCCCGTGACTACTAACCCTACGTAATAAGGCCAGTAGTTTCTTACAACACACCCCTAAATCCACGCCTGTAACGTCCTATCTACCTAAATTCAGCCTAAACTCTATACCGCCTACCGTTCTGCCGAGTAAGATGCCGAAAGAGGAAATAGAAATAGCAGACCGGTAAGATTCTGCCGCCCTATCGCTATAAAGGGAAATAGAAATAAGGAAACGTCCTAATTAGGCAATTAGGATAGCTACAGTATGTAGATTTAACAGCTTTAAGAACTTAGCGTGTTTAGGTCCTTTTAGAGCTTTAGTAAGCCTATCTACTACTATATCCTCTGTACGCTTAAACCAGACCTCTATTTTGCCTAGCGCGACTTGCTCTTAAATATAGTAGTACTAGACGTTAATATACTTAGTTCTCTAGTAGATAACTAGGTTATCTGTTAGCGCTAGAGATCCTTAGTTGTTACTGTATATTCGGATCGTTTTAGTGTTATCTAAGTTAATACCTAACTCGTAGAATAGCTGTCTTAGCCAGGCGGCTTCTCTTGTAGCGTTAGAGAGCCTGTAGTACTCTGTTTCCGTAAAGGAGAGTACTACTACCTGTAAGCACTTTAATCTAAAGGATATCGCGCTACTATAGTAGTTAAATAGATATCTGATAGTTGATCTTTGTGTTTTTATATAACTAGCGTAATCCGAGTCGCTATATCTATGTAACCCTTCTAACACTCCTTTACCTATCCTGTATATAATTCCTAAGTTAGGTGTACCTCGTAAGTAACGTAAAGCGTGTTTTATAGCGCTTATATAGTTAGTAGAAGGATTCGTAAAATAGCGTAACAACACAGACATTAAATAGTACAGATCTGGCCGTATTTACGTCGACAGATACATAAGGGAACTAACGATCTACTAATACAGCTTAACCTAATCCGCTATAGCGTGTTCTAGGTTCGAAACTATAAGCTTTACGTAAGCTAGATCTAATAGTGTTTTAGAGGCTTTATAGTCACTTATCCTAAAGCGTTTTAGTACCTTGTCGACGTAAGCGTCCTGTATAAGGGATATAATCCTGTTAGCCCTATTCCTAACGATCCTAACGCCTATAAAGTAGTAGTAGAGGCCTAAGTCCTTTATCTTAAACGCGCTTTATAGGGCTACTTTTAGATTAGTTAGCTCTTTCTCCTTTAGGCTAACTAGAAGAAAGTCGTCTACATAAGTTATAACGATTAATCTGCTATTAGGGTGTTAATATATACAATCGTCGGCTATTAGGGGCTTAAAGCCTAGCTTAATAAGTACTTAGCGTAGCTTTAGCTGTTACAACTATAGAGCCTGCTTTAAACTATATAAAGCCTTGTTAAGCTTATAGACATAGGTGTTATCTTTACTAGAGCTAGTTAGAAGTTCTACGTATATATCCTTATTAGCTTCCTTGTTTAGGAAGGCTATAACGTAGTCTATTTGTTCTGTCTCCTAGTCTTCCTTAGCTACTAGGGCTAGGATTACCTTCTAAGTCATGCTTTTAGCTACGCTAGCGTAAGTCTAATCGTAATTACGCCTATAGCGTTACTTATATCCTTTAACTACCTAGCGGGCCTTATAGCGCACTACTAAACTATTAACGCTAGTTTTCTTCTTAAACACTTACTTACTACCTAGAACCTTAGTGCCCTTTTAAAGGCTTAATCTCTTAACTAGACTCTACGTATCGTTCTTTACAAGTAAGTCGAGTTCGTTCTGTATAGCCTCCTTCTACTACTTAGACTTAACGCTACTAACTACCTCCTTATATGTAATTAGGACGTTTTCTAGATCGTCTTTAACTATAGTCTAGTAAGTAGCGTAGAACGCTATAGCTATAGCAGAATAAGCTAATTACTATACCCCCTGTTTAGTATTATCCCTTGTATCTTCCTTAGTTATGTAACGTGATCAGGATCAAGTTATTTAAGTAGTTTTAAGGTTAATAGTACGTATAGAGTCTTAAGCTTAAGCTAGAGCTTAAGCTAGAGCTAGAGTTACCTTTAGCTTGTTCTTTAAACCTTTTAGGCGCCCCCGGCCGCGCTTAATAGCTACTAAATCAGGTAAGGCGGTAGTCGACTAATCTTAGATCTGTTTTACGGCAGAGTTAGTATTAGCTAGTAGATTAATATTAGTAGTAGTAAAGGGCGGTTTCTTAGCTATTTCGGCTACTTTAGCTAGATCTTAATCTTTAGCTAGCTCTTAATCTTTAGCTTTATCTTTGCCTTTAGCGTTCGTTAAATCTATAAGTAGATTAGTTAGTAGGCACGGTTTAGTTAGTAGTAACTGTATCCTATTATCTAATACTTCTAATACAAAACCTCCTTCGTTAAATCTTACGTTCGATAATCTAACAATCTTATAAGCTCTTAAGGGCACGTAACAACGGTATATTTAGTGGCCTTTAAAACTAAGAAGGATCCTCTTTTTAGTACACTTATCAAACTTCCCTAACTTAACCTGTCTCTAATCTAGGATATAAACATATACCTTATAGCTAAGTACCTGTAGGTAGGCTATAGACGGCTTGTTGTCTTAATTTAGGTATAGCTAATCTATAAAGGCTTAATATAGGGTTTTGCCCTTAACAGCTAACGTAGCTGTTCTATTAACAACATAAATTGTCCTTTCTAGTAACTCTAGCTACAGCTCTTTAGGGACGTTCTAGTTAATTATAGTAGATTATAGCCGTCTAGCTATAATCTTGTTTACGATCTCGGACACGCCTAGTTACTTAGAGGTATATAGTATAGTCTCTTTAACTTAAATCCCTTTTGCCTTATAGACGCTAGTTAACGTAATACTACTGTATTTGTTACCGCTGTTAACTGTTAATATAAGGATCTTAAAGGGGGTAAACTAACGCTCTGTTATGTTAATAAAGCCGAGGATCTTATCATAAGCCTCCCCTTTCTTCTTATAAGGATATCCCTATCTAGCACGCGTAGCTACATCTATTATAATAGTAGTATAGCGCTTACTATAGAATCTAATTAGAGTAACCTCTACTACGTCTATACTTACCTCTTAGAGTATAACGGTAGGCTAGTGTTTAATAGAGCGTCTAACTAAGCGTAGTAACTTAGACAGCTCGTAAGGCTTATATAAAACTATAACGCTAAGATCTGTATCTATAGGTTTGTCTATAATCTATATACTAGTAGTAATCTCTACGGTTTTTTAGACGTTATTAAAGCCTAAGTGCCCTAATCTCTTGTACTATAGTTTAATACCTAGCTTGCCCTATTAAAGAGTAGCTAGTAGCGCCGTAATATAACAGCTAGGCACGTCTAACTATAGATATACCCTTATATCGTCGACCTTATAGAGTACAAGCGTCTCTCTTTCTCTATCTAGAAAGGCTCTTTTAGTAATAGATCTGCCGTAGCGTAAGAGCTTGACTCTTAATAAGAGGTTAATAAAAAAGGTTAGAATAAATAGAACTCCTTCTAGCCGTAGTTTACGATACTAATCGCCCCTTACCTTAGCCTTTAGAACGATATTACTATAACCCTCTAGTTAGATTAACCTAGCGCCTATTAGAACAGGCTACAACTACTTAGTTACCTTAAAACTATAGTAGATCGACTTATTATTGTATATATAGTAAGTTACCCTTATATTAGGGCACTAATTCCCTTTCTAGAACTCTTTTTAAGTAGCTAACCTAAGTGCTACCTTTAACGCCCTTAGGCCTAGCGCGCTATTAATCTGCGGCTACTAATTACCTACTGTATAGAGTAATATAGCGCCCTGTAAAGACTCCTTTTAGTCCTTCCTTTTCGGACGCTTTTCTAGGAACGTAGTCTAACAGTCGTCTTTATCCTTTATAACATAAAGCTTACTACAGTAGTAGCACTACTTCCTCTTAAGCTTCTTCTTATCCTTATCCTTACCCTTACCCTTCCCTTTATCCTTGTTATCCGGCTTACTACTATATAGTAATACTAATAATAGTACTAATCCGCTATCCTTTGCCTAAGCTTTGTCTCTAATCTCTATAATTAACGTGTCGAGTAATAAGGTACTCTTTTTGCCGCTCTTTTACAGGTTTTAAAGGGATTAGTGTCTCTTAGCCTATTAAGGGAAGGCTTTTGTAAGTCGATTAATAAAGATAATAGCGTACAGGTAGTCGCTCTTAGGCACTACATCTAGTTAAGTAGCTCGTTTAAGTCGAGTTATAAAGGCGTTAATAAACTTCTTTACATTATTATAATCCTTATACCTAAGTAGCTAGAACTTATCTGCCGCTTAGTACTATTAAGTAAACCCTTTACCCTTATAGTAATTAGCTAGCTTAGTCTACATAGCCTCTACTAAGTCTACTTTCGCTATAAGATTAAGTACAAGAACTAACAAGATGTTCTCCTTAATAACCCGGCGCGTTACTACGTTACTAGCTCTTTATTCGTTATATTAGTCCTGCTCCTTCTTTGTAGCCTTAGTATCACTATATTTAACAGCCTTTAGTATAGGGTAGTTCTTAGATATGTATCTATTAAGTCTATTAGCTTCTAATATGTCGAACACATCTAACTTCTAAGTATAGTAGTTACTCTCGCCTTATAGCCTCTTACTACTCGCGAGTACGGTTAATAAGTTAGACATCGTGATTAGTCTAAGGGTTCTATAGATATAGCTGTTATCTCCTTCTCTTAACTCTGTAATCTAGTCTAGAGCTCTAGTTCGATCTTCGACTGGCGCGCTATAATCAAAAACAGGCCTTACCGTAACGAATCTTACGATTAATAGATAGATCGAATCCGAATTTAGTAATAGAGGAGATCGAATAGTATTGCTACTATATTACACGGGATATTCGATCTATTGTCGTATTACAGGAACTAATGAATTAAATTAACTAAGTAAAGTAATTATATAGAGTGCCTATATAGTAATAGTAAACAACTAACTTTTTAGCGGGTTACTAACCCCGATTAGGTTAGACTAGGGCCTCCGGAGTATCCTAGTCCCGTGACTACTAACCCCACGTAATAAGGCCAGTGGTTTCTTGTAACACTGTTAATAGCTAGATACGTTTTTATTTTTAATTTTTTGATCTATTTATTTATTAGCCGCGCCCGGTACATCATACTGTGGAGGTAATTGCAAATACCGTTGCCCGATCAAATTCCTTGGTGCATCTCCCAAAATCCTCACAGATGCAACATTACGGATCACCCGAAGTCCTGGATCATCCCCCTTGTCCAGCTGGACGCGATGGGAAGGTCGGTTGTGACCTCGACGGCGCGTGGACTCCCTCATTGGCTTCCTCCACTCCGGCATTCAAGAGCGTTTCGGTCCGCAGACCTTATTGTTGCGGGGAGGATCAGTTCGTACCCCTGAACTGACCAATGCTGTATGTATTTACACCTCGTGCATCTCCAAAGCTGGAGATGCTTGAACGGCGCTCCCACGGCGATAATGTCCCATTCTGGCCTCCTTCCTCCATTCGTTAGCCATGTCTGGGAGGCTGGGAGGTCAGCCTTCATCCCAGCCGGGAACATTGAACATAAACAAGTGCTCTACGGCTCTTGATCTGGAGCTTGAGCTTCGTCTTGACCAGTGCAAGTTCTGCTCCCGATAGCACTGACCCGGCATCGACTTCTTTCATCTTTGTTTTCCCGCCGACCCAGAATCAAGATGAAGGTCTGGAATGCTGTATATACCGGTCTGGCTATCGCAGGTTCTTTGTCATGTGCAGCCGCCGTTGAGAAGAAAGATCTCGCGAGCGAAATATGGGCGGACATCGAATCTGCAACTACTTGCGCAGCTTGTGATGTGAGTGCCGGTCATTCTATGCATGTCTTCCTTTTTTTGGCTTTATTCTATCTGCTCAGTGCTTTGCTTGTCTTTGTCTTTTGTTTTTATAGGTGCATTGAATGAATTCCGGCACTTTTCAGCCTGCTAGTTTATACATCTGCTTTGGTGCACATTAGAGAGCTATTGGTCTTTCTATCTAGCTGTATCTCTAGACACTCCTACAGTCCCTTGCTGATTCGCCTGGTAGGCTGTCTTAGAAATCCTGAAGGGCCTGGCTGATTTAGGTGATGCGGCTTTCGTCGACACCATTACAGAAATATGCATTCTTGCCAAGGTAAACGACGACGATGGCTAAATGAAATCGAATCGTTCAACTTACTCCTGATCTAGGCCGAAGACTCTGATGTCTGCACTGGTGCAGTTGGCCTCGAAGGGCCCATTATTGCTCAAAGCTTGAGGGAGATGACCATATCTTCGCACACATCCCAGCTGTTCTGCATCACGTTCCTGGGTCTTTGCCCCTATCCCGACGTTACTCCTTACAATGTCACCTTTCCCTCACCTAAGCCTTCAACGACGCGACCCGCCGTCAGTGGCCAATCACCCATTCAGGTCGTCCATTTCAGTGACATTCATGTAGACCGTGAGTTTTTGCGCCTTGTTTCCAAATCACTTGTTAATTCCAAGTAGCATTTTACGAGACGGGATCCAATTACAATTGCACCAAACCCATTTGCTGCAGACCATACACTCCGGATGATGCTCCAGGTAACACTAGCTATCCAGCGGGCCCGTATGGGAATACAAAATGCGATGCGCCACTGAGCCTCGAGGAGAGCATGTATGCTGCTATCAAGAGTATTGCCCCCAACGCCGCCCTCACTATCTTCACCGGCGATATTGTGGATCGCGGCGTCTGGGAGGTAAATGAGACACAAAACTTGAAAGATATCAACGATGCTTACAGCCGAATGTCGGGCTTGACCCAAGTATATTCCACTGCTGGTAATCACGAAGCTTCTCCTGTCAATGCGTTTCCACCGACAGCACTCAACTCTTCGGTGAGTGACCAGTGGTTGTACAATGCGCTTTCGTCAAACTGGGAAACTTCCATTGGGTCCAGCGCAGCTCAGGAAGAACTGAACTTTGGTGCTTACTCCACCAAATTTCCGGGAGGAAACTTGCGCGTGATATCCCTCAACACGAATCTATATTACAAGGAGAACTTTTGGCTGTATGAGAAGACAATGGAAACTGATCCAAGCGGACAACTGGCATGGCTAGTCAACGAGCTACAGTCAGCTGAGGACAATGGTGAAAGAGTATACATCATAGGTCACATGCCAATGGGATTGAGTGATGCATTCCGTGATGGGTCGAACTATTCCGACCAGATTGTGAATCGTTACTCCGCGACGATTGCTGCCCTGTTTTTTGGTAGGTCCTTTTATCGTTCATCTTCTCTTTTTCGAGCCATATTCTTTCTCACGACTTAAATAGGACATACACACCAGGATCAATTTCAGATCGCCTATAGTAATTACACGGACCAAACCTATCAAAACGCTGTCGAAGTCACCTACATAGGTCCTGCAATGACTCCCTCCTCTGGTCCCGCAGCTTTTCGAGTCTATACTGTGGATCCCGTAACCTTCGGAGTTCTGGATATAACTACTTACATTGCGAATATATCATCTCCCGATTATCAAACCGATGGACCGGTTTGGGAGGAGTACTACTCAGCAAAAGCTGCATATGGCCCCCTCGTGGACCCCCCACTCACAGATCCTGCAGCTGAATTAACGCCCGCATTCTGGCATAACGTGACGACCGTCTTCGAGAGCAACAATGACACATTCCAGCAATATTACGCACGCAAGAGCAGAGGCTGGAATGTCGGCTCATGCGATGGCACCTGCCAGACGAGCGAGATATGCCAGCTACGGGCTGCCGCTGCAGAGTACAACTGCGCTGTTATCAAGCCTGGGATCTCGTTCCGCAAGAGAGACGAAGGTTTAGAGCGTTCACTTGGCCATGTCGAGGAGAACGTCTGTGAGGGTTCTCGGGCAAGGCCAATCATTGCAAGACTGGCGGCTAGAGATGGATTGCTTGAGGATGCACTGCGAAAGGCCCGAAGAAAGTAGAGAACTTGGAGGTTTGGCCATTTGACTGGTCTGAAGTTGCCAGAATTAGGGAAATGGCATGCATTCTCTGTATGCCAGTCTGCGCTCAAGACCATTCCTAGTGCGCTGATATACGCTCCTGACTGAAGATGTACATAACCACGGTGGACCCGAGGTACCCTTTACTTCATGACAATAATATCGAGTAGTTCTAATATAACATTCCAAGAATTAAAATTAGTATGCATCCTACATTGTGTGCAGTAATCGGAGAGTAAGTCCCCTTAGATAAGTCAAGGTAAAAAGGAAATTCAAAAGCAGGTTGAGGGGCGAATTTGTTGAGTCGTTAAATGCTATGCTGCTTCTATCTGGGGGATTATCAATGACGCCTCTTGTAGGTACATGGCAATACTTTCTTACCAACATCAAATAAACTCGACATAGGAGTTTGATCGACTTTATACATTATCCTCTAATAAACATACGACGTGAACATCGCGCGAGATTCGGTCGTGCGGATCAAGAACCCCATTTGTTTGATCAGAATACAAACGCGACGCTGCCCCCCCCTGTCACCTACGAAATCTGGGGAAGTTCTAAACCAGGGCCGCCGCATTCATAATCAACGACATTGAAGAACCCATTATTCAAGTACAAAGCTTCAAACAAAATGGCAACGCCACGTCTTTCAGCCTCCCTTCTCCTACGGGCTTCTCGATCATCTATTCCCTGCGCCGCTCGACAATTCAGAGCTCTACCTTCTCGTGCCGCACGAGTCGTCTTGCCTGCTGTCAAGCAGCAGCCCTCTTATTCTCGGTTCTACTCGCAGGAATCGCCGGCTGCTAGCAAGATCTACGCTTTTGACGATGTATGTATATATATCGTCCCTTCTCACCTCCCCTTCCAACCCTCTCTCTCCCCGAGGTCAAAGCAACTGAACTAATCATTCCACCCAAGGTGAAAGCCTTAGTAGAGAAGCCCGACCCGAACCGGATCCTGATCGATACCCGCGAGCCCGCCGAGCTGCAAGCCACGGGCACGATCCCTGGCGCGCTGAATATCCCCATCACGTCGCAGCCGGATTCGTTCTTCATCACGGCCGAGGAGTTCGAGGATCGCTTTGGTTTCGATAGGCCCGGGAAGGATCAGGAGGTGGTGTTTTATTGTAAGGCGGGCGTGAGGAGTAGAGCGGCCGCCGAGTTGGCGAAGCAGGCGGGCTGGGGGAAGGTCGGAGAGTATCAGGGAAGTTGGTTGGATTGGGAGAAGAATGGGGGGGTTAAGGAAAATGGGAGGTGAGGAGGGTTATAATGATAAAGGAAGGCTCTGAGAGGTATATTACGCAAATTGCAAGTGAGTTGCTTTGCGGAATCCACATCGATTCAGGGAGCAAGCACGTCAGATACAGGGAGCAACCTACAAATACCTAACCAACAATGCAATGCCGGTATTTAGTGTAAAAAAGGATCATCATCATTGTACATCTGGCCCAGAAAGTCTAAACCTGCCCTTGTGAGAACTGAACTCCTGCTATCTTACAAATGTTTTAGAACACCAAGAACTTCGCCGGGTCTTCTGCCTTGGTGGGGTCTTTCTTTACGGGGCTTCCGTGTGCAAAGAATAGTACCTTGATTGTAATGGCCAAGCCCGCATGAAGACAAACCACCAGGATCAGCAACACCTTGCTCGTCTGCTTATCCGTAGCGGCCAAGACTGGGTACAGATTTCTTAATAAGAAGGTTACACTGAGACCAAACCCGACTCCTACGAACACCCAGTTCAGGATCGTAATCGGGGACCAAGAGATCAGTGCAACGGGAATCCAAATGAGGTTGGCGTAGCCATAAAGGGCCCAACACTCCAGGACATTTGCGGATTCGCTGCCGAAGTATTTGAGAGCGAGGAAGAGAGTGACAGGAATGACGAGGGTATAGCCGTAGATGAGACCAGCGGCACCTGTGTTGAAGATATCAGCGCCGCGTCATTATTCCACCAGCTAGGAGTCATACCACTCAGAAGCTTGAAATCATATGCAAACCGTGCCTTCCCCGTCTCAGCTAAATACTGACTGATGGTCCCGCCTAGAAAGAGAATAAAGACAACTGTGGTGGCAATCCAGAACGGGCCATAGAGATCCGGGTTGCCCTCTAGGACATCAAGGAAGTTTGCCCGTGGGTATAATGCCGCCCAGCATCTTGACAGCACCGAACTAGTATCGACATCGAAGAATTGGGCGTAGAAAGATAAGCTCCAGAGGAAACGCTTGGAGGAGCCGCTGCCTGTCGTCGCAGGAGGAGGAAGGCCTGGTGAGGCGCCAGGTACTTTGCGAGACGACGAGGAAGCATCGGCATTGAAGTTCGAGGAGTGAAATTCAAGGTCTTCTTGAAGATCAGTATGTCCAAGGTCACCCTGAAGTTGAGTTAGCTGAGTGAGCCCAGACGATACGCGCGCGGCGGAGGGATGTGCTGAGGAGACATGCAACGGGGAACGCACCTCGTCGTCAACATCGACTACCACATCATAACCAGCTCCGGACATTTTGGCGTTAATTGAATGGGTTCCTGGCAGAGTTGGTTCTTTACATGCCGTGGTATTCGAGGTCGTGTCTGAAGCTTCGGATAGCGAATCTGTACAGTACAGAGCACCTAATCGGCACTCGAATACGGAATACGGAATACGGAATACGGAATACGGAATACGAAATACGCGTTTCACTTATATAATCAGTAATGCCCCACCAAGGGGAGAATAGCACGTGATGCACCGACCTCGCGTCGCGTATCTCATCGACACGAAGGATAGGATAGGGGAGACTCGAAGACTTGAAGTCAATATAAACATAACATCCCCTCCCACAGCATGTCTCGAGCCAGCACCTCATCTGCGCGACCTCTGTCTCTCACGGAGGAGCTGGAGAAACTTGAGCAGTCAATTACCCTGACGCTTCAAGGTCCGTCCTGTCTTGCTTGATCTCTCCGCTACCAGCCCTTGTCTAACCCATTTGTAGAAATCGACCACAATTTTAGTCGCGCGCACCGCATCGTGACCTCAAGCATCTTGCCTATTGTTGAGCAGTATGCCGAGCATTCCAAGGCGGTGTGGGAAGGATCAAAAGTTGGTTGAACCAAGACATTTGTTCAACCCAGCAGAGGCTAACTGAGGGGCTAGTTCTGGAAACAATTCTTCGAAGCCAGTGCCAATGTCTCCTTGTCGGGGGTAGAGGAGCGAGACGAGGAGGATGAGGCCTCGTACGCGCAGTCGCATGATGAAGCGAGTACCTATGCCACATCTACTACATCGCACCCAGGAGATGAGACTCTCGCGGCTGCTGACGGGGAGGGGCATGAGTCCTATATTGACGATTCTCTCTTGGACAATCCCGATATCAGTGGCAGCACCCCTCGACCACCTCGGCCAAAGAGCTGGACGGAAGGCAAGCATAAATTTGCCGACTACTCTTCACCGTACGAGGCCTTGAAGCAGGAATTAAAGGGTGGTTCGGAAGGTGACGAGGAAGACGAGCATATCGCCCCAACAACCCCAGGCCCTCAATCGAGGCTCCCAGACATGTCAATGACGCCTAAATCATCACCGTTTGACCCAACAACCTATCTTCAATCTGCTTCACACCGCGCAGCAGATACACTCCTGTTGCACCGTGTTCTGGACAAGAATTACCGGGTGCAAGCCACACCACATAGTACCCGAAAGGTGGATAAAACTCCGGCGAAACAATCCACATGGCGGGACACATCATCACCAATGTCATCTCCGCCAGTTGCAGCCCCGCAATTACACGCCGACATCTTCAGCTCACCCATCCGGCAGCAATATAACCAGCCCAGCGCCCCTCGCACTCCTGGAATCAGCGTGCAAACACCTGCCAAAGGAAAGGGCAGAGAGGCCGCGAAGCCCGCCAAGAAGGATGAGATTACCTGGGAGAGTGACAGCGATGAGGATGCCGAGGGGGTTTACAGAGAACTTGGAATGAGCCCGCCCAAGACAATCCAATTTTCACTGCCCCAGTCTAGATTACTACAAACGCCTGGTGAGTTTGTTGTCTCCGATAATAACTAGAGAGACTAATACAGTTCACAGCACGAGAAGCCAGTAAGCAGATCGTCCAAGATCTGCTTGCGACGGCAGGGGCAGGATTCGACGACGACACGGAAGGACTAGACAGTCCTAGCATGGTTGCAATGAAGGATAGTTTGGATGATAGTTTCTAGGAATCTGATTAATTCCTTGCAAGTCCTGCATAAGAGCGCGATCCCGAAAGCTTTTGATACCCGCCAAAGACATCCCAAGTGGACTTTTCCAGCGCACCTTCGATTCACACCCAGAACTCCAACCCTAGACGAATCCCAAAGAACGATGGATGTGATATGAGCTATCCCACCACACTGCGTACCACGTACCACGTACCCCTCCCCGTCCTCAAAACAGCACCTCCCAAACCATTAAATCCATTCGCAGCATGCCCCCTCATTTCCCCCTTTAAACACCACTCTTCCCATCCACATTCCCATTCTCCTTCTCCTCCCCACCATCATCACTCCCCTCTTTCCCTTCTTCTTTCGCCCTGGAAAAGATAGGTTTAACGCTCTTTCTTAACAACGACACCGTAGATGAGAATGTGGATGTGCTGGTCGTGGATAAGGTTTCTGGATCTTTCATAGATTTGGAGGGCGTGATGGGTTTAGAGGCTTTGAGTTTTGGTGATGCGGGGTGGAACAGTGTGGGGGGTTTGTCGTTGGGGAATCCTGGGGGTGGGTGTTAGAGAGGAGGAGGGCTAAATTTGTATTTTTTTTTGGTTGGGGGGGGGGGGACGTACGACTTTGAGGGAAGGCGGGAAATCCTGGAGGCATTTTTCTCTCTTTCTTTCTTTTGTGGATGGATGGATGGATAAGGTGAAGTAATTGCTGAGGAATAGATAGGTAGGAGCGAGATTGAAGATGAGATGATGGTATAGGAAGTTTAAATATTGTCAATTGAAAACCTTCTTTCCTTTCCTTTCTTTCTTTGTGTATTTATTTCTTTGTTTGGTCTCTCTTCCCGGATTCAGAAACTCAAGCACGTTCATATATAGGTATATACGAGAAAAGAAGGGGGTTAAAGGGGGGGCGGGGGGGGGGAGCGTGATTGAGAAGATGATCAATCATGATATAAAAAAAAACACCCAAAAAGAAAAAGCCAAAAAGCCACTCTGAGAAAGAATCATCTTAATCACCTCACTCTCACCGCAATTCCAAACAAACATCCAGACCCCCCCTAAAAAAAACCTTACCCCGTACCACCCCGTATGACTCCTTCCCCCACGTTCGGTTCGCGTTCCCTACTTACTTAGTCTTGTCATCCGGGTTTTCTGTCATTCCGCCTCGTAAATAAATAAAAATGTGCTGCCTGCCTGTCTGCTTGCTTAGTATTGGTAAGGTATGGCGTAGGTAGGTAGAACTTGTCATTCGAGGTCATTCATTTCAGTCTAACGAAGGGGAAGGGCGTGGGAAAGTAAGGTAAGGTAGGTAGCCCCATGATGAATGAGAAGGGTTATGGGTTTGGGGAACAGGGGAGGGGAATTAGAGAGGATGGGATAGGATGGGGTAATTCGTGGGCTTTTTCACTTAAGGTACGCGTAAGGTAAGCTAGGGTAGGTAGGTTTCACAGGTCTGAGGTGCATTTGCTATTACCTACTGATGGATTGCTAAGGTGTTGCGAATTGGTAAGAAGGTGTGTTACGACTGTGATTAAGGCATCAGGTTTGTAGTACGTGATGATTATACGGTTGCCTATTGATAGATAGGCTAGTCATCATGTAAGACGTCGTCAACACTGAGTAGAGCGTACTTTTGTTTGCAAATCAACTTTCTATTCCTATTCATCTACCCGGTTCTCATACCCAGGAAATTCCAAAGGGGGTTCTTTGCTCAATCGCGTGGTGCCTGGATTAGACAAACGTCAAATCATGCCAGGCACAGGCAGCCTTCTGAAGCCATCCGGGCTGTCGTCAGCAGCACGCGTTGTTGCATTTTGAAGATAGAGCGATCAGAACGACTCTTAACGACGGGGACCTGGACCCCTACACTAGAAAGAATTTCACTACAAGGTCAATATTATTATTCATCGCAAGCCCACTCCACAATAGCGGAACCTGATCATTTCCTCAACGCCACAAGGGAAAAAAAGAACCCCCTCTATCCGCAAATGCGTGGGACATGCAACATGTGCTGGGCACTAGCTTCCATGCTGTTCAATGCCTCACGCCGCCAACTATACACACGATGCGGCAGTACGCTTCATTCCCGCTTTGTGAATGTCAACGGGCAGTCATCCTATACTATATCAGTAAGAGCTCCCAGGGGAATCAAGCCAATTCTGCTTACCATAGGGAAAATCGTTGCGAAGACCTTGATCTCCTCTGAGCGAGGGGTTGGGTGATGGACCCAGTCAAGATGCATCGAAGCCTTTCCAATCATGAGAGCCAGGTTGTATTGCGCATACACTTGACCGAGACAATAGTGAGGGCCGGTTCCAAAGACGAGGAAATTCTTCGCTCCCTTGGTCTCTGCATCACCGCTGTAATACCGCTCAGGATCATAGGTGTCAGGGTTGGTGTATACTTCTGGGTCACGAAGTGCCGGGTATACAGAGGGAATGATCATGGCGCCTGGAAGTTGATTAGCCACAAGTTATGGATCGGATTGGGTCACTTACCTTTAGGGACAGTATAGGTATCGGAGATCGGGAACGGTTTCTTGGCAAGATATGGCACCATAATGACCGGAGGTCTGTATCTCAACAATTCCTTAACAGCAGCGCGAGTATAAGTCATTCCATCAAGCATGTCCATGGAGATTGGCTTGTCTTTATCACCGCCACGAATTCGCAGGTTTTCCTCGCGGATCCTGTCGAGAACGTCCGGGCGTTGAGCCATGGTTTGGAACAGCCAAGTTGCAGCACTGCTTGTAGCATCTTGCGAAGCGAATAAGAACGTGAAGATGGTCTGAGAGATCTCGTAGTCATTGAATTCACGGAGCAGTGGTGATGGCTTTTCAATTCCATCCATGGGAAGTCCCTTCTCCTGGCGCTCACGGTACGCAGCGGAATCAAGTTGGGCCTTCACCCAGCCATCCATGATACAGGTAATGCTACCTCCAGCAGCCATTCGAACCTTGCTCTTGGCAGCGCACTTAGAGAATTCCTCCAAAACCATGTCGGCAGCCTTCTTGCCATACCAAGTCTTAGTGTAGGGAAGGATAATTGGGAAATTGACCAATTCCAAGGCTGCCGTAATAAGGTAGTAGTCATCGGCGATCTTCTTGACGGCTTCATCGGAAATATAGTGACCAACAAAGGTTCGGCACGAGACGGCGCACATGAGTTCTCGGAATTCCGGCATAAAAGGAACGGGTTTGCCTTGAGCATCTTTCGTGACCTTGAGGAATTTTTCGAAGTATACATTGTAGACTTCCTCCTGACCGGGTAGATATGATTCCAGCGCTTCGCGAGTGAACAAGCGATTGAGGCCTTTCCGGAAGTCGACATGCGCCTTGCCATCAAGGAAGACCCAGTTGTCCGCTCCTAGAAGTTTGGGCGCCACATCGACGACGCATGGCTTGACGTGAGTTGGGGAATTGAAGACTTTTCGAGACATATCACGGGAAGCGGCAATGATAACGAACCTGGTAGGGAGTTAGCAGTCTGCGAGTGAGAAAGACAATCTAGTACTTACTTGTGGAAAACCGACACGCAACTGAGCTCGCCACTGTCCCATTTCGCCTTGTATTCATGCCATTTCGGGTCCATCGATTGAAGGAAGGGCCCGATGAAAGGAGCTTTCCATGCAGGGCCGACAATTGATCCCTTCTGCCATATGTAACTAACTGCGGAATGGTGAGCGCGGCTCGGCGGGCGCATCCCTATGCCACTTACATTGATCGTACGCGACCAAGACAAGGAGGATGGTGAGAGCAATGGTCCATCCGCTGAGTTCGGATAACTTGGCCAGGAGGCCGTGGATCTGCGGATTGCCGACAATCTGCGCGTACTTCGCGTCTGCCACGGGCGAGGCAAAGCTGATGTTCTGGGCAGCCATGTCGGGCGAGTGATGTTGAGGCGACAAGAGGGTTGGAGAGAAAGGGAAAAGGAAAAGGAAACGAAGGAAAAGAGAGAGAGGCCAGTGGTGTGATGGGGGGAGATTATTATCATTATCACCAGGTACTGTACCTCTTTTCCTCCTATTATTATGAATTACCTTACCTATCTAGGAAAGGTGCATTGCCGGGCGACGGGCCTCCTTATTTTACCTTACCTATCTCGGTTAGACCGCTACTAAAGTCACCCCTTGATGTCACGTGGATAGCTTACACGTGACTAGGGGTCCCCCTTGCCTCCCGTCCGCGTGGGTAAGGGTAACGTCAGGTAAAGCCATATCCGTTTCAAAGTCTGGATGATGTGGTCATGCTTTTCTCTTCTCGTCTGTTAGTGGATTTAGAGGCAACTAGGACATCTCACCGGAGAAAGGGGAAAAAGGGGGAATGTTGGTTAGATTCGCTTACATGAAGACTACTGTGCTGGACCTGAGGTAACAAAGATATGTGAAGGTAGTCTCTTACATAGCAGTATGGAGTAATATATCTTTTTCACTGAATATCGCTCCGACTATCACCATTACTATGCACCCTATTACGACGCACCTACCATCCCCTCCAACAATTTCAACAACCCGTACGCCCCCGGATCCGGCACACCTCTCGTAGCAGCTTCATCCAAGTAACTCGATCTTCCCAATTTAGCCTCCAGTTTCTTCGTACTCTCCACTCCCTTTTCCGCCTCCAGTAACGCCTTCTTTGCATCCCCCGTCTCCTTCAACGTCTCCACAAACGGGATCAGACAGTCGAGACACGTCCGATCTCCAAGTCTCGCCCGGGTGTATTTCAACAGGTGACTCAGGGCCCCTTGCAATGCATCGGGGAAGCTAGGCGCATCGTACAGGTTTTGAGCCAGCGAGGAAATGAAGATGCAGTACAGGGCTCCGGATGTGCCGCCCATGGTTACCTCGAGATCGTCGACAAGGTCGCTGAGAGTGGAAGGCAAGTTGGAGAGGTCCGCCTTGCCGACGAAGCTTAAGACCTGCTTCGCTCCATCTCTCAAGGTGTACCCGCAGTCGCCATCGCCTACTATTTCATCGTACTGAGTTATGGTGGGCTCATCTTTGATTAGCCTCTCGCATCCGGCTGTGATGACCTTCCGTGCTTGAGCATCGGGAACTTGGATATTGAATGCGCCAGCTTTTGGTTTGGTTGATGGTGCAGCTGTAGTAGCTTTTGAAAGCAAGTTTGACGGTCGTGGCTGAGCAGTTAGGAAGGTTGCGGGTACTGCGCAGAGAGAGATAGCCCATCCCCGGGCTTGAGACTGGTTGTTGAGAATCGTCGACTGGGTGATGTAGGAAGGTAGGTTCTTCTGGGCTAGAAGTTCTTAGAATTTCTGTCAAACAGCCCGACTTATCCTTATACTTACAGAAATATATTGAGATCTCGTGAGCCAGAATATTGCTCTCGAGATTTGAAAGGCCATTGATATCCGAATAATGAACGGAATATACAAAGTTTGTCCCCAATGATGTCTCCGGGGTCAAAAGAAGGCCAAGGTCTTTCTCAATCGCCGTATTCACCGACTCAAATCCAGCAGTATCGACACCATGAATAACCGAAGGTCTGTTTCCGGTTTTATCTTTGTGGAACGTTGATGTCGTTGCGGCAGCGGCTTTCATAAAATATTCGAGAATGGTGCTGGTTTTCTCAAATGATGCCCTGCGAGACTTTTAGATTCCATCGCCGTACGGATATGGACTCATCTTACTTTGTTTCGCCATTTGAGGACAACAGCAAGGACAAAATGTGATCCAATCTCAGCTCTCCAACTACTGTTGCCTCCACAGCCCTCTCAGAAACCACTCTCAGAGTTTGCTGCGAACCCGTTCTCACAAGCACCAGCCCGTTCTCGATAGGGAAGCCATTCTCGTTGAGCAAGCTTGCAATTTCTTCTGCTGATGCACCCGGCTTCTCACCCTGTTGCGTTGTGAAAGCCGACAGATGCGAGTCGCTCAGTATCCTGCTTGAGAGATTGCCCGCACTCCCAATTGCTGCAATCAACACGTTCTTGCTGTGAGCAAGCGCAGTATCTATAATGACCGTCTGGCCACTCGCTAGCTCGACAGCTTTGACTGATGGTCGGATCAAAGGAAATAATCGGGCCCATCTGTTGGAATCTTCGAGTTGCAGGGCGGCGGTCGGGTAAGGCAATGTTGGCTCAATGACGAGGGACATGATCAGAGCGACGTGGTGGTAGGATTTGGTGATGGCTCGACTTGGACGATGGACAAGAGGGAGAAGAAGGAGAAGAAGAGGAAAAGGGCAAGGCAAGAAAAGAAAAAAACGACAAAATGATTAATAAATAAATGATTAAATCAATCAATCAAATCAGTTAAATAGAAACACATAACCTTTAACCATGAGGGAAGACTGGAGCATCCCCTCTTCCAAGGAACCGGATAGCCCAAATAGGCAATCCGGACGACCGTTGCGGGGAGGGCGCTGGTCCCACGAGTCGAGAAGAGAACTTTTGCTGTTTTTACTTTTCTTTTCCTTTCGTCCTTTCGTCCTTTCTTCTCTTTCTCCATCTCTCTTTTGCTCTTCGTCCTTTTTCCTGTGAAGAGTATATCTTCATATTTGCCAGCGACGTTCGTTTCGTCTCGTCCCCTTCTGCCAGCCTTACCCCGCGAACATCCCCCCTAGCGTACCCCACATTCCCGCCCGCGCAACATGACAGCTGCAATACAGACACAACCACCAGCACCGAAGGAGACATTTCACTTCATCAACGCCCCCGCCGATGCAATCAACGAGGCCGCACATGGCCTCACCGAACACCATCCAACCCTCTCCTACGCACCGGCACATAAGATCGTGTACCGCAGCGATCTCGACACCTTCCGGCGAGACCATGTAACAACCATTGGATTTGCCGGCGGCGGGCAGTGAGCTCCCTTCCTTTCTTTGATTTCCGGTCTCGCGATACTGATGCAGAGGGATATGCAGTGAGCCGATGTTCTCCGGGTTCGTGGGCCCTTCCTATCTCTCCTGTGCCGTGTCAGGGAATATCTTCGCGTCTCCGACAGCAGCGCAGATATTTGAAGCGATACGGCTCTGTCAACCGCTGGACTCGCCTTCCAGGGGAACTTTGATCGTGTGTGGGAATTATACGGGTGATATTCTGAATGCGGGCTTGGCTATCACGAGAGCCACGGCGGCGGGGTACAAGGTCAGATTCATCCCAGTAGGGGACGACGTTGCAGTGGGGAGGAAAAAGGGCGGCAAGGTGGGAAGACGGGGGCTGAGTGCACATGTAGTTGGATTGAAGATCGCGTGTGCTTTGGCAGACCAAGGGGAGAGCCTTGAAAAGGTCGGCGATGTGATGGAATACATTGCCGCCAATTCGGGGACCATCGCCGTGGCCTTTGACCGGTGAGCGTCTTTACATATATTGATGTAATCAAAACACTAACGGAATCAAGGGTTGCACTGCCCAATAGCGTCGTCACTGAAATCCAGACACTCCCTCCAGCAACCATCGAGCTCGGGTTGGGTTGTCATGGCGAGCCAGGCCTGCGCAAGATATCGCCGGTCCCTAGCCCAGAGGCTCTCACTGAAGAGATGATAAATCTTCTAGTAGATACATCTGACACCGATCGTGGTTTCATCCCGTTTTCCGGTACTGGAGTGGACGAAGTCGTTCTTCTCGTCAATAGTTCTGGAAGTACTTCCGACAAGGTCCTTGCTCGATTCGCTGAACTAGCCATTGCGGAGCTAGAGAGACGGGGCATTCGCGTGAAAAGAATGATATTGGGACCAATGGTCACTAGCTTGAAGCAGAGCGGGTTTGGATTTACGCTCTGGAGGCTACCAAACACAGACGAGAAAGGTGTGCTTAGTAGAGACGAGGCATTGACATGTTGGGATAGACGCGTGGATGTGGTTGCTTGGAGGCAGTAAGGTGCATTTGTAATTTTATTAAATGGATCAACACTGGAATAGGAAAAGAATCCAGGATCACGGACTTCACTATATCCAATCAGAGCATCTATCTGCAGGTTCCAAATAAATTAAAATCTGGGGAGTGCGATGTTAAAGACGGATCAGCGCGCTGGGGCTTCCCCTGAAGCGCTGTCAAAGTAACAGGGGAGCAGAAATATCGCTATCCTCACCTGTACAGGCAAAATGCTCAAACTTCCGCCAGACACCTGAATAAGAGGTGCGAGTAGAGGGGCGTGGTCAGGAACCACAATGCCATAGCAAGGGAATAATGGGCGTGGGGAAGGAGGTAGCACTATTAGTACGTATTCACTGACAAGGCATCGCGTATTGGTACCTTTTGACTAGAATCCAGGGCATTTCGACGTGCTCGGGGAATCTTATAAATTGACTTGCATATACCTAATAACAACGCCCGAAAGAAAATGGTTGAGAAGGAAGGAGCAGCTTGCAAGCTATCAGGTCCCTGGATCAAAATAAATCACCTGCCCTCGTCGAAGAAAATGAGTCGTGCGTCTCCTGTGACCCAATCAGTCAGAGTCATGCCAATTAAGCAGTCCCGTCACGGCTTTTGCGGTAGCTGGCCTGCAAAATGCTTCATCAGCAACCCGTTATGCAGAGAAGTCCTTAGAGCGCTGTACCTCTTGCTCAACCTGTAGACCATCAACGACAGGTGCTAGCTCGCTCAGGATCTCGTATGCCTTCTTATGGTATTCAAGCTGTGCCGCGATCAAATCCGCGAGATTTCGGAGTGGTTCAGGAGTATCAAGGACCTGCCATTGTTAGCCGCGGGATGATGGCAGGGACGAAATGCATACATTCTTCATAACGCCAACAGCTTCCTCTGTTTGACCAACAAATTCATCTTCGGCCTGTTCAATCTCGACTCTGGCTTCCTCTGTCGCAGCCTCATCATCACGACCGTCTCCTCGTGCGCCTGCTTGTCCTGGCAGATGCCAGCCGGAGCCCTTGGATTTCGCTTTAGCGGCATCGAGCAACAGTCTCGAATTCTCGACACTCTTTCTAGCGCGAGTCGCGAACATTAGATTCGTATTTAACGTTGTACTCCACCCTGCGAGGAATCGGCTTTGTATCTGAGAATCCTGGGCGAGTCTGGCTTCGCCAACACGCTCGCTGGCTAGAGCATACTTCTCGAGGGCTGTTGCAAGAGGGTCTTCGCCAGCTCCCGAATGCTGTTGTTGAAGCAGCTGGCTGCTTGCCAAGCTAGCACGCGCAATGGCATGGCTGAAAGTTTTTGGTTGCGGCTTGGCTGATGGAGGAGCTGTGAGGGCAGCCTGAGCCTCGGCTGGCGATGTCGCAGTTGTAAGGAGGTGTACTTTCTCGCTGACAGTACGACTAAGGTCGCTGAAGGACTAGATTTCGATCAATCGGACTGGAGAGCTAGATTCGAGAACTCGTCTCACCTCTTTGATGTTATTCGGGTAGTCATACGCTTCGTTAGAATACTGAGATCTGAGTCGAATACCACGATTAGTTACGGTTTCCGTGACATTGACATTGTACTGGAGAATCCGGCTACTCACGTAACCTGCAGCATCTTCTGGTGAACCTGCTTCAAGGCATCGACCCTTTTCTCCAGCTCAATGTAATCCGGGGGAAGTTGAGTCTATTGACGACGAATCCATAAGTTATTCATCTTTCTGGGGCTGGTGGCACGCGCTGTCTAACCTTATCCTCGGCCTGGCCAAGCTGCTCCTTCACAAACTGTTGCGTACGCGCCGCAAAAGGAGTGAAAGAGGCCCTGTGCAATCCAATCAGCATCCAATTCAGACAAGGCTTCTAAGGTAACGAGGAGACTAGGCGATGCTTGCATCCCCGATAGTTGTACTAGAAAACGTACGTGAAATTCTTGCCAAACGCTGAAACTTTGTCCATGATGGCGTGGGTTGAGATGATTGTGTTGGTGGATGGGCTGTAGGTAAGGTGAGGTATGGTATCTTACATCCCGTAGCAGAGCAATCCAGCCAGAATGCCAAACTCGCTTGCGCATGGATGAGAATCATTCACGTGATGACGATGACAACCCCTTTAGTTACTTTAAAACAAGTCCCAGACTTGATGATATAACAATATCAATGGCAACGTCTTCTCTTTGTAGGTATAAGGTTTGAAGAGAGTAGATGAACCAACCCAGAAGTTGTAGGATGTCTAGTGACAGAGGGGACGGTCTATCGTGCTTCTCGAAGCGCCTATCTTACTGTACCATCATCATGGCCAACTAGTAAGCATACCTTGAACATTGTATATTTCAATATGTAATTTATATTGTTTTGGGAATGCTCCAACGTAGCCCCCAGATAGCCTCAACTCGTTGATCTAGTCTAAAATAGTTTTGTTGTCAGCCCACGACGGGACAATTCCTCTACAGACTCCCTCGTAGTCCCGAAATGTCTGCTGATCCATGCTTAGGTCTGGGGTCGTCCAGAACATTGCCCAATTTGTGCCAGGTAACTTCCAAGTACCCCTCGACCTCTCAAAATACCACTTGTTAACAGGGTTATTGCGCCTGGAACGCCAGCAGACGCCAGAGGGAAAGCAGTCTCGTACCATAGCCCTGAAAACAACGTCTGCAACAGAACTTCCCTGTGATCGCTTCAAGACTGCAAACTTATCCAAGTATGGTACCATCCGAGCTCTGGACTCGGCAGTACCGTCATCCAACACTCCTGGTGGCGTTTCCCACGTCAGTAGAGCTCCACCTTCATACTCTCCAGCAATGATAACCCCAGCAATACGTTCATTGACTCGCTTCAAGTAGTCCTCTACATCCAGCTTCCGATTGAATGAGTCCTCGATCAGATGTACTAGACGAGGGAGGTCGATTTGCGAGTCGGTCAGCCTCAAGCGCGGCTTACCCGGTGTTGGCGGTTCCCAACGAGTGACTTTTGGATCTGGGAAGATACTAACTGACATTCCGTGTTTGGCGAAAGTCGTTGGAGTCATGTACACTGTCGGGGAAACCGGCTCGTTTTTCATTGAATGTGTAGGAAGACCAAGGCGGCCAACGGGCAGAGATGATGAGAAGACCGGCTTGTCTGTAAGCAAATTGTGTATTAGGGGATTTCGTAGTCGTCGGGTGCCCACTTCGGGAGCCTGGAAAGGGGCATTTCGTTCCCTGCCTGAGTTTGCGGCTTCGTCGGGGGTAGTCAATAACGCTGATGAGCTAGGAGGTAGCACTGAGAGTACAGAACGAACTAGCTGGAGGTTTTGTAGATGTTGTGTGTTGTCAGTGTCGAGAACACTAGTAGCCCCCGGCATTAGTGGAGATCTCTCTGACTTTCGAGGACCTGTAAGTTCGGTCTCAACAAACTTCGAGAAAGGATTACTGGCACCCAAATCAGATACGCGATCATCCTTCTGACTGCTCTGGTCTGATTCCAATAAGTTGGCTCCGACTAGATCCTGCTTCGCGGACTCAAACTCTTGCTCCATATTCAAAAAGACATGGTAACCGTTGGGACGGTCAGATGATGGAATGCCGCCCAGGGGATCCAGAATAATGAGTCTATCTAATGAAACCTCTTTCCTCAGTGCCTGTAGACGTTCTTTCATGACATCTGGATCCTCGTCTGGTAATAGAGCTGGTTGAAAGCCAGCCAGTTCCCTGGTGAGAGCCAACACCACCTCGTCAGCCTGGACGGGGAATGAAGTCTGAGAGCTATCGGTGTAACCAATAGACGGGATCACTGGAACAATGCCCCGTTTCAGGGGAGTTATCAAGAGTTTCCGAAGAGTAACATGGACTCTCCCTCTCAGGTAGGCTGCCGAACCATCTTCGACGCCGGGCGCCTTCTCAGAAATGCCGATGGCATCGTCTACCAGCCTCGCTCTAGTCTCTCCACTGGCATCAAGAGCAGTTGCGATTCGGTTTGCCTGTTCTATGGCCAAATTCCGGGAGTTGGAATCTGGATATGATTGAGCACGATCCTTACAATCAACCACGATGACACTCGTCAATCCCAATCTTCCCAGTTGCGAAAGGGTGCGGCCAATGCCGGAAAGCGTATCGTCATTCAGGGTCTGAGGTGCCCTGATCTTCACCAGCGCGACATGCAGCTGGGGCCCAGTGGCCGAATGGGTTTGCCCCTGGGGATGTTGTACAAACTTTGGGCTTTCTGCAACAGCTCTAGCAGTGCCATAGAACCCTCCCAGATTGACTCCATTTCCATATGATATTTGACTATTATCCTTGGGCGGTAGGACTGGTTTTCTTGCAAGAGGTTCACTGGAAGGGGTAAATCGTGAGAGGTAGGATCGTGCGTCCCGCTTCGTTGCTGATGAGCCAAGGACTGACATGAAGAAGTCCTAATAGACGTTAGGATACAATGTAAAGTAGCATCCACGGAAACACCTACTCGGTCTATGGCTCTGGCCTGCTTCTTGGCCTTCTGTTTCCTGGATAAATCCTTCACATGCTCTCTTGCCAACTCTTCCTTCAATTGACTCGGAGAAGGCTTCGCCGTAGCAAAATAACAAGAGCCAATTGTATGAAAGCTCCCGCATCTTTTTCTGCGTTTGGTCCATGATTGTATCTGCCATGTGAAAACTGGAGTCAGTGGGCATTCTTCTCCACTAGAATTGGCGTCGACTCACATTATGACCAGCCGCACCTGGGCCCTTCCTCAATGCTAGATTTTGCAGGTTCATGGCGCATATTGGACCGATATTACCTGTGGATATCGTCTGAGGAAGATAGTTGCATGGCGCAGCAGGGGATTCCCTCGTTTGCTCGAAAAGAAGTGCAGCGTAAATTTATATTTAAATACCAAGAGCTGCGCGAGACATATGATTTTTGGTGATGCATACAACCACGGGCCGACGCCGGCGCTATACGGCGTACGACTATGCTGTACTCCGCACAGTATTATAAATAGGCGCTTATCGATAACCACTGTATATTCGGGGAGGAACCCCTCTCCTGTACTGTACGTATTCGTAATAATCCCGAAAGAATAAGAATATCTCTTGCGTTCAGGTACCTGTAACAACCTCTCTCAGCTCCACCAAACAAAAAGCAAGATGGCACCTCAATTGGCATGGATTGGCCTTGGCAATATGGGCAGAGTGAGTTATGCTTTGCTTAGTTTGTTTCTCTTTACTTCGATTTCTTAAGCGTGCGTTGCTTTGCTTGCTTCGATTTGACTACAAGCAGCTCCGTGAGTACCCTACCTGTGCTGATATGCCCAGGGGATGAGCAAAAATTTGATTGAGAAAGGCCAGCTTGACAAGCCCCTGATTATCTTCAACCGGACACCAAAGCGTGCTACGGATTTGAGCAAGTCGTTGCCGACGGGCAAGTCAACTGTTGCGTCTTCAGTTGAGGACGCTGTCTCTAAATCCGATATCATTTTTACCTGTGTCGGCGATGATGCAGCAGTCAACGAGATCATCGACGCTGCGCTCAAGAGTGGTGTAGAAGGAAAGCTCTTCGTGGATTGCTCGACTATTCACCCAGAGACCACGGAGGGCCTGGCGAAGAGAATTACAGCGGCTGGCGCAGAATTTGGTACGTTTTCCCCTCCCATTATTAGTCTGTGTTTGGCTCTCTTCTTTCTCGCTGTCTATCCCTCGCTCTAACACCTGAAATAGTTGCCTGTCCAGTTTTTGGTGCACCTGCAATGGCTGAAAGTGGACAGCTTGTCTGCGTTTTGGCCGGACCAAAGGCAGCGGTAGAAAAGGTCAAACCGTATACGAAGGGTGTCATGGGAAGAGCCACCATCGATTTTGGCGGACAGCCTGTTGGGAAAGCCACACTGTTGAAGGTTATCGGGAACAGCTTTGTCCTCAACATGGTTGAAACACTGTCTGAAGGTCATGTTCTCGCCGAGAAATCTGGTCTGGGGAATGAAAATCTTCATCAATTCATTGAGACCATGTTCCCTGGTCCATACGCCGCCTACTCGACCAGAATGCTGTCTGGAGACTACCATAAGCGGGAAGAGCCATTGTTCGCGGTTGATCTGGCTCGAAAGGATGCGCGGCATGCGATGGCATTGGCCAAGGCCTCTGGTACACAGTTGAAGGACCTAGAAGTTGCAGATGCCCATTTGGCGCAGGTGAAGGAACACATGGGCGTGCGGGGTGATATTGCGTCTATTTACGGAGCTGTGAGGAAAGAGGCCGGCCTCAAGTTCGAGAACTAGATTTTAGTGAATACTTAATTAAATATGTTCACATTGCAGTGAATAGTTGATTGGCACGGAGTAGGTTCATCGCACAATTAGATGAAGTTGGAGTAAGGTAGTTCTGCTGTAGCTCTGGATCCGGAAAGGGATGTGCTGACTAATCATGTAGCTCAGCCGCCATCTCTGGTCGCGAAGCTTCGACATTCCCAGGTACCAGGACCAAAGACATCATCAGTGGAAGCCTCTAAAGCTTCCAAACCCTACAAGAATGGCGAACGGGTACGCAATGCCTCTAAATCTTTTTGCCTCTATGAGGCCCCGGAAGATCCCCAACTAACTTGCCGTCTGAATCTAGCTGGAGCATCATCATCGGCCTTGTTGTCGTCGTCCTTGCGAGCTTGGCCGCCTGGTTCCTCTCACCTAAAGGCGAAACACAGACGTACGTCTCCTACACTCCCGCTTGCTCAGCTCCAACCTGCTGTTTCCCCTACGGCTACAGACCAGCATTTCTAACGGTGTTCCAGGACTTGGCGAAGCTCCCTCATCCTCTCCTTCGCATCCTGCTATATCATGTGGGGTATGTTTGTTCCTGTTCTCCCAGATGTCCTGCTCTGGATTCCAGAAACACGAGGCTGATCGATTATCTCTTATAGCGATCACTTTCCTTGCACAATGGCACCCGCTCATCGTTCCGCGGCGCGGAGACTTGAGGGATTTCGCTGCGCATGAGGGTTAAAGACTGCGAATAGGTCCGAGGAACTACAGCACAACTGTACATTTTGGCGTTAAGGATGTGGGGTGAAATATGCTTTTCAGGCTATACGTGTAGTGATATATTGAAGGAAAGTTGGGGGTGAATTGATGATCTCTTCTTACTCGGAGCATTACAAAAACTGAAGGCCATGTGGCAGCCTAAGTGTTTGGTACGAAGGCTTTCCCTGAAATCCGAACCTAGCTGTCGCCCAAGGTCAGATAATCGTTATTAGGTGGATGTTGACACCCGACGCTGCTGTCCGTGAACAGGCAAGGACAGTAGCCTGAGAAGCTAGACCATATAATATCATTCATTCATGATGCGTCAGTACCGCTGCCATTACCCTAGACCTAACCTCCCTCCCCACTCCCTCCCCAACTCGACCAGTGCCCACAATGCCTTCCCATCAGCCGCGACCCCCGAATCACCAACTGTATCTACCCCATCTAACCCGACGGCCCATAGCATTCCTCTCCCAACCAACCATCGACTAACGGCTCCTACCGTAGCCAAAAGAGCTGCAGTTCCGTATCCGCAATCAAGCAGTATCTTCAATGCCTCGACATTATTCGCTACAACTGCCCATCCCAAACTCCTCGCGGCCGCGGGCACATCGTACTCCCATATCACCATCAAAATAGGGAAAAGTTTGGTCGAGGAACTAACGAGGAGAGCCGTTGAGACGGAATTCGGGCGAGGGTAACGGGGGATAAAACCGAAGAGGACGAGTGGGGAGAGCGCGGAGGAGGTGAGGAAGCGGATTGATACGTGGAACGCAAGGGTCGAGAGAGCGCAGAGGATAACTAAGATATATCAGTTATTAAGTCTTCTTTTGAGGACTAGGGAGAGGAATAGGTACGGAAGAAGATATATTGGAAGACAATAGGTTGCTGGGTCAGGCGGAGAAAGTTACTGTTATTGATATCGTTCGCAGCAGCATTTGCAGAGGTTTGCTTTTCGATGCGGGCCCAGGTCAGATAAACGTCGAAGAGGAGGAGAAGGGTGCCGAGACGGATGATCGAAGACTAGTCTGCAGGTAAGCAGGTTATCCCAAAGGGGAGAAACTGGACTCCTTACATCGAACTGATCATGCTCTCTCATCAGAGTATTGTGGAGGAGATGCCGATATACCTCTCTGGAGTTAGCAATTGGCGCAGATCAACCACGGTACATAGACATACTTGCGGCTTGATCAACACTAAATCTATGAATAGCACCACGAAATCATGTTCCACGTACTTGTCGCAGAATCTCCCGCAGTTCTTGCATACTGTGAGTCGGACGCCATGGCCGCTTGAACGGTCGTCGGCGCCAGAGTATTCAGTATAGAGAGTTTTGACGGGATAGCGACATTCTATACAAATGGGCATTGTGTCTATGGCTGTTTCCCATCCAGAATAGGAGGACGTTCATATTGTGGTGAGAGTGAGTCGGTAGGAAGGCTGCCTTTACGGAGCTATGTTATCAGATGGGAGTATAGCAATATATACCTGATATATGAGGCATAAAAACATACCATCCCAAATTTGGTTAATTTCAGGAATAAATGTACCCCCGGTGGATGTGCTTAACCCTGTATCAACGTCCTCTATCATCAACTAAGGTACCTCAAGGTAAGCTACGGCTTCGTAATGAAAGCCATAAATGATCAGAAAATGTGACAGTGGCAGTATTGACCCTTGATAATTCCGAGCTACAAGTTTTTCAAGCTCTAACGTACCCATCACTCGCCCTCCCAAAAATGACGGCGCCGTCTGCTTTTTCAGGGGGGTGGAACAGGCTAGGAGAGCCTGGGGAGGGCTGAAGCCACAACCGGGACGGTTCGAGGACTAACGAGAGTCCATCTTTTAGACTGATAAGATGATCGAGTTTGTTGACATGCCAAGTCCCCTGATCTTAAGGATGTTCACGCTGGGCAAAGTATGTACAACTGCTTGTCACCCGCGTATAAGAATGTGTACCTGTGTACATGATCTTATAAGGCGGCCCGGCCAAAATTTAGTCCGATCCAACATAAGACCCAACTCTCCGCGGTATTCTCTCATTTACTCCTTTAACACTTTCCCTCAATTTTCCATGGAGTCATCACCAGCTTTGCCATCAACACAGCCCTCTCCTCCCCTCGCAGCCTTGTCTATATACCAAATCGCTCGATTGAATTGCGGAGAAAAACTCCTCGTCGACCCTTTATATTGGACTAGCCGCCATATCTCACTCCTGCAATGTCATTTTGACAATCCTGTTCCGGCGCCATCATCACAAGATTCACAATCACAATCACAGGTAGATTCCACTGACAGACAGCTCAGCCAAAAGGTTGTCGATCATGTCAAGCGACTTCGTTCTCGCGGCCAACCTTTTCGGCAAGATATCGGCATATGTGGCATTCTTACAGATCCCGGGTGTCCATTTACATATCAGTCAGTCTCTAGACTATTGTAACATACTCTTATTCTCTTACCTCTAATTTCATAATCCCTACAGAAATAATCTTAATTTTTATTTCGACAAACGGCGTATCAGAACTCTGCCCTGCATTGTCTTCTATCTTGGAGACGACCGCATTGCCGCAGCCGAAGGACACTTACCTCCCATCGCTGCATTTATCAATTGTTCCGATATCGAGCGCCTACGCACCGACACCTTTGAGAAGCGTTACCCTAGACGGTATAGCAAACCTACCTACTCTCTGCTCAAACTCCAGTTCAAGAAAATCGTTCCTCCGGAACCTCTGCACGACCCGTACATTGTAGCGGTCTTGATAAGCTTAGCATACGAACAACGTCATTTTGCCAAACAAAGTGGGCAAGGAAACCAGGCTGATCAGTCTTTCTTGGTGTGGTTCTCTAACTTTGTGAATCATGTATTTTATACTAATAGTGTATTCATTTAGTCCCAAGTATTAGTGACCAACGATAAGGAAAATCTCCACCTATTCACTGCAGATATATCATTTTCTTTTCTTCACAAAGTCGATTTTCCTGCCCTCCCTCCTCCGGGTTCTGTGCCGCCAATTGTCTCCATTCGACATACTATGATCCCATTCTCACCGTTCGAAACTTTCAGACAGCGCCTCTTGCAGTACCTCCTTCCTACGTTTGACAACTACAGTAGCTAATGGAAAAGCTACGCAATCGACGTTGAGTGGAATGACCAAAATGAAAATCACTCTTCCATGGCCGAAAGTTTAACATACTCTGCACTGGTATCTAATAGTTTTAGGTACCCTGCGCAGTGCTGTTTTGATTCAACCAATAAGAGTGTAAGGATATAGGTGCTTTAGCAGGTGCCTATAGGTACCTTACCTTACTGTCTATAGTGTACAGTACGTTAACCTGTTAGATAACCCCGCAGGGTATGTTAAACTTTCCGTCAACCAAAAGAGGGACTCCGGCGCTTAACTCCCGGCACTTTGTAAGCCTGATGAATCGGAGGTCAGATGAAAGTCGGGACGGGGAGGGCATATAGGCTTCGTGATGAAGCATGGGCTACAAAGGAATCTTGAAAAGTCATATGACGACGGAGTCCATATGGCCTAGGAAGAAAAACTACCTCTCCTTCCTTCTAGCACTGTACACAAAAGCAGGAACTCGGCACAAAAGAAAATATAAACTCCCTAGGTAAAAGTCCTTGCTCCTTTGAATTCTGCTTCTGTCATAATTTACCTTAGGCTTCTAGAGATACTGGTATACATTGTCTCGCAAGGCACGTCTCCAGCTGCAGGTTAGAGTTAGCCAGCAGTAGACAATATCTTTCAACTAGTGACTCTGTTGCAAGATTGATGTCAAGTACGTGAAGGATGTTAAGGGGTCAAAGAGCGGACACTACATTTTGGCCTACTCGACCGCATTTTACTTCGAGTGTTGAATGCTATATTGGCAGTGCCGCAGTGTTACCAAAAAACAAGCCTCTTATTTGCAGATGAAGGACGCTGCTTGTTACCTGTCTCCGCACGAATGCCAAGAAGGCGATGTCGTTGCGTTATTCAGTCCCAAATGCCGTGTGATATCTAGCTGTGTTCTTCTTACGGTCTGCGATATTTTCAAATTGCTGAACTCCACGGTTGCTGACTTATATTGTGTATTGTGTAGACAGGTGCCGTAGTGTCTGACCACAGATGTGCCTGCTTCCAGGGTAAGTCATAGGAAAGACCTTAGGGAACGAGCTCTAGGGGTAAATATACCTATCAAAGACGCTATCGTTCGAAAAGCAAGATTGGAACAACCTTCCTGTTTATTGAACTTATGGGCCATTATGGCTATTAGATCTTACACGGAATTCCGGAATAAATTGAAAGTCATTTGGCGTTTATTTCAGAACTTTCATCTTTGAAACGGAGTCACGGACTATCAGTTTAGAGAAGCAGTTGCTCGCACAGTGTTGGGAGCAGATAGTAGGACATAGGATCTCGTCTTGTTCGCTGCGCAAGTACTCCTTCAACCTTGAATCGATTTCATTGACGATGTCACGATGGCTTGGCTGACAGTTCATAGGATGTTCTCAGGCAGGCTGACTTTGTTGGAGCGATGCTGTCCATCAAGATCTTTCTGGCGGATAGGTCATTCATGGAGCAGTGCCTCTGCCTTCTCGATGTGATGAACTTGTCTGTATACAGCCACGGCTGTTACCAACTTACCACTGAAAATTGCTCCACGTGGGAACATTGGTTCGAGGGGGGCCTCCTGATCATCGAATTGACGGATGGCGAGAACAGCGCAGAGTCGTTCCATGCAGTTTCCATGCAGTTACTAGTATCAACTGACAGTCTGACAGCACCATGCTTGTTGACAGTATATCCGTGATGTGCCTGACGATTTATTAGGGAGCATTAGTGGAGGTTAGGATAAAGACATCGTACAAGGGGCCTGATTGGCTACCTTGTTTTCACCGGACTTGAGGGGTCGCTGTCCTAAGGTAATAAACGAACTGTAAAGCTGACATATTTTCGCAACTAATCTCTGTTCAATAGGTAAAATTGCTTGACAATAAGGCACGATTTGTCTCATTACTCTCCTCTCTTTTCTTCTCGCTGCTATACCAAAGGTAGGTACTTACTAGGTAGAAATGTATTTACCTCGAATATATAGGTCTAATAAAAGATACGGAGTAGCCTTGGTACCAAAATGCCATAGGTAAAAGCAGCGATGTACTATTATGAAACCGTTAGGTGGGTATATTCCAACACTTAGCCTCTCAATCTCGATTCTCCAGACCCCGAACAAGCAAGAAGGATGAAAGAACAAAACTGCAGCTATCCGGCTTCCATGTCAGCGGCCCGTCCACGATTGGGATCAGCAGCTATATGCGGCCCCTGTGCTCGTCCTCCAGGTCTGTTATCCGCTTTGTCCGGCATTGGCAAGAAGCCTTTCCAGAGGAAGTCCGGAGTGAAGCTTTGTCCGGCATTGCCAAGGAAGCTTCTCCAGAATAAGCAAAGCTTGGTAGGGACACCGGGCAATGGAGAACCATACTCACTACAGTAGTGACATCCCTTTCCTGTAGCCCTGCTCGCAATGACATCTTCGGCCTCATCCTCCGTGATGCCTTCTCGCCACTACCAAGGAAGAGCATGCTGTTTCAGCACGTTGTTGTCAAAGTCGACTCTGTTGGCTGGGAGCGAAGAAGAGTGCGCAAGATGCGGCCCGCGAGATGCAAGAAGTGGTAGTATAAAAGTAACTGGTAGGTTTGTTTAAGTAAATCTCTGTCTCCCGAGCACAGCAAGGACTCCGTCTCTTCAGAACCTTTTTTCATCATCATGTATACCCATCTGCTTTCTCTTGCCTTGGCGACGACCGTCGTTGCTTTCCCAACGGTCAAGCCACAAGGGCCCATTGGAGGCAGCAACCCAGCGCCCCTTTCTGGTCTGTGGACTTCCCCAAGCCATGTCTACTCCAACGGTCAATACAAGCAGGTCGTATACATCTCCTTCGATGGAATGCATCGATCCGATCTTGTCAAATACGTTGAGATGTTCCCGAACTCGACCTGGGCCAGCATCATCTTGAAGAACGGCGTTGTCTTTAACAACGCCAAAGCCTCAACCCCCTCGGACTCCTTCCCGGCAACTACAGCGCTCTTCACTGGGGCGTCTCCAAGATTGACAGGGATTTACTGGGATGATACCTGGGCCAGGGACCTCTACCCCGCCTCTTCCAACTGCACTGGTCCAATTGGGGCCGAAGCTGACTGGTCAGTTGGTACGTAGTATTTCCTGACCCGTTATCACCATGATTGCAAGCCAAATACCAACAACTCTACAGCTTCGGACCTTGATGCAACCTCGATTACTGGTGGTGGTGGCTTCAACCTCTCCGCTGTGCCTATGCGGTTGACCAGCTGGGGAGCGTGCGAGCCTATCTTCCCGCATGACTACCTTCGCACCAACACCATTTTCGAAGTTGCTCGTGGCAATGGCCTCAACACAGCTTACCTCGACAAGCACCCAACATATGAATTTCTCAATGGACCCTCAGGTCTGGGACTAACACAAGGTTATTTCCCAGAGATTGGCTCGGAGGCTGCCAATATGGCTGCTCAGTGGGAGTGGGAAGACCTGCACTGGTCGGCCCTTGCTAATATCACCGCCGGCCACTACGTGAATGGCACTGGTTCAGTCGACTTCTCCCTCATTGGCGTCAACTTCCAAGCCCTTACCTGGGCGCAGTCCAACGGTGGCGGATACGCCAATGGCTCTACATTAGCCAACCCTGTCTTCGGCTCGAACATACTGGCTGCACTCGAAAGATACGATGCAAAATTAAAGATCTTCCTCGATCAGCTCCAGGCCGCTGGCAAGCTCGACTCTACCCTTCTTATCCTCAGTTCCAAGCAAGGCCAATCGCCCGTCGACGAATCCACCCTGAAGCACATCTCCTCCGACGCCCTGCTCAACGCAACTGGTGTTGAAGTATCCTTCTTTACAGGTGATGATGCCGGCCTGTTGTGGCTCGCGCACGGTTCCGACGCAGCCACCGCCAAGGCCAATCTCCTGGCGAATGCCGAGTCCCTTAACATCGAGTCTGTGCTCGCCGGCGATGAGATCTGGGAATACGGCTTCGGCAACCCGCGCAAGGACCCGCGTGCCCCAGACGTAGCAGTCATTGCCAAGGACGGAACGCTTTTCTCGACGAACAACCAGACTGGGAACCATGGAGCGTGGTTGCCAGATGACTTGGAGGTGCCCTTGGTCTTCTACAACCCAACCTTGACGGCGGCCAATCACTCGCTGCAGGTGCAGACCCGGCAGCTGGCGGCGACGATGCTGAGTGCGTTGGGCCTGCCCCTGGCACAATTGGACGGATGGAGAGAGGAGGGCTCACCAGTGATTCCATTTTTGGGATTGGCCAACAACTAAAGGAGAGAGGGCTTGTGTTATTGGGGGATTTGAGAAAAGGGGGAGGAAATAGTTGGTGATGGATTAGATAATGGGATATGAAACCTCCTTTCCCTTCAAGAGGCACTTTTTGTTTTTACTACTTCTTGTTAGGCTATGTTTCAAGACCTCTGGAATAGACTTGAATAGACTTATATTGCCTCATACCTTTACTCTCATTCCGGAAAGAGGGCTTGAAATTGGAAATAAGTTCCGAATGATTAAAGTCAGGGAAGCGATTGGTGTACCGTGTAGGGTTGTAGCTATTCTGTAGTACTTGAGTAACTGTTAATACTTCCTGGCACTCATGTATTCTCAGACTTGAAGCTATTCAGAAACATGCGTGCCGCTCTTACGGCCGCTTACATGGAGGGGCGGGACAGAATATACGGGAGCGGATGTATGTCGGATCTGCATTGATCCTGCAGTCAGATATCACAGTCAATTCTTGGGGGCAATAGCCACAAGGCTTCAAAAAGAGTGAGAGATGATGTGTGTGTTATTACGTGGGTTGTGTGGGCGAGGGGAGAGGGAGGGTATTGGTTGGTCCTGAAAATGTAGCATTTATGGTGAGATATCGTGAGATTCTTCTTGCACAGGCGACTGATGATAAGTGAAGAGAGAGTAGAAGCTCCAAAGTGACAATGGCAAATAATCCTGACATTAGTTATGAAGAATTGGGATCGATTAGTTTCAGTTCTATGCTCCTCTCCCTTCTCCTCCTTGTGAGTTTGATATTCCCAACTTCCAGAGTCTCAATTGACCTCTCTGCTTCTAGAGATTCCTCACCATTCTCCTCCTCTCCTCCACTCCCTCTACAACATCTACCTCCACCCGTTCTGCCACTTCCCCGGCCCACCCCTCAAATCCCCATGAAGACATAGGTGGAGGAATTGAGTGAACGCTGAGGTTTGGAGTGAGAGTTGAGGAAGAATATGAGAAAATTTTTGTAGGAAGTCAGAGATCCTCGATCTCTCAAAATGATCTGCCTCAATATTTATCGAGATTCTCTCCGTATATTCCCATCTCCATGAGGCTCGAGGGAAAGGCGGAGATAGTGGAGCTATCGAAGTCGACACCATCCGAGCCCATCGACATGTGGTGTTAAGCGGATCTAATCGCTCGGCTCTCTTGCCCTATCTGGCTCTCGTGCAACGCCGCTACTAGATCAGTCGGATTTGGGTAACTGCTGGAGGAACGCGTAACGGACTTACTGTCAGGAGTGATGCGGGCTCCGTCATTGGCCACTTATATTTCTGATATGTTTCTGATATGTCTCTGCGGTAATTCTATTACCTATATTCTATTATACCGAGTCTTACTGCGCCTGTTATACCCTGTATTATCCGTGACATTACCTATGTTGACAGGCCAAGGAAACAAGCGATCCGGGGTAGCACGAGGTACGCGTGGGGTAAGCAGGGATATCAGTCAGGGGTTAACATTAGCTCGAAAGAAGGAAAGCGAAACGTCAAGGGGGGCTCTTTTCATCAGTTTAATCAATCTTCTTTGCTAAAGGAGATGGCATATTCCAAGTAGTAGTAAAAGTCAATATAAGTTAAACAAAGTTTAGATACTTCTATCGACTTGTGTAATTAAATCTTAAGGGTGCTGCGTAAGGTCAAGCAGACTGTGCAGCTATGCTCCACGTGCCTATTGTAGGTTAACACATGAACACACACAGACTAGTGAAAAGGCGTAAGTAGAAGGCTCGTTATAAAAAAGGGTATTTAATTCTATCATTGGTCACTGCACACTATATTTACCTCTATGGATAAAGCTTCTGGGAGCTAAAATGTGAAAGATTGGGGAACAGATTTGGCAGCGGTGGCACGTGCGTTTGTAGAACTGAAGTGATGGTATTGTTGAATGGAAATCCAGATACCGTATTTACCCCTGAATTCTTGATACCTGCCGTTGATACCCGTGGTTCATATCCGTGCTGCAAATACCCGCGTACCCGCGTACCCGCGATGCTGATACCCGCGATTACTAGCCGGGCCGAGCCCACCACTTACGTAAGGCTGACGACCACTGCCCCTCTTGTGGGACCTCGAGGTTCGGGAACCCCACTTCCGACATATCCAAGATTCCAACGTGTCTTCCCTTAGATACATCAGAAATTGTCTCTCACTTCACGAACCATCACTTACGACCCATCCCCACGAATCACGAATAATGCCAGCCAATATCCTCATAATCGGCGCAACCGGTGTGATCGGCACACCGATCACTGCCCAAGTTGTCTCTGCCAAATCCAGCTTCGGACGCATTGCGATCTTGACATCGAAGAATACTGTGAGCAGTAAAGCAGAAGTGATCAAGTCGTTGAAGGAGAAAGGCGTGGAAGTTCTTTTGGGAGATTTAGAAGTCGAGGCGGATGTGAAGAAGGCTTACGAGAGTGAGCTAATATTCTAGAGATCCTGATATTCGGGCACTTCGGATAGGAGCTGATGGGTTCGCAGACATTGACACGGTGGTTTCATGTGTTGGACGAGGAGCGATTGAGAAACAGATTCAGCTGTGAGTATTGCCGTCAAGTCCTGGCATCTTTTGGCTGACCTTGGAAATAGCATCAAGTGGGCCTCCGAGACCCCGAACGTCAAACACTTCTTCCCTTCAGAATACGGCACCGACATTGAACACAATCCCTCCTCTGTGAACGAAAAGCCACATCAACTGAAGTTAAAGGTCAGGGCGTACGCAAAGACAATACCAAAGGACAAATTACACCTTACGTACCTCGTTACTGGCCCGTACAGTGATTTATATATGGGGAAGACAGGCAAGGAGGAGATTGGCACGTTTGACGTAAAGGCTAAACGTGCCGTCTTGCTTGGTGATGGCAATGGACCTGTATCATTTACAGCCATGGCTGAGTAAGTTCTTCCCTATTCCGCCTTTCTCTTTCTTCCGCGGGGCAACTAACAGATTTCCCAGCGTCGGCAAGCTCATCGTAGCCTGCATCCAGCAACCCTCAGCATCTGAGGACAAGATCCTGATTGTTAACTCTTTTACTGCCACACCCAACGAGATCCTTGCTGAATTTGAGAAGCAAACTAATGCTAAATGGGAGGTATCATACACATCTCTGGAGAAGCTAAAAGAGGTCGAGAAACAGGCCTGGGAGGCGGGCGCTCCGTATGCGACGCATGCCACCCTGCGCAGGATCTGGACCGAGGGCGGCACTTTGTATAGCAAACCTAGAGATAATGGCCTAGTTGGCGAGCCGCCGATGGAGAGTCTGGCAGATCAAGTAAGACAAGTGATCGCGGCACAGACAAGGTCGTAAGCGGTTCGCATAGCAGAAGCAAATATAGTCAGTGATAGTAGGCTTATGCAGTGTCTACTACATCAGCTATGCCTCTCGTAAGTTCAGAGTATCTCTGTTCCGTAACTTCTGAGATATTGCCGGAAAGGCTTCGTATTCCATGTACCTCACCAGGTAAGAGGGGTAGTCACGTGTCACGATTATCGGCTCTGTACAAATAGAGCTATGCTGTATAGAGTAAGGCTCGGTGCCTCAAGCTGACGGTCGCCGAGAAGCTCGAACAACACAAATATTTCTACCTCCTACATGCTCTGATTTGCCCGGTTGTGCTTTGATGTATTTTCAAATTCATTACAAGTAAGTGGTCGGCTAACTACAAGGACATCCTGGGACAGTGCGTATATCGAATACTCGAAAGAAATAGTCGCATACCATATCCATCCTCCACTCCCTAGTGGCCTTTCCCGCCTCACCTACGCGGCAGGCAGAGGCGGCCCCGCGATCCCTCCCTCGTGGTAAAAAGCTAGACGCTCAGCCGCAGCAGCCTTGTCGTCTCGGACGCGCTGCAACAATTGCTTGATGCCTGGGTGCGATGAGAAGCGGTCCTGCATATAGCGGTTAATGGGAGTGTCGGGCATGGTAAGCAAGAGGCGGGAACGTGGGGGAATGAAAAAGGTGGGAAAAAGAGACAGAATGTCAGAAACGTACGGGTAGTTTGTCCCAAGCTTTGGGGTCGGCGGCCTTCTCTAAGGTACCGCAGCCGTGACGAGCATAATCGGTGAAGAGGAGGGTGCGGCTGCTTTCCACCATGATGGTCATTTGGTCTGCGAGTTGGATAGAGGTGAGTCTTTAGTTCGTCTGGTAAGGGATGTGGAATAGGGAAGGGGAATAGAGGGAGCAGAGGAAACTCACTCTCTAAGATCTTGCGTGGCTCATTCACCTGCAATTGCATCTCGTTGATATACTCGTCACCGAATCCACCATGGGGCGTGTGCCCGCCGTCAAAACTTGCGCCGCCAGGCAGGAAGCCCTCATCACGGCCGAGACCCTTGCCATACAAGCAGGCAAGGAACTCGGACGCTGAGTTACGGTGGAAGTATGGCGGGCGGAAGGTATTAGAGGCTACATCCCAGCGAGGCCCGAACCAGATGAAATCGGCCAGCGGCGTGTGCGGGTCATGCGACTTGGCCGTCAGGACTGTGTTGACAGAGGGGTCCGTATGGTCGACCGATGTTGCATTTTGCGATGAGAACTTGGTCAGATCGTACTGCAGTGTGTCAGCTTGCTCGTGCTCAGCCCAGTGGTCTGATAGAGCATACTTTGTACGGTACGACATTGCCTTGCCAAGCTACGACATCGTAGGGACTATGATCCTGCTTGATAGCAACATACTTCCCATTACTCTTATTCACAATCTCGAACGGTCGATGTAGGTCTTCGTCAATGTATGCCACAGGGTGCAGAAAGTCCCTCGGGTTTGCTAGCCCGTGTCCGCCAAGTGGTCCCAGGTCCGGGAGCTCCCACATCGCACCCCAAACCTCAGTGATATAACCGCGGGCAGCCTTCTGTCCGTTGGCGAGATTGACGCTAAAGCGGACACCGCGCGGGATCACAACGATCTCTCCGGGTTGCACGAGCAACTTCCCCATCTCTGTCTGGAAGTCCAGGATGCCCGTCTGCGGACAGAACAGAAAGTCACCGTCGATATTGCAGAATGCTCGGCCCGGCATCGATGCGTTTAGCATATAGACGTACAGTGCGAGGCCCTGTCGCAGGTTCGGGTCGCCCGAGCCGGCAAGCGTGTGCAGGCCGTCGACGAAATCAGTGGGCTCGTCGGCGGGTGGTAGCGGGAAGGGCCGCCATTCTGCTAGTCCCGGAAACGTCTGCACGGAAGGATTACATGATAGGAAACAATTCTCGAGATGGGCTCGGGACTCGATCTTGTTATAGCCGCCTGTGCTGTCAATATCAACGTGTATTGGCAGCAGCAGAGCTCTTTTGCAGTGAACTTCACATACCATGTGCCGCTGATGGCCTCGCACGATACATGTACGTACTCTTATTGACCTGCCTCGGAGCTGCGAATGCAGAGTACGTGATTCCCTCCGTATACAACCCATATCGATTCGCCTGCGGATTGTTCTGCCCCGCCGGCAGCGTCCCCGGGATCACCTCTGACTGATGGCGATTTCCCCATCCAGGCATATAGTCATATGGATCATTCTCTCGCGTCGGCTTGGTCCGCTGGAGATCTGTGTAGTGGAACACTTTCTCAGGGTCAGTCAATGGCGTGCGGACTTTGGCGATGGTCATTGTGATTGTTTGATTCCGAAATCGTGATTACTGATATGTGTCTTGGATAAAGGAAGCGAAGAACTTGAAATGAGGAGTCCCCAAATCCCCTCACTCGTATATATACGAGAAGCCGTGGCTATACGGCATTCCATGATCTCAACAAACCTGTAGGGAAGTTCGGACTCCTCCTCCCGAACCCCGCATGCCTCCAGGGCTACAGCTGCGGGGTTCCACCATGTGACTAGCTACTGCCGGGCACTTGCAGTTCACACACATCTGGTACAGTGAGTGCTGCACTGCATCCATGGGGAAGTTTGACGCACGGCTACGTGTTTGGCAGATGTGAGCTGCATAATGAACCCTTACCTGTGGGCACTGTTCTATCGATACGAGGTTGTGGAGATACTGAAGAAGAGTGATTCGTGTACCTTTTGAGGGGATCTACATTGTCGCCGTGGCTCGATATACTGCTCGTGCTCGGATTCTGAGTGGCAATGATAGATTACCTCATCATGTTAGAGTTCGCTTCATTGTCCAGCGCCGTCGGGGCGACCTCTTCCTGGCCATGAAGCGCAGCGGACTGAAGAACTTGATCCTGAAATGACCTTGGTTTCATTGCCTTTCAATTTGTTTGAATCAGGCAGAATTGTCATTGTTTACGAATTCGATGCAGAGATTGCTTTGTACGATTTGTATCGGTTCAAAGCTGTGAAGGACTCGGCGGATTCAACGTACAACAATGGCCAATTTATTCTAGATCACAGTGATTTTTCGGCCTCACAATATCCGCGTTAAGGATGACCTGGATATCGTTGGTGTAATTGACCGAGATTTGGCTCCGATGGGGTCACATTGTTCTAGTGCAACTGTTCATCCCGCCACCTTGGCTCGCCGGATGTCAACTTCACGGTCTCTGCAGATACCTCGAACGTGAAGGTCATATCCAAGAACTGGCTCGATTCAAGAGTATAATCAAAGATCGCAGAGAGGAGGCTGGTCTCTAGCGCATTCCCAAACTCTAACACTTATTATATTAACACTTGGACTCTTGAGTATTTTGATGTAAGGCGCAATAATCCATCTCGCCTAAACAAGTCGAGGAATTCCTACGGAGCGACCCATCTCATCGAGAACTGATAACAAAGAAGGTTATAGACAGGTCCCTCTACCTGGAAGAACTGAGACAGCGAGGATTGGAAGAGAGGGGTGGCATCGCTTTACCTGTCTGGTAGCTATGCCAAAACTACTAGCGGTAGAGGCCGGAAAAGGGGAGAAGAACATATGTTCTGCTTTTTCGCTAAAATCAATTCCCCCCCGACACGCGTAGGACTAGTCCAATTTTCTGATCTTGCACCAAGGGACGATCCGAACCAGTTTCAGGTACATCCGCCGAAGCATGAGGAACAAAGATTCCAATTGGTTAGAAAAGCAGCGTCCGGATGCTTTGATCTAAATAATCCGCAGCGTAACATTGTCCGTGAGCTATTATCCGACACACCGCTATTATCTGCAAGTCATCACTTTCCGATACTGTAAGGCGTGAACCCCTCTATTTCCTTATACGGAGTATATGATTATGTTAATTCATGCACTTTTCTATTCCGCTTCCTCCCCGTATGCGCGAGTATATATATAGATGTACGTACTGCAGGCTGTAGCTGTGAGAATGGACCGCATCAAACTACCGTCCCCTGGGAAAGCCATTCCGTGGCGGGCTGAACTGTAACACTGTTATCATAATCGAGTTGTACATTGGTATACGTCAAGTCAATGCAGAGAGTCAACCTGATACAAGCAGACATGAGAGCAACGAGGTGAAAACTTCAATCCACCAAGATAATCTAGGATCTCTATATTCTGAGAGGCAGTATGATACGTACTTACAGCACAGCCCATGCTGAGTAGATCATCTCAATGTTTGCCAATCGTCCCTAGGGCCTTCCTTACGTGAAGGGGTTATACACGAAGTCGACTGCGTACAAGAGGATGTATTCTATAAGGATTGAATTGTAAAAAGAATAACAGTAGATATGTTTTAATTCTTGGCGTAAAATATTCTAATCAGTTAGCTCTAAACAGCTTCCTGTTATAACCCATGTCACGTGTTTAACCTAGTGTGTTGGGACGACGCGATCGCGACCGCGTCGTAAACGCGAACAGGCTCGACGACTCTACCTTACTCGTAAGTGCCTTTTCTCTCCCGAGTAAATGCCCCCCCTCTCTCTAGTCCTGGTCTACCTTAGTTCCTCGCCTACTCGATAATCCCCCTCCTACAAAACCGCCCTCGTCTAAACATGTTCCTCCAATCCTCCCATTCCACCAAGCCGAAGCTGAAGAACACGTATACGCGCAAACGGTCTTTGACGCGGCAGAGCACTGCACCCGGAGCACGGCCAGAACCTGCAGGAGAGGACAACAGCACGCCTATCTCCGCTGACGTGGACCGCAGCTTTGCCCAAGACGAGCAGAACATGGCCGATGCGCAAGAGGATAATAGTGTTGTGGGAGACGATCAAGACGAAAGCTATATCACATCTGCATCTCAGGCTGGCGGTGGAGCTCTGGATGAGAGTACTGTATCGGGCGAGGCGATTGATGCGCAACTGCAGCTGGAATCCGCATCTGCTAGCAAGCTGCCGGCCGATTCCGAAGCAGCTGACGAAGTAGCTGACGACGTTGCTGAAGAGGTGGACGGCGACGTGGCTAAAGAGGTGGATGGCGACTACGAAGTCGAGTACTTTCTGGCAGACGACTACAAACAGGTCTCTTTCTGCTCATCCTTTTGCTCTGCGCTGTCCCGACCCTCATTCTGTAGCTAACCTCTCTCCCTCCTACAGTTTCCGGGCTCCAAGGCACCTAGAAGGGCCCTCCTTACTAAATGGCTACATTTTGACCTGGTGAGCGACTTGACATGGGAGCCGGAGTATCAGATGAAGTGAGTACTGCCGTCTAGCGGAGGGAAATCCGGGAACATTTTGCTGATGCTGGAACTATGCAGAAGGGACGTGCCAGAACATGTCGCGGCTTATTATGAACTAAAGACGGGAAAGGCCCCGCGAAGAAGTTCGCCGAAGGTTAACAAGCCTCGAGTTCGTGCGCCGAAGACAAGCAAAGCTCGAGGCCGCCCTTCGAAAATCACGAAAGCTCCTCGAGGCCGTCCGCCAAAGGTCGGAAAAGCCTCTTGATGAGCTCCTGGAAACTGGCTCCTAATACTAAAAGACCTGCAAGTTGAATGCACGAAGGACTCAGGTAAGGGTTGTTAATCATCAGTCTCCCAGGCGTAACTGATAACCCTATCAGGTTGGCATTACAGTGGTCGTGATAGACTAATAGGCTAATGCCTCCCCTAATCACAGCAAGGGAAAGGAGGAAAAGGAGGACAAGGATGACGAGACAACAGAGAGGTAATTGACGATTCCCAAGACGTGTTTAAGCCTAAACAACCAGACTACTAAACTTGTAGCTACAAAATAAACTACATATATCATCTGTACAATTATATATCACCTGTACTAACTACCTTACCTTAGGTAGGTGTTTTACCTACCTTGTACCTACCTTGAGGTACCTTACTTGCTATAATCACGTGCCATATACCCCTCCTCCCCGGAAAACCGCGGCACCTGTCCCAGCCTTATCGACAAGCCACGTTAAAAACTTTCGTTCTCTTCACATTTCATTTCCATAGCAAGGATTCTAACAAACGTCCACGATTTGAACCTCATATAAAGATTGCAAGGCGCTTTCGCTGATATTTATTCAATCCTCTTAAGAGACCTGTGCCACCCTCTACTGCCAACTCGCACCAGAAGCCACGCGCCTGTCCTAAGACGACATGCCTGAGCGTATGAGGAAACGAGATAAATTGAAGGAGAAGTTTAGCTTTAGCAGCTCTGCCTCTCCAAATAACCGACAGATTCCAAATGCTGGAGCTTTGAGCACGTTGCGACATCTTGCGCCAGTATTGCTGCCCTCGTCCGCCACTCTAGACGTTCCATCAGCAACCGGGGCACCTAGCGAAGCTATTCCACCACCGTCATCCATACCCACGCCCCCAGTTCCAGACCTCTGGCTTGCTGCACTGGAAAAGCTCTCAAAAGGCGAACAACAGCTGATTCGGAAGATGCAGCCCACACAACCCACTCAACGTCCCTTGTCGGAGAGAATGGAGGAACTGGCTGGCATGGTTAGAGAGAAAAGAAGTGAATGCGAAGAGAAGTCCTACAAATTCCGTTTCAAAGAGAGGGAAATAATCCTAAGGGACGTGGCAGAAAGGATAGTATTTTGGTTGAATAAGTTCAAAGAAGTTGGTGATGTTGCTGTGAACCTCGACCCAGTTCATGCTGCGTTGCCATGGGCGGGTATCAGACTTTTGCTTCAGGTATTGATAAGCCTACCCCGGCCAAGAATAGTGCTAAAACCATCAAAGGCAGCTGTGGCAGGACATGAGCAGATGGGAGCCTTACTTATAAGCGTCGAAAGGGTCACATGTTTGACCAATCGATGTGCGGTATACGAGAGCCTCTACAGGTCCGTAATTATACCGAAAGAAGCGCTGGATAATTTTCATGCAGCGTTGATTGAACTTTATGCTGCTATCTTACGACTGATAGCACTCAACTGTCGATTATTCGATAGAAACACGTCAATGCGAGCTCTACATGCTGTCTTCAATCCTGATGAGATATCCGATTATCTTGCCAAATGCGAAAAGTCAGAAATGCAAGTCGAAATTGAAGCCCAAAATTGTGAGCGTATGCGCAGCCAAGAAGCAGATGCAAAGACCCAGGAATTGCTCGAGAGTCTGCGAACTCCAATCCTCCGCACTGATGAAAGGGTTTCTTCTCTTCTGGAAAGGGTGGGTAATAAAGAACGGCTGAAAATGCTCGATTGGGTCTCGAACGTTCTTTATGGAAAACATCATGATACGGTGAGGGACCAGCGCACGAAAGATACATGCGAATGGATTCTAAGGCACAAGCGCTATGTAGAGTGGCAAGATGCAAGCTCCTCCGGAGCTCTCTGGCTCCGCGGAACTGGTAGGTTATGGATGTTCAAATATATTATATGATAAATGCAATGTTGCTGATTGGTGCTGATAGCTGGAACGGGAAAAACAAACCTTACCTCCAGGGTAATTGATAAAATTCAAGATGATCTCAGAAGGGCCCCAAATCATGAAGGCCTCGCATTCTTCTACTGCAATAGGAACGAAGCCGAGCGGCAAGAACCGTTGTCAGTATTACGCAGTTTTGTTCGGCAGTTGTCAACTCTTGTCAACGAAGAGCATTCTTCAATTTCTCTGCAAAGACGCCTCCAGGAATTCTATATTCAGAAGCAAGAAAAGGCATCCGCGCCGACTATCAGTGAATGTAAGGAGCTTATTCTCGAGTTTATCAACATCTATCCCAAGACCACCCTTATTCTGGACGCCTTGGACGAATGTGATAAGCACAAGCGCGGTGACCTAATCAAGATATTTGATGATTTTCTGGCCCATGCTTCGAGACCCGTGAAGATCTTTATCTCGAGTCGGCCTGACGACGATATCAAGGAAAGATTCAAGAGCGGGGCCAATATAGAAATCCAAGCGGCAGATAACGATGATGACATCTCCAAGTTTATAAGGAGTGAGATTACTAAACACCCAAGGTGGAAGAAGATGTCCCCCGAACTTCAGAAAGTAATCGTTGAAACACTCCAGGACCGTAGCCAGGGAATGTGAGTGTGATCTTGGCAGTCTTAATTTTCAGGGATCCTAACAAACAACACAGGTTCCAATGGGCGTATCTGCAGATCAAACAACTCTTAGACTTGCGTCATTCACAGGCTATTCGGGATCGTCTGGGAAAGCTTCCTAAAGATCTCAAAGTCGCATATGATGAGATCTATTTCGGAATAAGTGAAGACGAGAGACATTATGCAGATCGCGCTTTCCAGTTGGTTATGTGTTCTCGTGAGCCGCTTTCGACGGATCAGCTCCTCTTCGCGGTTTGCCAAGATAGGGAGAAAGATAAGATCATGTCTGTCGAGGATCTTGACGAGGATCTTCTCCTCCAAATTTGCCGCCATCTCTTGGTCATTGATCCAAATCGGGAAGTTTGGGTACCTTCTCATCTCTCCGTGATAGAGTACTTTGAGGATCACCACTGGAGTCAACAGGAGGCAAACTGTCTCGTGGCAAGTGTGTGTCTTGTGATGCTCAATGATCCTACTTTCTATGATCTGGAAGATGATGATCTAGAAAATAATGGGAACTACAATGTTTATGGCTTTAAATCTTATGCGAGCAGATTTTGGATGATCCACGTCCAAAAATGTGAAGAGCTATATAATGACCGACTTTCCACACTTCTCAAACGATTCCTTGGATCTCCAACGGATAGCAGCCCGGCATACCAAAGGTGGTATAGCATAGTACAGGTTTATTCACATTCATTTCGGTACAAATCAGGCTTGGTAAATCTTGAGCCAGCTCATTTCGCATCTTTTGCAATCTGCACCTACGGATTGTATAATCATTTATCAGGTTGGTGGGGTACGCCTTGGCTGCACCACGCGCAAATAAACGGAGAAGGAAGATCACTACTGCAGCTCGCAGCGACTGCAAGATCTGTTCCTATCTGCAGACATCTTATTGAATCGGGCGCAGAGGTTAATGCCCAGCTTCAGACTATAGACTATGGTAGTGCGCTAGCGGCGGCTGTATCAGTGGGCCATCATGGTAAGGGGGTAGATAAGGAGGTAGTAGAGCTACTATTCGAACATGGGGCAGATGTGAATGCTCAGCTTCGGGGAGAATATGGCAGCGCACTAGTGGCGGCGGCGTCTAGGGGTAACAAGGAGGTAATAGAGCTACTACTCGAACATGGGGCAGATGTAAATGCTCAGCTTCAGGGACACGATAGCAGTGCGCTAGCGGCGGCGGCGTATAGAGGTAATAAGGAGGTACTAGAGCTACTACTCGAACATGGGGCAGATGTGAATGCCCAGCTTCAGGGAGGATATGGCAGTGCGCTAGCGGCGGCGGCGGCGGCGTATAAAGGAAATAAGGAGGTAGTAGAGCTACTACTCGAACATGGGGCAGATGTAAATGCTCAGCTTCAGGGACACTATGGCAGTGCGCTAGCGGTAGCGGCGTATAGAGGTAATAAGGAGGTAGTAGAGCTACTACTCGAACATGGGGCAGAGGTCAATGCTCAGCTTCAGGGAGAATATGGCAGTGCGCTAGCGGCGGCGGCGGTGTCGCATGAAGATAATGTGAAGGTAGTAGAAGTTGTAGAACTACTACTCGAACATAGGGCAGAGGTCAATGCTCAGCTTCAGGGAGACTATGGTAGTGCGCTAGTGGCGGCGGCGTTTGGAGGTAAGAAGGAGATAGTAGAACTACTACTTAACAATGGGGCAGATTTGAATGCTCAGCCTCAGACTGGACACTATGGCAGTGCGCTAGCGGCGGCGGCGGCGTCGTATAGAGATAATGTGAAGGTAGTAGAACTACTAGTAGAACATGGCGCAGAGGTCAACGCTCAGCTTCAGGTTGGACGATATGGCAGTGCGCTAGTAGCGGCGGCGTTTGAAGGCAAGAAGGAGGTGGTAGAGCTACTGCTCAAACATGGGGCCGAGGTGAATACCCAGCTTCAGGTTGGGGAATACAGTAGTGCGCTAGCGGCAGCGGCAGCGACAAATAATGTAAAGGTAGAAGAACTATTACTCCAACATGGGGCCAGAGCGACATAGAGGTAGTACTTGGTTTGTTCGAAGACTATGTCAGGGTGGCAGCGGCAGTGGCATATAGAGTTGGAATTTTGAATTTAATCGGAGGAATCCTATATGAACTTGGGTTGTTTTAGTTTCCTGTCTGTCTATAAGACTCCCGATGCTTCGGAAAGTCTATAAATACCTTCGATCCTTTCGGTATACGGTATATCCCGTAATACTGCGCAGAAAGCGCTGGATTTCATGAACAAGTCAACTAGTTGGATTGTGAGAGGGGAAACAACAATGTCGCCTCGCTCCGCCCATTGATCTTGCTGGTGAGACGCCTAGCATCACGGGCACTCAAACCTGAAATCGTGAAGTGATCATAATGTTTGTTGTATATGACATGAGAAATCAGGTACTTGATATAGAGCTGATCTCATTTTCACTTGAACAATTTGAAACCAATGGCTTCGTCTCCGCGTGCTTGTATAGGTCTACGCTCTAGATCACGCGTATATTTCAAACGCGAAGCGATCTTCAGATCAACGTACAAGCCTCGTGAAATTGATAGCCAGAACATAGATATGAATCGTGATGTGGACTTGACATCAAGTGACTAGGTACCTTCTTTCAAGATCACTTTGGAGGTTATAAATCGTCCATATAGGTCTCGGTAGTACTCCTCGTCTAGTATTATAGAAATGCATACGTAAATACCCGGGACTTCGAGCCTTCTTGTAATCCACGGAGAGAAAATACAACTCGTCAGACTAGAATCGGATATACTTGAAAAGGGGCTCCATATCGCAGGATTTCAGCCAGACGTCGCGGATGGAAAGATGCTTGATCATACTTATGATCTTAGGGTTCTTAGGACGCTCGCTATTTCCCTACTTATTGGAGACTTTCTACCAAAACACAATGGGATCATCCACGAGGCCTTGTAGATGAGACAATCGCACTAGCATACCAATCTCTTTTTGTGGCACATTTCTCCTCCATCCCATCGCAAGCGTGCTGTGACCAAAATGAAATCATGACCACGACCCTTAAAAACTGAGAGAACGTGAAGCATATTGCCCATTCCACGCGGATGAGCTCGGACTCAAGGATACTCGTGTCGAGAAGTGGCTATCGCATAAAACTGTATTTAGATATGCTTAGAAGAGATGTTCTGGGCTTGATCGATCGTCGGGTTGTTGAGGTGTAAGGAGAAAACGAAAGGCTTAGACCAGATACGTTGGTCGACCGGTGTTGTGAACGTAACGTGACCTCGGCTAGCTACCTAGGTACCTAGCAGACCCCCTTTTAGTTTTGGAAGATGGCTTCCTCCTTTCTTCTCTAAACATACTAACATACTGAACACTATGTATTAAACCAAGTATGATGTAGCTATTTATTGGCTTTTTTTAAGTATAAGCCGGAGCCGAAAGTGCAAAGAAGCCATCAATATCTTGCTCCTGTTCGATGATCTAGACGTTCCAAGCTGAGGCATGGAATGTTTGATGGCCTTCACTGTCCAAAGTAGTTCTGTTATTATGATCTTATGCTATATGCTTATATTCTAATGAGAAACAGAGCAAAAAAGCCTTAAACTAAGCCGAATTTCTGATTTCTGCACGGATCAAGGCTGGAGTGTTGTAAAGTGTAATACTAGGTGATGGTGAGAAGTCTAGGGTCGTGACTTTTGGCTTTGCGAGTCTTAGATCTAAGTAGAAAGAGCGGGCCAATAGGAGAAACTGTTAAGCTCTCGTACGCAAAATGCTAGTCAATGTTAGATTGCTAATGGAGATTGGATAGATGGCATTCGGTTCATTCGCAAAAATCACCTCAAAGACACCATGTTTTAGAAGAGCGAAAGATGGATGCAAGGAGAACACAATCCATATATTGTTCTATGCATCTAGTACATATATATCTCTAAGTTTTCTCCTCGTCTTATTTGCCCAATTCCTCTTTTACATTTACTCGTAAGCAATCTCATTGATTAAAGTCCCTAAGTAGATCACCGCAGTCAGCTTCGGTTTCCAGGCAAAAGGCAAGAAATTGAGGGGGTAATACCTATGTTCTCAATCTCCACGCGCATATCGTCACCATGTCGCAGGACAACTTTCGGGTCACGCATGCAGCCGATACCAGGCGGGGTTCCAGTCATGATGACGGTTCCTTGCTCGAGGGTTGTTCCTTGGGAAAGGAAAGCGATCGTTTTGGGGAGGGAGAAGATCATCTCGCTTTAGTGACTAGGTTAGAAAATGCGCCAGGATATGTTATAAGGGATAACTTCTGCTTACTTTGTGTTTGAATCCTGGACAACGTTGCCGTTGTGGATGGCTTTGATGCGGACATTATGCGGATCTTTGATCGCGGAATGCGAGACCAGGACTGGACCGATGGGCGCGGATGAGTCCATACCTATATTTTGTAACCAATTAGCAAGATCCATAATCGCTCCTCTCCCTCATACATACCTTTCGAGAACGACCACTGGCTATTTCTAAATTGTTCCGTGCGCGCGCTGACATCGTTACCGCAGGTATAACCTAGGATATAGTCCATGGCATCTTTTTCCGGGATATCTTTTCCGGTCTTAGAGATAATGATCGTGAGCTCTGCTTCGTAGTCGCTAGATCCGTCCTGGGCGACCTTCGGCACGACAATCTTCTCGGGATAGGAGCCCATCAGGGCAGTGCGGGGCTTGATGAAAAGGACGGGGTAGTCGGGGATGGGCATGTTGGCTTCTTTGGCATGGTCGCGGTAGTTGAGACCGAGGCAGCGGATGATCGGGGTTTGTTCTTGGGAAATAGGGGAGAGGAGCTTTTCGTCAAAGTAATAGTATTAGCACTGCCTGTTGTGTTGCGCGGGGAAGGGAAATACACAGAAGAGGAGGATATACATACCTTGGATACGGTCAGGACCCTATCCGTGACGACCCCATCGTATATCGTGCCATTGATGACCTTGGCGGTGATGCGCTCGCCCTTGAAAGCAGAGAGTCCTACATCTGGGTACTTGGAGGAGTCGATCTGCCCGAGATGAGTCTGGCCATCTTCTTCTGCGATGAATCTAATGAGATGTGTCCAGGATGGTGCCATGTTTTCTTTCTTCTTCCTTGACAAGTGTTTGATACCAAAGGATGTATGGCAAAATCAAAATGTCAAACCGTCAAAAAGCTGTAGAATGATAGCTTCTCTTGAGAGAGAGAAAAATATATTAAAGGTGAACACCACAAATCCCACTCTTCCACCGTCTGGTTTAGATCACAGCCCAAGGAGCTGCAATATGGTGGTCATGTGATGTCACGGAGTGAGGGGTCCTGAGGCGGGGTTCAGGACCGGCTGTGTCACCGGGAAGTGCCGCGCCCTTCTGCTCGGGCGAACTTCGCTCGACTTTTGCAGTTCGAAGCTCTACAATATTATGATTATTCTTTGCCCGACAACATGAACTCGAGTATTTGAAATTTCGGACGGACTAATCATTGCAAGATGTAAAGATTTATACTGATGCTGTCCAGTATGCCTATTCAGAAGATCTGGATAGAAGAAGGTACAGTTCACGGACCAACTTCGGACGAATTTCGAATCGGGATTCTTCCCCACACACTATGTTGGTGCGGGGAAATACACGGATCGCGTTAGATCGGTAACTAATTGGGTAGGTAAGGTAGGTACCTTAGGTAAGGTCAGTACAGTATACTCCTGTCGTGTATCACATGCACAATAAGTAAGATACTTGCGAGAGAGAGATGGTTGTGAGAATGTGCGATGAGATGTCGTGATTTGGATGATTATGTTTCTTCACTTGGTATTCTAGGTTCTTTAAAAATTACCTTAGATAAGGTAAGGTACCTTACCTAAGATATCTAGACGAACCCCCCCCCCCCCCCCAACCCCTGAGCCTGATTGCAAGACATATACCGTCTGGATCCGATGGCACAAAATCGTGCTTCATGTCTACTTGGTATCTGGAAAATTTTGAGCACCCTATATGAGCTTATAGATTAGAAGACATTCTACATCAACAGCCTAAAATTGTTTGAAGTCCGTAAGAATATGTACATCTCTAAATAACCCCTTTTCGTGGCGACTGACTTGTGCCATGAACATCGGTGGAAGCCACGTAAGGATCGAATCTATTATCCAGATTGGTTCGATTAACCTCCATCAATATTTTAATTTAGTCTATCAATAGTCAAAGGTCTGACTCCCCATGATATGTCCCCCACGCCAGCAATTTTCCACAGCGGTTCTAGCATAACGGATGGTCTTTTGACAGATGTTGAAACGTAAATACCAATATTGAGCTTGTATTTTCTGTTTCTTGGTTTATCCGGGTTTTTAGATAGAGCTTTCTTTGCCTTTTTCTAGTGCTAAGAAACGCTTCCAGATATTTACATGATCCTGTTGAGAAATAAATTGCTATGATGTAATGACTACAGTCCTAGACCATATCCGTAGCTCCTTATAAATATCAAAACCTCCGACTGAAGATCATGTTCCCCCAGGATTCTTATGGATCAATATGAGCACCTCTCCTGAGACATCGAATCAAAACAAAACGCTACCCCATATTTTGATATTCCTGTTATGAAGATGGATCAGATAGGGCTGCATCGGCGTATTTTCTCTAGTCTAAAGAGGTACAATCAGTACCAACCTAGTGATACCCCACAAACCCACATGACTGCTGGTGGAAAAATTCCGGAACCTTGGTTTGGAATTGTGTGCGCGAACCTTGGATCCGGGATTGCATAATGGGGAAAGGATCCTCGACGGAAAGGAATGCGTGACGCTGCAAGTTATGGTACATTGGTACGCCTCTCGATGGGCCAGATATTGCTGGAATATACCCTTGTCGCAGCGCACGAGTTCAATTGCTGTTTTGAGACTTGTTCTGGAAAACAGACCTGCCCATCGCGTGGAATGTTGAGAGGGTTATCTGTACTGGGTTATGCGGTCTGATAAGCCACGTTGTGATTTGGGTTCGATTCTTTTGAGATTAAGCCAGAGTGAGCAAAGTAACTTCTCAGAATGCTCCTGAGTGCTTTTTGGCCTGTTGATCTCATAGCATAGTCTCGAGGCCTCAGTCCCTCTCAATCAGGGGATGCGATATTTCCACGTCACAGCCACTCCGCTCACACCTGCACATACCCTCTCCCAGCGATCGAGATTGGTTGGACCGAGGATACAACGAAAACACCCCGATGGGGTATGCTCATCATGGTAATGTTAGCGACCCCAGACCCCCTGAATCCCGCTCCCCACGTTGACCTAGTGTTAATTAATACCTGTCATTTGGCCATTATTGTTCGGGTGTTGTCGGCTTCCCCGGGGGGGGCGGAGTAAATCCCCATATCATCCGGACACGTTCTAATGCGGGCCTCTCGGGCGCTGCCGATTACATTACCCGCCTCTCCGTAAGGTACATGTACTGCCCAGATCCTTGGTGGGCATGGATAGCATGGAACGTACAGATACCTGACCCTGCCTGCCAGCGAGAGGTGGAATATTTGATATTCCGGCGGATTCCTGAGTAAAGCGATCGTTCTGATTGGCTCCCCGGACCCGCACCCCGCCTTCTCCGCCCCGCCCTCTTCCCCAGCTATGGCCGCGCGCGCTAGTCCCCTTTCCGCCATGGCGCCGCGCATCGACACGATCTCTTCTCTTGGATCGTCGTGCAACGCCCCTCTGCTGTGAGAAACCTTATTCTCGCTGCTGTCCTCCTCCCTCCTCCCTCCTCCCTCCCTCCTCCCTCCTCCCTCCTCCCCGATGCCCCTCCCCACCCAAATTGCAGAACAAGAGCCGTCCATGTCCCACATCGTGATGAACGAGGAGACTGGCGAAGCTCACTCCAGCCTCGCATGTCACGTCTGCAAGAAACGCAAGATCAAGTGTGGCCGGGAGCTGCCGCGTTGCCGTCTCTGCGAGCAGTCGTCCCAGCAATGCACGTATCCGATACGTGCGGAGCGGCCTGGCCCAAAGATCGGGAGTTCGCAGAGCCGCAAGAGACGGCGCGAGGCTCTGCAACAGGAGCGCGAGAGTAGACGTATGCATCGCAACAATCTTCCGCGGCACGCCTCGACCGACGACGATGAGACGGCCGCCGAGAGACACAATCCCCTTGCGGCGGCCTCGCCCGGACCATCCTTGGGCTCTGCAACGTCAGAATGGCATCCGAGACACATGCAGAGTCTCTCCTTCATCATCCACCCTTCGCATGAGAGCTGCAGCCCTGGTGCGGAAACGGAGAAACCGCCGGAGCCCGTGAGTGAGGTGGTTGGCAATGAGGAGCCGCTGCTGACCTCGACTTGCTTCGCGCTGAGTCTCAGTCCGGATGTATTAGACAGTCTGTAAGTTCCTGCGCTCCGTTCCAATCCGCAATTTCTGATATGCTCATTACCCCAGGATCAACACCTTTTTCCAGACATTCACCTCCTATCGACTGTTCCGAGAGCCACATTTCAAGGCGAAGATGTGGCATATCGAGACAGATGCTCAGATCAATGCGCTCCTCGCTTCTATGTTTGCCTTCTCCGCCAAAGAGTACTCGACGAGCGGTGGGTCTGGCAGCGAATCCCGCATGCAGTGGACCCATTCGCATTTCATTGACCTTGCCATGACCTACATTGACAAGGTTCTGAGGGACTGTGGAGATGAACCTCCTCCGTTATGTCTGCTGCAGGCTCTGATCCTGACTGCGCATTGGCTTCTAATTCAAGGAGTCCGCGGAAGGGCATGGAGATATCTCGGAAATTGTGTCCGGATCGCATACGAATTAAACCTGCACCTCGTGGACGCTGGTAAAAGTCCCGATACCGTGAACACTGTTCCGAGTCAGTGGTGTGAGGACGAAGAAAGAAGACGAGCGTGGTGGGCGATATGGGAACTCGACGTCTTCGCAAGTGTAATCCGCCGCTGCCCAACCGCTATCGATTGGTCACAGAACGAAACCTTCCTCCCTGCCGAAGATGAGAAGTGGTTCCGAGAAGAGCCGCAGAAGAGTTGTAAATTGGCCTCGGGCCTTACTGAGCGATGGAAGAATCTTCAAGCAACCGGCAACCAATCCCCGAAGGCGTGGTTTATTATAGTAAACTCGTTGATGAAGGAGGCCCAGACGATATCAAGTCCCTTTGGCATTAACAAACCGAGTTATAGGGACATAGGCCGGAGTATCAACCGTTGTGAGACTTGCCAAGATAACCGTGACTGTCCGAGCTCAGAGCGTGGGAAAGACGCTTCAACCCGGCTGTCAACACTTTATAATACCCTCCGATGCTTCTTCATTGCCCTACCGGCGTCCTTAAAATACCGCGAGCAGAACCTAACGTTCGAGGCAAAGAGCGCTCGTCAGTCAGGTCCCTCTTCACCTCGTCATCTCCACAGCTCAATTTACAGCATTCATCTAATGTCGTTGCTGACAAAGATAATGATTTGCAAATACCGTGTCTTCCACAACTGCATGGGTCAGACTCAGTGGGATAAAGATCCAGGTGTCTCGCATAAGCGTTCAGATTCCCTGCTATCCGATCGCTGCGAGAGCGATGCCATCGGGCAATATTTCAAGGCTGCGGACGATGTAGTCACGGTCGTGAACACCAGCAACGAGAACCACTTCCGTTATGTGAATCCTTTCCTGGCGAACACCATCTGGCTCGCTGCCGCCGTTCAACTCCTGCACAAGAACATGATCTCCGATAATTCGGAGGCTGAGCTGATAACATCGAAATTCGAGGTGTTGTGCATGACGTACGATCAATTTGTGGACTTCTGGGAGATGTCGCCAACGCCGGGTCAGACACTTCAGATGCTGCAGAGCCATCTGAAATCCATTCGTGCTTCTTCGGGTAATGAAGCAATTCAACGGCCAACCTCCCCAGGTACGTTCAAGGTATCTGATATGGGAGATGATAATAATCTCTGCACAGCGAATTGCAATGAACAAGAAGGGCAGGCAAGTAAGAAACCTCATGATCAACAAAATTCATTACCACCCAATGGTAAGCAGCAAGCTATCCCATCTACATCCCCTGTCTACCATGGACTAAAAATAAGAAACAGAGCACTCCCAGGGATGTCAGAAAGGAATATCGATATCCAACAATCAAGAGACAACTTGCCGTCACAGCTACCAAACCACCTCCTCCTTCACCGCCACAACATCCAGCCCCGTCTCACGACGCTCCGGATATCGCCAACAGCCCTCCCTCCCCGAGCAACCCATCCAGACTCCCTCCCCCGCCTTGCCATATGAACCCTCTCTCGAGATGCAAGCCGTCGCGACCAGCAGCAGCGCCTTTGACTCCCTTGCTACGAAGGCAAACTACGTCCCCCCTGCGATAGCACAGTATATGGACCCTGGGCTTTTTGGGAATTTTAATTTCATCTCGGATCTGGGCGCGGCGAATATGGATTTTGCGAGTTTTCTAAATGAGGTTTATCCCCCGCCGGATACAGGGTGATATGGTCAGACATCTTGGCTTGCGGTGTGTTTTGTGAATGTGTTATATAGCGCTGTGGCGAGGGAGTTCCGGATTTGCATTCAGACTTGCTTTTTTGTAATGATGAGAGTATTCTGTCTCTTTGGGGACGTTAAGACGCTAAGACGCAGCTCCTAGTACACACTTACCCCACGATGTAATTTGTATTGGCTTCTGCGGTTGCCTGCATACTATGGCGGGGAACGTTCCTATTGATAATGATTGAGAAGAGACCCAGATATTACGGGATGGTGCTCAATACAAGACAGTCAATATTGGAAATACTAGCAGCCACGCCCACAGCTGCTGAGGTAGCCTGGGCCATATCCAACAAGATAATGTTTTAAAGTTCCGAAGATACCTACAAGTTATAGAGCTGTCAGTAGTCGGAGTAGCCGCTGCCTAGACTCCTTCCGGGCGTTTTCGACGATTACTAAGGTATTAAACCACCCCGCAGAAGCTTCTTAGGGTATGCTATATTACCTAGTTATCAGCTCCAGATATCAAGCTTGGAAGCGTTCGACCGCTCGATCTATCTCAGGAGCTCTATTTATAAATCGAAGGGCCGAGCTTTGATTGGGCTCGGTCAAAGCTTTTGAGCGGAAACGGATTAAGGTTTTCCCGCAGCGAGGGCAAGGGTTTTCGAACCCAGCGATAAGCGAGGGAAAAAATCGCACCAAGTCTACTTCGTAACGGAACACTCATCACGACATCTTTGCACTTCCTACGTCCGACTTTCTACACATCCCATCCTCCTCAACCCGATCAGTCGCCGCAATGGAGTCCTCCAAAGTCCCCGTCAAGCTCGTGAAAGTGACCCGAGTCCTCGGCCGAACCGGTACGCGATCTTCCACAATACCTGCTTTTCTCCGTTTATGGCCAACTAATAATCAGAAAAATAGGGTCTCGTGGAGGTGTTACGCAGGTGCGCGTCGAGTTTATGGATGACCAGACCCGTTCCATCATTCGCAATGTCAAAGGCCCTGGTATAGTTTGTGATTCTCAATGAAGAGAGCGGCGGCTAACTTAGCTATAGTTCGTGAGGATGACATTCTGTGCCTTCTTGAATCAGAGCGCGAAGCTAGACGCCTCAGATAAGATGTAGGATGTAGGAGCTACAGGAGGGAAGAATGGGAGAAGGACAATGCCTCATCATGGCCTGTTGGAGGGAAGATTGCCATAATCAATACCAGTGGAGGAAATGGGAAAAACGAAAGATGCGGTTTCGGTAGAACGACGGCATCAGGATTGTTTCCTCTCGCAAATTCTACAAGATGCTATGCCCTCCTGTTTTTCCGTTGTCCCGAAAGTTCACGGCGTCTCGCTCATCTAGCCATGGAGCACCCACATACCCTTTCCCAACTCCTGGGCTTCAATTCTGAACCATTCAATGAAGACTCCCCCTCAAATTCCTATCTTCCCTCTCAGCTTTCTCGAGCAATTCCCAGTTTCGGTACTGTACCTTGCCCATGCTACGCCGAAACTTGATCCCGGTCTTGGCAAACAATCGGTTCAGTCGAGCCTGCTACTTTACTATGCAAGATACCGCCAGCTCAACTTCTCACGCTTCACTTAACCCCTACAGTATCCAAGTCCTGCTTAGGAGTTACTATTCTTAATGTTACTTTTCTTGCTTCTTGTCTCTCGGGCGTCTAGATGACTACCATTGGGGCACTCCGCTCACGGTTCCCTGGTCCGCTAACTATGGCAGCATTCATAAGGCGAGTGCCTTAAGTCTGCTCACTACGAGTTTTCGAATCGAATCCCAGCGCCCTACGACCAGCAGCCAGAAAATTCTCCATGCCAATGTTATTATATTCGCCCATGGTCTCCGACCAAGCATCACATCCTCATACAGCGCCTGAACACCGTCAAACCATAACCAGTCCCCCCTCAGTCTGCGTGAATGTGCCCACATATAACTACCATCGGCCTCTCACTCCAGATCTCTACTAGTAACTTCTCACACCCTTTCCCTCCATCGTCAAGATGCCCTGCTGGCGGGCCATGCATGAGCAGGACATTCGTCCTCTCAGAGACCTTCACCGCCCAGCCGGCACCTCCTATCGCCTGCATACTGGAATCCCCAGCTATCGCACTGCGGCGTCCACGGAGTGCCGAACACTCTGACGCGCCTACCCCTTACCACCAGCTCAAGCGCACCATGCTGGAGATAAGTCACGTCTCCCCAAACAAGTCCCCCGGTGCTTGCGGGATGTCCGTCCAGCTCGCGACCCGGATGCGCAGCGACGAAGGCTGTGTCGAGGAGGAGATCGTGATTGCCCGCAATGATAAGCTTGTGCGGATGTAGCTACGAGGTAAGCCACGTTAGTTGGGCCTGGATCTCGGCGAAAGCGCCATACTGCGAGAGGTGGCCAGCGTGTAAGAGGATGTCGCCTGCGGGAAGTGAGGAGCTGGTGGTCTTGTGAGTGTCGGAGATGCAGACGAGGTTAGTAGGTTCTCGAAATTGCTACTCTCGCTCGCAATTACCTGCTTAGGGGTGCTTCGGCGGGGTGACAGTTAGGATGGCGCACTGTGTGGTAGAGTCTGACCTGCATAAGCTATCGAAAGGATTCGGTCCTGGAATGCGGGATTCCAGCTTTACCCGGTCTGCGAGATTGAAAAGGAGGAAAACGCTCAAGTCAAAGGAGTTGTTTCTGGAGAGAAGAGAGAATCCTGCCGATTTCTCGAGAGCTCACCTGAAGTGATCTATCTTCGACTACAGGACTTTGAGTCTGCAGCGGTACGGGCCGAAGTCCTCTTGCAGCCCCGGCGCCGATCAGTAAGGCTTGCGCCGACCACCCCCCCCAAAAAGCACAAATAGACCTTCATCCAGAATTTGTGTATGAAGCTGCGAATTCGCTACCTAATCTCACAATCTTCTATGTCTCAACATTTCTAGGGCAGGAGCAGGGGCAGATCAGAGCAATTTTATTTCATCATACTCTCCGTGCCGTTCTCTCCCTAGATATGCTCCTAACCCCGCGTGCTATACCTTAGCTTATCGCATGCAAGTAATTCCAGCTCTGTATTAGGACGCATTAGATGGCGAATCCGAGTGGCTATATTATAAAAGACAGTATAGTGCCAGATTTAATTTTCAACATATTATCACATTCAAGCAAGAAGCAAAGCCAGCTATAAAGACAAAATTAAAAACGAAATCCGATTAGAAACGCACTGTAGAACATATGAACAATAAATTATACATTTTTCACTCGCCGAGAATCACAGAATTATAAAGAAAGTTCCAAACATTATGCTGGCTTTTATCTCCTACGAATTAGGGAGGGGCTTTGCCAGTTTCCCACACAATGAGGTGAGCCTGGCGCGCCTGGGATACTTACGGACATTTCCAGCAGATCAGACGGTCTTCTACCAGCATCCCATGTACAAGTCCACTAGACCAAGCTACATGACCATTGCGGCGACGGTCATCAGTACTGGTCCTTAACATCGTGATGCATTTCAAGAATCACGTGAAGGAAGAAAGTTCACGAGATCAGCCGTTAAGAGGTATAGAATAGCTTTCTCTAAGATTCCTAATACAAAAGTTGCCTCCTCAAGTGGATGCGGCTGCTTGATAATGGCGGTAACTGTTGGTTCCTTTTACTGTTTAACCATCGTAACCATCTGTGTCGTTGGCAGGCTACTGTTCACGTGACCCCTCGCCTCGCCTCGCGCTCACTGATGCACACCCAACATCCGCTCTCTTCACCGCCTTATTCTTTTCACCAGTCCCTGGCAGCTCAGGCCCAAATTCGTCCTGTATCTGTTGTTGAGATGGGGCACATCTGATGATCCCAAAGTGTTCTTGACATTGAGTTTTCGCGCTTACCTTTTTTCAGCCTGAACCGCGGCAATTACCGTATAAAACTCTGCAAGGCCACACAACTACGCTACTCCTTTTCTATATTAGTGGCATTTCAAGCCCTCATTCATCCACCATGCCTTACCTAGATATTTCGTGACTTCAGCCGCCTCCTTTCCTGCACTTTGATATTCGTTTACAACCCCTTTCAACGTGACCAAAATGAATTTGAAATCACTCTCAACCCTCGAGTTGCCACCTACGGTAAGCAATCTGTGCCCTTTCACGTCTTTCAACCCCCCTCCTCATATTATCCTCCACACATATTCGACCTCAAAAAGGGCTCCAAGCTAACTTACTTTTCCGAATTAAGGGTGACTTCCATTGTCATCTCCGACAAGAGAAGATGATGGAACTGTGTACCCCGCTCATAAAAAAAGGCGGATGTGATATTGTTTATGTCATGCCAAATCTTCAGCCACCCATAACTCAAGTTTCTCAGGCTGTCTCTTACCATGAGAAGCTGTCTCAAATAGCTCCTGACGTGACGTTCTTGATGTCTCTATTCCTTCATCCGGGCCTAGATGCAGCCGCCATCGCCGAGGCTGCTCGGTCGAAAGTCATATATGGGGTAAATATTCACTTCTCTATACAAACCTTTCAATCCTTGATGTACTCTGTCGTAAACTAGTTATACGATATATCTCATCTTCATAAAGATTTATGTGCTAACCTGGAACTTAGGTCAAGCTCTATCCAGCCGGAGTATGTGAATTAACCACACATTCCAAACGAGCCACCTCGTAGAATCGGACGTCAGCTGATCATTAGAGTAGGTAACAACCAATTCTCATGACGGAGTGCTAGATATTGAGCAATATTACCCCGTCTTTAAGGCCATGGAAGAGCACGGCTTGATCCTCAATTTGCATGGTGAAATGATAAGCTCGCCTCCAGCTGAATTTGCCAAAACAGATGGAACAGCAGCGGTGACAGTGCTCAACGCCGAGCGCATGTTCCTCCCTCAACTGCACAAGTTACATTCGGCATTTCCTAAATTGCGCATCATTTTAGAACATATAAGCACTCGGGAAGGTTTAGCTGCGGTGCAGCAATGTGGACCAACGGTAAAGTCCCCCCCGAAAGACCCCACACAGAATATGAAAGCTTCGAGGGGACAAAAAGATATACGGACCTTGGCTAATGTCAACCGTAGGTGGCTGGCACCATCACAGCCCACCATCTGTGGTCGACTATCGATGATGCTTGTGGAGACATTTTCAGCTTCTGCAAGCCAGTTGCAAAGGTATGCCCCCTTTTTCTCTGCTCGTTTCCTCATCTTTTCTCCCCCCGCCAGAATATTTTCTCAAATGAACCTATTTTCCCCTTTTCTATGTGGAGGGAAAGGAATGGGAAGAGGATCTTTATCTGAATCGACGTATCCCAAGTGGGGTTACAAGCTAAGAGTGGGCGTGTGATATATGTTGGTTTTCGGTAATATTCGTGTACTAACATGGAAATAGACGCCAGAGGATCGTGTGGCCCTAGTAAGAGCTATAGTAGAGGATTCAGGGAAATTCTTTTTCGGTAATTAGACTGTCGATGCGACTTACGTTACGCGTGAACTAACAGATAGAAAAGGGAGCGACTCGGCACCACATCCTATTCAATCAAAGAAAGGAGAGGGTCGTACAGCAGCAGGCTGCTTCACCCAGCCCTGGGCTACTGCTCTCGTAGTCGGTGCTTTAGAAGAAGGAATCGAGCAAGGGTGGATCAAGGAGGAAGAGGTTACCTATAAAGCAATCGAGAACTTCCTCTCCGTTTACGGACGGGCGTTCTACAAAACCCCTCGGTCAGCAGGATCGGAAAAGGTCAAAATTCGACTCGAAAGAAAAGGAGAGATCATACCAGAGGTGGTAAAGTCTCAAGATGGGACTATTGAGGTGGTTCCGTACGGGCGAGGGAAGAAGGTTTGGTCAACTACATGGATCGAATGAAATAAAGAATCAGGGTAAAGGGATATAATTCCTTTTTCAAACGGAGCTCCTATCGTAACGTAGTGTGATAGAAATTCAGCTTCCGTGTGACCACGAGATCCATTTGCTAGTAAGAGGTCAGTTCATTTGCAAATTGGTTCATTTCAGAGGGGACGTCTAGACTTGACACGGAAATGAGCGCCATAATTAAGCAATAAATCTCGCTCTCGTATGATTGCTTTTATACTATTTAGAACTAATCCTGCTGTCTTCCAATATCAACAACATACTCGTGAGAAGCATTTTATCAATAAGATGGTCTGATGCATTGCCAAACGGTGTAGAATTCACCTTGGCCCTATTAGGCTCTATAAGATACCCAAAATACCCAACCTTTTCAAAGACAAACGAAAGTCAAATGGACGTCTCCTATCTAATGCATTTTAGATTGAAGGGATTCTATCTAAGCTTGTTGTTTTCTGTTCGGATTCTGGCAAATGGAACCGGCCTCCTTTGTCCTTATTCTTTTCAGGGGTAATTAGGGGTAATTAAGGGTAAGATACTCTCCCCCTTAAGCAATGGTGGAGTGTGTATTACTTATTTGTGTTCAGTTTAGTGAGTAAGAGCTAAGCTGCTGCTCTACAAACCTCCTCCTATGTAACCCCGTTCAATTCCCTGACCATAATGCGGATAAATGTGAGCCATATACTACGCGCCTGATTCTCATACTTAGAACCTCTCCCACCTACTTCAAGAACACATCGTTAGTAACAGTCTCCCACATCGCCAAAGGCCAAGTGATCCGACTGTAGTGTAAGAAAGAAGAGGTACTGATGTTCGAATTAAGGTAAAAGATAGGGGGTTGAAGCACGTGAGGTTAAAAATAGAACCAGACCTCAGGCAAGCAGGTTCTGCCGTATTTGACCGCCTTTTTCCGCACTAATATAGAAATATCAGACCTATAAATCGTCACGGAACAGACCCAAAACTCTGCTCCTCCGTAACATCAGGATGCTATAATGAAACCCCCAAGCTCTGTCGACTCTGATGGACAAGATGCTATAGCTCAGGGACATCAAGGTACCGGGTCACAGTCTGCGAAAAGACCACGCCCTCGTTATTCATCGTCACGATGGGGTCGTCCTAGTCCCAAGGGCTCTCTTATGGGCATCATCCAGGAACATTTGCACCTCCGACTCTATGTTGACCCGATCCTCTGGACACCGCATCATATTGAACTTCTCAATGTCTCCGTCATGCCCTCGACCTTAGGCCCACCCCACCGACCAACTTGTCCAAGGTGCAGTTGCTGTGGCAGGGTGATCACAGGTATTCTCAACCTACTCAGGTTATATCCCTACCGCACCGATCACAACCTTGCACGCCTTATCCGAACCACAATTGATTCGTTTAACCTTTCATCGGGACCCCCCCTCTTCCGAGTCTGCAAACACCACAAGCTGCCTTTTTACTTCGGCGGCAAAAAGCAATGTTGGGTCCTGCTGCCGCTCCTGGTCCGTGATATATCCTCGGGGGTCCCTTTGGTTGCTTTCACACATGAAACTGAACGATCCGCCGTATTTGAGGCACGCTATCCTCGGCGTGATGTGACTATACAGGCTCGGATTCTAGCAGCAGTGGTATCGGAAATCAACCCTCACGACGTTGCGATTTTGATTGCGATGGCACAGGATACACAACGAGCCCAACCCAAGCCCCCCGGTCAGGGGCCAGCTTTCTTCACAGTAAGTACTTCGATTCCTGCATCGTACGCTTGTTCTGATCTTCCAATCGCCTACCCTTATCACCCCGACCCCGGATCGCGAAGCCCTCTACGTCTACCGTGCCACGATCTCCTCCGATTACCTCGAATCCTTCGCCGACATACACAAGCCCCTAGTATGCGGGATTCGTATACTCCGAACTACAATACCGTTCAACGATCCAGCTGTGTTGCTGGATACTCTTGGCCAAATATTAAACATTCATCAACGATTAGAGTCAGCCAGACGTTCTAGGCTGATCCGCAATAAAGAGAACCCCATACTGAAGCGATCTTTTGACGGGGAAGAAATTTCTCATCCTGTTAAACGACAGCGTCACGCCAGATCACCGCTTGCTGATATGTCAGCTCCAAATCAAAGTGCGGGTTGAAAGAGCTATATCCTGGCTCTGACCTTTGGGTCAGTTATTCTACGCCGTTATACTATAGGCAGTGGTACATATACGGATATTGGCATCCGTAACGGATATAGGACTCAGGCAATATCAGAACTGCAAGGCTGTTGAGTCACCATGGAGATGAATTGCGGTGACTGGCTAGGGCAGAAACTGATTAAGTCAAGGGCTGTGTTCAAAAGTGCAGATTGGGTCCAGGTCCCTGAAGCCAAGAACAAGCAGTATCAGTAAGTCGCGTGAGTGGTCTCTGGCAGCTGTATTTAATTCCCACGTCCATGTAATCGGATTTTAGCAGGAAAAGAATACAAATAGCACAGTTGAGCCTATTTCTAGAGCAGAAACCTTTCTAGTTCAGCCTTAAGACTCTTCCTTGAGGATTCCTCTCGCCACAGTGAATTGTACGATATGAAGAATTGCTCTGAGACATCCCTCACCGAAGAGCATGTCAAATACATTATTTCGCATATGATGTATACAGGAGAATACCAATCTCGAGCCCAGGGAATCCCAACACAAGCAGGGATGACCTTTCCTGGCCAGTCCAAACTGTTCTCTCAAGAAAGCACATCGATAGTACATCCCTACTATTCTGACGACAATAAGTTGAAGGGAAGATGGTTTTCCACAGGTACATTTGACTATCACAGACCTGATTCTGCCCCCTACTTTTCAACTCTTTGGCCAGTAGGCCAAAACCCCACATTTGAGGCGTTTGATATCCCCCGCAGCCACGCCCAGCTCAACCACTTAAAAGATCTCACTCGGCAACCCCCGCGGGCCAATTTCGACCCTCTTCTTGAGCAGCTTCTCATCCTCCCCCGCTTGGAGCCGGCGGATCAACTCCTCAGGGTCAAAGTCCGTCCCGATCGCATTCTCCCCAAAGAAAGGCCCCGTCATGAACGCCGTCGCCTCCTCCACCGTATCGAAGTTATCAACCTGCGTCTCGAGCTGATTCCCATCCGGGTCTTGGTAGTAGATGGACGTCGTCGGCCCATGGTTAACGCACCACACGGGTTCGATGCCCAGCGCTTTCCGCTGCTGATATGCCAGCGTCAGATCCGCGAGGCTCTCGTACGTGAAGGCGATATGCTCGAGTCCGGCGCTCGTACGGATCTTGGGCCCCGTTCCGGGAACCGAGATCAGTGCGATGCGGTGGTGCTCGTCGTCGTATGTGATGAAGCTAATGAAGTCGTTCTCGTACGATGCTTGTCCACCGAGGAACGCCTTGTAGAACTCGCGCATCTTGTCAAACTGTCCTGTCCGTAACACGACGTGTGCCATCTTTGATGGACTGAGCACTTTCGCCATGATGAACGGAGTTTGGGGGCAAAGATGATTGATTGATTGATCTTCGTGAGGAACTGTCAATGCTGTTATTAATGATGTTGTTTGTTAGCAGTAGTGACGCTCTGAGGGCCAGAGTGTCGTCGTTTTGTTGTCTGCCTCTCGGATGTGTTTCCAGATGGCCGAGGATACAGTACACAAAATGTGGGAGCCGATTTCACTGATTCAGCAAAGTCAGCTGCCCCTCGGGTTCTATGTTTCTTCGGACAATCCCTCCGGCAGATGCGGCGTGGTACATGTACATAGGACATGACATACATAGCACATCTCATCCATTCCGCTGGTGTTGACCATTCTTCCCCAGCTCGGTCCCAGATCCTAGCCGCGATTGGTCTAGCTCCTGCTGTGATTGCGGAGATGTTGCGGGGTTAAGCTGGCAGTGCAGCTATTCCGGATGCGGTAATTATTTAACTGTTTATGGTATGGTATGCTAATAAAGGGAAACCTCGGCTAGTTGTCTAGCTAATCAGCTCGTCCCCTCCGGCCTTGTCGACCGACTTCAACCATATTAGCAATATAGCCCGAAGTTAGCACTTCTAAACAAACCAGCCAACTCCCGGTGCGGGGGTGACATCTTCCTTTGCCTCAAAAGTGCACAGCAGTGGGGTAGCGCCGCGGGGTGAAAGCCCGAGCCCGTACCAGCTGATCTCGTGATTTTGAACCTGAGTTCGCGGTTCGGGGTTCGGGCCCCGGATCCCGTGCTGGGCCTGGGAACTCTGTTATTGTACCTTAAAGGGTAATAGTAGAACGGGGGGAATAGGTGCAACATCTGAGAGTATCGATGTTATTATAGAATTGACTTTTGCTATTCAGTCTCAACAATTATGCTAAGGAGAATCGTGAAAAGATGCTGCCTTTCAGGCCTCCCTGAACCTTACGGTATACTATTGGTCCTCGCTTCCTGGCTATATATATTCTATCAAAGGCCTTCTCGTAAGTGTTTTACTCAAGCCCCATGTCATTGGATCCATGCTTACAATGAGATCTTCTGCCACGACGTCGTCTGTTATCATCGCCCTTAAACTTTGCTTCGATATACATATATAATACGTAGGTTGCGAATAGATGGAGAAGTGGAACAGTTTACCTTCCTGGATAAGATGATCTCGGGATAAAGGGAAATCTTGTACGGTTCAGAGGCATATTTGTCCAAAGTGAGACTGTGAGAGATGAGAGGAATTTACGTAGTCATCTGCAATGTGTTACTCATGCCAGGATTTCAAAGCCGTTACATAGCTACCAACGAAGCATATCCCCTCAATGCGTATATGCATCCAACCCGCCTATAAAAATGCTCATCCCAAACTCCATGTCAATAAACTGACAATGTCCACTTTTCAACTGCAAGCAGAAGTTCAAGTCCGCACCTATAACGAGGACCCATTACACGCAAGCAAGCCTTGATCAAACTCCATCCCCGACGATGTGAGATCCTGCTGGAAATCCATGTGAGAATAATTCATAGGGCTAAGGTCCCATTCCTCGACTTGACCGCCGCGCTGATTCGCCTGCCAACGATGCAGGTTTTCATCCGCAAGGTAGATATGTTGCGGCGGTGTGTCGCCTTGGAGATAAGTGGTGTGGGGTTGCGTATCGGGGACTGGATCTGGAATGGAGTCTATGGGTATGGAGGCTTGGTCGGATTGGTATTTGGCTGGGGTATCGAGAGGGGTTATGGCGCATTGGCTGTTTTGAGAAAAGTTCGTTTGATTCCAGCCCTCGATGTTAGGGATTCTTTGGTTGGGCACTGTGTTATCATTGGGTAACATGGATGCTTGGTTTTGATTTGGCTGCCAAGATTGGTTGCTAGACTGTAGAATGTATCTCGATCAGCAGATGCACTGCGCATAATAGTCGATCGATCAGCATCTTATACTTACATCTGAAATCTGTTGACTAGGGGAGTTCTGATCAAAGACTCCATTCCTCGTTACACCCTCTCTTGGCTGAGATGGGGAGTTACGCCGCATCTCTAGAGAGTGGTAAGCAACGGCTCTCAAGAATCGTGTAAAATTAACGCACCTCGACCACTGTTCTGGCGAGCTTTCTGTACTACTCCTCGAGCAAGTCGGACAAGCTCTCCGACTTTGTTGAAGGTCGTACCTCCAGAAGTGATAAATTCTAAACGCCCAAAATGTCCAATCACAACTTCCATCAGAGCAATGTCATTGCTAGCTGTTTCGGATAAGGGATTGCAGACGACGTGTGTAAAAATCGTAATGAGAGCGGTCATTGGATAGTAGAAGACGATCCTTGACTTTTGTAAGTATGTTCTCCTATCTAGTCTCCCTGTTCAAAAGAGCACATACCATCCAGGGCTATAGCTCTCAATATCAAGATGTTTCGTCAATAAGATCATAGATCTAGCTGCTTCGAGACACTTTGCCGCACTCATTGCCTCCGTCGCCTCACGCTCCGTCGGACTTGATTGAGAGTCGTAGTGAAGAAACATAGCACTGAATCTCCTGTATACCGCACAAATTGCATAATTGTACGCAAAGTTCAGCACCAGAGCGTGGATGAAGGGAACATTGTTTGGAAGGGTTGATGGTCGAAAAGACGTTCCTGGTCGGAAAGTAATTGGGATACTCTCACGCCAGCGCAGGATCCCCTCGTCGAGTAGTGTTGCTGTCGATAGCATGTCCCGACATGGACGACTTACTGCCGAAGCGGAATAAAGCTGTTTTGCAATCTTACCGCATAATCTGGCGTATTGGACATAGGTTAAGAAGAGATCAAATGTCTCTCCTTCATTACTTCCAGTCTCATTCCTGACATCTTCGCAGGGAACTTGAAACACGGTTATGCCGTGTGGGAATTGACAGCTGATTTCATCATCATCAATAGCCTTGAGTAAACGAGTCAGCACAGCCCTAAGTTGTAATTGAGGTATGGCATACAGAAGGTCGACCACAGCGTAACGCGATGGTTTTATCCAATATATAGACCACCCAAAAGAGGCGATTGCGTTCCTGAATCTCGTAATCTGTGAGATTCCAGCTTGATAATGACTCTCTGTGCATTCCTAATCCTTGAGCAACCTGTGCCGCCAAGGTACAAAATGTGTGTTCCAGCCGTTGTGGGCTTGATAAGCCTTGTGCGTAGACTGTCTGCTCGATGAAGATATCGTCAGCTACGAGGTTTCCACTCAACACCACCAATGGACACTGATTCATACCATAGTAGCGAGGGCCTGCTTGAGATTAGTCTGTTATCCAATATCAGGAATGACAGGACGCAGACCTGAACAGCTGTTATATTTGTAGGCTGATATATGAGTTGGGCCACAAGATCGACGGCATTCTGAAAGTAACCCCAGCCTTCTCGGCCAGACTTTTCAAATGCATCCCGTGATTCCGCTGATAGAAAAGCCCTGCATCCTGATGCCAGCACCGTGTTGAGAAGTACGGACCAGGCAGTGTCAACTTTGGTCGGGTCTTGGAAGTACGCATTCAGGCGGTTTTCGAACAGGGGTCGGTCTAGAATAGGAAATATGCTGAGAACAAACCACAATCAGTATGAATATAACAAGCAATAGAAAAAGAAGTAGGAAGCTCAAATTCATTACCACTGAACTTTTCGAAAGTAAGCTACAGAAGACGTTAGTAATCGTACTTTACCTGAAAGTCAACACGCGGAGCGATGTCTACCGACGTACCGTCAACATAATTCCACACCGTATCCTGTGATGGTAGCGGCTTTGAGAAAGCTCTCCTGTCGAGCGATGACCACGGATTTGAGGGCATACATTTGGGCATCTGCAAATGATTCGCAACATCGACAGTGATAGCCCGGAGAGTAACGCAGATATCGTTTTTCTCGTCAAAAGTGCTTTGGATCCATTCCAAGCCAGGGTCAGAGAAGAGGGATATGCCAGATGACGGTCCTGTAATAAATTATTACCGAGAGCTCAGGTGGGTGTGAAGGCGTGGCATACCAGTATATTCATCTCCGTCCTATTTGTTATACATGAAATCAATCAGCTTTCTCTAGTTCATCAACGGCGTGTTACAAGGGCAACGCACAAGTGTTCTGATCCATACTGCTGCATTGTTCTCTCGCCGTCGAGTAACTTTCCCCGAAATGATTTCGTCCAATAAGTTGAATTGAGCGCCAGGCACTGTACTCCTATGAGGTTGTTCAATCGTGCCTTGACTTGTCTGGGCAGGGCTAATAGATCTCATGTTTGCTCTTCGCTCAGCTACTGAAGTTACTGCAGGCTCATCATTCAGTGCGGGACTAAGTTCTTGAGTAGCTGTTGAGGCATGATCGAAACTCTCGTGAAGAGTCGGATTACTGGCGCCCGTGGCGCCCGTGGTGCAGATTGCTGGAGATATATCTGCTGCTGCTACTCCGTTCTCCAACAGATCTTGGTCCATAGACCCACTACTGGGGTCATCCTGCATGCCCCGGAATAGGGATTCTATTCGATGGAGCCTCTTCTCAATTTCTGGACACCCTACTCAGCCTCTACTTTAAATTTGAAGTATTCAAGCGAGTCACGAAGTTCCATGTTGTGGACTGAGAAACGTACCCGCACTATCTAGTTTCTTCAGAGACTGTCTTTCACTGACATATTCACAAGGCAATGAGCATAGCTGTTCAAAATGCCTATTAGCGATTTCACCTTCTCTATGGCCTTGCTTGCCATCGAGCGAGATGGATACAGAAACTGACGGACTTTACAGCGACCACAAACGGGCTTTGCATTGTCACCTAGAGAGTATGTATCAGCACAGTGTCAGAAAATACAAGTATTGGCAGAGTTCGGTAGATGCTGTCGACGTACATTTTATCTTCTTTATTCGGCATTTCTTACAAGCCATGACGTCGCGAGGCCTATGCTAATCATCAAAAACGAGCCATCCCTCATGCAGGCTTTGGTCGTGATATGGACATGTGTCAAAGAGTTGTCCAAACTGACAGTATATGAAGGAATGTATTGCACTGAGGTTGGAATGGATAGAGAATGAAAATCCGGGGAAGGGAGAAGAAGGGGAAGGCGAGAAGTGCGGGGTCGGGTATAGCATGGGTCATAGCCGGTCTTAGCCAGCACTCCATTGTAACATAGGTCCACGTGATGCACCTCTAGAATCCAAAAAAAGACCCAGGGAGCTTTTCCTGAGGAGCAAGAGGTGAAGAAGGGACGTCCAAGGAATCCTATACTTATGCTGCGCGGGATGTGAACTCCCGTTGGATTGATTAGATGGAAAATGTGGGTGGAAGATGCCCGGACTAGATAAACCTTTCAAGGTCCTGAGATCATCATATAAATGCAGAAGGCTGCAAGGTATTGTCGAAGTTGATCCAAGCTATTCTCAAGGCGCAAGCCCCCTATATATACCCATGGTCTACCCTCAGATGGTGAGCTCCTCAATCCAGACACAGATCGATCCCCTGATGATACCCTAAGATTTGGGGGAATCCCGCGGGATTCGGGGTCTTAAATCGCAGTTCTTCATGCGGTAGCGTGGAGTCCTAGAATGCCCGGCTTCGTGATCGCAGGTTCCTCTCTCTCGTGACATTCGACTCGGGGTTGCAGTCCGAAACCCGACGACGGTGGATTCCTATGCCCAGCCCGCGGCTTGAACGGCGCGCGCAACCCCGGCTGCTGGTTGTGGGGCCCCGCACACATTTCCCCCCGCCCTTGTCTCCTCGGTGTCCACGCCTATGTTGTCAATTTGTCACATCTCACAACGGGTAGTGCGGAGAGCAAGGGGGGGTGTTTACCGACCTTGGCCCTTGTATAGATCAATATGTAGATATATTTCGAAGTATGTTTCCAGCTCGTCTCCTCTCATTCTGCCAACGAAGCTACTCCCGTCTTTCAAATCCCCATACTTTCTCGCTCTCACAGTCCTCACTTCACGCTACATTGACTACATTGCAATAATGTCGTCGCCAATTGACATCCCTGTTCTCATCATCGGTGGTGGTGGTTGCGGTCTTACTGCATCGATATTCCTGAGTGATCTCAAGGTAGAGCATGTTCTCTTTGAGAAGCATCCAGGGACATCGTTCCTCCCCAAGGCACATTACTTGAATCAGAGAACCATGGAAATACTTCGCATACATGGAGTCGACAAGCTGATCACCGATGTGGGGTGTCCTATCCGTAAGATGAGTAGGGTAGAGTTTAGGACGTCGCTTGGTGGTGACGAGCCCTATGATGGTCGCCTTCTGGGACATTGCGATAGCTTTGGCGGCCACAGTGGTACGCCATCGTACGAGATGTACAGGTATAGCGATTCAATGGCTCTTGGTCATTTAACAGATTTGCTAACAAGATCCTTTGCTAGGCGTGATTCGGCAGTTCTCTCTTCGAACCTTCCTCTAATCAGACTGGAGCCCATTCTCCGTAAAGTCGCAGAAGAACGAAACCCAGGGCGGGTTCTCTTCAGTCACAGAGTTACTGACTTCGAGGAGAAGGATGGTGCAGTTCTAGTAACTGTGGACCAGCCTGATGGTAAAACCATCCAATATCGCGCTCAATACGTCATCGCGGCTGATAAGGGGCAACTGTCCACACCTAAACTCGGTGTCAAGATGGAGGGTCCCACCGAACTTGTTGATTTCGTTACTACTCACTTCAAAGCTGATCTCTCAGACTATTGGGACGGCAAGTTACCCTCAGTTCCACACACTACTGGAGCTAATATGGAAACTCAGATCGTACCTTGATCACACATTTCATCAACCCTGAGGGTGAGAAGATGGCCAATTTCGACTGCGGGGCACTCGTACAAATGGGTCCTACATGGGGACGCAAATCCGAGGAGTGGACTTTACATTTCGGCTTCCCGGTTACAGACAGCAAGCGGTTTGACAAAGAGGCACTTCCTCCCAGGATCCGACAACTCCTGAAAATTCCCGATCTCGAGATGGAGGTATTGCATGTCAGCCATTGGGTCCTCGACCGAGTACTTGCCGACAAGTACCGCTTCGGCAGGGTCTTCATCGCTGGGGATGCTGCCCATCGACGTCCCCCAACCACGGGTTTGGGACTAAATACTTCAATCGAAGACGTACATAACCTCACTTGGAAGCTCGCCTTTGTCCTTCAGGGTAAAGCCGAACCGTCTTTGCTCGACACATATGAGACAGAAAGGCGGCCCATAGGCCTCCGGAACTGCGACTGGGGCCTCTTCACTTTCTCAAACATGCCAGTCCTGCAAGCCGCGGTTGGTCTCGTGCCTGGTCAGTTGGAGTACAATCGTCAACGTTTCAAGAGGATCTTCGAGGACACACCCTATGGCCGCACGTCACTCAATCAGATCCGTCGAGCCATCGCAACGCAGGATGTTGAGTTCTCGGCACATGATATTGAGCTGGGCTTCGTCTATGAGGACGGTGCTCTCGTAGCCGATGGCACTGAGCGCCCCCCCGCCGACCCCGCCGGCCAGATCTACATCCCCACAACCCGACCTGGACACCGACTACCACATGCGTGGATCGAGGACCGGAATGGAAGGGTTGTCTCAACCCATGACCTGGTTGTAGCGGGAGTGTCAGATTTCTGCCTGATTACCGACGAGTACGGTGGGGCGTGGGTAGAGGCTGCTCGGAGGCTTAGCAAGTCCACCAACTTCACGATTAACGCTGTGCAGGTCCGATCTCGAGAAACGTCTAAAGATCCAGCTCTATACTACGACTACGAAGGTCGGTGGGCGCAAGTGCGGGAGATCTCGGATGGCGGTGCGATACTTGTCAGGCTTGATAACTTCGTGGCGTGGCGGAGCCGTAGACCATCTGATATGGCAGAGAAGGTACTCGGTGATGCTCTTGCAGCAATACTAAAGGGACCTCAGAAAACAGGCTTGAAGGGCAATAGTACCAATGGTATTAATGGTACTAATGGAGCACACGTCGTTGATAGTGTTAGTGTATGAAAAGCAGCGCTTGTTGCTTCTTCTTGAAATATATTTTATATTGGCCCTGCCTTGACTTCCTTGAAGGTCGTAAGGGTGGATTGTGTACTAAACAGGCAGCTACTTCGATCATCTAAACCATATCCAGATTATAGTAAGAAATTGGGAGGTTGTATTTTCTTACGTCCGAGATTGGCAGAGAGAAAAGGCGAGAGCTTGAGTTGACTATTTTATTGCAGCAACGGTCTGAAATAGAATGAATGGGAAAGAGAAGACAATAGGAGAGAGGGGTAAAAAGAAGAGAAGACAAAAAAGCAAGACGCGAGACAAAACGGCACCTTCTTGATATATCATCGATGCATAACTATATGTACCGCATTGAGAATGGCCTGGTCCAATTCTTGACCCATCAAAAGCTTGGCCGCCAAAACTGCCAGCGTGTCGCCGAACATTTCCCGATCTGTATAGGCCAGAGGATCCTGGGAAGGGTTGCTCTCTTGGCGAGCGACGAACTAACGTCTTCGGACGGATTCAACCGGTTCACAACAGAGATCAGGATGATCGAACTAGAACCCACACATATCATCTCATTCTTGTTTACACCCGAAGTGGGGATGGCACAACCAACATGCGAGTTTCAGGGTCCATCAGTAGTTCGTTCCTAACGTATATCGGGTCTGAAGATATGCATAGTTGATAGATGTCGCTCTCGGGGGATCTTTGATTGGAAGAATCGCAAACTCACTACACAAAAAGTTGTCAGCTCGGATCCGAACTAATATGCGACAGAGAACCACTCGGAGACACAGGAGGGATGAAGACTTGGATCCACTGGCAGGGGTATCATGTCCTGTACTGTGAGGTAATTGATAGACGCTGCCCTTGTCCATCCCGTGTCAATATATCTACCGTCTCCGCCGGATGCCGCCCTCCCTTCAAACTTTCTGATGCCGATAGGGGATCACGGTTCAACGTGCAGTGAGTCCATATCGAGGCCCAAGTACAACTATATTAATCGGTGGACATTGATCATCGAGGTTCCAGCAACCACTTGTAAGTTGTAGCCTCTGTAGCCGCCACGTTCGTCGCCGTACTTCCCATCTACCTAGAATGGTTCTTCTTCCGCGCCTTTTCGAGTCTTCGTCATTCGCCCTCGACAGTTGCCATCGCAATAGCGCATATCTCTGATATGCGGACAGCTAGTGGAAGTTTGTAATATTGTGGAAAGAGGGGCGCAAAGCAGCCGGATGCTTATCAAGGTATGCGGGGTCGAACGTGGTCTATCTGTGACCAAGGTGTTGGGGGAGGCGGCAGCCGAGACTATCAATAACTATCAATTTCTAACCTCGATAACTAGCGAGCATTAGGGGAGCTGATCAGAAATGTAGGCTGCCTAGCAAATTCGCAAGGGAATTAATTTGAATGAAGAGAACGAAGAAGCGTGGATAAGGTCGTTATCTTGAATCCATATAGCTGCCTCAGGCATTAATACCTTCGACGACTACCGAAGTGACGAGGACGAACAAACGGAACAAAAATGATACAAGAGGACACAAGATATGATCATTTCGCCGGCAGGCAACCCAGTATTTATTAAGTAAGTTGTTAAATGCATTTTTTAGGTTACTATTAATAACATTAGTACCCATAGGTTCTACAGCGCTAAGCCTCACAGAATCCTTCAATCCTCTTGGGATCTCGCACCCCCTGAATCCTAATCCCAAAGCTTGAATGCCAAAAGACGTCCAAAATCCTTTGTACCGAAATCAAATGTCATGGGAAGGATTACTAGGTATAGGGCGAAGCCGAATGGGCTTGTTTGGAGGTACTCTTTGGGCGAGAGAACTCTGAAAATACCCCCAGACTGAGCTCCTTGGCCATGTCTAGCGGAGGATAGGCTGCTATGCATCTGGCAATAACCGGCTAGATGGCCGTAGGAATACCTTTTCCCATACGGTTCCTCAGTAGAGGGCTGTAAAACTTCTTTCATGCAACAAAATGAAAAAATATCTACTCCATCATGCTCTTTTGAAAGCTGTTCTATATCTTACATCTCAAAGATTTTCAAGCCCCTATTTTCCACTAAGGGCAGTCAAGGTGATTGACCTCTAAGATTATCTCTTGTGCTTTTGCTTGCTCCTAAGTACCAAAGCTTAAACCAACACCGAAGCTTCGACCGGCACCACCGGGTGCCATGCAGGTGAACCGCAAGGCAAACCAGCTTCCATAATGCAAGCAGAGAACAAAGGGCTTGCCAGTGCTCTAATCAACAACGTGCTGCAGAAGCAATTACACATTGCGCCTCAGATGTCGAAGGACTACGTCCTCCTGGTATTCGACCTCATCTTGAGTGAATCAGGCCAGGGTGAACCCGCCGGAATGTGAACTTGCCGCTCACTTGATATCACTGGTACGAGTAACTACATGAATGGTCGCATTTCTTGCTCTGTAGTGAACCCGGCCGGGTCCGTAGAACGGGAACATGGAAGACGCGCTGCGACAGGGCGTAGCTCGTCTCGAGTCCAGACACCAAGCTTCTCATTCTCGTTCTCCGGCTGAACAGAACATAAAACGTCTACTAGGTCTTTATTATTTTCATCTGAGCGGATGGTTATGCCACTTGAGAGTTTTTCAAAGAGCAGACGCTTGAGGTTTCGCGGCTTGCCTCGACGTCGTACACCGGTTCAAACAAAAATCTTGTCGATAGTAATTAAGGCAGAACTTTGAATATTCGAGCATATTTCAACAAAGATAAGAAATCTATTGCGAGTCAGAAGGGCGTCTTGAGGGGTCGGAAATGGATATGAGCTGTTATAGACGGCAACTCAGGGTTCACTAATAACCTCTCCTGTGGTAACCAGGCACACTGGCCTCTTAGTTGTTAAATCTGCTGTCTGGCAAGGTAGGGTCACTGTCCTCAGCTGTGGCGTGAAATTGTTCAAGCAACGATATATGTAAGTAGCACAACTTCAACTTCAAGCTGCGCAATGGGCCCCCATGGATGGGTTGGGTTTTGGATCCTTGGCTGACCCGTGGGTTCAAACGTATCATCTAGAATCAACCCCATGGGTTTTTACGCAGTCTAAAAACAAGTCGAATTGATTGAACAAAACGAAGCAGTGTTCAGATTTACAAATAATTCGTTCAACGTGGATGCAACCCACGTAGCGAGATCATCGTTCCAACGACTTTAGGAGTTATTGGTCAGAAGTCAAACATTAATACGGAGGTTATTGGCAACAGAATAACACAAGCCATTCCCAGCTATTTACAACCAATACTAACGAAGCTGGTTTGTAGCTACGACTCATTATCAGAGTTTTTCAACCGTCTCTACATGAGCGACCTCTTCTGATGAATTGCCGGAACCGGCATGTACATAAACCTTGCCAGTTTTCTCAAGCCTTTCAACACTGGCTGTCACCCCTGCTTGATGTTCTTCCTGAAGACGGGCGTAATCTCTCTCGTTCTTCCATACGAACCATGAATTGGAGCGGAAAAGGAGGTCGATCGATTCCAGCGAGCGGCCAGCAGTCTCGGGAAAGAAGCAGTAAACTACTACGATCCAGACGTAGTTCAAAGCGCCGAATATGTAGAATGTTTGGTATCCCAGTTTAGCAACAACTGGTGGAAACCATAGGACACCACTACCAATCCCAAGTCCCCAACCAGCCGCCAGGAAGCCATTGCCTTTTGCACGGAGCATGGTAGGGAAGATTTCGGCGGCGTAAACGAAACAGACGATCATCCAGAAAACACAAAGAACAAAGGTAAAGAGCAGAATCATAGAGCAAGCAGCAGCGCCGTATTTGCCCCTGCTCTCGGGATGATCGATTGCCCCTTTGCTTAGGCCAGCAAAGATCCACATAAGGGAACCCATGAAAACGTTGCCAACCATAAGATTTGTTCGACGACCATATCGATCGCAGAGAAAGACGGCACAGATAGTGCCGAGAATACCCATAGCACCATTAATTCCAGAAAGCCAATCAGCTTTATATGGACTGAACCCAGCCTGTTTAAAGACTGTTGGCGCGTAGATTGTAGTAAGTGAGATACCAGTTCCGATCTCGACAAGCATTTGGATACCGAAAGCGAGCACTGCGCGCCGCCCAAAATGCAGCCTGTCTTTCTTATAGTCTGTCACAATCCTCCAGTAGGAGTCAAAGTCGGCCAACTTCTTGTCTTCCTCGATCGACTTTATGATCTCAATATATTCTCGCCTCGCATCCGGATGGTCAGGATCACCATCTCCTCGAAACACTGCTATAACGCTCAATGCCTCTTTATGGCGTCCTTGTTTTAGGAGCCAACGTGGCGAGTCCGGCAGCATTGAGATAAGAGGGATCATGAGGAGTGGAACAATAGCCTGAAGTGCGAAGGGAAGTCGCCACCGGATTGTAGATTCGGGATCCTTGATGAAACTGAGACCAAAACCTGTCCAGTAGGCACAGAATATGCCAAAAACTGCAATGGATCAGCTAAAGCACACCCTCTCCTCGGGACTTCAATACTCACAGTTGGCGACAAGCACCCATGAGAAGACGGATCCACGCTTGTCAGCGCTGGAGATTTCAGCCGACCACACTGGGATGATTGTGATGAAGAAACCGACACCTAATCCCGCGATTACACGCGCGCAACACATCCAAGCAGCGTTCTTGGCTGATGCCTGAGAAGATATTAGCTCGTCGGATCGGAAAGAGGAGATATAATGGTTACTGACCATGAGCGGCGCTCCTAAGAGAACAAAAAAGCAACCCAAGAGAACACCCTTGACCCGACCATATTTATCTGCAATGTGACCGCCCCAGAGACCCCCAATAGTTGCTCCAAGGTAATAATTTGCTACAATACCGCCTTCTCTCAAGGGCTTGTCAATGACCCCATTCTGTCCGATACCCATGAGGCGCTTATTCGGACGGCTATATCAGTTGGGTACTTGGTCTGGGCATCCTTAGACAACATACCTGGTACTCTGGTGAAGAATTGACGAAGCCCATATTCCCCTGATTCCAGCCCTCAAAGAAGATGCCAAAGGAAGTGATGAAGTTCACACAGAAAGTCAGCTGAGCGCCCGACATCCTCTCCCAAAGCTTCGTCGCCATGATGATAGGGCCTCTAGAGATGCCGTCCAAAGTCAGGGATAATGTTTTCCAGCTGCCAGAGAAATCTGAGCTGGGCGACGGACAATAAGATACAGCAGGAAAGGGGATCTACACTGGATCATATACTCTTGGGGGGAAACCTACCCCTACCCTATAGGGGTAACACGAGTCGAGCAATGGTTCAGATGAAGCGTTTAAGCGGTATCACCTTGCATGACCAAGTACTACCTACCGAGCGCCTTTCAGCCATTTCGTTTCTTCGCGCCCATTGTTCTCATATTCTTAGAGTAGCCGGTATCTCATTTTCCGCCTGGTAGCGAGTGAACCACGGCCAAACAGGAAAAGCAGACGACATCCTTGCGCGCACTGTGACATTCCACTCCCTGAATACCCCCAACAAGACCTGCAAAGGTCTGATTTACCCGCAACCCCGCGGGGGTTCCCCACGGGGCGACCCCCTGCCAATTGCGGGGTGCTCGTCACGAACCTGGTCGACCCCACACATAAGTTCGTCTCGGACCCCACAGCCAAAACATTCGTCACGAAGAGAAGCCAAAGGTTGTCAAAGAGACGAGCAAAGCATGTCCTCGAACAGACTGCGATCAACAACCGGCTGGTTCGATCCCTTTGCTGCCACCCTTGTCTGAATTACACGTGCTAATTCTATTGCTTCAGCCTCACGTGTAGACAGCGGCATGTCAAGTGTAGGTCCGATCCCGTGCTGCTGGTGGCGTGCTGTTTACAGTGTTTCCAGGTGATGAGATAAGACCGATATGCAGGCGGTGTCAGATTGGTGCGAGGGACTGTGTGCGTCCCGAAGACAAACCCCTGGGAAAAGCATCGCGGAAGACGACTTCACCGACGCCGAGTCACGGCTCACATTGGGGCAATGTATCCGGAAGTTCTGAGAATATCCAGCTCCTGCCAAGCCTGAGGCTCAGTGAGGAGGCCAATGTGACATCTGGATGGGGCGATGGCCCCTCGCGATGTCTGAGTTCTACAAATCTTCCAGATCGTCCTCTAAATACTAACGGCCTTTCTAGATCTCGCGACGCAGGATTGTATAGCAAGCCCCCGTGCAGTGGAGCCGCAGGTCGGCATTCCCGTCCATAACGCAAATCCAGCGCTCCCAGCGCTCTCTTGTCCGCCGCAACGGACAACGGACATTCTTCAGTCATGTGCTAGAGGCACGCTCAACCAGAATGTCTCTGTTCATTGCTTTGACGGCAACGCCGCGGAAGTTCCAACAGAGCCCAGTTTTGTTTCAAGAGATATTGGCATACTAGACGTACAAACACTTCAAGGAATTCAACTGCGTGTGGACCATTCAGACACCCGAGCTAACTCGCCAGAAATAGCAGACGAGAGCCCCTCGTTCTGTGTGACGGAAAGGGAGGAATTCCTGCTACAACATTATGCAAAACATCTGGGGAAATGGGTGAGGTTAAGCTTTTTTTTCTCCAGGTGTAATTGATACTGACCTAACCCAAGTTTCACATGTCGGATGCGGATCGCCATTTCTCCATTGAGGTACCACATCTGGCTCGATCTTCTCCTATTCTATTGAAAGCGGTGTCTGCTTTTTCCGCACGGCACCTGAGTTTTATAGGAGGGTACGATCCTCGTGTAGCGGAAGATTTCCACGAACAGTGTATCCGACTTCTGATTCCCGCACTGAGTGATCCAGAGTGCGCGACCAATGATACCATACTAGCTGCGCTCGTCTTGCTTAGGCTATACGAGCATATGACGGGTAAGTAAAGTACCCCATATTTGGCACAGGTAGGAGCTAATTTGCGCCCTTACTGTAGTGTCTGAGACTGGCAAGGACAACGAGCGGCATCTGGGTGGAATATCAGCTCTCGTTGCTTCAGCAATACACAGTCCATGGTCATCCTCCGGATCTGGTCTTCAGAGGGCTTCATTTTGGGGTTACTTTCGGCAGTGTATCTACGCCGCCTGTGTCCATAGGCAGCCCCTAAAATTCGACATTTCCAGTTATAAAATTGAAATGAGACTTTTTACACCATCAGTGGGTATTATGGCGACTGTTGAGGAGGAGGCTGAGTGGTGTAGATGGATTACTTGGATCCTAGCCGAAGTTGTTGATTTTTGCTTTGGAACAAAGGCACAAACAAGCATCCACGATGCGAAGAAGGCCTGGCACAGTCTTTTGAGGAAGGTCGAAATGTGGGATACAAACAAACCAAAGACATTCTTACCTGTTGGAATCAATGAGAGGGATCTAGACAAAGGTCAATGGTTTCCTGAGCGCTGGTATGGTAGTGAATGGCATGGCATGTCTCCTCTCATTATGGCTATGGAAATACTTCTAAGTGCTAATAACTTTCAGCAATGGCAAACATGCACTACCTGACGGCGCGTATCCTTTTAGATGTACATGACCCTTTGATACGCAACGTCTCAATTGGAGACTTCGGCTTCCTCAGAGCTCGGCAACAATTAGAGGTGTGTATCTTTAACATATGAGCGGAAATACCAGCCCGCTAACTGGAGAAAATATAGAGCAAAGTCATTTCGAATGCAAGAGCAATATGTGGCATATGTCTTGCCAATCCAGGCAACGTTGCTACTATTTTTACTCTATGCCATGCGATTTTTGCCTGTACGTCCCATCTTCTCAGGAACAATATTCTGTCCAGAGCATGCTAATAGAATTCTTCAACATCCAGTTGCGTCTTTCTTCAGCGAGACTGAAGAGAGAAAACTCTTAATACATATTTTAAGAAGAGCAGAAAAAGAAGATGGTTGGCCGACAACGTGAGTTATATTACATGTAGTTTTGGGCAGACATCTCACCCTGTAACAGATGGATTATAAATGCCTTAAAGATAGATTGGGATTGGGAGGATAATTAATGGATATTATATTTTCCAAGCTATTGCAAGCCTGTAGGTCGGACCCCATATATGTGGATCTCTGTAGGGTGAAGTTACCTCTCTCTATCAAGGGTACACAGCTACCCTCAATAATTGTGGCGTCAGGTCTTCATTATATTCCAAGTCTCAAAAGCAGCTTTTTGTTTCTTGTACTACTTGACTTACCTTCTAATATCTGGAGCTGAGAATATGAAGAAAGAAGGAATCGCTTGACATAATCTGAGGGTTTGATCGTTGCTTTTTCCCGAAAGTCATTTGACAGTACCCAATGATTTCAAGACTGCTCTTTACCGAAGCAGGCGCCAGCATTTTCTATAATCTCCACTACCTTCGTGACGATCATGTGGTCTATCTGCAACATAGTTATCCGAATTTGCCGCTCCGGGTTTATACATTCTGTATATAGTGTCGTATTCATATCTCCCATAGTCCCTTATAGCCTCATCTTCTTTCTTTGACATTTCTCAAAACACACAATCAGTTCTCACCTTTTGATATCTCGAACAGCTATGTTCACACCATTAACACAAGTATTTTTGCCTCTGGCACTTTCCGGTCTCGTCATCACATGGATTATTGTACCAACCATTCGTTATTTCCTCGATCGAAAACGCCTAAGACAATATCCTGGACCGTTGCCGGCTGCGTTTACCGACTTATGGATGATGTACAAGCATTACACCGGAGGTCGAACCAAGTCTATCCATGAATTGCACAAGAAGTACGGCAAGATTGTACGAGTGGGCCCGGAGTCTCTATCATTTGCTTCTCTCGAGGCTGTCAAAGATATCCATGGGCATGGAACGGCGGCTTTCAAAGACAAATTTTACACCTCTCTGGCTGGCGACCATAGGCAGTTGCTCGATTCAATTGACAAGGAGCAACATGCAAAGAAGAGAAAGCTCTTTGCAGCAGCATTTGCACAGAAGTCTGTCGAAGAAAAGGAGCACAATGTCAGAGAGGACATTCAGGAACTCATCAACCAGTGGGACAAGCTTGCTAGTCCTCAACCTCCTGCCGATCAGACCGTTTTTCAACCTCATGAGCTCATTGACGCCAGACGCTGGCTTAACCTCCTTATGCTTGACTTGGCTGGCGACTTTGCTTTCAGCATGAAACTGGGATTCGTCGCTCAGGGTGATGACCTTACGACGTGCGAGACTATCCGCGGCGAGAAATATCTGGCACATCCTGAAGCGTCCATCAATCCCAACCTGCAGATTATATCAACACTGGGCTATGCACGGTCTTCCTTTTTCAAGATCAACCGCAAGCTCTTCTCGTGGCACCGCGGCTGGAAGGATGGCGATATCATAACGGACTTCATCACCCATCTTGTGAAGACACGCTTATCAGCCGATGCTGACGGCAAAGAGCGTTCTGATTTTTTCCACGCCCTGAACTACACACGAGACGGTGTACCGATTGGTATGGAGATGGGAGAGCTGATCCAAGAATGCAGCTTGCTCATGGTGGCTGGCAGTGAGACGACTACATGCGCTTTGCAGAACATCTTCCATTATCTTATCCGCAACCCGCGATGTATGGAGACTCTATATGAGGAGGTAGCCACTGCATTTGATGATGAAGACGAGGTGGTGCCAGCGTACGACAGGATCAAATTCCTCCCATATCTACGGGCCGTGATTGACGAGACGTTACGCCACCGGCCTTCATTGGCCATTGCCTTGCCTCGTGTCACCCCTCCTGAGGGCATGAGCATTGCTGGAGTTTGGGTTCCTGGAAATACAACTGTGAGCACTCCAACTTGGACCATCCATCACGACCCTGAACTCTTCGAGGCCCCCTTCGAGTTTCGGCCTGAGAGATGGCTAGGGGAGTCTGGCGCTCATCTGCAAACAAGCTTTGTACCTTTTAGCACTGGTGCAAGAGCATGCGTTGGAAGAAATATGGCCTACATGGAACTGAGTCTCATTGTTGCGACTTTGGTTCATCGATATCATTTTGCTCTCTCGTCTCCTGACTGGGAGCCCACCATCTACGAGACGATGGTTATCAAGTCTGGACCCATGCCGGTTAAAATCTGGCGCCGAGCTTCTGCAAAGGCCTCTTAATTATACGTAGCGTCATAGTCTGTTATGATAAGTCGAATACACAATCATCAATTTATACACATTACTTCCTTTCCAATAAGTAGCACATCATGATGCTTCTCATGTGTGCACGTTTTGCTCTTCTTTTGTGACCTAGAAACGACACTTAGCAGATTCCCATTGACCCATTACCCTATACTCAAAAAGTATTTCAAATGGACACCCGCTTAGTCCAACCCCCATTTTCACTGCAGTCTTGAAGTATTAAGCACGTGCGTTACAATGCACAACTTGTGTTAACTGACATATACTAGCCATGAGATAGCTACATCGTATCTTCTTATCCACATTCTGATCTTCCCCGCCCCGTTATTCCAATTGGACTCACTTATTTGAAATCCCTCCCATAATGCGTCTCTCTCGGAATAAGTAATACCGAGACGGAACGGCTGCTCGCCCCGCTCAGCTCGGGCCCTGGAACTCGAGACGAAGTTAAGCGAAAACTAATTCAGGGGGGGAACCTCGAGACGAACTTGAGTTAAGCGTAATTTAGGTCAGACACTAAACCAGAAGAGGAGCTGGAGCCGATGCCTAGTGTGTGGGGTTGAGTGGGGTAGCGCATGATCCAAGGGGCTTTATGCCTTTAGGCTTTTAGGCCTTTAAACCTTATTCTCATGTCTTTCCCATATGGAGATTTTGTCAAAACCTGAGAGCACAGGTAACTCGCAGCGGGTCTCGTGTCGATCCTCCAGAAGCAACTCGTTCGCTCGGGTGAAAGCCCAAGCTCGCTCACGTCTCTACACATTGTAGGGGCCATCGGAAAGGCCAGCCACATGCTGGTTTCTCCTCATTTGCAGCTGTCCCGGTCCGACTTCCCACACGGCATCTTGCGTCACAATGGGTACAAGAAAAGACATTAAATATCAGTGTTGCCTTGGACAGCTCTTTGAATGATGTGAGGTATTTCTCCAGATGGCGTTTCTCCAGATGACAACTCGAAATAACACCTTGGTAGACGCGCTGGCCTTTAGGCCTGCTGGGCCAGGGCATATCTTTAACCACCCAATTGTGCACTTGGCATGGCCTCTGAAGATTCCCGACTTTATAACGTTATTTCTCAGCCTCGCAATATGGGCTTGGTTTACTGATGGCTGGGGTTTCTGGTCTCCAAAGCCTGACCCGCTTCTCTTCATCCCGGTGAAAGACCGAAGTTCTTTTGCAGAGACTCCGAAGAAATCCAGAAGCATTATAGATGCTCTGACTGTCAGTATATTTTGAAATCAAGCTATATGAAGTCCTAGTTGACAGGCACTAATGCCATTACAGGAGTTGGATCTTATAGTGTTTTGGGGTTCACAAGGTGGCAGAGCTGAAAGACTCGCTGGCGGTCTTGCGCGGGAATGCAGCGCAAGATATGGCATTCGATGTTTAGCTGTTGACTTGGACGACTACGACTATGAGGACCTACCCAGAATTCCTTCATCCAAGCTTGTAGTCTTTATTATTTCAACCTTCGGAGAGGGGGATCCTACGGACAACTCTTATGGATTCTATTCTGCCCTGTCAACACTATTCGCAGAAGGCAAAGCGGAATGCCTCCGGGATTTGCAATATGCTGCATTTGGTCTCGGGAATAGAAACTACAAGTATTTCAATAAAGTCATTGACACAGTTGACGACATGCTCCAGCAGCTCGGCGCCAAGCGCTTGGGCATGGTTGGCCGGGCGGATGAAGCGAGAGGCGGCATGGCTACACAAGAAGACTTTACAGAATGGAAGGAAGCAGCGCTAGAGAGCATCAAATTGAAGTTCGGCGTTGAAGAACAGGCTGTGCGTTACACACCGGAACTCGACATTGTCCCCGTGATTGCACATCGAAGCACCCTGCATCTTGGAGAACCAAAAGTTGTGCATCCTGGCGGCAGAACTGAGACGAAGAGGTTTCGAAACAGTCCTCTTGCTGTACCGATAGTTACTTCGAGAGACCTTACACCGGGCGCCAGTCGCAGGTACATTCACCTCGAATTCGATCTCTCTGGCGATCGATCTATGAAATACCAAACAGGAGATCACCTGGCAGTATGGCCTCAAAACCCGGAAGAGGAAATTCAACGGCTCTGTTACTTGCTGGGATTGAGTGAAGAAGAACGTACAGAAGCGATTGAGTTAAAGTCGAGGGTCGAAAACAAGGAAGCACCAATACCATCTCCCACAACGAGGGAAACTATCTTGCGGCATTACCTACAGATTTGCGCTCCCGTCTCACGAGACCTACTGTGGCTCATTCTTGAATACTGTCCCACTGAAGAGGCCACCGAGATTATCTCCACTTGGGCCAAGGACAAAGACAAGTTCAAAAGAGATATTTCCTCCCGCTACCTCACACTTAGCAAAGTTATGCAACTTGCTGGTGGCAACAAAGTTTGGGAGAAACTGCCCTTCACTCTACTCGTGGAAGGTCTGGGCAAACTTCAGCCCCGTTATTACTCAATTGCATCCTCGCCTTCGCTGTCGCCTCACCAGCCTGCCATTACGGTTTCGGTAACCTCGAAGCTCTTGGGCTCCTCCGAAAAAGATGTCCGATTCTATGGTGTTGCTTCCAACTATTTACTCGCGATCAAACGCAGCCATGTGGACACAAGCAATGAGACGCTTCCTACGAGCTGTGACGACTCTGAGTGTGAAGGCCCTCACTATGAGAACACGAGCGGCAAAGTCTTCGTACAGCTCAGGAGATCAACGTTTAAACTCCCGCCCAATTCTCAAAGGCCAATCATCATGATAGGCGCGGGCACGGGCGTTGCTCCCTTTCGAGCCTTCGTGCAAGAGCGAGCCGCACTAGCCAGCCACAACATCCCGACCGGACCGACGCTGCTCCTGTTTGGCTGTCGGTCTCCATCCGATGGTTATCTATACGCGGAAGAATGGAAGGATTACGAAACTCGCGTCCCAAACTTCGAAGTTGTGCCTGCTTTCTCGCGATTCGGCAGCAAGATACATGTTCAAGATTTGGTTGTAGAGCTCAAAGACCGAATCGTGTGTCTTCTCGATCAGAACGCAACTGTCTACATATGCGGATCTGCGGATATGGCTCGAAATGTGAGGAATACATTGATGAAAATATTGATGGATTCGAAGGGATGGAGTGAGGTGGAGGCTGAAAGGTACATCATGCACGAACTGAAGCGGGCAAAGAGATTTCAGGAGGATGTTTGGTCCGATTAGATAGATAGTCCCCTATTTGCCAATTTGGAGTCTCTTTTACCAACAGTCCGTCGATTTACATTTCCATTCCTACCTCTAGCTTTTCTAGAACTTTGTGCAAATCTCCCAGCCCTCTTCTACTCGAAGCTTGAATCGTCAATCACGCGTCAGAACCAACGTCACCGCGAACGGCTGGCGATGTGAGAGACCACTGCGACAGCTCTGTGGTTGACAGGTACCAAAATGCCATGCAATTCCGGGGAGCATGGAAAGATCCCATATAAAGGCATGCCCCGTTTGATGGACTCTGCGCCGTGGGAAGTTAGGAGGTATCGCTGCTATATATCGAGCTGAAAATAATGCCATTTCTAATATAGTGAGTCTTACCACTTTGAGAACTATATGTTCGAAATGCAAGCAAAGTTCGAGGAGGAATTCCCGCACTGCATGCACCACATTATGATTTCAACAACAGGACAAGGCTGGATTATAGGGCAGTATCCTGGAGCAGCATTTCGACAATTTCATTGCTGCCGCCGTTTATTCCTTTGCCTTATCATCTAAGAGTTCCCGAATACGCTCACTATAACACCCCTCATCTTCCTCGTTTAGTTTCTGCCAGTCAAGAGCAGTACCCCAATGCTCCTTTGTCTTGTAGTTATAACCAAGAATGTTTGGGTCAGCGCCTTTCTGCAGTAGAAACTCAAACCTATCTTCCAATCCCCACGCAGCTGCATAGTGTAACGGGGTTCCATAAATCCTGCTTTCATACTGCTCTGGAAACTCCGGCTCCTGCGCAAACTCAAGCGCGTTGATGTCGAAACCCTTCTCGAGAAGGAATTCCATAACCTTCACCCGCTCTTGCGGACTACCACGCCCAATTCCCCCCGCAGCTGCATGCAAAGCATTCGTCTTCTCGAGGGTCGCGCCACGCTCGACAAGCAGCTTTACAATCTCGAGACTCGAGGTCGCCGCAGCAAATTCGATGGGGTATCTGCATATGGGCGTTCCATATCTGCTGCTTGCCACCGTCCGAGGCACCCTTTTCAATTCCAGGTAGTTCACGTCTGCGCCGTTGTCAAGGAGCGGCAGGACCTTGTTCTTGTCCTTGATTGCCCGTCTAGAATGTTACGGTATTAGAGCTGTGGGGCTGCTCTGTGGTTCCTGGGTGAAGAGAGGGGAGAAACATACATTAATGGCGTAAGGGATAGGGGGTCATCCTGGTTGACATCGATATCGGTAGGTACTGACCCGCTTTCCGCCGCCATGTCAACTGCAGGAGTATCGCGGCGAAGGGATAAGAGGTTGGGGTTGTATTATGGGCTTGTTCCAGATTTCAATGCGGGTGGCATAGAAGAAAGGTGGAGACAGGAAAGGGCGTTGCAATAGACAAGAGATCAGGAATCGAGAATCGAAAACTTTAAACTTTAAACAGAAAATTGCCGCTGCAGGTGGTTATCTGGCCCTTTATTAGTCCTGTTACTGGTCCTGTCTGTTGGTTGTCACGAGATGTTGCTGTGCCATTCGCTTGTGGCTGTGGCTGTGGCTATGGAAACCCTATTTTGACCTTGGATCACCTTAATCTACCTTAAGGTACCTTACCTTACCTTATTAGGTAACCTATAGCTGCGCCGTGGCTGTGGCCAATTAATCCCTCTTCTCTTTCATTCCTATGCATGCTGTTCATGTTGTTCATGTTGTTCACGTTGTTCACCCTGCTCATCCTACTCGTCGAATGTTGAACATCGACTTTAACCCTCACTCACGCATTGTGCCTTCACAACCCATGGTGAATCCGAGACTCCTGGATCTGGCAGCCCATACAGGCTTGCTGGCTTAGATGGCGTCCAACGTGCCTGGAGGAGCAATGAACAAGATCTCCTTGTCTCATCCACCTCCAACTTACCCCACGTGGGTTCCGTTCCTTTCCCACAGACGCCCAGTGACTGAACCCATAACGGACCATACGCTACAGTCGCAGCTGTCCTTGGAACTTGGCTTCCAGATTCCAAACCACTGGTTTTCTCTCGTGAACTTGGTTGATGATTCTTCCTTCTGGATTCTGAGTGTGGTTTCAAGGCACAATCCACATTCTTCCTTTTTCATGCAAATTTCCAAATCAATCCGACCCGCTGCGGGACAATTGAAGATATAAAGCAATGGATAATTAATTGAATTTAAGATTACTTTCTTCCCATCATCTTCATCATCTCTTCCTCACCTACAGCATCTGGTGTCAATTCTTCTTCTTGACCCTCCTCTTTCAGCCACTTCTCCTCTCGCCCAAACAGAACGGTTTACCATTCTAGATTTTTCTGTTGTCGTCTCTCTATATCCACCATCAAGATGATGGCACGCCAGAGACTCCAGTTCTGGCTATCTTTCCTGTGTCTTCTTGGACTTCTCCTTCAACAATCAACTGGATTTCCTCTTGATTCAAGCGAGTAAGCTACAGTTTTGTTGTTTCCCATAGCCGTAACCCCATCTTGCTAAGACAACTAATAGTAAAAGCTTTCAAAATACTGAGCTTGTTGCCAGTGCCCCTACTAAATCCTCGGATGCTCTAAAGGATACCTCGTCCGGGGTCACTTCACACCCTGCAGGTCAGACCTCGACTGGTGTCCTTCCACATGCGACAGGAGGTATACCTACCCCCGTTTCTACCCCGTCCAAAGGTACTCCAAGCGGGTGAGTGTCTTACCAGCTCATGTTTCTTAGAATGATATCTAACTGCGACGATAGGACTTCCGCTCCGCGGACTAATGTTTGTGCAGCAAAGCCTGCACCCTCAGGTAACTTGCCCAGGCCATCGCCGCCTCCACTCCCTTCCTCCACCCCGAATTCGTCCCCCAACCCAAAGCCATCCTCCACCCCGGAGTCGTCCTCCACCCCGGAGTCGTCCTCCACCCCGGAGTCGTCCTCCACCCCTCAAGCATCTCATAAAGCTGTTACCCGCGATGCCTATTCGGGTGATGCCAATTTTACCAGCATCCACGAGATTGAACGTCGTATTCCCTTCCCCCAGGGGCTTCCCCAGATTAGTAACTCTCCTACTGGTTATATGAGACGCATTAATGCCATTATCAGGGACCGAAACACGAAAGAAATTACGGCCGACCCAACTTTTGCGAATTCTTTTGTTGTCAGAACCGATACTGATGCCCAGTACGGAACAATCAGTGGATTACAAGGATGCTCCATCCTGGTTGCGTACAATGCGGACTACATCTATATTGCTCATTTATGGGAAGTTTCCGGATTCTCAGCTGGCGGAGACTTTTCAAGTCACCAATTCAACACTCAAGTATTGGGGTTCCTCAATGGTCGCAGCTATGGCCTAGGTCATCCCCTCGTGAATACAGAAGGGGGAGGACAGTACATGCAAGGAGCGTCGACCAGACTCCTTACAGTTGGTGCTAATAACGGAGTCACTAGACCTAACTACCCAAAAAAGGTCCGAGCCATTTTGGACCTCGCTACTCAGTACCTTGGCGGTCGTGTGTATCAACCAGTTATTTACAGGCGCCCTGATGACCGAGGCGACCCCGTCCGTGTCACACTCGAGTATAGCGCTCGTACAAGGCACTTGCGGGTTTTGTATGCCGATGACAGGGAACGAGATGATCAGTTCCTCGGTTACAAACTAATCGACCAGGCGATCTAACGCATCGGAGATGTACAAGAACTATGTCGGGATTGAGTGTTAGGCATTTGAAGGCGCTTATTGGCGTTTGTTGGCGCTTAGAAAAATTCAAGATCTTGTTTAGAACTTTGTAAAATGTTTATATGTATAAGGACCAAATTATATATCGCAATCTTTCACTTCAGTCTAAAAGTGTATTATTATTACCTACCTAAGATAGGCACTAAAACTTGTAGGGCTACTAGTCCGGCTAAGATAGTACTAGTGCCTCTCCGGCGCCCAAATGGCGGCCCGCGCCTACGGAGTATAGCCGTTGCCGAGGCGATGATAAAGTGCTCTTGATGACTCCTAGTCCCTCTTTTCAACTCGACAACGGACTCCAAACTCCAAGCTCACATCGACGAAATGTCATCACGACGGGACTCGGATTTTGCGCGTCTAGAGCAGTTGCTTCTGGAAGAGCGGCGAATTCGACAGGAAGCAGAAGAGCGGGCAGAACGGGAGCGACGACGTGCGGAAGAAGAGCAACAACGTGCGGAAGAAGAGCGGCGAATCCGAATAGAAGAGGAGAAAAAGACACGCCGTACGACATTCGAAGAATACTTAAGCACCTGCCATATACACCTCTCGAGACCACTTCGCATCCAGACAGACAAGAGCCTTAGTACTCAGGGCTCTATCACTCATCCGAAGAACAAGCCGTGCCCGACCCTGTTGAAGCCTTGGACGGACTTTCCAATATTGCAGCAGCAGCTTTTTGACAAAATTCATGAATGTATCCCAAAAGACGCAAGACTTTTCAGCTCCGTCCAACATCTCAAAGAGCTTGGCCAAGACCTCTGTGATCGGCCACTGGCAAGCGAGAAGGATTTGGAGACATACCAGCGTTTAGCTATTGAACGGCCGACAACCAACATTGTCTCTCACCTCCTACAGATAGACGAGGCCCGTCGTAGATTTGATCTAGGCGAAGGTATCACTTTTGAAAACCATGCCAACACTCTTAGCGGTAAGGATGACGAGGTTCAAGATAATCTTCAGAATGATCAGATTTGTGTATACAAGGAGGCAGATGGTACACGAAGCCTGTGCATGGTTGTTGGACACAAATCGTCTCACAAGCTGTCTGTTTCTCATCTACGGGCTGGACTTTTACAAGCTGATAATGGGTCTATGAATATTCCGGAGGGTGTTATCAATCGTATCACGATACCGACAGATCCAGATGAGAAGTTTGTATACAACTCCGAGTTACTAACAGTAGCGGCTCTAACGCAAACGTATTCTTATATGATTGAGAACGGCCTCAAGTACAGTAAACTAACCACTGGAGAAGCCGATATTTTTCTTTTGATCAAGAAGAAGGAGCCCCATACACTATATTATCATCTCGCAGAGGCTAAAATCGAAGCCGAGGCCCAGAGTGAGGTGGATATCTTACTGTCTCGCACCGCAGTAAGCCAGAACTTGACTTTCTGCATAATGGCGCTGGACTCGAAGCCTCATAGCCAAAAATGGCGAAATTACACATTAGAAAAAGCTTACAAGGCAGTTATCGACCACGAAGCAATCTTACGGCAGATACCCCCTGACGAGAAGGCTATGACCCCGCCGCCATCAGGTTTTCAAGCACGGGTTCATCTTGTCAAGCGCTCGCCGGTTGGGAAGCATAAGCAGGGGAAGAATAGCTGTGATATCATAGACGTGCACGAGGATCCAGAGAGCCCCTCTAGCTCATCAGATGATTTCTCAGAAGTTGAAACGCCCCGCAAGCCAAAGGCCCGTACAACGCAGCCCGGAAACAGGCCAGCCAATGTCAAAACGCCGCAGATACCCGAACAAAATGGTATCCGCTGCCATCGACAATACTGTACTCAGGCTTGTCTGCTAGGGTTGGTTCGAGGACGACCCTTAGATGAAGCTTGCCCGAACGTCTCGGCACACCGTAGCCATAAAGCTAGCAACTGCCATGCTCTAGAGGGGAAGACTCTCGCCCAGGGTATACAACATCAACTTGAAAGAAGCCTTGACTACGGATGTGAACCTCTTGGAAAGCAAGGCGCCCGGGGTGCTTTGTTCAAGTTGACCTTGTACTCTCATGGATATACCTTCGTCGCCAAAGGGACCGTGGAAGCTTTTATTCCAGCGTTAAAGCATGAAGGACGTATATATCGACACTTAATCGGATTTCAAGGGGAACTCATTCCGGTATACCTTGGGAATATCTCTCTAGTCAAAACATACTTTCTCGACTTCGGAGTCAGAATAGTGCATATGCTCCTCATGTCCTGGGCGGGTGAGCGGGCCGAGAACCTGATGTCCGGTCTGGGAAGGGATTTCGTCGAGGAAATACGACGGGCTGTCCGAAAGCTTCTGGATTACGGAGTAGAGCATGGCGATGTAAGGTCACCGAATGTGCTATGGAATGCTGAAAGCAAGCAAGTGATGCTGGTGGACTTTGAACGCTCAACCATCTTGAAGCCGGCTTCAACTCTCCAGGAGATATCGCCTAACAGTAAACGGAAGAATCTTCACCCTAATAAAGTATTAAAGGGATATCCTACGATGGGGCGTTCTCCAGGGGGGCTGTAGCTCAAGCAGGTGTCTGCCATACTACAATTAGCAAACGCACGATTCCTAATGAATGAAATTCTGGAGATATTAGGTCTTGAGCCTTAAACCTCGCTGGCGAGGTCATGGTTGTGGAGGCAGGGCGAAAACAATACTTGGGAACCCGGCGCATCTTGGAGCACTTGGACTACGCTGGATTATGCTGGAGTATGTTGGAGCTTGGATCTTGCTTGCGATGATACCCATGTATGTCATAATTGGTAATCCACTGTTTTGAATGATGCTTTGTGGACTTGACTACTGCGGCCCAATGCCCTCCCCAAGTGATGTCTTTTGCCTTGTATCCTCTTCAATTGTCCCTAGCCATTCTCTGCCCTCTCCATCTCATTTCTCAGCGCTCCAAACGCACAGAGGTGAGCAGGTGATTTTGTCGATGCCTTGCCAGGGATTTGGCACGTGAGAGGCTTACCACGTGATATGGGTAAACGAATGATTTTCCTTCGGTTGACCTTGACGCGAAACTTATTATTAGTAAATAGTAGGTAAACAAACAACCCCGCGTCTTCAGCGCTCTGATATAACCATTCTGCGTCATTCAGATGCAAAATACCGATGTTCCGATTCTAAATACGCAGTAGCTTACCCGTTCTCTTATATTTGATCCGTCGACCCGTCCACAGGGTTCCCTACCTGCGATTTCGCGAACCCACGTACGACGACGCGGTCGAGCACATCAAAACAATTGAATCCTCCCTATCCCAGCGCTGGTTATCGCCACCACAACAGAAGGCGAAATTCTCGCGGATAGACTCTACTATCTGCTGCCAACATGGCTATCATAGATGTCGCCGATCAATACTTTACATACGAGAGTCGGCTTGCATCCTTCCAAACAGCACAGCAAGTGTCTAAGAGGAGAACGTCGAACGCGAACTCGAAGGGCCCAAAGTCGACGAAATGGCCGCACAAATTTCTAGCTCCGGAAGAGGTATTTGACCGAGTCTGGCTTGCATATCTACTGTTGCTAACAAACTCAAAGCTCGCAAAAGCAGGTTTCTTCTACTATCCACTTCAAGCATATCCTGATAATGTTTCTTGCTTTCTCTGTCACAATTCCTTAGACGGATGGGAAAAGGGCGATGATCCGCTTGCAGAACATTTGAAGCACTCACCGGCCTGCGGATGGGCGATCGTCGCGACAATTGAACGGCAGGACGGGGAACTGAGTGAGGAAGACCCTTCAAGCGCCAGGATGATCGAGGCACGAAAGGCAACCTTCGCGGATAAATGGCCACATGAGAATAAGAAGGGATGGAAATGTAAAATCAAGCAGGTATTGTTACTAATCGGAAGGGGTTTGAGCGTAACTGACAGTGAGTATAGATGGTGGATGCTGGATGGAAATACACGCCAACGCCTGAGTATGATGATATGGCTACTTGCACATATTGTTCTTTAGCTTTGGATGGATGGGAGCCATCAGATAAGCCAATGTAAGCTTTGAGTTTAACTGCGTGGAAGAATCACTAATCATGGTAGGGACGAACACCTTAGCCGTTCGCCAGAATGCCCTTTCTTCGCACTTATCAGAGATCACAAACCGGGCCCCGCCGCCAAAAGAACCAAAGCAAAGAAAGACAGAAGTTCAAAGAGTTCCAGACTGTCTACCCAATCAGTTCTTACTACTACCTCGGACGCGCCATCCCTTCCAGACCTTCCAGCTGAAGAGGAAGATAGTATCCTGACAACGGCGACAAACGCAACGGCAACTCATAGCGAGAAGAAGATGGGCAAAGGAAAGAAAGCCACTGCCGCGAAGGGAAGAAAAACCAAGGCCAAAAAGAGCGAGCCCATCGAGGTCGCTGTAGGACCCGAACCTGAGGATGACGATTTCGAAGTCAAGGTTGAAATAGCTACGAAACCTACAAGAGGCAGGAAGAGGAAAAGTGAAGAGATAAATGATTCCACAGCGTCCGCTATCGAGGTCGAGGAACCACCAGCAAAGAGGAGGACTACACGAACGAGAGGAAGTATCGCTGTAGATACTGTTCCTGATGTGGAAGGGGATACAAACCAGGCAGTTACAGACGAGGGTTCAAAGTCGAGAGGCAGCCGGACGAGGGGAAGGCCATCTAGGGCCAGATCAACCCGTAAAGCATCAACGGCTACTGTTACTTCGCCGACAGCTCCTGTTCCAAATGACGAAGAACTAGATGCAGCACTTCGAGCTGACCTCGACAGACCTTTGACTGATGATGAGGAGACACATGCGGCGACACCTCCACGGAAAGCTACTAGATCAAGCAAGATCATCAAGGCTGACCATGCCATGCTCGAGGTCAAACCAGTGGATATTGATGAAGCTGCAATTGAAGCCGAGCTCGAAGCAATGGAGGCGGAGTCGAAGCCACTTCCCAAAACGAAGGGCGCCAAAGTCAAGCAACCACGAAAGGCTTCTGCTAAACAACAAGCCGCTGCAAAGAAGGCAGCTGAGGCCGAAATTAAGGCGCAACAAGCTGTAGAGGAGGAGCCTGAGCAACAGATTGCGTCTGAGCCTGAGCAACAGATTGTGTCTGAGCCTGAGCAACAGATTGCGTCTGAGCCTGAGCAACAGATTGCGTCTGAGCCTGAGCAACAGATTGCGTCTGAGCCTGAGCATAGTATTTCAATTCAACATTCGCCGCCCATTGACCATCAAAAGAAACAACAAGCTCCTTCCCCTCAACTACCTCGAGAATCTCCCGCGCGAGCTCGGTCATCAACACCGCCACCAAAAGAAATGACACCATCTCAGTCACCCCAATCTTCAGACATAGAAAACCAGCCTCCCTCCTTGAAGCAATCGGCCATTGTCAATAAGGCGGCCACGCCTCATTCGAATACGCCTCATTCGAATACGCCTCATTCGAATGCGACACGGATACCCCTCGCAGCCAGTACACCTGTTACGTCTCCATCTAAACGCAATGTCATTGCGTGTCTCCAAAGCGTCAACCCATGGACTGCTGTGGATATCGACGATATTTTCCAGGGGCCTCAGGACGATGAGAACTTAATGGAGAGGGGGGTTCTGGGAGATGTGATTGAAAAGGTGAAAAATGGTGAGCTAACGAGTCCGGAGAAGAAGATGACTGTAGAGGAATGGATTCATTACAACGCAGAGATGGCGGAGGAGAAATTACGAAACGAATGTGAGAGGATGGTGGGGGCTTTTGAGAGGGAGGGAACGAGAGCTATGAGGGCGTTGGAGGGAATTGAGTGTATTGATTGAGGCATCATGGACATGGCGGTGTTCTGGTTTCGAAGGATTGGTTATGGTTTACAATGCGCTTCGGCGTCTGGGTACGGCTTTCAACTTGGTGTATGCAGGCACGCCTGTCTCGCTTTATTCGCGGCAGTCAGTAATATCTACTATCACACCCCGGGCTCCTTTTCAGGCCCCACTGTACCTATTCATGGAACAGTCAGCGAAAGAAAGTACGGCACATGTTGATATTCTGCACGTGATCACTGTGCAATTGCCCCGGTGAGCAGTCCCCTCCTGTCAGTCTACGAAAGGGTCGACGGCCGCGACCAAAAGGGTTTCAGTAAGTGCACACAAGGTGAGCAACATTGGATGTATCTTTTGCCCCTCGGGTTCTGATGTTGCGTACATCTCTGAATATACGGAGGAAAACGGCGAACCGTCGAAGACAACCGTCTATGGGGCCTTGTTACCTTAGTCAGCGGCCTTGGGAAAAGAGTAGCTAGGCCGGCTACATGGCTAGACTCCGAAATCCTTTCCGGGCCCGACCTCTCCTCCGTAAACAAGACCATAAGAGAGACGCTTCATGGCTTTGGACGGGCGGTGACGCTTTTGCAGCATCTGCTGCACCCAGGAATTTCTACAAAACACCCACATGGGATAAGCTATTCCACTCACAGCACAGAATGGCTGTCCGGCATATCACTGTGAGCCATCAAACGCCGCTTGTTCGCATGCTTCAGTCGCTGACTTCTCAAATAGGCCGGCAAGGCATTCTATATCCCTTCTTCCGGAGCGTGGACTGCGAAACCGTGTCTTCGATGGCAGCACTATTACATTCCACCCACCATCTCGACAAGACGGACTCTGGCCACTCAGTCCCCGAAGCCGAAGGATGTTGCCTCGAACACACAAGAGCAATCCATCGGCGACCATGCATCAGACTCAGCTACCTCGAAGTCCTCGGACTCTTCGTCTGCCTCTGATATCTCCTCCATGCAGCGTCCGACCCCGACCAGCAGCACCCCAACAGATTGGGAAGAGAATCCGAACTTTGATATTTCACACTTCTCCCAACTTCCTTATTCAAACTTCGGAGTCAATCAGCACATGGTGATCAACGATGAGTTTAAGGATGCATTGCGGCAGATTCTCTGGCAGTTTCGGGCCCCGATCAGATATGCCTTTGCGTATGGCTCTGGCGTATTTCCCCAGTCAAAAGCGGTTAAGGCCACACCCTCAAGCGCCACCTCGATACATTCGAAACCGCCAGAGGCGGTCGTGAAAGCTCAGGGCGGGACGCCGAAGATGATCGACTTCATATTCGGTGTATCATACACACAGCACTGGCATTCTCTGAACTTGCATCAGCACCGTGATCATTACTCGGCACTCGGGTCACTCGGATCAGGCGCTGTGTCGGCCATGCAGGATAAGTGGGGAGCTGGTGTATACTTCAACCCCTTTGTAACGGTCAATGGCACGCTCATCAAGTATGGAGTTGTGAACCTCGACACACTGTGCACTGATCTCTCCGAATGGAGGACGCTATACTTGGCTGGACGGTTGCAGAAACCAGTCAAAATTCTACGAGATGATGCCCGGGTCCGTCTCGCAAACCAGGTCAACCTACTATCTGCATTGCGAACGGCTCTTTTACTCCTTCCCCCATCTTTCACCGAGCAAGAATTATACAGCACTATTGCAAACATCAGCTATATGGGTGACCCCCGAATGTCTCTCCCAACAGAAGACCCGTCAAAAGTCGCCAACATCGTGGGAAATAACCTTCCTCATTTTCGCCGCCTCTACGCCCCCCTCATCGACAATCTCCCTAACGTCAGTTTTAATGATTCGAAATGCTCTAACCCCGACTGGAGCTCAGATCCCTCGGCAAATGTTCACCTAGTCCAAGACATGGACCCCGTGAAACGAGGAAACATGGTCCGGCGGTTGCCCAAGGCATTCAGATCGAAACTATACTTCCGATACCAAGAGAAATATCAAATTCCACAACTCGAATTCAACAAAATGCTTGAAGAGACGAAGGATGAAGATTCGACTCGGATTAACAGACGTGAAGGCGGGGGTTTTGAGAGGAGGATTGCGAGTGAAGCACCGGAAGATTTACGCACCGAGGTCAGCAGGGTCATCAAGCAGACGATTGGCTGGCCGAGTACGAGCCAGAGTTTGAAGGGCGTCTTCACATCGGGAATCTCGAGGTCATGGAGGTATATGAGCGAGAAAATGGCGAAACATAGGGAAGGAAAGCGGAGCGCCTCCAATCAATGAAGATGAGCCCTTGGCGAATGTCGTTTTTCCCGCCCTGCCTAGCCTACTCTTGACATTGTTGGCCAAGCTTTAGTGGCAGATTCAATAGTTGGGCAACAGCATTTGTCTGTTGTACTCCAAAACATAGCCGGGAGAGGCATACGCTCGTATGGTCTCAAATAGGCAAGACTTGAGTCATTGACTCATTGGGAAACATCTGAGGTAGTGTTCTGGTTAAATAGGAGATGATGCTTCATGTCAGTCTGGGCAAAAGATTTGAAGGGCTGCCTTGACGATTTCCCTTTTGTGTAATAGTAGTGTACATACGGGCCGTCGTTCATTTGAATGCCTATGCGGCCGCGGCTAGACTAGCATATTTTCATTTGTTGGATGGAAGGGAGGGCGGGCTGGTTTAGACAAGGAATGGGCGGAAGAGGATTAGAGGTACTCCCTGTACCTGGGGTGTTTGTTATTGAGTAGTCACAGAGGTCAACCAGAAGAATCCAACAAGGGTGTTTTACTGTCCATATGTGAACATTTTGATGCCATGATTTCTGAATCCCCCCCCCAAAAAAGGAGATTCTCCCTCTGCGTCGGGCCTTACTCATATAAATATCTTTTCATATAGATATCTTTATAACTTGAAGGAAGCCTTGATCACAGCTTTTGGGTTGTCATCGCTAGCACAGTTGCTCTAGCATGATTTAGGGGTTTTCAAGACCTCCATTGGAAGCCTGATCTCCAAGGTTAGATTGATCGACGAAGAGCAGGATTGGATAGCAATGTCGACACTCTCTCCCGTTTTAAAGGGGTAGTGTGATCGAACCCATTGCCATCGTTGGGCAAAAGGAGCAGATATCGATTGGACGACGCGGGATAGTTAAAACTTGAAACAGCCAAGATGGAGCGAACTGTGGAGTGCGAATACATGCCTTCGTACTTGTACATACCTTACGTACCTCCCTAGGTATGTATACAGATACAAATACGTACCTAGACTTACCTACCTACCTATGTTGCCTCGGGTTGGATACATAGGTCCAGAAGAGATACTCGGGATGGTTGATGGCAGCTGAGATTGATTGGCCCGTCTTAAAATAGCATCGCCGAGGAGGTAAAAAGGACGTGCAGCCGCGCGTCGCAAACGAAACTTCTCAGACCAGCGTTTCCAGATGAAGGAGATGTGTGGAGGGTGAGGTGTATAGTATTGTACAGTATAATTATTTTTACATCGTAAATAAATAACAGACCGAGGCACATCGGTGAATTTCAGCGGAGAACATCTATAGTTTCTTTACTTCTTTACTTCTGATTCTCTTCTTCAGGAAAAGGCGGGACTTGCCGCCGCACAGCCTTGTCTCGATCCCCTGCCAACCACCAACCACCACTTATCACAGCTCCAACCTCCCTTTTGCTTTGCTTCACCCGTGAGAAATGCATTCCTCTTCGTGTATAACTTAACATGGGTTAACGTGCTCAAATTCTGCTCGCATATCTGCCTTCTCTCCATCTCCATCTCCATGTACCCGAGTTCATCACCATCCATCCCGTCGGTGCTTTGTTTACTTCCGCATATCCAAGACCCCAAGTCCACATACCCCCGTATATCTCAACAGGACCCTGTAGGTCCCAACCCCTCCCGCCCTTTCTCCCCTGCTCTCTCGCCTCCAGCCGCGTCCCCCCTACTCTGGCACAGATTCAAACGCTCACATTTCTCGCACCGCAGACGTTTCGAAAGGGTGAACTGACTGTCTGTCCAGAACTCTCTAACGAATCGACGAACATGATCGGAGCTGGTCCGTCGACACGGCACCATTAATTGCATCGCAACACCTGTACAGTTTCGCAGTCGAATATTCATTCTTTTTGTCCTGTCTCTTCAAATACCCTCCAGATCTTATGCGGCACCCACGATCACACCCAACTACAACACCTCCACTCTATCACCCCTCGTCCACACAACCACCAATTGAGCATATCGACTGCTGTTGACGGGAACCACTGCGAGATATCACGACTTCTCCGATCCCATCCGGCGGTTCTCCGCCATGGATCAACCAGCACAAGCCCTCGCCGCGGCGCATATCTTGTATGCGAGAGCGAACAGCACAAGTACGGCGAACCCGGCCCAAGAGTCAAGGCCTCCCATATACAAGGCGATTGGGATATCGTTGGCAGTAGCATCGGGCCTGTTTATTGGAGTGTCGTTCGTGCTGAAGAAGATCGGGTTACTGAAGGCAAACGAAAAATACGGCGAGGTTGCGGGTGAAGGCTATGGCTACCTCAAGAATGCGTTCTGGTGGACCGGGATGACACTCATGATTATTGGGGAGATCTGCAACTTTGTAGCATACGCATTTGTCGACGCTATACTGGTCACACCTCTGGGGGCCTTGTCTGTCGTCATTACAACAATTCTCTCGGCCTTCTTCCTGAAGGAACGATTGAGCATGATCGGGAAAATTGGGTGCTTCTTGTGCATTGTAGGATCAGTGGTCATTGTTATGAATGCACCCTCCGAGTCTTCTGCTGCAACTATCCAGGAAATGCAACACTATGTGATTGCACCAGGCTTTCTCTCCTATACTGGAGTAGTCATTGTCGGCTGTATTTTTACTGCAGTCTGGGCCGGACCACGGTATGGAAAGAAGTCCATGCTGGTATATCTGTCAATCTGCAGTTTTATCGGAGGCCTGAGTGTAGTGGCTACACAGGGTCTCGGAGCAGCCATTGTTGCGCAAATAGGGGGTACCCCACAGTTCAACCAGTGGTTTCTCTACGTTTTGTTAGTTTTCGTCATCACGACACTTGTGACTGAAATCATATACCTGAATGTAAGTGTTCACTTGCTAGTCAGGATGGCGCTCTACTAACGAATCTGTACAGAAAGCACTTAATTTGTTCAATGCCGCGTTGGTTACACCGACATATTATGTTTATTTTACGAGCACCACAATCATTACGTCCGCGATCCTCTTCAGGGGATTTAAAGGAACCCCGACTTCCATCGTCACGGTTGTCATGGGTTTCTTCGTCATCTGTGCTGGAGTCGTCCTCCTCCAGCTCTCGAAATCTGCCAAGGATGTCCCAGATACAGCTGTCTTCGCTGGTGATCTTGACCAAATGCGAACGATAGCTGAACAGGAACAACCAGAGTCCGAACCCAAAGCCGATGCCATCCGAGGAACAGCAGCCATTGTCCGACGCTTGTCATCCGCGAGACAGAAGATGGAACTCGATGAGGCAAGGAGATTGCACGAGGAGAAACTCCAAGATCTCGAGCCTATTGGTGAAAATGAGCAGATTGAATGGGACGGGCTTCGAAGGCGTAGGACTACATACAGCGGAAATCGAAGTCTACGATCACGAGCCAACGCCACCCCCTTTTCTTTCGAGACGAGGGCTCATACACCCCGGGCTCATCCACCACTCGGCATGTCACACTTTCCTGAAGATTCTGACTCGGACCACGACGAGGAGCGACCAAACACTGGTGGTCTCGGCTCTCTTATTGGCAGCATTCGTAGTCATGCCAGGTCAGTCATTGTCCCAGGTCGGGTCCGTTCTCCAGAAACAGGGCCTCCAAATGTTCAGAGCCCAATGCACCCTGTCCCTTTGACAGAGATAGCTATCCCTATCTACAAAGTTGATGGTGACATTACCGATGGCCCAGATTATGGCCATGGTCATGACAGAAGCAATGAATATGGGCTTCCTGTCGAACCAAAAACTGAGTATGAGGGTGCTGCTGGTGAAAGGGAGAGACATATCACCATTGTAGATGATGGCACTCCCCATCGAATGGGCAGCGGCAGAAGTAGTCTATATCCTTCTGTGCCCCCTACTCCACCACCTCATTCTGCTAAAAGACAGTTCTCTTTTCAAAATGTGTTTAGGAGAGGACCGACTCATCCCGAGGAAGATTTGCCTCCAAGCCGATCGCCCATTCTCAGAAGCGGGTTCACAGCTAGGAAAACTAGCCACGGGGCTCAAACAAAGGGTGCTACGGAGGAAGAGAGGTTGGGGCTTGTGAAGGGAGATACAGCGACTGGAAGGCAACCTACGATGCCTGAATTTGACGAGGAAGAAGATATCGAAGACGAAGACGATGATGATGACTGGGGTATTGAGGATAAGCCGCGCTATGCGCAGATTCCCAATGGATATAGAAGAGAGTTAACGCCTCCAAGACGAGGGAGCACAGAAAAAGAAGGGGAAGAGGAGACAAGGAGTCCAGAAGAGCATTATGAGCAGCAGAGACGGAAGTGGGAGGCGCGCAGGGGACCACCGCCACCATTTGATGATGGGAAGGGCAATTCCGGGGCATTCATATAGCGAGCGAGCGGCCTTGATGGCCATTGATGAATGGGATGCAGCGCATACATGAATGGGATGGATAATGAATTTCTGTAATAATAGTCCGGTGCAAAATACCCAGGCGCACATGATTGTATGCTAAAATGAAGAATACTGGATATATACTTCATATTAACTACTACCACCACGAGGCCAATTTCTGGGAATTACCTAACTACAAGTACTTGTTCACGAGTGTAAAATGGGAGTGAAGATCTAATAAAGACGATACTGTGTATGTGAGATGATATGTAAATAACTATATAGCTATCCTCTATTCACCGAGTCACCTTTTTCTTTTTCGACGAGTTACCTTTTCTCTTATCTAGATACTGAATGCATCCATCCATCCATCTCAATCCATTCGCAACGCCGAGTTCTGGCGAAGTGAAGGAAAAATGCGAGAGAGAAAAGACACCAAAATATCCATTTCCCAATCAACGTGCCATTAGCAGCATGCTGAAAAGGGGTTACAACAAACAAACGCTTTTTCAATCATCATGCTTGATGACAACGGCTTCGAGAATTGAATTGTGAACACACCCCCAAGGCAAATCCTCGTACGATAAGTTTAGACATACATAGAGAACCGACATCTACATAGGATAGATGTATAGATGAATAAAGTTTAATGGAACCCGGATGTCTAGACTCAAGGAATCTCTTCCTGGTCATCATCGTACGAACATAGGATTCAGAATCTTCGCTATAGCCTCAGCGGTCGTGAATAACACACCTATAAATAAAATCGGGTCAGTTTCTGTGGGTTTTGTTTGGCTGTTAGGAAAGAAAGAGAAAAGGGGGGATTACCTCCACTGATCACCGTCCTTGATAGTCTCATGACGGTACCGCGCCAGAACGCTCGGATCCCTCCGTCTTTCAGAATACTGGTTATGGCTTCTACGGTGGTGGTGGCTTTTGCGGATTGGGATCGCGTCTTGATGGTATCGAAGGGTTGGGTTGCGAGGGTGGTTATGAGACCTGTGGGGATGGGATTAGGGGTTAGTTTTTTTGAACTTGCTGGCCTGGCTGGTCTTGAGAGGATGAGATGCGGAGATGACGCTATAGACGGCGGGGGAAACCGGGAGGAGGTGTATATTCGACTATATTTGAGGGGCTGTAGACAAAAGAAAGGAGGGGACTTGCCAGCTGCAGAGCCATTGACAAAATTAACCGCAGTGCTCTGAGGGATGTTACGGACCTCCTCAAAATCCTTGATGATATTGTAGGAGCCCATGCGGAAGCTAGTAGCGGAAGCTTGCTTAAGGGTCGTGCCGGCAAAACCACGATAGAGGCCGACGAAGCCATCTTCACGAAGAATCATCCGAATTGCGTGCAACGTGGATTGGTATCGCTTTGCGCCTCGCGCGTCGTCAATGAGGGCCGTCTTGATACGCTCAGTAGGCGTCACCGCGAAAATCGAAGCCAGAACTCCAGCACTCATCCCAGCGAGCATGTTCCGGCCGGGGGAAAGGGTCCCCGTCTCGCGGTCCTTGAAAGCATTCTTCACCGTGTCAAAGCCCAGAAACCGCACCGCATCCTTGCCAACGCTCCCGACGACGAGCACACCACAGCCCTTGTAAAGCGCCCGCAGACCTTCCTGTCGATAGACGCGAGAGATGATAGAGAACGGGTTCCGTGGCGGTTTCGTATCACTCCTCAGCTGCACCCTCGTCTTCGCGTATTCCGCGGGGAATGTGACAAAAGCTTCGACCTTGGAGCGGGGAAGCAAGTCAGCGACAATTGGCCTCGACTAGGTAAGCAAATAGGGGTTTTGCGGAAGATGCTGCAATGGTTTGAACTCCCCGGGGATCCTTACGCCACCTGCGATGCCGCCAGAGATGACAGACACTATAGGAGGTGTCGGAGATTTACCTTTTTGCTCGCCCATAGTGAAGTGAGAGCAGCGGTCGGGCGAGGTCACTGGCTGGGTTTAGCTATAGAAGAGAAATGCACCCACGGTCAGGAGAGAGAGAGATATATAAACAACACGAGTAAAAGAGAGGAAAGTGTAGGCAAAACACCAGATAGTCCACCAACTTGCGGCTATGCACAGTTGACCTTTATCGGGACTCGGCAATGATCGGTCTCTCTGATGCGGCCGCATAGCCGAGGAGACCCGCGATAATGTCACGTGAACTGCCGTGCTTATGTGCCTGCGCTAGTGGCGCTAAGGGCGCCAAGGGAACGAGCGGCTACGGGGCTGACGCCTTATCGATCGGACGGAAACCCCATTTAACTCCGGGATCTTCAGATCTACTACGGAGTACAAACCTCCCGAGTCCCATCCCAATCTTCAACTTTCCAATTCTTCATCCTATTCCACTTTCCTTGAGCCCTTCCATCACTGCTCTTCAGCTCTCAGATTTTTTGCAATTACAGTGGTATTATGCGCCCGCGGTAATCATTGCCCGAATGCTTACATTCGGGTGCAAGACGGCTGGGCGAGCCGCCTTACGGAGGTCCCACTTACCAAACCGCCAAACCAACATCTCCAAACGACACAGCTCCAACAATAATAATACACCTCATACGAAAGACGTGGACGACGCCGCCAATGGCACTTCTATCCCTGTTCCAAGCACCGTACCGACTGTGCCACTGTGGCAGCGATTAGGCCCTTTATCGAGAGGTTTCCAGGCCTACGGGAGAAGCCAGCGGAAACGTCCCTACACGACACAGTTCATTAGTTCACTCGTTATTTACTTTCTCGGTGATCTGTCTGCGCAGAGCATCAATGGAGATGACTATGATCCTGCCCGCACACTGCGTGCCTTGGTAATCAGTGCTGGCTCTTCGATACCAAGTTACCAATGGTTAGTATTGCTCATCTTCTAGTACGGCAAAAGACTTAACCAGATATCTCCCAGGTTCATCTTCCTCGGCAACCATTTCAACTATTCGTCCAAGATCCTCTCTCTCGCAACCAAAGTGACGGTCAATCAAGTCGCTTATACCCCGCTCTTCAACAGCTACTTCTTCGGCATGCAATCTCTCCTATCAGGCGACACGCTCCCCGAGGTCTGGGAACGCATCAAACGCACCGTGCCAGTTTCCGTAGTCAACAGCTGCAAACTGTGGCCCGCGGTTACGGCTTTCAGTTTCACCTTCATAGACGCGCAATATCGGAGCATCTTCGCCGGCTTTATCGCTATTGGCTGGCAGACCTATCTGAGTTACCTGAACAGGAAGGCCGAGGTCGAAGAGGCTGCTCAAAGAGCAGTCGAAGGAAATACAGACGCTGAGAAGAGAGCGCTAGAGGCGGTACAAGCTAGTACGCAAAAAGCGTAGAAGTGGCTCTTTGGGGCATAGACATCTTTGGTTGGGCGAATGTTTTGCAATTAGATACATACTGCATTGCATAGAAGCGGCGTTTTGGGTTAGAGTAGGTCAGCATCTCAGGATTTATTTGTGGAGATATATCATATATAGACGATAGACAATAAATAGACTGCAGAATGCAGATTATATATAAAACGAGAGATGCAAAACAGAAGAAGTACTGGAGATCATATGAAGTATAAGTTGTTATCAGCCATTCGGAGCACCTAAAACATTCCAATTCTCCAGTTGAGCTTCTTTTTCTATTCCCCTCGTACCCTCTCTACCTATACGAGCGCCCGCTTCGTAGAGTTGATCCGCGACGAAGAAATCCGTTCTCGAGTACCTTAGGTACCGATCAATTGCAAACTTGCTGTTCTGCTTCCCTCACCTCTCCCGCTCCTATCGCACCTGCCCAGCAACTCTGCCACTACAGCACGAGATATCTCCACCTCCTTTTCTATACCTACCTATCTACAGAGGTTTCCGGAATAGGGATAAAGAGATAGACATAAAAGAAATGAACGGCCCCCTCGTATAACTCCAACCATGGTCAAAGCTCATGAAAGATAGCAAAGCTCTAGTCTTTCCCGCTGGAGTATACTATCCAGCGCCAGAGATAGCGATCAGAGGATTGAGATATGGCGATAGTTGGATTTTTCTCATTTGTGTGTTACTACCATGAGAGAGTGAGATATGATGGGAGAAATGGGGAGTGCGCTCTAGAACTGAAAAAAAAAGTGGGAGGAATAGGAGGTAGATAGATCATAAGATGGGGGTTAGGCTATGTATTGAAATCCTGGGCACTATATCGACTGACTGGTATACCAGGGCACTACCTGGCAGCTCATATAAATAACATGGCAATTGAAAGTATTTTGCACACGCTTTTTGAAAGAGACACTCAATCTCGCGCCAACGAGCAGAGAAATAAGCTGTAATTGTGTATATTCAATTCGCAATCGTACCTGGTCGTATCTCCAGACCGTACCATGGACCAGAAACCATGATTCATTCATTCATTCCCCCCGTCTCAGAAAGGATACGCCCTGACCTCATCCTCCTTTTCAAGATCCAGGCCTGCTTCCACTTGCTCTTGATGTTTCTTATCCAGGTATTCTAGTAGGACTTGCTCGTATTTCTCTTTACCCTTGTACCTACTCAGATCATCGCCCCAGCTCCTGATCGCGCTCGCTAATCTGCCTGGCACGTAGGGCTCTTCGCAGATCTCGGTAATCGGATGGAAGTATGTGCGGATCGTGAAGACGACCCCTCCGCTGCGTGGTAGGCGACGTAGAGTCTGGCGCTCGGACCGGAAATAGTGATGCTCGATTGCTTTGTTCTTCTCGGCGCTGAACCAACCGACAGTGCCTGGTTCGCCATCTTCAGATCCGATGCTGGAGGACCAGGCGAGTTTATCGTCGACTTGGATAAAGTAGTTATTCTATGTTGCTGTCAGTATATATGTGGGACACACGTCGACTGCCAAGATATCTCCGACTTGGGGGAGGGGTGGAGATCTTACGCGCTGCACTGGGCCATTAGGTTGTACCCTTCGGAAGAAATTCGTCATTCCTTTCTCTAATTTCTGTTTGAAGCCGGGCACATCACCCGAAGTGTGTATCTCACTCAACGCCATGCCCAACTTGTCTTCCAACTTCCAGAACCCGGCAAGTAAAATGGCGCCTGCGAGGAGGTAGTACTGCCCGTCTTCTTTCTCGAACATGATTGCCAAATCGTCTTGCACCCATCGGGCAGCCATCTGCATTGGATCTTCCGCTAGTGGTCGCTCAACGATGTTGAATGATTCACCAGTGAGCAGGTTGTCCATCCCGACAGGTGTACGTTTGTACAAGGATGGATACCGCTCAGTAAGGTACCCGCAAAGTTCCTCGAGGAGCTCGACGGCACCGTCGAAGGCCCTGGGGTCAGTATGACAACATTTGGAGCCACGCTCAGCTATTCGCTGCTTTTTATCGGCGTGGAACTTCATGTAATGATTGTCCAGCTCTGTGGGGAGTTAGTCGTAGAAACGCATCTAGTTGGGAATGGGGAAACGTACCTATCCATTCGTCCCAGTTCATATTCCGCAAGCCCATGGTGATATGGTAAGGTCCATATCTGAACGGGCGGTAGGGTTTTGGTTTGGATGTATGGACATCCCAGTTGGGAGCTGGCGATGCAGTAGGTCGTTTGAAATCCGACGGCTCCCATACTGCTTCATCGTCAGCCGCCTTCATTCAATATCTTGGGAAAGAATGCTAACCTCCTGGCTCTCTTTGCGGCGCTTTGAAACTTCTTGATGCCGGTTTCTCAAGGTCTGGTGTCGTCGGCCTACACGCCTTCGGTTTCTTAAGAAACTGTGTAACTCGGATCAAAAGCCATATGGTCAAGCACAGCAATGCTGTCCCGCTCACCACAACCCTTGAATGGCCTGTGGCTTTCTGAACCAAAGAAGACCGACTTTCTTCAATGAACTTTTCAGTCCATTCTCGACATCTATAGAATCGTGTTCCATCCATTTCCAGACAGACTCGGATCGCGTAGTGCGATGTCTCAATGGTCGGAAAGATAGGAAACCGAGCAAAGAAAAATGTGAGAGCACGTCAAAATCCAAAACCAACATCAGATATATACATCTGCGAAGACATCAAGGTATAAATAAAAATACAAATAAATTCAAAAATAACGATTATATATCCGTACATGCATACAATGTGAGGTTGCTCGATAAGGCAAAGAAAGACGGCGGGGTGATTGTCCCGCCGTGGGAATAGCCGGATGCCTTATCACCCATCAACTAAGTCCCCAGGGACTTTTTGTCCGTTTTGGGCTAATTCAGTGACAACCCGACGTTGCGCTGCTCCCACGGCCTGCATCAGGAATATTCAACGCTTGGTTCAGTTGTTGCGGGTGGACTTCTGCGTTCGCTGCCTGTATCGATTGGATTCGGATATACCTATCTGCACTTGCACAGAGGGAAGTATGCGGGGGAAGTACTTGCTTACATCTTTTACATTATATAGCCTGAGATCCCGAAATATCAGGGTAAACTGCCCCAGTGGAAGATATGAGGATCACATGAACGAAACGAGCATAGTAATCAGCTCTTGGTCACTGATGCATCAAGTTTTTTGGGTAGTTGTAAGCCCGTCCTTTTGACGGAACTCTCTTCCAGTATAGAGATGTACACATAGACATACAGTTTATCATCTCGGGGGATCTCCATTTCCTTGCTGCCTCTGTTGTCCTTGTTGGTTGAATTGGTTTGCACCGGCCGGTTGCATACCATTGAAGAAGGCAGGATTTATAAACGCTCCAGATGCTAAAGGGGCAGTTGAAGGCATATTCGGCCAGCCTTGCATGCCACCTTGCATGTTTTGGAAGGCTTGCTGGTATGGTTGTTGATAGGGGTGCGGTTGAGGAAGTTGAGGCCACAGTAATGGTTGTTGAGGCGAGTACTCGTTTTGAGGCATGCTGTTGAAGTTGGTGGGGTTGGGGGGTGCGTGCTGTGAGTGAGCGTATCCTGCTTGAAAGTTTGGTAGTGGTGTTTGGGAGAAAGGACCGCCTGGCTGTGCATAGTAACCATTCTGGTGACTTTGAGGTGGCAATGAATACCCATTATTATCACCCCGACGGTCGTGAAAGCCTCCTCTACCTCGCCCGCGGTCGCCCCCTCGCCCCTGATCTCCTCGGGCCCTGCCTCTATCCCCCCTTCCTCTGCCTCTGAATTGATCGCCGTTCCAGCTAGCAAAATTCGATCTATCGTTCTCCCCCGAGTACGTACCCTCTTGCGGAGCCTCACCCCGACCAACAGTATCAGCAAATCCGGATGGCCGTGCAAGTGGCTTGTAGGGGCCCTCATCTTCCCCATCATCATATTCCAATCCTGTTCCTGCATTAGAATATTTTTGCTCCTGCCTCAGTGGGTGACCACCGCGATTCGATCCTCCATTATGCTGCATCTTTCCACCCCGCTTCTCGGCCTTCCTTTGCTTCAGTTTGCGCTTATGCTCCATTTCTGCTTCATCGTCCGAGAATTCCACTTCTTCCTCGCCCACTTCTTCATCATGCATATTCGAAGCATCAGATCCTTTATACGCCTTCAGGGATTGCGTGAAGACATATGTTGAGTGCTGCTCTGAGTAGAACACCTTCGTCCCTACTGCTAAACCCGCTTCTGTGATTTCGCCCATATTTGTGAATCGGACAGAATATAATGGCTGCTGGACTCGTCCAAGTGTCTCTGCTACCGCTCCTATGACACTCCTATCGGCCAGACATAATACTGAACCGCTCTCCAACACTCTGTATTCACCTGACGTTTTGGCCTTTATGAGGAGAGTATTCTCGACAATTGCCTCGACATCTCCTAGTTCTTCAATCGGCATTTCTGGCGTGATCGTAACATCGGGCTTCGGTATAACTTCTTCAGGAATCTCATTCTTTGTTCTTAATTGGCTGCCGGCATTCTTCGCTCCCTTGTTACCACCGTCTTCATCATCTGAGCCTCCATCACCGAGCATCAATATCCTAGCTTGTTCTTCGGGGCTTAAGAACTTGTACGAATTCTCGCCTTCCTCATCAGTTTCCTCGGACGAGCTGTCGTCACTGGAGTCGTCAGAGGATGATACGATTGGAGACGAGTCGATTTCCCATTCTGGGTGTTCTTCCTCGGCATGTTCTTCCCCGACATGTTCTTCCTCGACGTGTTCTTCCTCCGCGGCTATGTGAGGGGTCTGTTCGGACTCTGCTCCAGGTTCTGCGCCTTCTTCTTTGACTTGAGTACTGATTGTCGGCATTGGGGCTGCATCCGCAGCGTCCATCAATTCAGGTCCTCCATTTTGGATTTGTGCATTACTCTCGTCGGACGGCCTTTGCAGAGTAGCATCGTTAGAAGTCTCCGGCTCCTCGACCTTTGTCTTCTCACTGCTTGCGTTGCTGATGGCGGCTTCTGGATCCATATCCATATCGCTGGAGTTTGGTGAGGAGAACGCTGCCAAAGGGGTATCAAATAAATGAAATGATTGGGTATTTTCAATTAGAAAAGGCTCTACTCAAAAATGAAGCCCTGTGAAGTGGGCATATCATGGTCCAGAGAGAAATATTTCTAAATTTCGCGCTATAAATAAATATTTATTTAAGCTCCGAGCTACAGCACCGCACTACTGCAAATCGCCAAAATACCTAGTATGGGGTCGGCTCTCAACGAACGTCTGCAGATCCAACCCTGCGGCTGCCAGACAGCAAGGAAGCCAGATTCCCAGAGATGCCTCCAAAATCTGTGAGAGTCACTCCATCGCGCGGAGCAGGCACCTCCAGTGCAGCTCCGCGACCCAAAATGAAGTGGGTTGTCCAGTTCCACTGAAGAGCATACCTTAATACATACATCGAACTCGCGGCTGACGAGCTAATGAGCTCTCTAATAGACCAGCAACCCCCTTCGCAGTAAAACCGATCAGCGCTTTCTACGTCTTTCTGGGAGCCAACATACTTGCGGCAATCTATGCACCGATCCAAGACTGCGACGAGACCTTCAATTACTGGGAGCCGACACACTACCTTAGCCATGGCTATGGCTTGGAGACTTGGGAGTACTCGCCCGAGTATGCGATTCGAAGCTGGACATACGTTGCTCTACATGCGTTGGTTGGAAGCTTTAGACGCTTGCTACCATTTCCAACCAAGGCTGCAGAATTCTATTTCATCCGATACATTCTAGCTTTCATTTGCGCTCTGTGCCAAACTCAATTGTTCAGGGTCATCAACAACACGTTCAATCCCCGCATTGCCTTGTTCTTCATGATGGCGATGATATTCAGCCCAGGAATGTTCCATGCATCTGTGGCCTTCCTCCCATCTAGCTTTGCCATGTACACAACAATGCTTGGAATAGCCGCATTCATGAATTGGAGGGGAGGACTGAAGACGGCGCAAGGCATCTTTTGGTTTGCAGTCGGAGGAATACTGGGATGGCCGTTTTCCATTGCCCTATCAGCACCATTCTTGTTTGAGGAGCTCCTGTTTGCATTTCTAAGCAATAAGGATGCTTTAGTTGATGCTATCATACGCTTCGCTCGAGGCTTTGTTGCGGCGCTCCTTGTTCTTGTAAGAGGCCCCTCTGGCTTGACATTCCTTGGTACTATCTAACCGACGGCAGTTATTCGAATTCCTGGTCTCAGGTTTCTTCTATAGGAAAGCTGTACTTGTCCCTTTAAACATCGTCTTATATAATGTGTTTAGTGGTCCAGGACGAGGTCCCGAGATATTCGGTACTGAGCCGTGGCACTTCTACATACGAAACCTTCTTCTCAATTTCAATATCTGGTTCGTTCTTGCTGTTGCATCTCTACCACTATTCGCATTACAAAAGATATTCTCACGGTCTTCACGAGAAGGCGGCGCCGTGACTGGCCTTCGAACCATCGTCTTCATGTCTCCCTTTTACCTGTGGCTGGGCATTTTCAGCTTTCAACCACATAAAGAGGAGCGGTTCATGTACCCGGTTTATCCTGCGCTTGCACTGAATGCTGCAATGGCACTTCATATTATCCTGGCGGCGTTTGGCAGATCAGATCCCAAATCTCTTGTTGGAAAGATTCCGGCAAGATTAAAACTGCTAGTTGTCAGTACTGTTATTGTTGGATCTTTGGATATAGGCCTTAGCCGAATATATGGTATCTACACCGCATATTCGGCGCCAATGAAGATCTACGAACCTCTGCAGAGCGGAAAGTTTGGTTCCCCCGGTGACTCCGTTTGCTTTGGCAAGGAATGGTATCGATTCCCAAGCTCCTATCATTTGCCGAATGACATGCGTGCGAAGTTCATAAAGAGCGAGTTTGACGGCTTGCTTCCTGGCGAGTTTTCCGAGGCAGAAACAGGTTTTGGTATCTGGCCAGGCCCATGGCTTGTACCCTCCGGTATGAACGACCAAAATATTGAGGATATGGGCAAATACGTAAGGCGACATACCATCCAGAAAGCTCGGACTAATTGGTTTGCTAGGTCGATCTGCGGACGTGTCACTTCTTGGTCGACACATATTACCCTGGGTCAAACGCTTCACAGCTTGAACCACACTACATCCTTGATGTAGATAATTGGGATTCGATAGCTTGTGAGCGCTTTCTTGATGCATCACAGACGCATGTTCTTGCTCGGATGATATGGGTTCCGGAATTGTCAATAATTCCAGAGAAGTACCAAAGGAAGTGGGGAAGACATTGTTTATTGCAGCGCACAAGCAAGAAGTAAATGGGCAAATATGCATGCTATGTCGGCTCAAAAGTACATGTAAAAGTAGTTGTCGTTCGAGAGATATTTACATTATTTACCTACATGCAGTCTATCATGTACCGCGATGATGGGTAGAACCGTGGTTGCAGTTTCCCAGCTGATGGAACATATGTCTATAAACCAGGAAACAAAATAAGGCTTTTGAAAGCATCCAATCCTCGTGGCCTAGGTAGATTTCCCTATAAATAGGTACTTATCATCGATCTGGTGTGGTGGCCTAGACTACCTCTGGGGGTCAAAACCACCGGGCAATCAGGACTTTATTATTGTAGATCGCATCCGTTACTACATATGAGCCTTATACTTTCCAGTCCCCTCTTCTGGTAATCTATCACAACAACCACGTTGATAATGCGGAAGAAAGTGTAGAGAACATTGGACGCAAGACCGGTTCTTTTTCGGGTTGGGGTCAGAAAAGAGGAAGGGGGGGGGGAGTTATTCTCACGAATTCGAACCCTCACATTTCAGGCATCCTGAGGCATCCTCAGGCACCCAAAGATAATAGCGCGTCCACTAGCGCCAGATCCCCAAAAGCCTCACCACCGTCTATACTCTAGTATGAATTAAATTATTATATTCAAAGAGTCCTATCTACAGGCATTAAAATGCACTCTTTAGAATTTTGATGCGACGTTGTGGGGTGGAGATATAGGTGGGTAGAAAGTTCTGTTGCACGTCGCACTTTTGGGCATCCCAAATTTGGGGAGGAAAAATTCTGGGCGATATCACGTGACTTGGTGTGTCAGGAACTGCCATCTAAACCACGCAGGAGCAAAGTCACTCATTGATATCGAAATATGGTACCGCATTTCTCGAAGACTTCGTCATGAGAACTCAAAGGCCTGATCCCTGAGATTCATAGGAATGTAATCGCCATTGGAGGCATTACCTAAAACGACTGACAGGCTCGCTAACATCCCACTTACCAAGTATCTATCTACCAGTGATCTCCTATAGAGCAATAGCCGTCCGTTGACTATCTAAATCTATATACTTTTGAAGGTTTTCAGAGTCCCGTTCGTCCTTCAATACTGATCAGATACCCAAAAATGGCAATCTGGCTCATTGTCGGAGCTTCTCGAGGCATCGGCTTGGAATTCGTTACTCAGCTCCTTGGTCTTGGGCATATTGTTATTGCTACAGCAAGGGCACCAGCTACTGCTCCTCAGACCGGCAACTCTGTTGGTAGTGGAAGTAAGCTCTGGGACCTCGCTAGAGGCCCGAACGGGAATAACCTTACGATTCTTGAGTGCGATGTTAGTGACGAAGGAAGTATCCAGCGGTTCGCAGGGCAAGTGGGGAAGTTGGGAAGGAAGGGGGCAGTACTTGAAAAGGGGGTTATTGATGTCGTGGTTTTGAACGCGGGGGTTTTAGTCTACCCCAACAGGATTTCAGAGCTGTTGGTCCTCCTTTCTATACAGTTATCTTATCTGTCTATGAAGCTCCAGTCTTCCAATCTTTCCCAGAACAGATTGGGTCTGGATCTCCTTTCAGCGTTTGGCTGATTTATAAATCTTCCCATCTGTTGATATACTTTGGATCCACCTTTGAGCTCACCAAGTTCCTAGATCCTTTGGAGCGTTCGCCCACCATCTACACACAAATACCATTGGCCCCCTCTTAACGGCTCAACACCTGCTTAAGCTCTCTTCTCCTTCTGATGCGGACGTTCCATCCCCATCTCTCTCATCCGCTTCCCCAGAAACCCCGATCAATATTAGCACTATAGTCTTCATATCCTCCGACTCCGGCTCCACTGCTAACTTCCGCTCCTTTGAAGATGGTTTCGGGGCATATGCTGCCTCAAAGGCCGCTCTCAACCAAGGGCTACGCCACTTATCGGCCGAGCTATATCGCAAAAGAGGCATAGAAGCGCCAGTTGTGCTGGCGGTGCACCCAGGAGAGGTGACGACTGATATGGCGGCAAACGTCAGCGTAGACTGGGACGTTGAAGGGATCATTAGTCCACAGGAGAGTATCTCGTGCATGCTGAAGGTGATTGCTAGTAAAGGGAAGGGTGGAGATGATGAAGCCGGTAAGGTTACTGCTCCGAAGGAGGAGGACGGTGCAGCGACCTTTTGGACCTGGGAAGGGAAGATGTACCCCTGGTGATCTGGGATAGAATGAGCAAAATCCGTGCTAGGGAGTATACCTTCAGACATACCCAGCGCGACTTTCATACTAAACTCATGGCAAATTCTACCAGTGCCTTGCTCCGAATGTATCCCGAGTACACGCCGGGTCCGTATGTATATGGATTATACGGTGCTCGTTCTCTTCCGTGCCAACCTGGCTTTCTCCCTCGCCTCCTCTACCTTACTTAACCTCCATACGCAGTCCTCAGCAAATTCACAACTCCTGCACTTAAACGCTTCCTCAACTACTACACCTTGTGCTTCCCGCTCCCCTCTCCACCACTGCATCTCACGATCCACGTAAGACTTCAACGCCGCCTCGTCCATTGCAAATGTCCTGCTGCCAATAATTTCACCAGAACTACTAGATCTATACTCTGCCTTCAGAATATTACCAAGAGATGCGGTACCATCAGGAAGAGTGATCTGGAACTCGGATATCATAAGAGACCAAAGAGCTGATAGACAATTGTGTGCTAGAATAGTAGCCATGTGTTCTCGACTTTCATCGGAGGTCGATTTACCATCGTAGAACAACTCATCGTCAAGGCTGCCAACTTGAGCAATGAACGAATCAGAGAAATTTCTAGAGGGATCAAGATCGTAACGAGCTGCGAGGACGGAGAAATCTACGCTGTTTATAGCTAGCGATGAGAGAAGGCTGTGATATAGCATGAGCTGCATTTCAGTAGGTCGGAATGCTGCCTTGGTAGGTAATGAACGAGCTGATCGAGTTTTCACGTCACAAATATAGACCTTGTAACTCTGATCCTGATGTTTGCTCTTGATCGCCTTGGCCAAGGAGCCCCCTCCAGCGACATTGAAGAATTCGGAGATGGTTGGTTGATTAAGGGGCGGTGAAACCTGAGGAGGTTTCTGCAACGAATTCTCCAGTTCTTCGTCCGGGCAAACGTAGGATAGCTCGTCAATGATTCCGTTCACCACTAGGCCGTCGATAACGCCCCATATCTCGAGCTCTCGCGTTTGACCGGTTTCCCGTAAAGTGCGTAGCCCTTGGATCACGTTCCATATTCGAAGGCCCCAGGCATCCTCCTTCGTCTCGATATCGACTCTCACAGTTCTGTGGACTTGTTCCTCGAGTTCCTTGTGTACGACGCTGCCCTGTTTCATTGCAGGCGTCCGCCTCTTTCTTCCATGACGAGTTAAAGTGTACCAATATTGTAGTTCGCACCATGCCGGTGATACCAGGTCTGTGACAGAGAGGGCCTTCTTTGGCGGTGTACGAAATCGTTCGAGCGGAGACCGAGTATCAGGCGCCGAAGGGTTTGCGGGAGGAGGCTCTAGAGAAATATGTGTGTCCCTGTTTATTTCATTGCTCACTAGACGCTTGAGCGTCAGTCAGATTTGTCAATATGCTGCAATATACGTAATGCTTACAGTCCGGGTAGTAGCCATTCTTAACTGAGTTGCTGATCTGCTCAGCAAGCTCTTCGGCAGCCACAACTGCTTGGAGCAACGGAGACCTCGACTCCCTCCCCAAGACACGGGGAAGACGAAGAGCCTGTCCATCACCGTTCACAGCTTCGGTAGCAATAGGATTGTCTTCAATATCCGCCTGCTGTTGCCCGGATAGCAATTGCGCCAGTATTCGCTCTTCTTCTGGTGAGAAATCGGACCCGTAGTCGGTGTCGTCGTCATTCATGGACTCCACGGTAGTCTCATGTGCGGCAGAACTGTCCATGCCGATGACTTCATGGCTTCAATCCGTTGGTGTCGTGAGGCGCAGAGACGTAAAGGTACCTCTTTGTAGATGTTTACGGCAGATGACCATTTAGCGTGTTCGAGTACCTCGTAGCCTCGTAGGAACCTGAGGTACACCTTGCTAGGTATGTACTTTGCAGTACAGTATGCACACTCCAACTTTGGCTGTAAATATAAATATCAAATATCAAGTAGTGAAAGGTGTAGTCAGGTTCACGGAAGTAAATCTATTCTTTGAAGGGATGCTTATTTACATTACATATGTCGCTCTTCTGACCCATTGTCAAGTTTGCGGAGAACCAGGCAGTAGAATACGGATATCTATATATACCAACGTCTCTCCAGCTTCGAAGCTGCGTCAGAATGCTGCCATTGTAGTTTCTTTTGATTTTACACTTTTCGCCATAGAGGATGTGCAAGCAACTCCAATAACAGCAGAGCGCTCCCGATTGAACTCCGCCTCATCCTCTTCCAAAACCTCATGCATTGTCCATCTAACATACGAACCGCACTTCTACAGACTTGTCTATACCAGTACACACTTGGAAATCCAGTGTTTAATTGAGCGTCGCCAACTATAATTATTTAGATTGTCCTAGTGACAGGAAAATGGGGGCTGGGAAGCGATATAAAATTCCTAGAAGTATTGGGTATGTTTCCCTATCCCACACAACTCGCATAAAAGTCATGCAGAGACTAGAGGCAAGTATAAATAAGTTGATGAAAAGAAGGAGAGGACATAGCGAATATATGTCGAGAGCAGGAGAAAGAGAAAGTGTGGTTTTGGGCACGCCGGTTTGTACCTTCGCGAAAAGGGAGCAACCACCATCACAGGTGACGACAAAATGGGTGAGGAAATTCGCTGCCATTAATGCTGCATTCTGGGTTATCCTTGTTACCCTTCTGGTTATGGATTTGAGGTTGGGGCTGGCTTAGCCAGTTGGGTAGGTAATTTTGAGCAGTATTGGAGGCTTTCTCCCTTCCGCAGACCGGGCCGGCTTGAGAGACAACCATCCTTCTCAACCATGTCACTCTGTTGGCTTACAACCCTCAGGCCAATCCTGGACCATACTATTCTATACCTTCTTGGCCGAAAAAGACACCTGCGAGCCCCTTTAGCCCCCCGTAAGAAACTACTTTACGTATGTAGGAAGATCCCTAGATGATTTCAAGGAAGATCTTTATTTACTTCCGAATCAGACATTTCATATGAGACAGTAAACTGATGATAAATGATTCTGTACTATGAACTCTCCAGCGACATTCTCTGTAGTAACTTGTAGCTAGGCATAACTACTTGCCGGCAAATGTCTTTGGCTCCGAAAACTCTCGCTGGGGAAGATTCGTGAGCAAGATACAGGGCAAGGTCGTAACCTACTTTGTAGGCACGATAAATTTGCCGGTTGGTGGGCACTCGTCCCAAAACATCCATTGATGAAAAGGAAAAAGAAAAAAAAGAAGAAAAAGAAGAAAAAGAAGAAAGAGAAGAAAGAGAAGAAAAAGAAAACGACCATGAAAAAAAGTTGTAGAAGATACCAAGTCCTTGAATTGGAACGAAGGAAGCCAAAGCCTATCCAGGGTTGCTAGGCCCGCAGTAGCCCCCCGGAAGATGCTCAAAGACAAAACATAAAAGAAGGTAGAATTGGAGACTGAGTGGACTGAGTTAACACAATTCCGTTAGGATAACTAGCCACATCCACCAGAATCGATCTGTTCATTCAGACATTGCTAGTTTCGTACCCTTCATCCTCCGCCCCCGCCTCCGCCTCTACCTTAGACTTTCTTGTCTTCTCTGGTTTTCGACACGACTATGTAGGATCAGTAAAGATCCGAATAGCACGAAGAGACTCACGTACTGCACATAGCCCTGTAATCTCTCCTAATTCTTGTTTGAGAAAAACTTCACCACATTTGCTCGTTGGGTTTCTGCATCGAATAGGCGTTGATCCGTTATTGTGGCCACAGTCAAATATTTGGATAAGTTGATAGCACATGGTGAATTTGAGATGGTGTTGGAAAGGGGAATAGCAGAAGGGAACCTGGGCTTTTGATTTGCTGCTATTGCCAAAGAGGATTGAATACCTGTTGTATAGCCCCACGTGAGGTAGGACCGGTTGAACAGAGATACAAATCCATGAGGCAATCAACCTAAGACAGTTTTGCAGAATGTAGACAGCCGTTAACTCGCATAGCAATGAAGCCGCTCATACAGAGCGGCAATTGTTCTGTTCCCGAATGTGCGATAGCAAACGCTCAACATGGCACCATGTTTGTGAGAGGTGATTCTAAAACCTAGAGTGAGATAGGTTCACTGATGACCTCTCCCCTCCACGTTAGAATCACCTCCCTCTCACTTAGGTCACCACGGCCAGAGTACTTCAACTCAACCGATATTCCTTCTAATCCCTCTTGTGCCGCCCTCCGGTTCCACAGAAATTGCATGATTTTACCATCAGCCCTGCACAATACACATCCCATCGGCCATCGACTCCTGCCAAGGGCCTCTCTGACTGCTTTCGTTGCTGATTTTGTTGACACAAGAAGACCCAAAACGCCAGGATCCCTCCAGCCTTGAGGCGCCCCGACAAATGCTCCTTCAAGCTCCCGAATCTGAGATGGCCCACCCGAGCCTCCTTTGCCGCCAAGAGCCTTACATTGGACAAGGACCTTCAAAGGCCGAGGTACAGACGGTAGAGACCAGGTTCCGAGGAGATCAATTCCGTAGTCCGAACGGCCACCTATGCGTTTGAGGGACATCCCTAAGCGTTCGAGCGAGGACCGCGCAGTATACTCGTAATGAGTTCCTACGTATACGGTGCTTTTAGGATCCATCTGGATGCGTGACGCATATTCCACAAAGCTAGGGAGATCATGGTGTTGTGAACTTATTGATTCGGGATAGATTAATCCATCGGTGGCGGCGCTTGAGGAGGACCTTCGTAGTGATTGTACTCCTATACGGCCAATCTGCCGACACGGGTTTGTGAGGAGCATGAAGAGGTTATGCGTTTGCCCATATCATGTGACCGTACTTTGAGAAGTAGGTAGGTACCTGAGAAAGGATTATGGTGTATGATTGTGTTCCGTCAAGACAAAGCAATCAAGTACGGGAGAAGGGATAAGCGCATTTGCACGGCATGAAAGAGAAACAGGAACAAAAGAAACAAAAGGGCACTTGGAGACGGGGTGCTAATAGATGTTGCTCTGGCTCAGCGAAATTTCAGGAGGTCGGAAGTTGCCATAGGTAGTGTCCACGTGACTGGGCAGAAGGCTGTTGCGGCGGCGTCTACCGCCTACCTTAGTCATCTCGGATCCTTCAGCCTCGCTGATCCTCAAGACCTCCAGGTTACCTTACATTAAAACCACCATCGGAGACCAACTTTAACATGGCCGACAGACTCACACAGCTTCAGGATGCTGTAGATCAGGTACTGCCTCTTTGATACTGGCAATCCATCGATTATTGACCCATACCTAGCTTGCAAATCAATTTGTAGCGTCTCTGTACTACATTAACAAACATCATGAGCTTCAGACTCTGAGCGCGACCGACATAGTGCGGCAAGAAAAGAAGAGTGAGGATGAAAAGGAGCAGCGACCAAACGAAGGTATCTTGACTACCAAAGTCTAATCTGAGCGATTTGCTGATACTGCTTCAGTTGATCATTACCCGCCGGACGTGTTCGCAGCTGGGCAGAAGGAATTAGCACAAGATCTTATTGTCAAAGAGCAACAAATTGAGGCCTTGATATCTATGCTTCCGGGGCTAGAGAACAGTGAGAAAGATCAAGAGGACACAATCCGACAACTCGAGGAGGAACTCAAGGCTGCAGAGGCGCGGCGGAAGGAGGCTGTTAAAGAGAAAGAAATGGTGCTGGCCAGATTAGACAGGGTCATCACGAGCGTGAAGAGACCTTGAAAAGACTTGGCCATACCGGGCAATTCTCTTGCCCATACATGACAGATGCTCGCGTTTCGATATTCGACTAGGGGTCTGCAAGACCTCCCTGATGAGCCCATTTACCCTCGCCCCGGATACAACTGTATCGCGAATCCAAAGTTCGTCTATTCTAACATCACGCAACGACCAACGCCTCGTTTTTCATCTACCTCCTTGCTCCGGACTCTGAATGATGACCAAAATCTAGAACGCGGCTATCTAAGGTCTACGGGTTCTTGAAAAACTGTGGAAAAAGAGTTCTTAGCTCCTCCAAATGGCGAATCTGGTACTTGCAAGGCTTCTGGGCAGGCAGCGGCTCCCCTTCCTCGACAAGATGAGCGGTGTTCCATCCAATTTCCTCGGCTTTGCGGCAATTCAGCGCAGAATCATCTAGAGTTGTCAGACTAGGGTTTTATTGAAAATCAGACGCGACCTACCAACAAAATAGCAGTCTTTGAACTCTTTAATACCAGCCTCCCTCATCGCCTTGTTAAACATTTCTGGATGGGGTTTGCAGATCATCGGCGTCTCAGCGTAATCGCAGAAGGTTATCCCTTCAAACATATCTTCAACCCCAAGCAAGCGTACTACTCGCCGCCCATGGTTGATGTATGCGTTGGTGAAGAGCCATAGTTTGACTTTAGTCTTGTCCATATCCTCAAGGAGCTTTCGAAGCTGTGGATCCGGAAAGATGATTGATTCGAGCGGTAGGGCATCATCTACTTGACGGTTGTACTCCAGAGGGTCGATCTTGTGATGCCGCACCAATCCCTCAATTGCCAAACCGTAGGTCTTATAGTAGTCTTGGTGAAGCCTGTAGGCATCATCACGGCTCAATTCCAGATGCTTGATGAAGTATTGGTCTATCAATTCAGTCATGTGATCGTGGACCTTTCTGCCTGCTATGTATTAGTGATGCGACAAGGCATGTGTCTGAAGAGGGTATACAGACTCTTAGGATAGAGCTATAGCCCTGAAAGTGATTAGCCGTCGTCCAGAAATTGGAGCGATTCAACAGGCAACGTACGCAGTTGTCAATATCAAAAAAGAAGACCGGCCTCGTTTCGGCCATGGCTGCAATTGTCGATGCAAAGCCTCGGATCACGCCCAAGCACCGTGCGTTATATATTTTCGATAGAGGGGCGCTGCTGCAGCGTTTGAGACAGTTTGACACGGACGAGAATCGTGACATGAACAGCCATACAAAGATACGGAGCAACACCAATACCTGCTCGGTATGAGTACAGATGGCACCGATACGGAGTATGAAATTGACGGATTTGGAGAGGGCTCGATTCAGTCTAGCGTCGGATATTGCCGTTCTTGAAAATTGGACGTTTGCCAGCCGACCTCGATCCTCAATCGTTCATCCCTCCTCCATCCATCCTATTATTATATACGGAGTGTTCGCTCATTGCACCAGCCAAGGATGCTTTGCGGGCACAGTTGACCTCTGCCATTCTACGTCAACCTGAAATCGCTTTGCTGGGCTTCGAATCAGCGCACACGCATTTCGTGCATCGCATCAGTATTCTTAAAAACTAATCTACAGAGCGCGTCAGGTGGTTGCGCCGCCATGGCCCAAGGGGCTGTCGCTCCAGTGCCGTCAAATGGAGCTCCATTGACGGCAGAGGAGCTGCGTGAGATTTTGGAATACGAGAAAATTGTGCGATTTCGAGATGCTGTTCTTGCTGGAACTCACCCGCGAGTTAAAATCCCTTCCCATCTAGTTGGCAAGCAGATAAATGCGTCTCGTAATGTGCCAACACCTCGCCCAAACACGACGACACAATCCACGCGCTCCACATCTGGCGCCCATTATGAGCGCTCGTCACCATACCACAACAGCAGATCACCCAATAGCTATCGTGCCTCCACGGGCGGCCAGGTGCCCATGTCGTCAAGGTCCGAGATCAATCCCATCCTGCTAGAGAAATCAGATGATTTGATCAGGGCTGAGATACAATTGCAGAGGCAGAGGCTTGAAAGGGCTCTGAGGGATCAAATTGAACAGCAGCGGTTAGCAACAAAGGCTCTACTGCAGACGTCTGAGTCTCTCCCCAATTTTGATATTTCGGAAGTTTTGTCAAAAGCTCACGCTATTGTTCACCCTTCCGCTTCTACAGAAATTGAACCTTCCGTTGACGCTCATTCTCCTGCCAGTGATTCTTTTGATGAGAACACCTTCTACTCCAGTCGGCATGATACACCAGAGCGATCTAGCTCACCACAAAAACAAGATGAACCCGGTGCACTGCAGCCATGCAATTCAAATGAGCGCCCCGTGGAGGGTCTTTCTACAAAAAGTCACCCAGATCAGGATGTGGTCATGACTGGAGCTTCGCTATCCAATGATAACCATCTAGCATCACAGGCGCATTCTCAAGCGCCACAACTTTCTTCACAGCAGCACCACCAACAGGATCGAGGCACAGAGCTCCAAGAACAGTCTCTAGAAACTGCTAATTCGGAGTCGGGCAGCTCACGGGCGGCACACGTTGGAGACACGTCAGATGTTAGCTTGGGACAGAAGGAGGAAGCCAGCGTTAGTACACATCAAAATGATTCTACAGTGTCACGCGAGGTGACCTCTCAACAGACTGTTGATCAACTTGGTGGCCAGATGTTAACGGAACAGCGTCAGCAAACATGTACAAATCAAACTGCTTCGCCCCTTATCCGAGCTCACAATCTGTCTCCAGTTGCGCCGCAACCGGCGCGAGTTTCTCCTCTGGCTACAGCCAGAGAGCCCCCCGTCATTCGAGAAACACGACCTCCTGATGAAGCTCCGCCTGCCCAAGTTGCCGCTCTACGCCAAGAGCCCGTGGGGATCTCGAGTGCAGATAGCTCTCCGAAAGGCGGGAAGGGGTCAGACAAAAAGAAAGCAAAGAAGGAGAAGAAGAAGAAGCGCAAAGCTCCAGGCAATGAGAATGCAGGCACACCTGGTTCCCCTTATATTAAGCCAGAACCGCGCTCACCTTCGCCATTTCCTGTGCTACCATTACCTCGACCTCAGAAGAGACAGCGGCAAGTGGGCCAGTTCGGTGCCGAGCTCAACTACGACGAGCCTAGATATGAGCCTACGGAGGATATTCAAGAGCGCACTTCTGATCGTTACGAGAAATATCCGGTAACCAGAACGTACGAAGATTTTGAGGGTGCTTATATAGAAGGACCACGAAGACCAGAACCCAGCTATCAACGGTTAGAGCGAGACGGGGGCGATTACCGTCGCGTCAGCAGTGGAAATTATGCTCGAAGACCCCAATCCCCGGCCATGTACGCTCTCCCTTACGCCCCAGGGGAAGTTCGTCCAGTCAGAGCTGCTTCTCATGCCGTTGTCGAACGACGACTACATGAAGAGCCCGCATATTACAGAGATCCGAGGGCTAGCGTGCGCCCAGATGCAGACCGCGAACGATCTCGGTCTCCTATTATTCGTGAGAGGAGATCGCCAATTCCAATGGGACCCCCTCGACAGCCAGTTCGAATTGTGGTTGATGCGTACGGCCGGGAGTACATTGATCCTGCCCCAATGCCATCTCTGCGACAGTCTGTGGCACCTCCAGCCAGGTACCGTGATTCAGATGTTATCTACGAACGGGCTCCCATCAGAACAGTATCTGCTCGTGCGCCAACCGAAGCATACGAAGAAGATGGTGTTGTGTACCGAAGGCCTTCTCCAGCAATTGCAATACCAAGGCGTGTCATCACGCAGCCGGAGTACGCTATGCCACCAGAGTATAGATCTTATCGCCAACGGGAGTATTCGGTTAGACCAACCACACAGGCTCCCCCCGGAGAAGAGTATGTGCAAATTAGGGGGCCTCTGGAGCGTCGTCAAATGAGCCACTTTGAGCAAGTCCCTCGAGAGTATGCCACCCGCGCACCAAGTATGCGTCCGGAGCCTGTTAGATATGAGATACCCAGAGAGTACGTGAGCAGACTACAGAGTGTTCGACCCGAACCGCCTCCACGAGACTTCGCAAGTAGTGTCCGTCCAGAGGCCCGCCGGGAAATGCTCCCCCCATCACAGCGAGAGTTCAGCGTTCGGCCAGCCGACCCTATTCCTCGACGAGAACATGCCGCTGGCCCTGAAGTCGAGCGATATTACGAGGAGGCGCCGAGCCGCCGAGCCGCAGAAGTCGCCTTTATCGAGCGTCCAAGAGCTAGAGAGGCATCCGTGGTCGTTTATGCGGACGATGTTAGGAGGGAAGTGTACAGATAAGAAAAGCACGCGCTGGGAGTATTGGCATGAAACCTGTAATCAGTTGGGTCTCTGCGATCAGATACTTGTTCGGCCATGACAGCCTCTAGAATTATTGTTCACATCCATGGCGGGCCAGAGGATTCATTTTTAATGTAAGCTTGAACAGTAAGGTCTTGATGGGTATTTATGATGCGAGACGTTTGCGACATTGAAGATAAGGTGTACCAGTATTAGAGAAATGTAACATTACAGTTGTCTGCCTATGATTCTAGTCGTCTTCGAACGTTTGCTCGTCTATCCATCCATACGTGGAATGGGCGTTGCTACCAAGTCCGTGATTGACGGGAAACCAGGGTTGGCATCGACGTCATAGATAATATCCAACCTTCGAAGACGAAAATATCGTTTACTTTGTTCTGTTTACTTATATTATTATTAGCATCATTACTGGGACCGATGGAACTCGGCCGAACCAGTCTTTGAGGTTCTCCGATTTCCAAGGGTTGGCGGAGAGGATTCCCCATCATTCCTCGTGGACGCGATTTGATGCTTGCCCGGTACACGGTACTCCGGAGAGGCTCCTTGTGTCTCGACTCGTAGCCATGACGATCCAGCCACACACATGAGGCCTCACCACTGCCACCAGATACGAGTTGCACGGAATTGCTGGTCAGGGCTTTGAAGAAGAAACATCCTTCGTATGCGGACGCGCGACTCTCGAGAGCCCGAGTAAGTCTCACGATTCTCGAATCGTGATGTTAGGCAAGGGAGGAGAGGTGGGCCTAGGGCATATTGGGTTAGGGGCGGTGCTAGTTGGGGGCAACGATGATGTGCATCTTCGCAGGAGTTCTAGAGTCGTCGAGTCTAGAGCATGATGGGCTGGTGAGCGCTGGTCCTGTAACTGGGCGGCCGTGGCGGTGGGCCGCAGAGAGACACAGACAACCAATAGTGCTCTATCAGCTCTCGTCACGTCGTAATCGCCAGGTCGCAGCTCGCAAATACATTGTGTGTCGACTCCTCTGTATCCCTTGGACCACTACGCAGTAACGAAGGCCAGTCGGAACTATCGGTCAGCCCTCGAACCTCCTGTACCAGCCTCCCCCTCATGCCTATAGGCTGTCAGAGCTGTAAGAGGCTATAGGCTGGCCTGGGGCTATACACCGTACACAGACAGGACCCTACCTAGGTATCGCAGATCAAAGCCGAGCTGAACAGGAAAGCCCAGATGACAAGGAGCAGCGGTCATTGTTTAGAGTTGTATTGTCGTGCTGTATTGTTGGGATCCTTGAGAGAAGACCTGACAGCTGTTTTCCGGAATCCATTTTGCTGTTGTTGAAGTCAAGTTGAACCCAGCTTTGTCTGTATCACTCCTCACCTCTCCATCGCCCCGTCCCGCCTCCGTGGCTCTTCTCCCGCTCTTTGATCCATTACCTATTGCCGGGTTTCTTGTTGTCCGACTATATTGTCCTGACTCCTGCGCGAGCTGAATCCCGGAAACGGGAATACGGGATACGGCAGGCCTGATAGCCCCACGCCCCCGGCTGCTAGACCGCCCCCGGAGTCGCTCGCTTCGATGTTCGAAGAATCCCGCTTGCTTACTTACACACATTACGGAGTACTGTAAGTATCGTCACCCCCCCGGCGTCAATCGATCTTCAACGTTTGACGGGCGGGCACGAGACTTCTGCACAACGCTCAATCCAACGCCCTCACCATGAACAAACTCGCCAATATGAGGCACTGGTCAGAGAGAATGGGCCCTGGCTTTGGCATCAAGCCGCAGCAGCCAAATAACATGGGAATACCCTCGATGACGCCTCAGCACAAGACGACACATGGTTCACCTCCCATCTTACCCCCTTCGTCCGAAACACCCATATACTACACCTTCAACGTGCCCTTTGCATCAGATCTGGCGGGTCCCAATACCGAAGATATCCTCTATGCCACCGCTGGAGCAGTCCTGCGATGGACACACCCTGAAGACGCGCCTGACGATGTGCCTGTGTACGAACTGCCCGTGCACGCAAACAATATCGCCAATCTGAGGAAACTTTGCAGCGACCTGACAAACGGCCCTCGACCCATAGAGGCTTACGTCAAATCCTCTGAGCCAAAGCGAGTGAAAGGTCAGGTCACCACAGTGTGTCTTTCGGGTAGCCCGGACGTGGTCCACGAATGCAGGGAGACTATCCTGAACGATACACCCCTGGCACTGGTAAGTCTTGAGAGTATACTGCGTAGGAAGTTCAGTGTGTTTACAATCCTCTAGCGATGCGCGGTTGTGGATGTCGACGGGGAATTGGTGATTGACAAGGCCGCCACTGCTCTTAAATCACACGTGGTCCTCCACCTCGACGAGATCGCGAAGTTCTGTGGAGTTGATATATTCCTACTCGGTCCCAAGTTTGCATCCCTCTCAGATGGACTTGGTGGGAATGGGGAGGCAGGCCGGGATCAAAGATGGAGAGTAGCTATCTACGGAGATATGGAGAGCACAGAGCACGCGAAAACGAGAGTCTTGATCTTTATTGACCGACTAGTTAGTGACACCCGTAGATATAACCGTGAATGCAGCGCTGACGTTGTCTTAGCTCGGACGTATTGTCGACTTAACGATGCTCGAACTCTCATTGCACACCGTCATCTGTGGTCGATCTCGAAAAAATATCAAGCTGATTGAATCAGCAACAAATACCGCAATCTACTTCCCACCCCCATTCTCTCAGGTCTATAGATATTGCCCTGCTGGAGCTCAACGTCGAAATCCTGAAGAGATCTTCATCACTGGAGACACTCACCAGAACATCGCTATGGCCAAACAGAAGATACACGAGCTTGTGACCCGTATCAGACTTTTCATGAAGGATGCTGTGGTCTCTGCTGCAAAAATTGATAACATTCTCCTGACAAGGCTGGATAAAGTGCGCAAGATCATGGAGACAAATGGGACATTCATCCAATTCCCAGCTCTTGCATCACAGCGTAATATGATCCGGATTCAAGGCGTGGAAGGCCTTCATGTGGAGCGTACAGTCAGAGACATTATGGCTCTTGTAAGTTTTCTAAGAATCTATCATAACATTCTCTATGCTTACATAAATACAGACTGGACAGTTCTACAGCGCTTCATGGTGGATTCAACAGGCCGAGACAATGCGCCTGCCATCTCCAGAAAACACGAGGACTATGTTGTCTGATATCTGCGCAAATTCTGACGCTGATGTATCTTTTGACAAACTGACCTTCACAATCACAGGCTCTGACGATGCTGTGAAAGCTGCTCTGATGGTCATCTCGGATATTAAATTCGTCGCGCGGTCTCAATATACGATACGAGTGAAAATCGAACTAGCGAATGAACACAAGGAGTTTGTCAGTGGGAAGAAGAACGGCAAGATAAACAAGATTATGGGCCAGAGCAGTGTGCAAATCATCTTTGATGGCTTCAACGAGTATAACTTCAACATCGATGTCTGCGCTGCAAATTACGACGCCATGAAGACCGGACTAATGCTTGTTGAGCAAGAAATGCCAGCTTCCATCTCGTTCCACGTTCCCGACCAGTACCACAAGCGCATCATTGGTATTGGTGGCCAGCACATCCAACGAATCATGAAGAAGCACTCGGTGTTCGTGAAGTTCTCTAACGCCATGGATCGCGGTGGTGTTGGTCGAGAGGACGACGACATCAAGGTCGACAATGTCATCTGCCGAACACCCGCAAGGAATGCGCAGAACCTCGAACTCGTAAAGTCGGAGATTTTGGATATGGTTGACCGGGTGGACTCCGAGTTCACGAGCCAAACTGTTACAGTCGATAGATTGTACCACAGGCAACTGATTGCTCGCCTCAACCAATTGGAGGAACTTGAGAAGAAATGGAACTGCAAGATCATCTTCCCAAGTACCGAACAGGCCAGTGACCAAGTCACCATATCCGGTCCTGAATGGCAGGTTCCACACTGTGTTGATGAATTTCTCGGCTTGGTTCCGGACAACCATGAGCTGGTCCTAGCAAGTTCACCTAAACTCATTGAGTACCTTCAATCTAAGGAATTCCGGACAGGTCTGATGCCGAAGCTGAAATCACAGTATGTGGTTGAAGTACAAGTGAGGCAGGACGAGACTGAACGGACTGAGGACAATGGTCCCACTGTGACCTTGTTCTTGACCTTCACTCGTAACAATGCTGGTGGCGTCCGAGATGCTATCGACTTCCTTACTGCTAACCTTGCATCTGCGGGAATCGAGGCTACTATTGTCAAAGGCGTCATTGCCCGACCGAAGTCGGACTCTTTCGAGGAGTCTCTCCCACATTTTGCTACAAAGCTTCTCCAGCATGCTCCACCTCCAATTTCTACTGATTCACCGACGAAGACATCTTTCGGTGACGACGTTGCGCGTGAGAGAAGCACTATCTTTGACAAGCTTCGCAAACCGGGAAGTATGTCTTCGATCTCTTCTTTCCTGGAACGACGCAAGAATAGCTCCCATTCGCCCGGCGGCTCCTTCTTCAAGAACGGCTCCAGCAACGTATCCAAGTCGTCTTTGATCTCTGTCGAATCCACCCGAAGCTTCAACGCCGACCGCAACCCATGGAATGACAGTGGTGTCAATTTGCCGGACAACGACACTACCCCATGGCCCAATCAACCTTTCGGCAACGGCGGTGGCATCAACATCGAACACAAGCCTTCCCAATTGCAACATCCAGGTGATGTGACCCCGAGGCACACAATGCGGGGCTCAACTGATAGCGGCCGCCCCTCAACTTCTCATTCTACAAACTCAGGATACCCAGGCCCCATCGGCCCACCGCGTTCTTAAACGGCCTCATTTTCCAATTTCCTAAAATTATTGTGCAGTACCCCGGCTGGATGTATACCCTGGCGCGCAATACCCCAATACCACATGGTGCTTTTTTGTTTTTGTGTTTGTTTTCGCCTTCTTCCTGCTTTTGTTTTTTTCCGTTCTGTGATATGCGACGCACGTTTTGAGAGAAAAAAAAAAATTTGCATGCGGCGCCAGACTTTTGAGAAATCATATATAGAAGATTTGCGTACACGGCGCGTAAGGAAAGAGGAATACCAATTTGCTTTCTTCATGGTCGCCGGCGTGGGAAATAATGGTTTTTACATGTTCTCCTCTTACTCTTTCATTTGATGGTCAATATCAGGGCACTCTCTGGGGGATGGATGATGATTGAGGGAGGGGGTGTGGTGTTTGAAGGAAAAAGGAAGGGGGTTGTTGTTGATGGAGCTGCTGCTGATTCGATGCGATGCTGAACGAGATTGACGAAGGAAGGAGGCGCGTGGGTCTGTTTGTGTCATGATACCCATGCAATGAAAGAACATGATGAAAGTTGGTTGTTTCTGCGTGATGTGCTGAGGGGTCGAGTTGAGACTTTTACTAACCAGTTATCAATCATCCCTCATTCATTCTATCATCTACATCAAACAGCCCATCCAGTCATCACCCCTCATTATAGCTATCATCTACATCAAACAGCCCATCCAGTCCAGTCCAATCTAATCCCGACCTCAGCCAGCCAGCCCTTCTCAGCACCAAATGAATCCCCAAGAGTCGAACAAAAACGAGCTAATCACAAATCAATCAATCGAAATCACCCACCCTTCCCAACAAGCCTCTCTCTATCTGTCTATCAAGACCTCCCCTTCTTCCCTTTCTTTTCATCTCTTCTCTTCCTTTCCCTTTTTTCCCTATTTCCATACACATACACATATATCCGTCTATCTATCTCTTAACATTATGTTACTTACTTATTTATCAGATAAAGAGAGGGAGAGAGAAAGATCTAGGAGGGGAGGAAGAGGGGGAGGGGTATATCAAATTCATCCAATTCATTCAATTCATTCATTTATCATAAATCCAGACTCTCTACCCAAACCAAACCCAAACCCAAACTGAACAAAAAACATACTAAACCAAAACAAAAAAGCAGATGGTCGGTCCAAACAACGCCCATACATACATAACAATACTATCCCTACTTACCTACCTATGCTATGCTATACACGAAATGCTCTAACTATTATACTTGCTTGCTTGCTTGCTTGCTAGCTTGCTAGCTATTAATTAAACTGACTATGCTGAAAATAGAATCCCCCCCCCCTTTCTACTCCCTAACCCCCCGAACAAAGAAACTCAAGAAGAAGAAACAGGAGGAGGAGGACTGCCACTCGCAGCTCGAACAGCATCCGCTACGGCTCCCGGATCTACGACGATTGGTTCGTCGCGCTCTGCCCAATGTGCGGATTCTGGAGCGAGGACGACGTCCGCGACTGCGACTGCTGTTGCTGGTGTATCATCATCATCCTTCTCTTCTTCTTCATCCTTGTCTTCTTCTTCATGCTTCGCCTCCACCTCCACCACCTCCTCGTCTTGCGAGCGCGACAGCGAAGCGCGAGGTGCGGAATCAGTCTTTGGCGGATCGCTCGTCTGCGACGAATGGCCCGCCTCGGAATCCGCATCGAAGATATCTTCTCTGTAGCTCTCCTGCGTACCCGGCCTTGCAGTCGTCGCGTCGTCCGAGAGCAGCGGAGAGGCCGAGGTTGCTGCTGCCGTCTCCTTCTCTTTCTTGACCGTCGGGGTAGTAGTAGTGGTGGTGGTGCCGGCGGACGCGCTGCGGCCCCAGCCCGCGCGCCGCTTCTCGCCCATCCACGTGCCCCAGCTGCCGATGTAAGCGCCGGCCTTGCTGCTCACGCTCTGTTGGGCCTTGGGGTCTGGGGGCGGGCCGGCGATTGAGGCCGGGCGGGATCGGGATGCGGCCTCGCGCTTTTGCTCTTCGTGTTTGCGCCGCTGGCTCTCGCGCAGGGCTTCCATGTCGGCGTAGAGTTTGTTGAAGACCGTGCTGGCCTTCTCCTTGCCGGCCGCGAGGTTGCGCCCGAGCACCTCCTTGCCGACGGCGAACCGCTCGTCCAGGTGGAACTCCTTGACCTGCTCGGCGATGCGGCGTTGCACGTCGTCGATGGTGAGGCCGCCGGCACACGGGTGCTTGGGCTCGACGACGTCGAATAGGTGGCTGTCCGTGAAGCTCTCCCAGATGCGGTAGTTCTCGGAGCGGGTCCAGGCCTCGATCCAATCCATGCCGAAATCGTGCGCCGGGTCGCCTTCGACCTGCGGCAGCATGGCCTTGGGGTCGTTGGCATGCTCATTGAGGTAGTTGTGGCACTTCACGGCCGAGATCAGGGAGAGGAGGTATTCTTCGAATTGCAGGCGGATGAACTCCTCGCTCCCGACGTACCCCAGGGTCTTTGGACGTCCAGGGTTGGACTCGTCCCAGGTATCATTCACGGACTGGGTTATGAAGTCTATCCAGCGGCGGTCAGCGGCTGAGAGGGCTAGGGATGAGCGGAGGGAGGCGGAGGAGATGTTGATGGTGTCTTCGTCGAGGTTAATGAGGATATCGCTGTACCGGTCTTTCTGCTGGAGCAGGAGAGAGTTGGTCGAGCCCACAATGTACGATTTCGTCCCGTAGTCCGCCAGGATATCGAGTTGCTGTAGAGGCGTGTAAGGACCAAAGAGACTCCCCTATGACAACAGATCAATAAAGCTAGACGTTAGATCAGGGGTGAGGCCGCTCCATACCTTTCCAAAGATCTGCAACGGCAAGCCCATATAATTCAACAAGGAATTCCTATCGCTGGTCTTCAGGCTCGTCGGCCTGACCAGCCCTTTCTCGTAGCCATCCAGCTCCGGATCCGCACAGTCTTGCAGGTTCCGGATCAGCCCCGGGATCAGCGAGATGAGAGAGAATTGCATCAGGCAGAGCCTCTCACATCTCGATCCAAAGAACAGCATCTACACATCAAACGATCAGCACCTCTAGCCACCCTACACCCGCTCAACCCAGCCAGCCAGCCCCCACGTACCTTGGGCTGCAACAGACAGCACTTGAACAGCACCAACGTCTGCCACTTGAACTCCCTAACCAGCTCCCGCAAACTCATCCCCAGATACTCCTCCCTATCATCATCCGCCCCACGCGCCCTCTCCTCCTGCAACGACTCCTGGAACCTGCGCAGGATCTCGGTATCGGCGAAATCCCGCTGCGCGAACCACGCCGTGGTCACGACGCCCAGCCGCTCGCGCAGCACGCCGAACGACTGCGGCGAGTCGGCAATCACCACGACGGCTTTCTGCACCGTCGAGCGCGTCACGTCGGCGGGCCGCGAGCGCAGCGCCGAGGCGTCCATCTGCTGCGTGCAGGAGATGCCGAAGAGGGAGGTGGCGGGCTGGGAGGCGCGCGCGGGCCGCAGGAGCGTGAAGTAGGAGAAATCCTCGGAGGAGCTGGGAGGGGCGCGGGGCGGTCAGCTTGGTTTCCTTTCTTTTCTGTTTCTTGACTTATGAGAGGGAGGGAGAACTCACGCGTGCGCGCCGTCGCTGAGGGCCATGAAGGGGAGGAGAGGCCAGTCGTTGTCGACGGCGGGGTCAGTCCCCTCTTCAGCGCCGAACCAGCTCTCGACCTCGGGGCCTCTGGTATCCATCCATCGATTGTCAGCTCTTGGACTCTTGCTCTGCTCTGCTCTGCTCTGCTCTCCTTTTTACTCACCTAGCATGATGGAAGCCCACAACAGTCACCAGCGGCACAAAGCCATTGGGACTCCCCCGTCTATGCTCCATGCTCTCCTCGAAATCAACCACCCCCCTACAGCCTCGTTTCTCTCGCGGCAGAAGAAAGAAGCCAGCCAATTGATGAGAATTTCCCTTCGCAGACCCAGGATCGCTCCTTCAACGCATGGTGTTGCACTCCCTCCCCCTCGGATTGCGGTGCGGTGCGGCGTGCGGATGATGGATATGTTGGAGGTTAAGGTAGAGTTGAACAAGAGTTCAAGTTGGAAATAATTTTGCTGGCTGCTTGCTGCTTGCTGCTTGCTTTCCGTTGGAGATTACCGGACGGACAGAGGTTGGCCTTCCAATCAATCAATCCCCACTCGAGTGTGGATAGCTCAGATATAATCGAGCGTCGGCGACGACACAACCCAGTCGAACATGAACAGCGTATTAATCGATATAAATAGTCAATATTCTATATCAATATCAATATAAATATCAATAGCAATAGCAATAATATAACAGGATGTTACTTGTCGGGTCCGGAAAACCAATCTAACAAGAAGAAATAATTCTTTCTGCAAGGCCAGCGAATCCGCGCCGTGCCAATCAATCACCGCCCCCGTGCTGGGTAGGAGGGGCCATCACGTGAACACTCACATGCATCTTTCGAGTTCACTTACGAAGTGTTATTCCCAAGAGAAAAGAGCAGTAATCTGCCAGAAACCCAATCTGTTATTTCCTTTGGGGGTACTTGCACAGTAGTACGGTTTTGCATATGCGTTTTTTATGTTTCGCTTTCCTTGAAAAGCCCTCGCCGCGTCCTCCCCGCCTTTGCCAGACAAGCTGAAAGCCCACACTCAGCTTCCTAAACCATTTGACTGAAAGGGTATGCCTATCGTTATTGTCCTATCTATGGGAGGGCGCCCCGTGAAGAAGGGAGGCGTCTGTCCCACATCCCATGCATTTATGTTATTACGCCGGAAGAGGAAAAGATAAAAAAGAAAAAAGTACCAAGAGCCATGTCGCCCACCCCCAAGAGCTCTCCCAGATAATACAAGGAAAGAGAGTTCCACATCCATCGGCCCAGTTCGTACCTGTCCATGATAAGGATGGGAGGATGAGAGAACTGACGGGATACCAACTGCCATCATTGACCATTTGTGATCTCTTCCATCGGTTGGTTACTATCACTCTCGACGTTGTGGTAGTCAAGAATCTCGGAGTACCTGCAGAACATACCAGTTAGTCACGCTCTCTCTCCTTTTGCCGATGAGCTCGAAGGACAAGGTGCGCAAAGCAACTGCACTGCGCCTTTTAAACCTCGGCTTCTGGGTCGCAAGCGTAAAGTTGTTCGTACATCATGATTTTCCACGTATCCACCGGGAGATCCGCATCATTAAACGACCAGTCGAACTTCTCCTCCGCGACTGGCTCATCCGTGGGGTCGTGGTACGGGGCAAGGTATTCGTGTGCGAGGGCATCGGCTGCCTTGACACGCTTTCGGGGGTCGAACACAAGCATCTCTTCGAGGAGATCGATCGCTATTCACTGTCAGTATATCAAGGGAGATCCAGATCAGGGCAACGCACCCAAAGGATCAGCATTCTTAAACTTGTCCTTTAATGGCTGGCGTTCGCGCTTGGGGAGGGATTGGACGAATCTCAAGGTCTATGAACTTATTAGCGCAAGTCACCTAACCACCATGCGCCAGCAGGCTTTCTTACATTCTCGCTGGCGATCGTGTGAATCACATCATCCGGCGGGGTTCCCAGAAGCTCGGTGATGATGGAGAATTGGTTGACGTGGTCCTTCCCTGGGAACAGAGGCTTGCCCTCCAGCATCTCTGCGAAGATACAACCGGCGCTCCAGATATCCACCTCCACGTCGTACTTCTGCCATGTGAGCATGATCTCGGGAGCCCTGTAGTATCTCGTCGAGACGTATCCGGTCATCTGGGGATCTTGGATGCGCGCGAGGCCGAAGTCGCAGATCTTGAGGTCGCAGTTCTCATTGACCAGGATGTTGCTGGGCTTGAGATCGCGATGGACGACGCCTGCGGAGTGAACATATTTCAAGCCACGCTAGAATCGTGGTCAGCTCTGCGATGGGTCCCCGGTTTGTTCTGGAGTTGCCTACCAGGATCTGGTAGAGGAAATATTGTATGAACTGCTTCTCGAGGGGTCTTGAGGTGAGGAGACGGTGCAAATCAGTGCCCAGGAGTTCGGTAACGAAGTAGCTGCAGGGCCGGTCAACAACGCCGGAGCGGGTAGGGCAGAGAGGGCAGGATGGCCATACATATCCTCGAGGGGAGAAATGAAGATGTCGCTGAGTGAGATGACCTGCAGGATGTCAGCGTCCCAGAATCTGCATGCGTCGATATGTATGTATGTATGTATGAATGTATGTATGCAGCGAATGTGTGCGGCGGTATCTGCGTATTATGTGTATGGTCGTGTGTGTGTACGAGAAGAGGTGAAGGATTCGGAGAGAGAGAACTCACGTTCTCATGCTTCAAGTGCTTCAGAAGCTTCAGCTCGCGATACGTCCTCTTAGACAAGACGGGGGTGCTGAAGGGCTTCATGATCTTCTTAACGGCGACATTCTGACCGGTGAGTTGATCTTTGGCGGAGCTTCACCCATCCGTTAGCTTTGCTTCTTCTTTCCTGCTGCTGCAGCTCAAAATATATATATAATATCATTCGACCTTGGCCAAGGTGATTGCGGGCGCGCAGGGAGCAGTGCGTACCAGACAAGACCAAATGCGCCCATGCCCACAGGCTGAAGATCCGAGTATCTGCGCACACCACGCCATCAGCTTTCTTTGTTCGTGTGTTTCGTAGGAAGAGAGCGAACGAAGGAAGGTGGCGGGTCCCCCCCTTCGTTCGTCTCTGGGGAGGAGGAGGGGGGGGACCACCCCGCGCGTACCTGGAGGTGATCTCGAAGGTGGTGCCGAAGATCTGGGCTCGCACGAATTCGGCCATGATGGGGGGGGGGGGAATGAAGGACTGGAATTGGAGGGGAGATGGGATGAAGTGTTGTTTTTCGGTTTTGGTTTTGGTTTTGGATAAGAGGCGAGAGAAAAGGCGGGTTGAATGAACTGTCTCTGGATGGTCCAAGGGGGGCCAACAAGCTGGGACGAGGATTGGAAAGGAGGGAGGGAAAGCGTGGGTCTGGCTTTTGGACGGAGGGAGCAAGAGGCAGTCGACGGATGGAACGATTGGGGCGGGCCTAGCAGAGACGATTGTTTTTCGCTTAAACGCCGCGAGAGGAGTGGCAGCGGGCGTTGTTTGTTGTTGTTGGGCTGTGTGTGGGTTTTTGTTGCAGTGGGGTTTATGGATTATGGATTATGGGATTATGGGAGATGGGGAGATGGGGACATGGAGATCAGGAGAATGCGATCGGGCGTGGGACCAGAAGGGAGTGGTTTGCGCCTTTTCGTTGGGGGTGGGGAAAGGGGATTCAAGAGGAGTAGTCTTAGGAAGCAAGGCAGAGAGACCAGAGACACGACACAAGAGACAAGAGATTAAGAGACCAAGAGAACGGAGAGACGGAGAGACACGAGAAAGAGGGGAGACAAACAGCAGAAAACAAGAAGGTTGGTTGGTCTTTGGCTTTGGCTTGGTACAGAGTGGCTAAGGGATCCAAGCTGCGGGATAAGTCTTGACCAACTTGACAATTAGTCTCTTGCCTCTTGATGGAGAGGTTCCAGCTGGGGGGCGGGTGCCGTATCACACTAAGGGGGTGTCTCTAGTACACACATCTTCACTATTGCAACAGGACGGGAGGTGTCAGGCAAGTCAAGCAGCGTGGTACCTTAAACCCACCTGGGCAGTAAGTCAGTTAGTCACCTCTCTCTCTCACTCGAGCAAGTCTTATAAATCCATCCATCTGTACCTTACGTAGGACAAGCAAAGTCTCAAGAGATTTCTCTTTCTAATCCCCGAATGATCTCCCCTCTCCGGAGACATCTCCGCTCAGATGTGTTGACCGTGGGTTGCCCGTGTTACCCGTGGTTATTCGCCCCCTATTATCTGCCATGTTATCTCCTCTCTATTTTACCTATATGTAAGGTATATATTCGATGTATCTCTCCATGATCAACCCACCGACGTCATCGCCAATTGGAGCCGGGGAACCACGGAACCGCCGACCCACGGACCCACGGAACCACCCGGACATTCGCCTGGGGGACAACATGGCAAATGCTACAGCAGGAATGCCTGATTATTATGGCCACTCAATTGCTCAAAAGCCATGCGCGTCATCGTTCGCCTTTCTATCCGTCTCAGGCCTAGCGTCGCAACCGGGAAATCCCATCTGCCGCGCACGCCATCCCCGGAAGGCGCTGGCCCCGGTTCGAGAACGCCATCGACGCATCAACATTACTGTACGGGACACCTCAATACACAGACCCCCCTTTCACCTCTGCTCGGACGGCCACATTCACGTGATGCCACTTCTTGCATCCATCATCGAGTGAGTCCTGGACGCCGTGGCCTTGGATCAATCCATTCATCCATTTTTTATATTACACTAAGAGGCCATCGTTGCCCTGTCTCTCTCCTCTACACCTTCCCCTTCGCCACGCCCGCCCCCGCCTCCGCCTGCTCGGGGCTCTGCGGCTCCACGTTCCAGATGCTCTCCGCATACTCGTTGATGCACCGGTCGCTGCTGAAGAACCCCATGCGCGCAACGCTGGTGATGCTCTTGCTGATCCACTCGTCCTGGTTCTTGTACGCCTCGTCCACCAGCGCCTGCGTCTGCACGTAGCTGTGGAAGTCGTCCGACACCAGGTAGTAGTCGCCGTGGTCCTCAATCGACCCCGTCAGCGCGCTGAAGGCTGCCGCGTCGCCGAACGTGCCCTTCTTGATCTCATCAAAGACCCTCGCCAGTGCAGGGTCCAGCGTGTAAGAACCGTAGTTGTGTGCGTGACGGAGGTCCTCAACATCCTCCGCCAGGTTGCCGAACAGGAAGATGTTGCTCTCTCCAATCTCGCGAGTGATTTCAATCTAGCATCGCCAGGTCAGCACGTGCTACTCACCAAGGAGGGAGAAAAAGGGGGGGAAAGCTCACATTAGCACCATCGCAAGTGCCGATGATCAGACCTCCATTCAGGACAAATTTCATGTTGGAGGTACCGCTTGCCTCCGTACCAGCAGTCGAGATGTGCTCACTCACGTCGCTGGCAGGGATAATGATCTCGGCCTTGGACACGTTGTAATCCTCAACGAAGACAACCTTCAGGAGGTCACCAACATCTTTATCATTGTTGACAACCGCACCGACGTTGTTGATGAGGTGGATGATGGTCTTAGCCATCCAATATCCTGGCGCTGCCTTGCCACCAAAGATGGACACCCGAGGCGTAAGTTTCTTGCGCTCTTCAGGCGTCATTGCTTTAATTGTAAGGTATCTGTGGATAACGCCAAATATGTTCATCTGCTGGCGCTTATACTCGTGCATACGCTTGACCTGGACGTCAAAAAGAGCCGCTGGGTTGACTGTGATGCCTGTCGTCGACTTGATGTGTCTAGCAAGCCGGACCTTGTTGGCATACTTAATCTCTTGCCACTCCTTCTTAAATTCCTTGTCATCGGCATATTTCTCGAGTTCACTGAGGAGCGTGAGATCCTTGAGGAAGCCGAGGCCACCGATCTTACTCGCAATCAACTCGGAGAGTCGGGGATTTGCCTGGTGCAGCCATCGTCTTGGAGTGATCCCGTTGGTGACGTTAGTGAACTTGTCGGGGCCGAAGATCCTCACAAAGTCCTTGAAAATCGTCGTTTTGATGAGATCAGAATGCAGTTCTGCCACTCCGTTAACCTTGTGGGAACCAACGATGGCAAGATAGGCCATGCGAATCATCTTAGGTGAAGATTCCTCGATGATGGAAACTCGAGCAAGTAAGTCTCGCTCCTTGGGGAATGTACGCTCCACTGATTGCAGGAAGAACAAGTTGATGTCGTAGATGATTTGCAGGTGACGGGGGAGCAGATTCTGGAACAACGGAACAGACCACTTCTCGAGGGCCTCGGGAAGGACTGTATGATTCGTGTAGCCAAACTACAACTGTTAGCATTTCGCACTGTGGGAATTATGAAGAATGCTTACTGTATTGGACACGATTGCCCATGCCTCGTCCCAATCAAGGCCTTCTAGATCAACCAGGATGCGTTGGAGCTCGACGATGGCGAGGGTTGGGTGCGTATCGTTCAACTGGATGGCTACCTGGTCGGGGAACTCCTTCCAGGCACGCTTCGATTTCTTGAAGCGGCGAACAATGTCGTATAATGAAGCAGCAACCCAGAAGTACTGTTGCTTCAAGCGGAGCTCTTTACCGCGGTCAAGGTTGTCATTGGGATACAAGACAGCGCTGATAGTCTCAGCACGTTGCTGGTCTGCCACAGAACTCTCATAGTCGCCGCTATTAAACTTCTGAAAGTCGAACTCTCCACTAGCAGCTTTGCTAGACCAAAGGCGCAGGTTATTAGTCGTAGAAGTTTCAAATCCAGGGATTGGTACATCGTAGGCAACGGCCTTGACGATCTCGCCACCATCCCAGAGAGAGATTTGCTTCCCTTGGCTATCCTGATACTTTCTCACATTGCCATAGAATTGAATCTTGGAGGGTGTAAGCTCAAGGTCAAACAATATCATTGGGGGCTACTCACATCCACAACAATGTCGTGTCTTGGAAACTCCCAAGGATTGAAGTCAAGCCAATAGTCGGGAACTTCAACTTGATACCCATCTATAATCTCCTGCTTGAAGATTCCATATCGGTATCTCAATCCGTAACCCCAGGCTGCAAAGTTGAGAGATGCCAAAGAGTCTAAGAAACATGCCGCAAGCCGGCCAAGTCCGCCATTACCAAGGGCAGCATCATGCTCCTGCTCGATGACATCCTCAATGCGGAAACCGAGATCTGTAAGACCCTCTTGTGTGGAAAGTTAGCACAGACGAGACCAATCAAGGGAGGAGACCGTACGTTGAGCAACATTCTTCAATCCCACATTCAACATAGCATTATCTAAAGCCCTCCCCATCAAGAACTCCAAGCTGAGATAGTAGACTCGTTTCCCATCAGCAAAAGTCTGTCTCTGTTGTGTACGGTTCCACTCGGTGATGAGCCTGTCCCGGAAAGCCAGACTGGCGGCTGCGTACGCAGCAGTCTCGTCGCAATTGAACATACTGCGGGCAAGTGTTGTTTCGACATGACGGACGACTTCTCTTTCGAACTGCTCTGTGTTCGTGAAGGGACGTGTTTGATACTTCTTCCATGCAGCGCGTTGAGGTTCGGGGATCGAGGCTATTATCGAACCATATTAGTATGTGACTGTAAAGAACCACGAAACATGAAGTACAACTCACCCTCGACACTTTTGATCTCACCCGCTCCGAAGCCAGTGAAGGTACGCTTATGCTTTGGTCTCGAGATGCCCTCTGGCCCAACGGGACCCTTAAGGTCAGAGATGGGAGCACTAGTAGAGGGACGACGCTCCCTCGGAACTGCGATATTGGAAGCCATATTTTTTTCTTATTTTGCTGATTGATTGATTTCAAGTAAAGGAATTCGGGACAGAGCTGGAGAATGGGGTCTGATCAGAAGATTCGAGTGCGGGGTGGAGATGGCTCATAGCAGGGCAGCAAGCAAGCTGCTGTTCGTTGCACAGTGCCAGCAAGTGGGAGCTGCAGAAGCGGGGATGCCGGGGGGTGGGTGCTCTGCTCAGATCAAGGCTGCGATGCAGGAGCGGTGGAGGGTGACTTGATTAAATTAACAATATCTCTGAGAACAAGAAGCAAAAAGCGAGATGGATGAATGTTTTGTTGTCAAGAGGAAGTTGAAGGAGGAGGAGTTGGAAAGGGTTTTATGAAAAGATACCAGGTAGTTAGTAGCTCTGGCAGAAAGGGAATGTACTCCCGTCTGGACTTCATAGCACTTGCCTACCTTACCTTACCTTACCTACGCCAGTTAGTCTAGAACTATTGCATCTCTCTTGCCACTATCAAGTTTGCCATTTTTTCCAATTTTAGCTGCGAGATCGAAAGGTAAAGCATCTTAGATACCTTTAGTCTCATACTTTATCAGGGTCTAATCTGACATGACACGCCGGATGCGGATAAGGACGGTGGAGTTGGGCTACCTTAGCTAACCCGCCAACCGATGGGCATATAAGGTAGGTAGGTATCTTTACCTTATTTTCCTCGTATCGAAATACCAGTATGAGGTATCTAGATTGAGTAGAAAACGCCATCGCGGACCTAGGTAGATGAGGCCTTTTTTTATATTTGATTCATCTATCTATCTACTTATTTATTCTTTCAAGTTCTATTTTATTTTATTCGGTTTTACATCCCAATTTTCCCTTCTCTGCTGCTTCGAGATACGGCTTCACATATCGTGTTTACAGTCGAGCAATCACCCCATATCGAGCATGACGCAAAATCCCGGGCGTTCCCGCGCGCGGGGTTGTTCGGCAGGGATCAGGTGATTCGGCTACGCTTTCGCCGCATGTGCTGACTCAGCCATGTCCATGTTGAACTGAGATGGACAGTAAGAGCTGATAATGTAAATGAATGCGTGGTGCTTTGGATTTGTCCCAGTGTTGGGCTGGATTGAATCAACGTCTATCATAGCCCACCATAAGAGCAGCCAAGATTCTGACTTGATCTCTTTGTCACTTCGCCTAACGCCCACGAGCAGGGCCGCTGCTTTAGACAGTCCCCATCCACACGCGGCAATCATCCTTCCACACGGCAATAGTTCTAGCATTCGCTCTCTCTACAAAGTGACAATGGCACCCTCTCGTAATGATGCTCGTAGATCGCAAAACCGTAGACTCCCGGCATTGCAAAATGCATCTGCGAGAAAGGTCTGCCCAACATTCCCTTTTCCAAACGAGCGCCCCTCAACCTGCTGCCTTCAGCAAAAGAATCCTCCAGAGGGACCGGCCAATCTACCGGATGCGCGCCTATTTATGCAGCATCTGCGCGGCAATACCTACCACCTGTGCGGGTCAGATGGCCACTCCAAACTCCTATACGTATGACCCCGAACGAAACGCCCGCTCCGCTGAATTGGGAGGATTCCAAAAAGGGGAAAAAAGAAAACCCAGCCAAAACCCGACGTGATATATCATGAAATAAAGCTCACAGGATACCCGAATCTCTGAGAGCGTTTTGTAGAATCGTCTCTTTCACAGCCGCGAAGACCAGTCGGATATTGGACGTGTCGGTCGCTTGGGTAAGGCTAACTATGTTAGAAGCTCTACATATCAGCAAGGGAAGAGCGGAACATACTGAGGATATAGATTGAGATGTGCGCGGTTGACTTGGTTAAATCGCCATAGCAGGTATTTTGATGCTCGGCCAATGTCGTCTCCACCCGAGTAGTCCGGAAAGTAGTTGCTTAAAGGTGAACGTCCGAGCTTCTGTCTGAAGAGATCGACCTTGTTCAGAAACAGGATGATACTGGTCCGCATGAACCATCTCGAATTGACCACCGAGTCAAACAACACCAGGCTCTCCATCATCCGATTCTAATTGCTATTAGCCAGTGTCCACAAAACCAATCCTGCCATGACTAACTTGGTTGCTCTCTTCTAGAAGCACCTGGTCATACTCGCTGAGGGCCACGCAGAAGATGATCGATGTTACGTTCTCGAAGCAATGAATCCACTTCTTTCTCTCACTCCGCTGGCCACCCACGTCGAACATGCTGGGGAAGCTCGATTAGCAAGCAACACTAGCGCTACTGATCATGATGCTTACTGTATGCTCAAAGAACCCATGGTAAATCTGGTCTCATATATACCGGTCGTCTTCGTTCTGGCTCTCAAAACATCCGCCTCGACTGGTATGTATTCCGGGTCCGAAATTCTAATGGCCTCTTCAAAGAAGCTACAGCATGTCAGTTTGAGCGGGTCAGGAGGATCTAGATATAGCATACTATGGCGCGGAATCCATTAGATAGAACTCGCTCTGCCTCTCTAAGAGCTGCTCCATGGCCGGATCCTTCCACAACGAGGTGATGGCGATGCCGACTTTCCTGCCCAGAGGCGTATGGGGATCCGGATCGACTTGATAATCGAGCAGAAAATCACTGTATTCGACGTTTTCGGGGTTCTGTGGTTCGATGTCAAACTGCCGCATGGCTCCGATCAGAGCCTTGGCGCAATCAGTTAAATTCTTATAGATGGTGAGCCGATAGAGGGCCAATTCGTCGACCGTGTAGCCATTCTGATGGATAATCTTCATCTGCTTGACGATGGTCGACTTGCCACTCTCTCCGGAACCTTCTCAAGACGTTAGCCAGCCCGTTTCTCGGTCTTCTCGGTGGGGCCGGCGCTGCCTACCCAAGAGGAGGATCTTGCATTCCCGTCGCAGCCTCCGCGCATCCTCCTCGAGTCCCCGATCGATCATTTGGCTCCTCTTCCTTGACTCCTCCGCATCCATGTTCGAGCTCATGCAAGCACCCATCTTCCCGAGCCGCTGGCTGCTGCACGCGCAGCCCCGCCCGCGTGTGTGCTTGGATTCAACGTCCTGTCCTCGTCGTCAAGAGAGCGGAACCCGCTCGCCGAGGCAACTGGCCGTTTCCCTGGGCCGGGGACGTGCGGGAAGAGAAGTTGTTCAGCTTTTCTGCAGTGCGTGCCTTCGCTCGCTCGAGGCTCTAAGCAGTGACGTCCATGTGCGGGCAAGTTAAAGCACAGGATGTCGAATTTCGGCGGAAATTGAATTCCGCCTGGAGCGCCAAGTCGAGATGCAAGCGCAAACAAAGATATCAGTGCGAAAGGGCGAGGGATGTTTCGCGGCCAAGTGTTCAACGGTATCGCAGGGCCGGATGGGGGGGGGGTTGGAGCGCGGGTATTCGAGGCTGACAGAGGGATATGGCGCAAAGAAAAGGCGAGAGTCGAAGAGATGACCGGGGGGATGATGAATGGGCAATGGGCAATGGATGGGCAGGGATGGCCGGGATCTCTTCGTGGAGCCAAACGATGCAGCACGAGGCAGCCACGAACAAACAATGCAGATTATTAGAATAAGAATAATAAGAATATAAATTATGATGGTCACGGATGGATGGATGGGATGGATGGGAGTCGAAGATGATCCAAGCTCTCTCTCTCTCGCTCTCTCTCTCTCGCGCTCGGGCGATGTGGAGAGACAAAGAGCGAGTGAGCTTTAGGGCCTTGGGCGGTCTGGAGGGAAGAAGGTCAAGAGCCGTCCCTAGCACAGTGGATACGCACAAGTTCCAACCCACCGGCGGCCAAACCGGACCGTCGTAGTAGTCGCTGGGCAGCTCTATGTGGGCGACAAGCCAAGTAAGTAAGTAGTAATAATAATTAAGAAGGCAAGAAATGAAGCTGTTGAGTGTTGATCATTTTTATTGACTATCATCATCATCAGTCGGTGCCATAACCAAAGGCGCCGCACGGGGCACAGGGAATGACATACTTGTCTTCAACAATGTATATATAGCCACGATGACGATTCCCGATAGGTAAGGTAGAATAGAGCCCACGTAAAAACACACTCACTGTACAGATAATCACTGCCACAATACTACCACCACAACACCACCAGCACCACCAACCACATCAGAAGATATCTTCCCGTCCCCCTTCACCGGTTCGGTTGTCTTTCCCTACGGGCCAGTCACTGCACTGTGCTGTCTGTACCTACAGGGGGGGCCCACACCGTTGTTTGTTTGGATGTCATTAACTCCTAGAGTAGTTCCCCCCAGCCCTGGCCCCCTCTGGTCTCCGCCTCTCCCAGCATTTTGCCTGCTGCTCGAGCGAATAATATCGAGCGCAAAACCCAGTCTGCCACGCGCCATCCGACTTCCGAGGGGGAGGGAGTCGTCAAGCCATCAGCTACTGCTGCTGGGCGCTGCGGCGTATACACCACACACGGGCTGTAGTACTGTAGTCTGTAACTGCTTAAGCCTTAAAAGACGTTGTGCTACGGACCTATCGAGTCTTCTTCCCTCCATGCCTTGACCTTCCGATACTATACTATAACACTATACCGTACTATACCGTACTATACCTACTACACTATACTATAATATACTAAGGTATGCTATGCTTTACTACGCTATTATAGGGCACAGATCCTAATGTGCACGGCCCAAATGACATGGACACCACGTGCGTGCGAAGAGAGAAGAGATGGAGAACTTATAAAGCCGCCCAGTCACGCCGTCGACGAGGGAACAAGCCGAGTCGGAATTTCTTTCTTTATTTGCACTATTGTATGTACAGTCTCTACGACTGCAAGGTATCCACGATATCAAGATCAACTCCTCCTACCCCTGAGCAATGCATGTTGTGTTTGTGTTGTGAGCCGTCAAGGGGCTCCCATCGTCCGGTATGAATTCACCAAAGGAAAGACCCGTCTCACGCATTAGTCGTAGCAGTCCCCTATATGCACCCTGAGACCATCAGTTCTCCCGCCCGAGGAGACCCCCCTCCAAAGAAACCCGCCAGTCGAAATGTCACCATACGCAGTCTGGCCTTCTCGCGTCTAGCAGCAGGCAAGCATGGTAAAGACCCAAGTCGGAAAGGAAATGTTCATGCAAGATAACCAAGCTCGTCATCTTCTAAGCGCTCCAAATACTCCTTCTCCAACAAGATATCTATGCACTTCTTGATGTCCGGGATCTTGGGTACGAACCGAGTTCGAATCTGGTTGATGGTCTCGCTGACAAGCTGTGTGTGCTTCATCTTCTTGCGCGCCTTCATGATACGCACAATTGCGGACTGAAATATCGGGTCAGTAAGAAAAAATACCAATGCTCGTACTCATTTCTACTTACCTGCATCAACAACTTTCGATCTTCCTCAATGGTCTTGTGAGTCTCATCAACCTCCTGCTTCTGCTCAGACTTGACGGGAATGTTGAGATTGACCCGGATTTTTTTGCTCTTGAAGTCATAGTTCAGATGATACACTTTTCCGGGTCCAGGCTTATCACCTTCTGGAACCACATTGAGTACCTTGGCCTTGACAAATATTGCCAAACATGGATCGAGCACATCGGGCTGCAGCTGCGTAGCCTTGGCGATATCGTCGTAGCTGTTTTTGTCGTTCTCATTGAAGAGCAAGAGGATGGCCATTTGATAAGTGGAGACTTGAAAGGTGTATGGAGTCTTTTGGTTCTTGCAATAATTCGCCTTGACTTCCCCCTTGCATAGTTGCCAGAGCCACGTGAGCTTTCTGCCACTGTGCTTCTGACCATAGAAGGTCTGAAACCGGCCGTAAGCCTTGGAGATTTCAGCAGGCGGCGTAAAGTCGGTATTGGGTGGGTTCAGCGGCCAGAAGCCAGTACCCAAAATTGCATAGCTGGCATCGATTGGCTTAATGTCATCTGTGTCGACCAGTTTGGCCTCAAACTCCTTGAACCCACTGTTCAAATCCTTAGAGATTTGCATGTCCTGGAACATGCGCTGCAACTTGTTGGTGTACTCATAACCACAAGCCTCCTTTAATTTGCTGATCATGCTCGTCTCTGCATCGTCAGATGAAGAGCTTGTGTGGACCAGTCGGCGAGCCAGCATGCGTGAATAGAACTTCTGGAAGACATCCTTGTCCTCAATGTACTTGAAGACAGTCATGATTTGAACGAGGCTGTTTTCGAGGTCGCTCTCTTCCGCACCATTGGCGCTCTTCTTGAGCAAGGCATCGGCATACTTCGCGAGCAACTCGGGAGACTTGTTCGATCCGGATTTGCAGATCTGATTGCGGTTGACAAACTCTCTGCACGCATTGTCAAGTGATCGCGTGAATTCAGGCTCGTCCTTGAAAGCCTGCTTGACGAGACCTTGGTATTGTGTATGGATCTCGAGAAGAGCGTCCACGTAGACCTTCGGCTCCAACTTGTCTGCATCCACAGCGACTTTTGCAACAGCTGCCAGACCCGCTTTGCGGACATGTGCCTCGAATTTTACACGGAGTGGATCAAGACCGTCGGGTATTCTTGAAAGTAGGTTGTACATTCGCTGCATATCCTCGTAACGGTCATTGTCCAAAAGGACTTGAAATTCATCCCGAAGGATTACGGAGTGGTCAGCAATCAGAGCGGTATTGCAAGTCTTCTTCAGAGGTACGATGATATCCGCATGCAGATACATATTTACTCGTTCTTCCTCCTCTTCCAGGCGTATTTCGGCCTTCTTCATGTATTCTACGATGCTGTTTTCGGCAACGAACTGTTTCGACTCCGCTTGATAGAACTGTTTAGTTGCTTCCAGGAATGGACGCTCGAAGTTGTACCGGTAGACGTCGAGCGTTGATTTTGTAGGGTCAGCCTCGTCTAAGCCAAGGGAGACAAAAGAATCGACGATGCTTTTGATTTGGCCATGTTCGATGGTCTCGCCATGCCGTTGCTTCTCCACCATCTTCAGGACCGCGTCCATGACCTTCTCGTGAACTTCGCTAAAGAGAGTGGTTCGCCACTGGACGAGGTGTAATGTGTAAACATCGTAGATATTCTTCTTGCCTTCATCCATCTCCCGCTTGACCCAGTGTCGGTTGAGGTATCGGAACAGATGGTTGATGTATTTCGCCGCGGTAGTGTATCGGTCCCATTCTCGGATATAGAAACTCAGAAGAGCTTCATCAGAGTGAGTCTTGGAAATTTCAACAAGGCCTCGAAGATAGGAGTTGAGATAAGTGATTAGGTTTTGGTAAAGGTCCTCGCCCAGAAGGTGTGCTTTGAAAGGTCAGCATCCAATGTAGATAGTGCAGGATCTATTGATTTTACCTCCACGATGTGCGCCTCCGATGACACCCTGGTTGTTATTGCTGACTGCCTTTTGCGACGTGCAGAAGTTATGAACAGCTCTGTGTATACGTCAGAATATACGCGCCCACCCAAGACGCTCGGATTAGGACTCACGTGTAGACACCCATGTACTGCAAGTTCCCATCAGCATAAGTTGAGCGAGTACCAGTGGAAGGAGGTACTTACAGTTTGCATGTCAATACCTTCTTGTAGATTGATCATGATCTTTGAAACACCGGCCTCTAGGTATTTCCATCTGGAAGCATCGGTCAGCCCGTTCAGATCTGCCAGGACCATGACAGGGTGATGAGAGCAAGTGAACTCACGTTGCATCTAGATCCTCTCGGTTGGGTACCGGAGGCATCAAAACGGTTCTGGTTGCGACAGACATTTTGAATAGGGTGAGTATACAGATCTGGTGGCGTGGATGAGTCGAAGAGTTGGAGTCTTATACTCGGTGTATTTTCCAGCAGCTTCCGTCGATCGATCCGCGGAAGATCCTATCGCAGCCAGGTCTCCTACAAAGCTGAGAATGCACTTGTCCTGAGCCCTCAGAGGTATTCGTCAGATATCGCAACACACAAAACAGTGGAGCTGCGGAGTCGAGGAAGCGGGCGAAGATCGCGAGGTTCTCGTTCCCTAACCACGGAAGGGTAATGCGAAGAGGAGGAGGAGGAGGAGGAGGGAGGATAGAGGTCCACCATGCAAGACAAAACGTGCCTCGAGGAGATCAAGTCGCGGGGAGTCCACAGGATCTTGGGAGTGTTGGTATAGGTATAGGTACTGTAGGGAGCCTTGGGATTAGCGAGTTGAGGCTACCGCATGAAAGTTCGATACAGGAATTACATAAGGCAAGGCAAGTGAGGTCTGCAGTCCAACGTATCTCTACGGTGTTCCATTTGGACGCTCGTTCATCCACCCGCAGTCTCAGCCACAGCGCCGCAAGTGGCTGGGTCGTGGAGATGTCCCAAGGTACAGGAGGGGCATAAACCGTGCCAGGAGCAGCTCGATTTTCACCGTGGATCATGGACTGCTCAAGCAAAATGTATGGATAGAGGCCCTTGTCCTCCTTTCTGTGGCAAGACTGGGCCGATAATATACAATATTATACTTTTGCCGTCTGCTGCCACAGTCACTGACCGTCAAGCAGTGACATCAGGCTCCGGGGAGATACATCAAAGACATGCGATATGATATCTATCTTCTGCCCTCTTTTAACAAACTCAATTTATGACCTGATCACCTTGCCAATATTGTCTGTGTCTGTGACAGACTCAGTCGTTCACATCTAACTCTTCTTCTACTGTACCCTTTCACTATGGCCCGACTCAACCTTACCCGTCCCTCTTCGCTCCAAGTATCCCGCCACCAGATCCCCCCACACAATCTCATTCCCAATACCTCGATTCAGAACAGACCCCTCATAATCTACCACTCATGTATCCCCCAATTTGCAACTCCTGCAGATATAGAAGCCCATCTCAAAGCTGTTGGAGTGGTGACCCCTCAATGGCGTTATTCCATGTATACCAAGACCCATTTCCATAGCACCACCCACGAGGTTCTATGCGTGTCATCTGGACGAGCTAAATTATGCAAGTAGACCCCCCCTTTTGTTGGTAGTCGTCTTCCTGACACGCTGTCTAGGTTTTGGTGGCGAAGAAAACCCATCCAGGGTTGAAGCTTCTGTCCAGAAAGGGGACGTCATTATTATACCAGCTGGAGTTGGCCACCGACTTCTAAAAGACTTCAATGGTGATTTTGAGATGGTAGGTAGCTATCCAAAGGGGAAGAGTTGGGATATGTGCTATGGGAGGGAGGACGAACTGCAGAAGGTGAAGGAGATAAGTAGCCTAGGATGGTTCGAGAAGGACCCTTTGTATGGAGACGAGGCTCTGGTGTCATAGCAGGGGAAGGAGAGAGCCTTGATGGCTGCACGCAAGAGAATGCAATTGTAATTCCCACCCAATATACCGGAAAGTTGAAAATGATCAGAAGGATCAGAAGACATTACTGCATTACTGACTCAATCTCATAGAGTGGTATACATATATAAATATTGGCACCTGTTCATACACCTGCAGAGAACTTGGGGCCTAGGGATGTTGAAAGTCACCGGTTTGAACGCCTTGCTAGAAATGCTGCCCAGTTTATTATCCAAAAGCATTGGAACTTCTTTATCCAAACTCAGACCCAGGACCAATTCTTCATCAATCGCCCTCTTCTCGGCCACCCACACGCTCAACCAGCCTATCTGCTGTTAGTAAATCGTTCTCATTTGACAAACAAAGGCTTACCTGAAGATGCTGACAGCGAAAGTCATACCCCACGCTATCAAGGCCACCATCAAGATCCCACACAAGGCTTTGACTCTATTGCAAATTATGTTGTTATACCCAGTAGTGTCACCGTCTTTGCAACTGCCATTGTCATCGGCTAGCGCTACGAATGCCAAGGCTATATTTGCGGACTCGAAAATAATGAAAAGTAAATCGAAAAGAGTGAGGCGAATCTTCGCTTTTGGAGAGCGAAGACCTAGCGGCTTTCCCGTATACTCATCCCAGGTAATGTAAAGAATGTACGGGATGGCAATAGTATCTACAACAATGGCCATGATTGTAGACGAGTTTTGCGTGTAGGAATATTCATGGGACAAATGGTGGACAGATCCTGACAAGCCGAGAGCGACACACGATGTGGTCAAGACAATGATCCGGAAAACGAGAGGCACGAGTGGATGCATCAACAAATTATGCTACTGAACCATTAGCATAATTTTCGCCATGAAATACCCCGGAACCATACCTGGAGACGCTTAAGAAAAGACTTCCTCTGCCTTTTGCTTTGTAGAAGACCCGCCAGCGACTCGGGGTCGGCGTGGTCTTCCAAATCGCCCCTCCAGGGTTTCTGATATCCGGGGGTCTGTTGTTGCAAGAATTCTTCATCCACGCGCATACCAGGCTCATCCAAGCCCCCATACATAGAGGACTTGAGATACGAACGCCAGGGCGAGCTATTTGGGGGAACGTCGGGCCGCATTATGACCGGATCCCTTTCTCGGGCATGATCCCACTTTCTACCCCTCACGGGCTCTCTATGAACTCCAAAGAGCCCTGTATCTGGCCTCTTCTCACTCACGCCATGTAACGCGTCATCGTACGTATCAACGAATCCGTCCTCGGATACTCTTCGGGTTGGCTGCGTCGGAGTATAAGGATGCTGTGCCGGATGTGCTCGAGAAGGAGAAGGTAACAATCTGTCGGATGGTTTTTCGTCCACCAGGTCTTCCGTGCGGTCCTCGAGCGAGTCAATCCATGCTGCCCGGCGTATTAGCAAAGCCGCGATAGCGCAGAGGGAGCACACATACGCGGAAGGGTCCTGACTTCCCTCTGTGAGAACCGATTCTCGGCACGGGTACTTCTCGAAGTCTGAGAAGAGCGGGTTTCCAGGCGGCTTGGAGAGAGAGCATCTGACCTCCTCTTCCCTCTCACGGCTTCACTTGAAGCGGCCGAGGACCCTGATTGTTGTCGCTGGGTCGAGCCATGGCTCTGGCGATACTGCAGAACATCAGACGCCTCTGAACTTTGGCCGTGACCAGAAAGGGTACGGGACGGAGAGCCAGAGGATGTCATAGGGACCCTCGACCGGCGGCCTTGAGAGGATGAGGGGGTTGGGCAATCGTCAACACGCGGTTGTTGATGTATCTATCCTTAGGAGGCTGCCACAGTGCATGGTCAATGGCACTATAAGGAACCCTTCCTAGGCGAACACATTGAAGAGAATCAATGAAGACGTTCTGGTGTGAGCCCGGTCGCTGGATTGGCCGCCATCAAAGTTCTTCGTATTTGAAAGAAGTGGCCCATCGAGACAGGTTCCTTGGGTGATTTGATTTGATTTGGTGTTTACTCCGTGCGGGTGCAAGCGCCGCACGGAGGCCCCGGATTACTGCGTCATTTCTCGCATACGGAGTGGCCTAAACCTCTCTAAACCTGGACCTTGGAAGACTTGAAGAAGCACCCTTGTGCCCTTCCTGCAGCAGAACTACCGTCTACCTAGTACTTTCTTGGCTGTTTACTGCGAGTCTGGCGATCCTGATTCCGACACGTCTCCTACATCCAACCTCCCCCTTTCACCTTCCGCCTCCCAAGCCGCAGCTCAAGCAATTCCATATCCGTACCCTACAGACACTCACTCAATGGCTTAGTCCAAGCCCCAGCGACAGCGCACCCCTCGCGCCGCAGTCAGCAGCAACAATGCGCCTCTTCCTACTCCCGCTCTCCACCCGCAGGACCCTCCTCTACTGCCAGCGCCTTCATCTCGCGAGCACCGAAAAACAGGGATGGCTGGATAAGGGCAGACTGAAGGCGGTGGATTTGTGGGCAAGCTGGGAGAAGAAGGAATCTGGCTGGCAAAAAAAGCTTGTGGACTATGGCAATCAGGCTCTGAAGAGGATCCCATACGAGGAATGGGGTTTGAAAACAATACCACCAATATCAGAACGTCGCCGAGCAGAAGAGCTGTCCGCGAAGGGACCGGTCGAAGTCCATTTTCCTCCAACTTTGATACCCGAGGAGAAGGTCCTGGATCTTTTGAAGACTCTGGGCACAGAGAGGCAAGGTCTACATAAGAAGCGGATGATCTGGTCTATTGTTGGGATGCCTATCGTAGCTCCTTTTGCCTTGGTACCTGTGTAAGCCGTCACAATATGCCCGAATGTTTACTGATGAGGGCTAATTGGTGACACCAGTATTCCTAATATCCCGTTCTTTTACCTAGCGTTCAGGGCATGGTCGCATTGGGCAGCGTTGTCGGGCTCAAAGCACGTTGAGTTTCTTCTCGACAATAAACTCATTACTACTAAGCCATCGCAAATTCTTGATGAGCTCTACGCTGCTGGGAAGAAGACATCTGACGCCGACACAACATCATCGGACCAGTCTCCAGCCAACGAGGAGAAAATGGTCCTACACAAGTCCGAAACCAAGCCATTCGCCGAAGCTTTGGGGATACCTGAGCTGCATATCGAACTTGAACGCGCGGTCTGGCAGGTAGAGAAAGCATTGCGGGCCGAGAAGGAGCTGAAAGAGGAGAAGACCGAGCTGGATTCAGTGCAAGCAAAGTCCAAGGAGAAGAAATAGAAGACTCAACCTGAGGGACGCGCTTTCTGATGTAGAAGATTGAGGGCTCACTTGGTTTTACCGTTAAGGCTTGATTCGCTAGGAAGACTATACCTAAACAAAACCCACCAAAAGTGCATATTACCTAAACTTCCGGGGTTCGAGATGCTCGAGATCCTGTAGTAAGAATACACATTCAAAATGTTAATACGACTAGAGCCTCTGAGACAAATCAAAATGGATTCAGGGGATAAAAATGCAGGAAAATACCTTAGTCCAGTGAATGTATCGCGTCCATCGATAAGACCTTATCGTCTATGCGCGCGCGGATAAATAAATTTATTTTTAACTTCATTTACCTCGTACCTTCGCACCCGCGACAGTGTCCCAAATCAAAGGATCGCCTGTTTTTGGTCGCCCATTCCCTGCTCAGCGATGCCACCCACTATTGAAGAAGACGATACGATTGTTGTGAAAGGCGAGTACGCCTGGGAGCGTCCATCGTCACCGGACAGCATGAGCCCCGGAGGTGAACCGCTTGTCGACACCAATGCCCTTGCGCAAGACAACACTTCTCAGCGCCTCGAATCACCAGAACCTCTTGCAGACACTCCTTCACAAGCCAAAGAAGCACCCAATCCTCAGTCCATAAACAACAGCACCCCAAGTTCGAACAAGAAGCAGAGACCAAATGTCATTACTACAGAGGAACGATTGCAGGCAATGCCTGAGAAGCGCCCTTTGCCTTGGAGACCAGGAGTTGACCCTGGGGCCGAGATAGAGACGGGAGGAGAATCTAGAAGAAAGCAGATCAGATTAGGCTGCTTGCTTGCTACCCGTGGCGACATCGTCCCTGTGCCATGCGTTAGTTGCGCCAACGGCCGTGGAAAGTTCTCTGTTTGTATTGCTCTCGGGGGAACAGTAAAGGTAAACACGCGCATGTACTCTTGACCCGGCAAATCTAATACTGCGCGTAGGGCGCCTGCGCTTCTTGTCAACTAAGTGGCCGACCAAATCGATGCAGCATAAAGCAGAACGATGGTAAGCTGGGATGATGCTTTTATTTTGGGAGAGCACTGCTGATTGATATCAAGAGAAAGATGTCACGCAAAGCCCAAATGTTGGGACCCCCGAAACTTCTTCTGGCAACGTCCAACAACGCCCTTCGTCTGGCTATCCAAACTCATCAATGGCTCCACCGGCAAAACGAAGACGTACAAATGATGTTCCTGAATGGGAAAGTGCCAGACCACAATGGCAGCAGGAGTTAGGGATGTCACAAGCTCGACAACAACAGACGAATGATATAGTAATTGGACAGCATTGGACAACTTCTAATCCTCCTATCTCAACTCAAAGTATGCCACCTGCCAGCAATGGACATAACGGTATCAGGCCTCTTCCACCTGGCACGTTCGGCCAACACAGCTCAATGGGTTGGGCGACCGTGAACCAACCAAGACCAACCCCGGTTCCAGCTCCAGCTCCAGCTCCGGCAGTAACTCCACATCCGCCTCCACAGGCGATCAACGGCACAGATAGTAACGGAAGCTCCTCGTGGAAGAACCTAGAGCGGGAAAGACGAGAAGAGACAGTTGGAAATGAAGAAGGGTCGGGTGCGCTCATTGACAGGTTGCCCAAAAGCAAGCAAAGACAAGTATATGGACTCATAAGCGGCTTACAAGGAGGTATTGAGCATCTTCAAAGGGAGTTGGATTCGTTAAAAAGGGCGTTAGGGATTGATGAGGAAGACTAAATTGTGGAGAGGACCTGTTGATATACAGTCTGTATATTCCAAGGCGCTAGCTAGGTAATGATTTGCAGAGCAAGTATTGTACTTGTAACATCTTTTGCGTTTGTGTGGTGCTAGCAGTATTTCCTTGTGGCATTATCACTTCCGGGTGTCCCGATAAAGAAACCGTGCGGATATGGAGAGCTTCTGCCGAAATCACGCGTCTCGGCCAGACGGCCATAACGACATCTCTTCAACAAACCCAGTTCTAGTAATGATTTGTACCAGGATTGATGCATTCTAATATCACAGTCTCAAATCCTACTCAAATTGCTCAAGACCAAAGATTGGTACAGATTTTGAGTATCATCCCGCAATTTCAACGATGAAAGCGGCTCCTATCACATACCTAGATCGCCTCTGTCTTCTACCAGAGCAGCGCAGTATACCATGGAGAGAAGGCCAGGAACTTCCCCCAGAGAAGTCAAGTCATTCACACCGAGTCCAGCAACGTGGGGCTTGTGTTTTGGCGACCAGAGGAAAGATTGCTGAAAAACCCTGTGATCACTGTGCAGCTGGTAATGGTCGATTCAAACATTGTATCACGCTGGATAAATGGTTCCAAGGCGCATGCAGCTCCTGCATCTTTACCTCCAAAGGAAATAAATGCAGTCTTAGGGTTCAAGGTCTAGGTAAGTGTCGATTTGTTCCGGAAGGTGACTCTATTGACGATTGAAAAGGCAGCGCGGATGGCAGAGCATTGCGGCATAAGATCAACATGGATGGGACTCCTGTCTCTGATGAGAAGCTAGCTTCAAGAAAACGCAGAAGGCGGTCCGAGCCAGCCAAAAGAACATCAATGAACAAAGTATTGTTCCCAAGCGAACCCCCTGCGTTTCAAACGCCACCCGCAAAATCCTCGGATGTAGATAGACTGCTCGAGGCCCAGCTTGCCTCTGGGATGATGGATCAACCTCCTATTATGGAGAAGAAGCAGAGTCAGCGGTATAGTCTCAACGTACCACCAACTCAAATTTCAGCATCAGGAGTAGCACCGACCTGGGCTCCCATATCAACCCAACAGACCTATGCCCCTCCGCCACGTGAGGAGACTTGGCATCAAAACATCAAAGACAGTCAGCCTCTCAGACCAGATAGGGCTACTTACCTAGACCGATCAGACAATAGCGGTGGTCCGCCTCCTCCAATCATCGACACGTTACCTAAGTCGAAGCAGCGGCAAATCTTTGGCCTTGTCAGTGGTATTCAGGGCGGAATCGACAATTTACAAAAACAGTTAAACCTCCTTCGAGAATCTCTCGGCGTTGAATTTGAAGAAGCACCTAGTGTAAATAGTGGTCAAAAGGGCGCCGGCAGGACATACTTTCCTTGAAATGTTAACAGGTCGACTGAGGCGTTGATACATGATAAAAGAGAGCAGGATGAAGAATATTCCTGTCGGAGGCTTGGAGATTTACTTCCCAAGGAGGTTGCAGATGCTTGAGGCAGCTGACTCGAATCATAGGTTGGTACACAATATACAAGCAAATGCTTCAGACAGCTGACCCTGATCATAGGTTGTATTGCCTATATGGAATACCAAGCCTCTTTTGCTGGGCAGTTGGAAGATAAAAGTGTAGCTCCTTGGGGCATATAATATCTTCGAGACTTCACAGTACTTTACAGGGGAATCCCGAGAAACTGGATCAATAGCCCATGAGGCAGGGAGGTGCCATTCCTACGAGATCAATTTGGAGGAGTTCAAGACGCGCGCAGGCATGTTGGAATGAGGGCAGCTTGATTGATAGGCGTGAATTGCTGTCCGCTTATCCGCTTATCCGCTTGTACCCTGCAGTAGTACTTCGAAGTACTGTGCAGGCTTCTGCTGCATTATGCATGCAGAGCAGCAGAGGATTCTGGAAGGACAGGCCCATTGGTCGATTCTGCTATTTTTATATATACCTCAACCCCGGCCCATCATTGATTATTAAGAATTATCGATATCCAACTTACTCCGTACCTACCACTGTACCCAAGGTACCTGGGGTGCTATACCAGGGCAAGGCAAGTAGAGGCAAGTGAAGCAAGCACATCTTCAAAGTATTTCTCTTTATTTATTTCATGGGTTTTCGTTTTACTTGGTTCTATTCTATTTTATTCCACAATCTTTCTGGTCTTGCTGTTATTTTGACCTTAAGCATACCCTGTACTGTACCTCCAGTACTTGTAGTATCAAGATGCCTGGAATCTTCTTTGGCCAGTCGTCAGGGCCCCCTTGTCGAAATCCACGCCAACTGGTTTTCTCTTGGCCGTGACGGAGCTCTTTCGTCATGGACCCCTAGCAGAGACATGTATTCCCTGGTACTTGCACGGCGCTCTGCCGCGATCTTCTCTGGCCTACGCATGTCTCTCTACGGACTTCTACCTCTCTCCATCTCTGCCTTCTCCTTCGCTCTCCGGCCCTTCCCTTCCCGCCCTCCCTCCCTCTCAACGGTGTCGTCGAATCCGGGAAACTAATGCATCGCCATTTGGGGTGGATCGGCAGCCGATTCGCCGATTCCCCGACATGGTGACATTAAACCGAACTGAATACGACATACGACATAGCGAGCTTACCTTCCTTACCTACCTTACCTTATCTATAGATAGGGTCCCCAGAGCTCCCCGCATACCCCGCGGGTACGAGAGATACCTGTGTTTCTTGATGTTTCTCTTCATCCCATCACCCACGATCGTTAATTAATTAGTCAATTAATTAATAATTAATCTCTCTTTTATATTTTGATACCTTTTCCAACTCTACACACATACCATCATCACCCCCACCAGTCAGTAAGTATCTCAAGTGCCTATACACATCCAGCCTCGTCGCACCCGTTACACTATTGTCCTGCGCTTGCCTGGTGTCTTACTGACTGTCAGACAAGGGAAATACGGACACGGCTTGATCCCATTTGTCATCCCCATCCGGACCAATTCTCCCCGAATCTTCTCTCCTCGACGGTCTTGCTCTGGCATCGTCATTCCGGGCGAGGATTTGGCCGCCGCCCCCATTCAGCCCAAGGCTTAAATAATATCGCATGAGGAGAATGGAACTCATGCTCACCCTCGCTCGATAGACGTATATTTTCATTCCGGAAAGCTGTGGCACGATGGCTCCCTTGAGGAAAGCGCCCCCAGTATCCCGAAGAGGTCGGCAGATGGTGGAAGTTGAAGGAGATATGCAGGCCGGTCGCTCCGCCTCCTCACTCAGGGCGGAGAGAGCAGCGGCTGATATAAGACCCAAAACTTCATCGCCAGACGAAATAGGCAGTGGGGATTCTGGCTCAACTCTGCAAGGAATCGTTTCTAACTCGACCGAAGTCGAAAGAAGCTCGTCAACGTCGAGCTTCAATCGGACATCTTCTTATGCGCCCGTGGTCCCTCCCCAGTCCAATCCATCCTCGTCCCATTTATCTATTAAAACCGATGAAGAGAATGAGGTTGTTGATGAGGTCTTATCACCGATCGCTTCATCATCGTCCTCGTCAGGCCAGTTTCCTCAAAGTCAGAGAACCAGTAATATGTTGCCGATAGGAAGGGAAAATAGAAGGAGCAGCAGTACGTTGAGCCAAACTCAGGAATTGTTGCAAGGAAATCCAGTGCTTGCCATAAGGCCGGAAGCCCCGAAACTCTTGAAGGATCTAGGGGAAGACTACTCACGATACCCCCAACACTGGCCAAACCGCAGCTCATATTCAGGAACACCTGGGCCGTTTCTCGCATCTGAGCAAAAGTCATCTCTAGTAAGAACGACTAGCAGCACTGCGTTTAGTGATTCACAAGCCGACTTGGAAAAATTGGGATATCCTAACGACAGCATCGTTGCCTTTGATCCTTACTTTGGAGGGGAGAAGGGTTTCATTCTTTACAGGGACGAAGTCGAAGCTGACGACAAATATCACATGCCGGCGTATGACGATGACCTCGTCTACAAACCAAGCTGGAAGGATTACTTGAATGCACGTGCGGTGATTTCAGCAATGGGAGGCATCGCCCTGATACTGGGCCTCCTTTGTGTTTTCATCCTCTTGCCGATTATGGCTTATGTGAATAACATATCCCCGCTTAATGGTCCCAGCAATCAAACCAATGTCGACGCTGAACCTCAGTCCTGGGCGTACGTTAATAATAGAACTTACCCCTTGTTGAAGAACGTCCGGACCGGCTTGATTGACCCAGACACGCCGGTCAGCGCGAGAACAAGGACAAGTATTTTTGATGGCTCTACCCTGAATCTCGTATTCAGTGATGAGTTCAACACCATGAATCGAACATTCTATCCTGGCGATGATGCCTATTGGACGGCGCCAAACATCTGGTATGGCTCTACTGAGGACCTCGAATGGTATGATCCTGACGCTGTCACAACCGGCGATGGGACGTTACAGTTACGCATGGACGCATTTCCAAACCACAACCTTCAATACCGTTCAGGTATGCTGAACAGTTGGAACCAGTTGTGCTTCAAAGGGGGGGTATTCGAAGTCTCTCTTTCTTTGGCAGGCCCATCTGGAGTTCCCGGGCTTTGGCCTGCTGTCTGGACCTTAGGAAACCTGGCTCGACCAGGATATAGGGCCAGTTCGGATGGAATTTGGCGTAAGTATCCTCGTGGGGTAGAATCTCTCCTACCCCGGACTGGTTCATGAGCAGCTAGATATATTTCACTCTCAAGCAACGCCTTGAGGATAAATATGTCCCGCAGCTCATCAAGAACATTTCAACTTCTCCATTTTTCATCAAACAACTGCTGACCCCCCTTATCAATAGCATACACGTATACCAACTGCGACTTAGGGATAACTCCCAATCAATCCTCTCCCGATGGATTATCCTACCTTCCCGGTCAGAAGCTTTCCTCGTGCACCTGCGATGGCGAAGACCATCCTAATCCAGGAACTGGTCGCGGAGCACCTGAGATCGATATCCTCGAAGCATCTGTCGACCCAAATAACCGGATAGGAGTTGTCACGCAGAGTTATCAAGTGGCCCCGTTCGATATTTTTTGGCGGCCGAACGCCAACTTTATGCAGATACCCAATTACGAGACCACTTCGCCGAACGCCTATTGCGGGGGGCCATACCAGCAAGCCATTAGCGGCACAACGCTCTTGAATAATGAATGGTACGATGGTAATGAATACCAGAAGTACGCCTTCGAGTACATTCCTGGAAATTCTTCTACCGGGAAAATCTCCTGGTTCGTCGGCGAGGACCAATCGTTTATGCTGGATGGGAGAGCGATCGGACAAAATGGGAACGTAGGGCCCCGCCAGATCTCTGAAGAGCCTATGTCCATGGTACTAAATCTAGGAATGAGCAATTCCTGGTCCCAGATCTTGTTCGACAGCCTGAAATTCCCTACGATAATGCATATTGATTATGTTCGGATTTATCAGAAGCCAGGGGAAGAGATGATCACGTGTGATCCCCCTGGATATCCTACAACGGAGTATATCGCGAATCACGCAGTTGCTTACAGTAATCCTAATTTGACGGTGAGTTTATTTGCTCTTGAGGTGGTAGTTCCGTTGCTGATGATTGCAGTCTTGGCATGAAACTGGCTATTCCTGGCCCAAGAACAAGTTGACAGGTTGCTGAAATGCACCCGCATCTATCAACACGTTCGCAAAGAAAGCCTCTCTGGAGAAACTGCATACGGCTGTACATGAGCGGCCTCGAGCCATGCTATGTGATCCGCCCACGAAGAAAATGTCCCGTAGAACGATTGGATACGACTTGTGTACACGAAGTGAGGATTTTCAAACAGGAAGAATACGTATATTTGACGACCCGTGTATGACTCTGGATTTGGAAACTGGGACAAGGAGTTTTAGGAAGGGGTAAATAATACGCTTCGGTATTGATGATAGATTTACATGTGGAACGGCGTTGGATGGGACGATACACATACCTTTGGATACACAATATAATGTAGCTAGAGGTTTCTCCTTAATGTATCCTGCTAGTTAACGAAGTAATATATACTCAAGTGCAATAGTGGTCTTCAGATCTCTGTTGATTGTGGCCTCGCTCCCTGATCTCTCTTGCTACCCTAAGATGGACTCCCTTGGTGGGAAATCAGACCTTTTGCTAATTGTTAATTAGAATTATTACAACCACTAGCAGTCTTTCACATAACCAAGAAAGACGTTGTCTTATATGCAATTGAAGCGTTCTTGTCATACATCCAAATAGATGCAACATGTTCTCGAGACTTGTAGAAGCCTTGGGTAGGTAGGCAAGGAATTCCGGAGAACCCCCGGCCAGGTGATGGATATATGCTGATAGACAAAGGCACTCTAGAATCATTGCTTGACTACCCAGAAACAGAAAATCCTCGGAGATTTATATTCAAGCCAGAATGGTTCATTCAAAATTCAGATGTCGTCCCTTTGAAACCCTGAGATGCGATGCTCACAAGTAAAAATAAAGTGTATAAACAGGATTCCCTGCCCAGCTTCCCTGTCCGGCATCATGCGGGCTGACGTCTGAGGAGGGTCCCCGCGCGGGAACGCAGATCCCCATGCGCGGACCCTAGAACTCTGGATATTTCGTATTTACGGAGATACTATTTATTTTCAAAATAAAGAAAACTTCTTTTCCACCTCTTTTGCCTAACACCTCTCTTCCGGAAACGCGATCTCTTTCCTGGTTTTTTGGCTGCGTCTTACAATTGATGTTAATTACCTCTAATGTTCTATCTATACCTCTTATAGCTGAATGTGTTGCTCCGGATCTCCATTAGCTGCGGCGCCTCTCTTTGAATCCCCAGAGCGGGAGACCGCATCCAGGGGACAACTGCACAGAGATCTCGAGGCCACGTTCGACAACCGGCCTTGTATTGGGACCATCATGCATGCCGCACAGGGACATCGATAACCAGCATGGCGGAAACTCCTGCGCGTAGGGGGCGCGGACGACCTCTGACGACGAGGACGAGGAGCAGTCTCTTCTCCCTCCGGCTCGAGAAGACGGAGACTATGCTCAAGATTGGGAAGCTGAAGTTGCGAGGAAAAACTGATGATCTGCCCCAGTATGTGCCATTCCCTTGAGTCCGAGGAGAACACCCCCCTTTTTTGCTAATCTGGAGCGTTTGCAGAGACTGGTGGTTCGCATCCACTGCGATCCCCCTCCTTGCAGCCACGATTGGCCCTTTCGCCAACGTCCTCTCGATCGCCGCGCTGGTTTCGAAATGGCGAGTCAACCTACCGAACAATGGACAATTGCCTGAGGGAACAGATAATGCTGGGGTGGACATACCGGACCCGCGTTGGTGAGTCCCTCGCTCATGGACTTTCCCGGAAACTGTTTTGACGGGCCGGCCCAGGGAGATTGTACTTAATGCTATATCATTGGGCTGTGGGTTCTTTGGCAACGTTTGTCTGTTGCTGAATTTCACGAGGCGTATAAGATATATCGTCGCGTTGCCGCTCACCATTATCTCGTGGTATTTTGCTACTGGTATTCTCACTGGAATCATTGTGGCCATGAATGCGCACGATCCGCCTATCAGACCCGGTCAGACCTATTCACAAGGGTTCTGGTATGCTATCATCGCCTCATGTCTCTATATGTTCGGATCCATGATTCTGATGATCAATATGCTTGGCTATTTCCTGGGCCATTACCCGCAGCATTTTGACCTTGATGATGACCAGCGTACCCTGATCTTGCAAACCATGATGTTCTTCTTCTGGCTTGCAGGTGGAGCGGGAGTCTTCTCTAAGGTCTGCGGCTTTAGCTATGCCGATGCCCTCTACTTCTGCGATGTCACGGTCCTGACAGTCGGCTTTGGCGATCTTGTTCCGCCTAATGACACTGGTCGAGGACTGATCTTTCCATATTCTGTCTTCGGTATCATCTTCCTAGGTCTCATGATTAACAGTATCCGAAAATTTACTGTTGGCCTATCGAAGGTCAATATCATCAAGAGGCACCAGCTCAGGGATCGAGAGCGAACAGTCAGTCGCTCTGTTACGAGTGAGAAGGAACTACGAGAGCGCCTTGGACTACCTCCGCCGCGCGACTCGGATGTTCCACGGCCATCGAGTGCCCAAAAGTCGTCAGCTGCTCGAAGAGCGTCTCTAGAACGGTACGGACATTTTAGAATCCATGGACGAACAATTACATTTCGTGAGCATAAGATGAAAGGGGCCGGGAGACGAACTAGTGCCGGCAGAGTTCACAAGTCAAAGGCACATACGAACAATCGTGCCATTCTGAGAGAGAGGGCCTCCCGAAGAACCTCACGAACCAGGTATACGAGTCGACATAAGAAGCTGATCCTCCTTAGAGAAGACAAGGACAGGTTTGATACGATGCGCCAGATCCAGGCTAATACGACCAAGTTCAAGCAATTCTACGCCCTATCTATCTCGGTCGGTGCATTTGGGATCCTCTGGTGCGTCGGTGCGTTGGTATTCATGTTCGCCGAGCGTCGGATTCAAAATCTGTCGTACTTCGAAGCCTTGTATTTTTGCTATGTCTCCCTGCTCACAGTTGGCTACGGCGACTTCAGCCCCAAGTCCAATGCCGGTAAACCATTCTTTGTAGTTTGGTCGTTGATTGCGGTCCCTACCATGACATTTCTGGTCTCGGATTTGAGTGACACCGTTGTCTCTGCCATTAATCGTGGGACCTTCACCCTAGCGGATTGGACAGTGATGCCGAAGGCAGGAGTTTATCATGATTTTCTTGAAAGACATCCCGGAGCGAAAGACTGGCTAGAACGCAAGATAAAGGAGCGTGAAGCCAAAAATCGAATCGAGCACGGGTTTGGTCTCCAGGACCCTGACGAAGAAGCCGGAGCCAATGAGTCTGGAGGAGGGGACTCGCCGGGAGAAGATGGATACGGATCAACACTTGAAAATCTCGCAGACGCGCCTGCAATCATGACAGATCATGAACTCGCAAGGAGATTAGCGTTGGCAATCAAGAGGACGGCGAAGGATCTGAGGCTGCCTCGCCCGAAGAAATACAGTTATGAGGAATGGGTAGAGTTTACAAGACTGATCCGGTTCAGTAGCAAGAGCCCAGACGAGGTGGAGAAGGACGAGGACCAAGAGGGGTTGATGGACTGGGACTGGATTGGTGAGGACAGTCCCATGTTGGCAGATGTTAGTGAGAGCGAGTGGGTGCTCGACCGGCTTTGCGAGAGCCTGAATCGATATACTCGTCGGCAGGATCGCGAGGTATGTACATACATGTCCTTCAGTCCTCTGCTCAATCACAATCTTGGACCCTAACAGCAGGAAAACACAGGCTAGAGAACTCGAACACCATCGTCACATTTAACGTCAGAGAGAGCCCGACTCAGCCATCGCGGTCGATTCCCCTATTCAGGCCAATGAAAATAGCAAGACCCACCTCAGGAGGCAGCACAGTGCACAAATATATCCCTACCCTGCACATGTTGGACCCCGCTCACTCGCGCTGCGGAATTCCCGCTCACTTAGTCCGGAATTCCAGAGGGGATTCCATGAGACAGTCAGGAGGATACCTAAGGATTCAGCGAAAGATGAGAAGCCGCAGTTTAGTGACGAGGAGCATGAGGAAAGGGAGGAAAAGGAAGGAAAGGAAGAAAAGAGAGAAAACGTAAAGGATACGCCGAATAGCGAATCAGGAGCGGAAGGAAGCTGACAATCATGAGAATAGCCTGGATAACAAGCTTGCGGGATGTATATAGCATAGGATTTCTTTTTTCGATTTTTTTCTTTTGGCATTGTGGTTTTTGCATCTGATACCACCACCACCAACTACGTATCTCTATCATCACTCGGAGTCAGGATCTATCCATCTAGCATTTTAGAGCGGGCCGTGGCATTCAGCCTCTTACGAAATATACTATACCCAGGTTTCGGAAAAGGACAGATTAGATATCTCTACCTATCTATGATCTATCTATCTGTCTATCTATGCAGCTAGTACTAAGTAGAGATGTAAAAAAAGAAAAGAAAGAAAGAAGTTAGAACGAAAGCGAGGCGCGCAATCTCTCAATACGCGATCTATGCATGCATGTATGCATACCCCTTTCTTTGAATCATAACTTCATAAGGTATGCTTGCTCAACTTACTCGCCATACGTGTCAACGGAGCCTTTCACTCACTCATCACGCTCTGTAGGTAGGTATGAAGGAACAAGATGATGATAAGAAAATCCAGAAAATATAAAATAAATAACTCTCTCTTATAAACTTAGGTAATGCAGTATATCTTCTTCCAATTCTCTCTCTCTCATCTCATCTCATCTCACATCTCATCACATCTCACATCACATCACATCTCACATCTCATTCCACTCCAAAAGATTCCAATTCCAATAGTTCATTCATTCCCCCTCTCTCTTCCCCCTCTATCGACTCTCCAGTAGCTCCACTCTACTCCGTACCCTAATCCCGATCCGGGGTTTGCGTAAACGTTAATCCGGATCTATAGTTTTGGGATTATGTAATTGATGACTACCTATCCTACCTAGGTAAGGTAAGGTAGGTATGAGGTAGGTACACCTTGGGTGTTTAAGTGATTGAGAAAGAGAAGGGAAGAGAAAGGAGAGGTGAAATCTTGTGATATAACGGTAATATCTTACTGTAATAGCCACTCTGTTTCTTTTCCTATTTTTTCCTTATTTTTTACATTACATTTATATTTCCCCCCTTTACCCAAGGTAAGCCGTCCATGTCCATCTCCACGGCATATCTGGCCCGAGTAAGTAAAAAAGGGGGAGGGCATCAATTACCTAAGAAAGAAGCTTCTGGAGAAGAGTCGGAGTCAGCGAGATGCCGGGGTGCGCATCATTGGAAAGGGGCGTCGTGTCATTGGTCGCTGATAAGCAGGCGAGACACGTGTTTGTGCGCGGGAAATGGAACGATGGGGAGATAAGGGCATTCATTTTAACCTACCTGCATTGAAATCTAATCCGGGGTCACGTGTGGGTTATCGGGGGACGGGATCTTTGTTCTCTTTTCGGAGGGATGGACGGACGGATAGAGGGAGGGAGAACAGCACCACAGGAGAGAAGAGGAACGTGGAGAGAGAAGATGGATAAATGAATAATATCATAAAAACTTTTATTTTTTTTTTGTAAGCCCGGCAGGTACCACTGCAGCCGCGCATGCGAGCAACAACAAGCAAGCAGCGGAGACAAAACCCAAACCCGTCCTTATCTACTCCCACACTCCACCCATCGTATCATCCAGCCAAGCCCCCTCTACCGCCGTCGCCGTCGCCATCTGATTACAATCTCTTCGTGCAATGAAGAGGCTTCTGCTTTGTGAGCCGCCCAGCAGGAAAAGCGTCAAAAGGGAAAAAGGAAAGCATGGTGGGTTGATCTGACATTAGAGGCGCTCCTCGGCCGGGAGCGCCATTTTTTGTATTCGAGAACAAGGAAAATGCAAGTAGGTTGTGGATATGTCCGAGAGAGAGAGGGAGAGAGCCCGTGGGTGCGTGTGCGGTGGTGTTACAAGAGCCAGGGAGGACAACTGTATACAGTCAGGCCCCCGACCAAGAGGGAGGGCGTAGGGCTAGCCGGCGATGAGCCGGCAAGCGGTCGAGGAAGGTGAAGGAAATATCGTTATGTTGGTATCATCAACAGAGTAGTAAAGAAAATCGCCGCCCCCCGCTGAGAATTCGTATCCGTATCGGCGTCTATGTCACGGATTGGGGTGTGGAGGACTCGCTGTCTCCAACCATATCTGCGACACGCATCTTCTTGGCACGTGGTGCGCCCTCTTTTAGTTCGCTCAACTCGCGCTCGACATCATCGAGACGCCGCTTGAGCTGGTTCTCTCGACGCTGGGATTCCTCCAGGCGACTCATGAGGTTGTGTTCCGATTCGCGACGCATCTCTTCGCCTCGGCGTGCATTGCTCTCGTCCTGCTCGAGTTGTGTGACCCGGCCACGGAATAACTCATTGATGACCTCGAGCTCGCTGACGCGTGTCTTGAGAGACGAGTTCTGGGCGATAAGCTGTTCGTAGGTCTGCGGGACCTCCAGACTCTGGGCCCCATTCAGCGGGGACGTCGAGCGGCCCGGCGATGGTTGGCGGAGGTGCATCGGAGGGAGTGTCGGGGAGGGATGGGTGTAGTGATCGTCGAGAGCGTGGCCGTTGTAGGCTGGCATGTGGTTGGCATACATCGACGGGGTCGCAGTTCGAGAGATTGGAGAATTCGAGCCATCAGAATGGCCGTTCGCAGACTTCTGGGAAGTGCGACGATGGCCCATGGGGCCGGGTGGTGGTGTCCCACCCTGGGATCGGGTCTGCTCGAGCCCATGGGATTCGAAGAGACTCTGAGCCGACACGTTAGCAGCGCCGACAGGAAGGCAGGACACGCATCGCGACAATCCATCACATCACGATCCTACTTGCCTTCTTCTTCGCCCCTTGGGCGGCACCCGAACTCTTGACGCGGTTCCGACTCTTGATAACATCTGTCTTCAGGCTTATCGGCCGGGGTCTGCCGTGCAGCTTGAGGAACAGACCGCAGGCATTGCACAGCACAGAGCCGATCTCATCCCTCCTCCAGAGAGGAGTCGTCGAGGTCGTGCAATTTTGGCACGTTGGCTGTGCGGTTTCGCGGTCAGTGTTAGCCATGGTCGCCATTATGATTTCGAGGTTATCGGGAATGTGGGCGATAAGGGGAGAAAATTTCAGGCGCCGTTGATTATCTCTGAGAGATTGGCTACGGCGGACTGCGCGCGCGCGGAGTGCAGTACCGCCCGCCGTAGTCCGGTGATGATGGTGGAGCGCGCGATAGCTGGATAGCTGAGCTCCACGCACAGCACGACCGCAGAGAACCATCGGCGGCCAGGGGCTTCAAGAGGCAAAGAAAGCGCGACGCGGACTTACAGGTGAGTTACTTTGGCCCCCTCCGCCCGACGTTGCTGATGGCGAGGAGGTTGCGAACCCCATGCTGACACTCGGTCCCATGTTGAAAGGCCTGTCTCGACGATTAGCTCTCGTCCGATGCCTGCGATAAACCCGAGAATGCAATGATATGACCTGATAGCCAGGCGCTGCAAAGAGCACGCGTCTAAAGGCCAAGTCCGGCTCTTGCAGAGTGGACGAGTCGCCCCTAGATATACGGCATGCCTTTGCATGAGAGTGCCAGGTACATTCATTCGGCTTTTCTCCTATCAAAGACGCATTTCTGTTCTCGTCTGCCCTCCCACTCTCCTACAACGTACCTTAGCTGTGGTGAACCGGACGACGAGGCAATGGACGCGAGGGACGAGAGACTGGGAAGCTGTGGCAGCGAGGCACTGTGGTGAAGCGTGGAATTCTGGGTCGAGGTCGAGGAGGGTCGAGAAATCGGGTCTAGAGGCGGCAGCGATTGCCTTCCATCGTCTATAGCATGTGCCGGTTTGAACGGTGGCAGGTCTCCTCGAGCCTGCTCTCTTGCAGAGGGAGGGAGGTGGTCGATGGCCGCAGGCCGGTAGATGGGTACTAATGTCGAAGCCGTGATTGCGGTTGGGGGAGGTATTACGATTGTCGCGTTCGAGAGGGAACGCGTAGGTAAGGAGACTCTAAAACGGTCTCGAGTATGCTGTGAAGCTTCAAAGGTCTGCTGTATGAGGGAGAGACCGATCTGGAATTTATAAGGAGCGAGACAGGTAGGCTGGTATTATCGAATCCGCTGAATATGCAAAGCAAAAATTCCGGCCAACGCGCTCAAAACGAGTGACTGAAGGAGATCTGGCTGATAACGACGAAGGAACGGATGGGGGAAACAAAGAAGCAGCGAGTGCGTGGTGTGATATTACTTATAAGTTCATCTGGTCGGAAGGTGAAGGCGAAAGATGGAGATGGGAGATGGGCGGACGGAGTTTGAGTGTCTTGTCTGGCATGGGCGCCCCTTTCTTATCCGCACGCGCTACCCTCGATACGTACGATTGCAGATCTATAAAAAGATAAAAAGAGCTAAGGTTACCGCAGGATTGGAGCCGTTAACAATACGACGCGGTTTGTACTGCCAGTAATAATAATGTAAGTTATAAGGTGGTGAATCTCATCGTTATCGCGCGCGTTTACTTTTGCACGATCGGAATGGGCCTCATTGCTACAGTCAAGAATGCATATTTATGTGTGTGTATTTGTACTCTGTCATGTCGGTGCGACGAATGCAATAATATCCCTACCCAAAGTACCTGATTTGTGCCCGTCTCTCATTAATTATGCTTTATCCCCTCCTGGGCTTTTGTACAACATCTGAGGACACCGTTGACTATCATCCCATGAGAAGAGACGTTACCAGGTTGCCCATCCATTATGATATGATTAATCTAACCATCTAACGCAACAGTCTCGATCACAGTGTATCTTCCGTGCTTTGGCCAGGACACCGCGCCCGTAGAATTACACCTAAAATGTGAACATCTGTGGTCTGGCTGCCGAAAGGAGGTTTTTGATGCAGTTTCCCACATCGCATTTACAGAACCATATTCAGCGTATCAGATAGCAGTAGCAGCCAGGCAAAATAATCCAGCCTGTCATCGACACTACTAATAGACTAGATTAATCGAGAAGGCTATGGAGCCTTTCAGCCAAAACAGTGTCGAATCTGAGCTTTCCTTGCTCGCAGTTCGAGATTTCAGCTACCGGATCATACCCCTCAGATATGTCGTCATCCCACTCAGGATATCTCTCTCTGCCTTTCATATTCAGCAAGACAGCCATCCGAAAATGATGCTTCAGAAGCGCCCGGCTTGGTTGATATTTTGTTGGAACATCGGGAATCTGATATATCGTTGCCCCATCGTAGTCTGGCTCATTGATAGAATAATAGATTTTGTAATTGGCCTGGATAGTATCAACTGTCACAAACCTCACAGAGAGGAATCCGACAAATACGCACGTCGGGTTTTATAGTCAGGACGTAATTATTAAAGACGCTGTGGATGTCACGTCTCAAGAGAATTCCATTTTGGACTCAATTGATGCCGGTCTCTCCAATTACCTCTCGTGGCTAATCTGCTGTCGCCATGATCCCGAAACCCACTGTGAATAGACATCAGAATCCGTATCAAAGGGTTGTAGATATCATACCAAATTCCTGCGAGTTAGGGGGAAAATATGGGCTGCTTCATGGATGCCAAAGTCCTTACACACTCGACGACTTATTACACAGCGCCAGTCGGGCTCACGGATTCGGTCGCGGAAGTCTCAATTCTATATAACTGCAATGTCAGAGACTTTTGTTTTGTATCATACGAAGGTAACAACTAACAGGAGTTGACAGTGATACCGCCAAGCATACCTGAAAGTTATCAGCACTGGTAGATGGATGAATGGTAGTTTTACCTCGAGGACTGAGCAGAGCGTAGAAAACGGGTGTATTTGAGAGTATGTTGATAGCTGCACTGTGTCGACCCACAGGATGTTCGGGATTCCTGTCCTATAAACAGGGGAAAGGAGCATATTCCTCCAGCGGAAGTGGGAAAACTATCTGCATCCATTCCGCCATCTCAGCCCAGGTCAGTGAGCCGTTTTGCTACGTTCCGCCTATTTCGTGTATGTCGATACAGCATGTTGGCGGAGGCGAGTAGAACACTACATTTCTGAGGACGAGTTTTGACACTATCAAAGAAATTCTTCTGACTTTCAGATATAAATGAGGGCGATTGTATATAATCGTGGGTCTTTGATACCTTGTAGACCTCCCAATTGGTCAGTTACGGCCTAAGGCTGCAACATACCTAGATGTTTCTACCTAACATATGACCCCTTTTCAGCCTAAGAAGGATCATTTTGCTCAAGAAGATGCAATGATTTGCTCCTACATACAGGAACTTGGGGAAAATGTAAAATTTTTGAAGAAAAACGAACGAAGTGGTCATTGTGGAATTGCTCACGTGATGGCATTTGAGTCGTCCACTTGGTACGGCAGCCCATATCAAATTCGGCTGAAATTCTTCGACGCCCGAGACTTTTTTTCGAGTCGCAAACTTCCTAGCTTTACGACCCCACTACGCAAGACAAAATGCCTTCGACACATAAGAAAGATAAACCTTGGGATACAGATGATATCGACAAGTGGAAGGTAAGCTCTCCGTATCATAAAAGTCCCTGGCAGGCCAAGCAAAGACTGACATTTTGCAGATCGAAGCTTTCACTCCCGCCGACAATAAAGGTGGAACGTTCACAGAAGAATCCTCTTTCGCGACCCTCTTTCCCAAATACCGAGAAGTTTACCTGCGGGAAGCATGGCCTTTGATCACACGGTCTCTGGAGAAGTTCGGCATCGCATGCACCCTCGATTTGGTGGAAGGTTCCATGACCGTCAAGACGACCCGGAAGACCTATGACCCTGCCGCGATCCTTAATGCTCGCGACTTGATCAAACTACTTGCCAGAAGTGTTCCTGCGCCCCAGGCTATCAAAATATTGGAGGATGGGGTTGCGTGTGATATCATCAAGATCCGGAATCTGGTCCGGAATAAAGAGCGTTTTGTTAAGAGACGGCAAAGGATATTGGGCCCGAATGGTACTACGCTGAAGGCCCTCGAGCTACTCACGCAATGCTATCTCTTGGTCCAGGGGAACACCGTGGCCGCCATGGGGCCGTACAAAGGGTTGAAGGAGGTGCGGAGAATTGTGGAGGATTGCATGGACAACATTCACCCCATCTATCACATCAAAGAACTCATGATCAAGCGGGAGCTGCAGAAGGATCCAGAACTAGCTGGGGAGAGCTGGGATCGATTCTTGCCTCATTTCAAGAAGCGGAACTTGAGTAAGAGAAGAGTGCCACATAAGGTCACAGACAAGAGCAAGAAGGTGTACACGCCATTCCCGCCGCCGCAAGAGAAGAGCAAGGTCGACTTGCAGATCGAGAGTGGAGAGTACTTCTTGAGCAAGCAGGCTAAGGAACGGGCGGAGAAGGAAAAGCGACTGGAGAAGCAGAAGGAGGCGAAAGAGGAAAAGTTGAAGGAACGGGAGAAGGAATTCCAGCCCCCCAAGGAGGATGGCGAGAAAAAGGAAAAGAAGAAGCGAAAGAGAGAGAAAAGTGAGGGAGAGGACGAAGTGAAGAAGGACAAGAAGAAGAAACGGAAAGAGGCTGCGGAGGAGTAGATACACTGTTCCAATATTGATAGGCATTTTGGCGATGGCGTTACTGATGGGATTCGCATGAGATATCAGGGTTTTGTGAGATCAATAGTTATTACTTTTAGCTAAATGTATCAATTCGAAGACCGCCACTAGTATTCTCGAGCCAATCCATTGGAATATTAACGTTGGAATCACGTCCACCAGGAACAGGAGGAGCCCCTTGTCGATTCTCGTGGCCTTGCGACCCAGGCATGGTCGTTTTGTTCGTACCTCAGACGACATTCGACCAGCTCCGTACAAGAGCTGCGAGAGGGAGGTAGCTTGACAAGAAGTTGTCCTTTTCATGATATGTTCATCCGGTCATTCTTTAGACGCTCTGCCTTCTTTCCCTCCCAGATGCGCGCCATGGGTACCATACCTCAACCAGCGCCCGAACTTTACTTTTCACAGTTCGAGGTCGGCTCACAGGTAAGTAAGCTGCCTCTCAGCTCCCCTCAACCCCATCCCCACCATCTCCCTCCTCTCATCCGCCATAGTCCCAGGATATCTCCAACTCAAACTAACCCCCTCGTGCAGGTTTTCTACCGCACGCCCCTCTGCTTCGCGCTCGTCAACATCAAGCCCATCCTGCCCGGTCACGTGCTCGTGGTGCCGATGCGCAGCGTGGCGCGGCTGACGGATCTCAGGCAGGACGAGGTGACGGATCTGTTCACGACGGTGCAGAAGGTGCAGCGGATGCTGGCGCGGCGGTATTTCAAGGGGGCGGACGGCGGGCCAGGCAGCGTCGAGGACGGCAGCTTCAATATCGCCATCCAGGACGGGAGGGAGTCCGGGCAGACGGTGCCGCACGTGCATTGTCATATCATCCCGCGGACGAAGGAGTCGGCGGCTGAGGGCGACGGCTTGTATGATCGCTTGCAGAGCGAAGAGGGGAATGTCGGCGGTGGGCTTTGGGATACACAGCATAAGATTGGGGAGGCTCGTCCTGAGCCGATTGGGAAGTTCCCGAGGATTGAGGATTCGCAGAGGAAGCCTAGGTCGGCGGAGGATATGGCGGAGGAAGCACAGCTCTATAGTAAACAGATGGAGGAGTTGTTGGACTGAGTATTGGAGGGAGGGGAGGGATCATGGTGGCCTAGAAGCCTTGTCATATCCTTTGTATAATACTGTGATCTGGACTGGACCATAGCTCGAAGATCTCCTGCTATTTGCGGACCAATATATACAGAACTTGAAATACTAGATCTTAAGCTGTTGGGATTGGTTCAATTGCTCTCTGTTCAAGTTGGGTTTCTACGGAGCCTGTCGATAATTCTAAATGTGAATGAAGTCTAATACAGTTTCGTATCCTTCTTACATGATACTTGCGTGACATAGAAGCTTGCCCTATGATCTGGAAAAGACCAATGCTAAGGTACCTAAAGATCATTCCGCCCAGAAGTAACCATACATCTTACTACATAGACTCCACTCTATTTCAAAGACAGAGATCTTGCCTAAAATCAGAACATTGAACTCATCTCTTGAAATTCTATCTTAGAAATGACAAGTCATTCTGGAGTCTAGCCCCTTCATTCTTGCCCCTGTCTTGGGACGCTGATGTCATTTGGCCTACCTACAGCCCTCTTAATAACTCTTCGATCGTGATCGGTTTCCTAACAGCATTTGAAAACCCCTCATGATAACTAACCCAGACCTTGATGTCACCCTTCCCATCCTGCTTCCTTCTCTTCTTCGCATCCGTTTCAGCGTTTCCATCGACCTCTTGAAGCGGCGAGATCTCCTCGGTGATCACTCTACCGAAGAAATCTCGCTTCGTAAGGGGCGCCCCTGCCTCAACGTGTTGCGATTTATTCTCTTTGTTATTGGCGAAGGAGAAATCTGCTTCGTCCTGGGGATTTCCTGCTTTGTACCGAGCTTGGCGTGCCGCGTTCTCGCGGACGATGATGCTCTTTTGGTATTCCTGATCGAGCACTTGACGGACAGCATAGCGTACAGGGGCGGGCGCCGTAGCGGAAACTGAAGCCGTCTCGAACGTGACCAACGTATCCAAAGGTCTATCACACAGTCAGTTTTGCAAGTTTGATTCAAGAGGGAGGCTTACGGCTCCATTCTGTACACCCATTGAGCGCCCCTGTTCCCAAAGTCGCCCTCTAGCTTACCACGTTCAAAGATGACGCCTAAACCGCCCATGACATCGACAGCTCTCTTCACCAGAGCTTTCTCTGCCTCCTTTCTTACACTAGCAATGCCTTTTTGGTCGCCACTCCCACCGACAATGATCGGCTTGATATCTGGAGTGAGCATTCTGACAATATACGGAAGTAGATCCGTAGCAATGTCTTCCGGACTCCTGAAACTTCGTAGAAGCATTGCGTTAAGGCTTGTCTGCAGTGTCAGAATCGTTGCCCGATTCAGCTTTTCTGCTTCACGAGCAAAGTAGTCTGCTCTTGGCCCGGAGAAAGGACGAGGCTCTTCTGTCTCTTCTTCTGTATCCCACTTCTTTGGCTCGCTCCCTCCGCCGAAGTAGTGTCGCGCGGGCGAGGAGAAGAGGTGGTGACAAGCTAGGACCGGTTGACTGAGATAAGGTGCCAGTTCGAATTCTTGGCTTGAGAAAACCCGAGAAGAGCAAGTGTCGTGGAAGTGAAGCCATTCATAGGCTGCGTCGGGTTTGGATAGTATGGAATCATCGTTGAAAGGTTGATTTGGGTATTCGGAGAAGATATCGGTCACGATGCGATCTATGTCGCCACTTGTATCAACCATCTCTCGTAGCCTATCCATTCCGGCCTTCTTAACCAACTCTGCTACACCAAGCGGTGTCTTTGGTTGATCATCTGAAGCGCCATGAAGCGCATTAGAATTCAACGATTTTGGGAAACCGGCGCCTTCTAGGAAGACTCTGTTGACCACCTCCTTTACACCTCCTCTCCCAGCCCCTCTTGCCCCGCCTCCACCATGTGAGAGATCACTCGTCATATTCTGTTCGACCCATTTCCTAGTCAACCTAGGAGTCCCATCCTTGTTCGAGGCCTTCAGTTTCCCTGCCGCCCACTCCCCAACTACCATTATTCCCCGAAGATCTCCTTCACCGGCACCCTCTCTCCCTTTTCGAGATTCCGTGGCATCGACTCCCCAAGTAGCTTCACATAGTCTGCGTACTGCATCGCTATCACAAGACACTCCTTCTTTCTCAAAAACAGATTTCATGCGAGTAACAACAGCGTCCAGAGGAGGCTTGCGGACGTGAATGATTTCTGCAAGGCTGGATTGGCGTAGAGGCCTCAGCGATGGATGATAAATATCGTTGCATATCAAGATTAGAGGTCGCATAAGTCGAAAGTCATCGCCCTTCTTCTTCTTCCGAGAGTAGCCTGTATTCGTTCCGACCATTGAGGAGTTCTTCTGGTCCAAAAGAATAAGATCAATTAAGGCTTTGATGAAACCACCTTCACCTGCACTGCCAGATCCTCCGACCACTCCATCAACTTCATCCACCACAACACACAAAGGATGGGCTATCTTCTGTACATGCCCGGTTTTCGAAGTTATGGTCGACCCAGTTTTAACACTTTCTGTGCCAACACTGGTTCTTATTCGGTTCTTCACGACGTCTCGGCTTCTCTCATCACTTGCATTGATTTCCATAACCTCATAACCAGCTTGTCTGGCACAGACGTGTGCTAGAGTCGTTTTACCAAGACCGGGTGGGCCAGTTAGCATTAGGATTTTCCGATGAGGCTTTTCTTCCTCCTCTTCAGCTCCGGGCCGTTTTCCAGCAGTTGATTTTGCCTTGCTAGACTTTGGGAAGACTATAGGATCCCATGCCTTCAGCCATCGTAAAACTTGACGATGTGTCCGATCATCGCCTACGAGTTCCATGAAGCTCTTCGCTCGGTATTTTTCTGTCCACATTAAAGTTCTGCCAACTCTTCTCTTGGGGCCTGGCTGTTCCACTGAAGGTATAATCTCCTCCGCGGCCTTGCCCTGTTTTGCTTTCTCTTTCTCTGTCTCTTTAGAAGCGTCGTCAATTAATTGATGTATGTCAATCCCATAATAGCTCTTCTTTGCGCGTCCAGCCTTTGTAGTCGACCTTGCCGCCACCAATTGCTCGAAGGGAACTGCAGCCGTCTTTTTTCTTTGTTGTACGGAGGTCGATTTTCCAGAGCATGTCACAACTTCGGTATTCTTGGTCGGTCTACCACGTAGAAAAGACGGCAATGGAGCAGTAACTCGATCCTCTGTGGGCCCAAAATTAGGAACGGAGAACGAGGGTGCTACTCGAGCCGCATCAGGTAATTGATTTTCTGGAGGCCTATCTTTATCCACCAAGAGCTCACCAGTTGTCTTTTGCTGAGCTGGGTCCAGGATACTCTCCTCTGTAAGCTGCTGTGTCTCAGGGCTCAGTGGCCGTTGTGCATTTAACATCCTTCGCTTGGGTGCAGGTTCAGGGAGCGAGAAGTCATCATCGCCGTCTGATTCCTCGTCGATGAGGAAGCCACCGATAGCTCTTGGTTTTCGAGGTTCGCCGGCTTTCACAGGCAAGGGACGCTTACCAGCCGGTGGAGGGGAGCTCGGCGGAAATGCAATTGGAGATGAGGCAGAAGGCATTTTGAGACTTGGTGGTGAAGACTGGAGAGGAGGCCGGTGAGATGAACCAGGGCGCGGCCGTAAGGGTGTTACTGGAGGTTTGTTTAATATGATTCTTGAATGGTTGGTGGAAGGTTGCACCTTCAATATGGTCCGCTTCACTTCTAAACACTTCGGCCAAGGACCACGCTCTGTGCTGAATCACAACACCTTCCTTATTCTTCCTGGCGATGGTCTCCTCGTGGACGAGATGTAGCGCTTCAAGATCGTCGGAGTAGGTGCTAGATGAAGGCAACACGACCGGGTCGATGCGCTCCTGCTCCCAATCTTCATACAGAGCGGGATCCGAGGTGAAGGGGAGTGAGGGCGACGAGGCGGAGTCCATTGGACTGGACCATGCTGATACAGTACATATCCAGGTATCATTTCTCGACGCGTCCAACCAACACGCCCACGCGTTCGACGCGCACCGCTACAGCCGAGGGTGCTTAGTCAGCACGGGCCGAGGGCGGCATCTCACATGATCAGCGGCGCCTCCGCTATTTTCCGAATTCCCTACCTTCCCGTATTAGGGTGTGTTTCGCACCTGCGGATGTGTCTCCGTAATAATAATAGTCACGGTTACCGGCAACGATCCTACCTTAGGTAAATCCGGGCCTATAATACGTACAGCAATAAATAAGATTTTCCCCGCATTCCGACTGCGGGAATATCTCTCCCCACACATTTGATTCTGTCGTTATTCCCATCAACCAACATCATCCGCCTTAATTGTCTGCTTTTGTTTGTCACTGTCGTCCCTTGTCCAGCGGTGCGCAAGGAGCATGTAACGGCATGGATTCAATTGGAGCCGTATCCCCAGCTCTCAATACATCTGTCTCCTCGCCCGTGACTGAACGCTCCAGGAACACGGCACCCGTGGCGCAGGAAAACGACTCAACAGCCGAGCCCCCCAAGAAGAAACAGAAGCGCAACAAGCCAACGCTATCATGTGAAGAATGTGTCGAAAGGAAAACCAAGGTCAGTGCGCTCTGATTTGCCCTGTTGAATGTGCAGATTTCGATTTCTTTGAGTTCTCGGAGATGTCACAAAGTTGTGATATATCTGCATAGGGTTGTCGGCTTATTCGGTAACGGCCATGAGGCCGAGCTATTGTGTTGGTTGCGAAGGAAGACAGATACCAGCGTCTCTTTCTCAGTGATCTAAGCTCTTAGAGCCACATCTCAATATACCAGACGATCAGTTTAGTGGTTCTTGTCTGATTCATGCCTTTTGAGGTCAAGGAACCGTTCAGCTGCTAGGTTCAAATTTTTGATAGAGCATCTGTTATTATATCCCGCTTTTTTAGAATGGTAAAATAAGGATTCTGCGGCTGACGATTGGCGACAGTGTGATCGAGGGAGACCTCATTGCCTTGCTTGTTAGCCACCTTCCCCGCCGTGAAGACTCCGTTATTAAGCCATTTCACAGGTATAAAACGTCAAACAGATTGTAAATATGCACATGTTGCAAATGTCTTGGAGTAAGTTGTATTGTACAGCACTCAATAAACTCTTGAAGTAAATCCTAACTCTCAACCTAGGGAGACAAACCGGTCTGTCAGTAATGGCCGCCGTATGACCAAACCCCCTAAGAGGAAACCCGAGTCGGTATCAAGGGTGTTTGAAGTCCCAAGACAAGCCCCAAATCCGCACGAAAGAAGTGCTTCCAGGGAATCGACATCTTCATCCACTGGCCTGCTTTCCAATGTGCCGTATTCTCATCCCACTGCCTCCAATGTTTTTGGAATCGGGTCCGAGCACCCCTTTGCAAATTACTGGACATGTCAGGGAGGATTAGCAGAGGTAATCTCGGTCTTGCCTGATAAGCTGCAGGCCGATATTCTGCTGGACATGTATTTTGAATGTGTTGACCCAGTCTATCCTATGATTCATAGGCAGACCTTTTACGCCGACTATGAGCAGTTCTGGTCCCTGACTCCGGCAGAGAGAGAGCGGTCCGATGGAGCACTGGTAGCAATGATATTCGCTATGATAGCCATGGGGACCCAGTTTATCAGCACAACCACTTATCATGACCGACAGCAAACGGCCGAGTTTTACGTCTCAGCCGCCCACCAGGCTTTGAGAATGAGCTCATACCTCAATAAGGCCTCCGTCCGGTCAATCCAAGCCATGGTCATCATAACATACTTCTTGATCAATGATAACCATGCCTCGGACGGGTGGGCATTTGCTGGAATCCTCATCCGCCAATCCTATGCCATGGGCCTGCATCGCGATCCCGACATCGTCTGTCCCAACGCCAGTATCTTCGAGAAGCAGATCCGGCGGAAACTGTGGCAGGCTGTTCTCCTCCAGGACACGTTTCTCACCGTCCTACTATCGCTCCCACCAAGCGCAACCCATACTGATGTCAACGTGGAAGACCTAGTCGATGTTTCCTCCAGCATCGCCAACTCTAACCCTACCGACACAGCCTATATCCGCGGGTGCTGGACACTCGCAAACCTCGTCCAGGAAACGATCTGCTCGCCGCGGTCTCTCGACCTTCCCATATCCTCCACCCCGCGGCAGAAATCAAAACTCCTGGCCGACTTCCGCGCCGTCTACCGCTCCTTCCCAGACATCTTCCGCTCCTGGGATGCCGAATCTATTACGCTCTTAGCCCAGAGTAACAAACGCATAGTACGCCAGGTTCGTACTCTCTACTACTCCAGATCCCCTATCTTCTTGCATGCTCTTAGGAGAAAACATGTCTTGCGAAAGATCGAGGGTCCTGCTTCTCATTTATTAATCAACAAGATCCGCGGCTAACTTCCACGTAACCTAACCACAGACCCTGTTTCTCGCGAGTAACTATTACCATAGCATTATGTTAGTGCATTCGAGCTCGAGTCCCGAGGTTCCGGTCAACTTCCGGGGCGCGTTGGAAGCGGCCCACGAGGCCATCAACGCCTTCTTCCTGCTCTGCGCCATATTTGAGAACGAGGCGAAGGTGTGGTGGGTCTTCAATCATAGGGCGTTTCTGGAGGCGCTGTGTATCGGGAGTATCTTGCGGGATCAGGCCAAGGACGAAAATGGGGCCGATGTCCTGGCTAAGGACCCCTTATTTGTGAGGGCGAAGGCCGATATTCGTACGTATATTATCCTTCTAAAAATCCCATTGTCTGGGTAATGGGTCATTTATGAATTAGTACTGACCGAGACGAATAGTCCAAATGATCGCCATTATGCAAAATATGAGTGAAGGCGAACACGGGTCTGAGGTGGCGAGAACGAGGATCTCTGTACTGGGCAACTATCTGTAGTTCAACGCCCATTCTTACATTATATCACACATCCATCTTGCGATAGCAAGATTGCTATTGCTATCATCCAATAAAACCAGTGTTTATCTCGCTCATATCCACCGTGTCTCATCAGGGAAGCACTGAACGCCTTGCATGCACCCACACCCGCCGAGAATCAAATTTATCTTCGTCAGCCGTAAAGCATCAAAGCCCACTGGAATTCTAATCATGTCTTCGATTGTTGGAATTCGAGGAGAATCGATCCCGCAGCCATGCTATCGGTCCTCCACTATTGCCAGTACTACCGGAGCTTCTTAGTGATTCTCGGGAGCGGTCACTGCCACTCGTATACCCTCTTCTACTATCCCGCTGATTGTCAATACTCATATCTGAGTCGCGTCTTCGATATGAACGATATGAACCAGGTAGGTTTGGCTCAAGGTCCGCATCAGGTTCTTCAGAGCCCATCTGAGCAGGTTGCCATCTGAAGGGTTCCGGGTTTTCCTCCGTGGGCGTAAGTCTTCCAGTCGCCCGAATCGAATCTAGTCTTGCCTCGTTTCTACTTGAAGTGCTTTCCCTACCTAAACGTGATCCAAGGCTCAACCTTCGAGATCGCTGTTCGTTCCGTGAAGTTGGCGAAGAAGGCCCATTGCTTGGTCTTCTACTGTTGGATGGCGGTGTCTCGTCGCCAATACTTTTTCTGCAAATTGGACATGTATTATGCTCCCCCAACCATGCGCTAGCACATGCCTCGTGAAACCAGTGACTGCAAGGGAGCATAACAACCTCGTCTCCAATGTGTACGTCATCCATGCACACGCTACATTCTCCTTTGCCCTCGGGACCGAGTAGTTCCTCGTCCAATAGCTTCTTCGGAAGTGCTGCAATCGCTTCTGGAGGTGCTGGGCCGGGAGCGTTAGAAGTGGGATGCTGCTCCATTAAAGTCGAAATAATCTGATCCAAAGCTTCTTGAGAGTATACAGCATCGCCATGGCGGGCATTACGGGGATTGAGAAGTGCAGCAAGCAGACCTTGAAGGCCTGCTCCTACTCCCTCGCGTCCCTCACGTGGATCATCTCCAGGTGGCGGCGCCATTTGGCCAAACATATTACCAAGAATACTGGCAAGCTGGTCAGGAGGTGCTGTAATACTAATGACGTACAGAGAACGGCCATTAGAGGGTGATGAAGGAGGAAGGGAGGCGTACGTAGCTAGATCATCAACAGGTGGTCCGCCTTCCTGAGGTCCATCTGTATCCCTTGGTCTCAAATTCCCAGTTGTATAGATAAAACGCCCGCCAAAAACGGGAGGCATTGGCCCATCCCCGCGCATACGAAAATGGCCTGGAGGAAAAGGAGCGTGAGGGAATAGATCATCAGGACCTGATCTGCCAGGCTGACCAGCTCGGAAACCAGGACCCATAAGAGTGCCCAGCATGTTTTGGAAATCTCTCATCACGTAGGTGGGATCGTCTATATCAGGTCGACCTCCCCTCCGGCGACCAAATACATCCCGAGGTGTCGACGAGCGGGTGGTTTGACGAATAAAGACAGAACCTCCCGGCCCGTGTGTGATGTGCTCTTCTATGTCTGCCTCTTCAGGATCAGATGAATCACTATCTCCCCAGGGATTATGATTTTGTAGGGATCGGAAACCAGGCGGGGTTGGAGGTGCGTCGAGACCGGGCCGAGGGTCACTCTCCGGGGATACCTACGATCTGTTAGCTTTGGCCATAAACCTAGCAGAAGAAGGGTCTTACTATCTCAGTGACTTCACTCTGGCATGCTGGGCACTGTAATCCATGCTCGTCTCGATACCATTCGTGTGCGCACTGGTGGCAATAAACGACCTCTCGTGGACCAGATGCATCTAGGTGCCCGCGACTCTGCCCAGATGCTGGAGTATGTTCTGCCATGGCGTCTCGTATGCCCTGGTAGGCCGCGAGGGCAGTTAGTCCGAGACTTAATGCCAGGCCCGTGGAACGTAATGCTCGGAACGCCAGGTTGAGTCGAAGCCTCTGGAAGACACGCCTGATGGAGATGGATCAGAAGTAGTATAACCCGATAGTCAGATGTGTTTGCTCGTCCTCAGCAGCGCGGCTGATTGGCGTGCAAGCTGCCGGACAGGCTGACGATTCACCTGCGGATCAGGATAGGGCTGGTTTGCAAGGAGGGTGTACACTGTACACTGTTGCTGCACGCAGTATGATCGGAAGGGAGGGGTTTGGTATGCGTTGATATGACAAGAGGACAGAGGCGGGGCGGACGACAGGAGAGGAGAAGACACGAGGGAAAGGAAAGGAACGAAACTGAGGCTGAGCTGGATGGTCGAAGAAAAGCTCCTCCTGCTGTCGCGGAGACGAGGCCGGAGAGTATTATAAATATCCTCCGCAATAAGGTTCACGGAGTAAATAACCTGAACCTCGGGGCGACTGCACTTCTCGGGTGAGGGTCGGTCCCCTGTTATCGATAAATATATTTAATCGTTTGAATCGCGACTCACAGCAGGCATGCATCGATGATTCGCCGTTGACAAGAGCGAGGAGGCAAAGAGGCGGTGTTTTGTCTTTCAGGTTGTTTCTCAAGAGATGTTGTAAAGATTATCATAATACCTTAACACCGAGGACGCCGTAATACTTTGTAATCTCTCGTGACAATGAACCTGCCAATGGATACCTTAAATTCAGCCGTTACCGTACGGTCTCAACTGTGGTCTCAGTGCAAATCGGCATTTCCGCGCTACGAAATCCAGGGTCTACAAAGAAAGTCTAAAACCGCATCCTCCCTCGATGTCTTGAAAATCTGATTGAAAAATGACAATTCAACAGAGTCGGGTCCTTTCTTTTTCCACCCTCTTCTCTATGTTTCTTCATGCGCGGGCTCCACATCCTTATAATGACGGGCACTTTGGCTCAGGAGACACCCCCAGAGCAGGGTTGGGGGGTGGGAATAACTACCTATTTACCTGCTGCATCGACCGGTCTATATGTGAAATGGAACGGATCCAAGGGACTTCAACAGCAATATTGACAACCACAATAATCATACAGTGCATTCATTACGGGACTCCCGCCGTCATTGGTATACTCAGTTAGCAAGTGCCATGATATCGTTTCTCTTCCAGACCTACCCCGCTTCCTCTACCTCGCCCTCCTCCCAAAGCCCTTGAATATCATGCCGCCAACAACACCCGCGGCAATAGCCACCCCACTGAGAATAGCAACACCCATTAAACCCTCCTTCGCAACTTTATCATCTATCAGCCCTCTCAGACTCGCTGCTTGTAAATTCGCGGGCTCCTTCTCCAGCAATAAGTCGTTGTATCGTCGTGCCTCTGCATAATTCCCAAGCTTGTAGTTTCCCAGCGCCAGGTAGTAGAGACATTCCCGTCTTCGCTCGGGCGAGATACGGAAGATATCTGAGAGGAGTCGAACACCGTCTTGTTGATCTTGGCGAACGTTGGATTTGATCAAGCCCTGGAACAGCATGAGTGTCGCCTCTTGGAATAGCACACAGAGGCGCTCACCCATGCAAAGTTGAACTTTGTCTGTACCCCAACATGCTCTCCTTCCTTCTCATATTGTGATCGTAGAACTTGTAGCTCAGCGGGCTTCAGTGGGCTGAGTTGATGTTAGCTTAGAAGGCTCTCGATGTCCCGCCTTGCGTGTCTTCGGTCCGGGGGGAAGGGGGGTCAAAAATGACAGAGATTTGGCTGACCTTTCTGCATCGGCAGCATCTAGATGTATATGTCTCGTCAGCATAGCCGTTTCCAGTCGTAAAGCATACAAGAAGATCCCAAAACGGGTGTGGAGTTTTGTATCCAGGAACCTGTCGTCCATACTTATACTTACATGGAAGAGCGGTGCCCATATTTGGATTCTATCGATAACCGCCGGTATTATTCTGCAGGAATGGAAGGTAGGCGACTTCTTTGTTTATCAGGCAGATAGAGTTATTCGGATACTGGCTAAGTTTGAAGGTCAGGAAGCTCGTGTGGCGTCACTTGCGCAGCTTGTGGCTTGTGACTCCGAACTGTGTTGCTGCGCCAACGCTTCCCAGGACGAACAGAGCCGATAAGCGCAAACATCTCATTCTTTCGCCCGCATCGCACCGCTCCATCAAATCGCAAATACTCAAGCTATAACAGTTATAACACGTTATCCTCTGCGACCCATTGTCATAATGCTTCTCGACGAAGACCCCGCAACAGTAAGGAACTGGAGACGCCTTCCACTCATACTAGCTAACTTTCTCAGCTCATCCACCACACTGTTGGCAACTTCAACATCCTACCAGACAAACTCGCCGTTTCGCGCATCAATGAATCACTATCTACGTTGCAACAAGCTCGGGATCTGCGCGTACGAGAAGCCGAGAGCGCATTAAAAAGTAGATTTCATCGTAGCTATTGGAAGTTCATGGCACTAATTCAGAACAGAGCTTTCAAGGACCCTCACAACCCTAAACAACCACCACCAAGAAACAATCGCCTCCCACTCATCCGCGGCCCATGCTTCAGAAATTGCGACCCTTGACACACAGAAATTCCGCATCGCCAAAGCTGCTAGCGATATTGAAATTGAGACGGAGCGCCTCTCTTCCCAACTTGCGGACCTACAAGCCCGCCTGCAAGAACTGGAATTACAAGGAGTTGAGGGTGGCGAGAATGCGAGGAGGGGTTTGGTGGCCGACGAAGTTACTCTAAAATTGAAGATCTACAGGGGGTTAGGAATCGATCTTGTGAGGGACAGCGACGGGGAGTATACGAAGGCGGTTATCAGGAATGGGAGCCAGGTTGGTTTAAACGTGGTCAACCTGGACAACAAGCTTTCGAGGTTCTTCTATGTGAATTACTTCTGGCAGATGTTGTAGCGTGGACTGGGGAGCTTGGGAAGGATATTGGCTTAGGCGGCGTTTGGATGGCGTTCCTGATTTTGCACTGGATACCACAGGAGAGTTCTTATACAAGTTCAACGAACAAAACACTACGCATTAGTTATACCATGCTATTTATCATGAGTCGAACAATCCCAAGAGTTTGTATAACCTAAGACTCCAGACTCCCATCCCACCATACATTATATTACCTTTGTTTCATGTTTAACACAGACGAGGGCTTCGGACTCCCTGAGCTTGATGCCGGCGTCAAAACCGAAGGCGTTCGTTTCAAGGCGCTCGGACTAGACGGCGCATGGGGCAAATATCCATCACTAGCAAACACCGCACTTGGTGAGGTCCTCACTCTCGAGGTATTCATCACAGTCTCGGGAGTGAAGCTCCCCTTCCACCTTTCATCGCTCGGTACACTCCCCATCGTTGAAGATCTCCGATGTCTCCTGCCATGATCCGCCGGAAGCTCCAGCCGGGAATTGATCTTTGTCCAGAGCGCATCGTCATCATCAGGCGGCGCTAGCCGCCAGCCTCCTACTCCCTCATAATCCCTTGCGTGGCCCATGCCTTGGTTCAATCGCAGGTTGTTGCCACCCGCAGCTGGTGTGATGGAACCAGCGGATAATACGCTACTCGAGCTATCCCTGCGGATCCTCCTTCGCGCGGGAACCCTTGCGATGGAATGGACCGGTTCGATGCTATCATTTGAACCGAGAAGATAGTGAGGGATAACGGCGAGAGCAAGTTCAAGATATACTGTGATGACTCGGAAGCACAGGATCGAGAAGGCAGATATCGTGGTTATGGTTGCGAAGATGGCGACGGGGATTGTGAAGATGAACAGGAAGGGCAGGATAAATCCGTATCTTGGGTTGAGGCGCGTCATTTTCGTCAGGAAGTGGGAAAAGACATTCTAGTGTCTTAGATACCTAGGTAGTTGATAGAACGGGTCAAGGAAGATGGTAAGATGGTTGGGGTATTTGTATCCTGCTTTGGACGACGGGAAGTCGCATGTGGAGGCGGCGGAATACCAAGCATTTACAGTTTGGGGAGAAGTGTGGGGTAGCGGCGGAATGGCGGAATCTATGAACCCTTGGAAGTCTATTAATAATGCGGTGTGCCTGCAGTGCCGATCCTGCGTCCGATTAGCCATGAACGTCAACGGTGATAACCTTGAGTACACGGCCAGGTACTCGACCTCAAGTTGTGTGAGCTACTAGCCACTGCCTACAGTTGCTCAGCCATGGCTGCGTCTGAAGGAGCAACGCCTCGCGATGACCCTTTCCCGTGGGGACTGGGCATTTATGACGCACATTGCCATCCCACGGATACTATGAGCCTCGTCCCGTCAATTCCCAGCATGAAGGCACGCGTCCTGACAGTCATGGCTACCAGGGGTGAAGATCAGGAGCTTGTAGCTCAAGTAGCCGAAAGCTATGGCTTAGAGAATTCTCCCGATATGAGCGAACAACCTGATCACCGACGTGTAATTCCATGTTTCGGGTGGCATCCGTGGTTCTCTCATCAGCTATATGATGATACAGAGAACCCCGTTCCAGATTCTGATTCGGACGAATTTAAGGTTCGTCATTACCAATCTGTCTTGACCCCTAAGCCGGATGATGCTGCTTTCCTGGGGTCTCTCCCTCAGCCACGCTCTCTTTCAGAGTTTCTCTATCAGACTAGGAAATATTTGGAGAAATACCCCCTAGCTCTTGTTGGTGAGATTGGTCTGGATAAATCATTCCGTATTCCCAGACAATGGTCGGCTGGATTGGAAGAATCAAGGGATGGGACACTCACTCCAGGAGGTAGAGAAGGCAGGGTACTCAGTCCTTATCGGGTCCAAATGGATCACCAGAAAGCAATCCTGAAGGCCCAGCTGAAACTTGCGGGAGAGATGAAGCGGGCAGTGTCAATCCATGGTGTGCAAGCTCATGGCGTAGTTTTCGACACCCTGCAAGAAACTTGGAAAGGCTATGAGAAGGAAGTTTTGAGCAAAAGGGAGAGGAAGAAGGCCGCCCACCAAACAGAGGAAGAGGGATTTGATACGGACTCGAAGAAGCACGGACCAAGACCATTTCCTCCCAGGATTTGCCTCCACTCATATTCGGGGCCACCTGAACCTCTCAAGCAATATTTCCATCGCTCTATCCCAGCTGAAGTGTTCTTTTCGTTCTCGTCCGTCATCAATATGTCGTCATCTGCAAGCGTAAAGGCTGCTGAAGTCATCAAAGCACTGCCAGAGGATCGAATACTTGTTGAAAGTGATCTCCATGTCGCTGGAGATGAGATGGACATAAAATTGGAGGAGATGACTCGAAAGATTTGCGAAATCAAAGGATGGAGTCTCGAAGACGGGATCACCAAATTGGGAAGGAATTGGCAACGGTTCGTGTTCTCATAGGATGAAATCAATGTTGCTCGGTCATACCAGGAAAGACGTTCATCCCGGTCATATAAGTTTATTCGACGCTTTGGCCAACACAACATGGATCTCATTGATGTTTTGATCCTTTTGGTAATGCTCTGCTTCCTGGATTTGAGGTTGTAGTACCTTTGCTCCTGAAGCATCGATTAGCCTTAGGCAGTTTACCTGCACCTTGAGAGGAAGAGAAGAAACCACGGAAGCTTTTATTTCAGTGGGCTCTTTCGTTGCCCTTTATGAGCCAAGGGTTGGCCATAGCAGACTATTCAGTCATCATCTTCCGGCCCCGTCAGTTGCCAAGTCGTAGGAGTTGATTTTGGACTCGACCTGAACGAGTGTTATTTTGCCACCAAATGAAATCTCTTATTGTACTTTGATAGAAAGTCCTAAGACAAGGAGCCTGCGATGAGACTAGTGTCAACTATGTGATTATCACAGCAGTTATATTATTATTCTCAGAACAAAGAGATGTGTAGTTCATTGGTATAGAAAGGTTGAAAGAGCCGTTGAAGTAGATAGTTAGGTTTTTGTATCCTACACTTTTACCAGTATTGATGGTAATATGGAGTTCATATGTCTTATCAAATAGATGTTAGGTGGCAGTTTGACGAAGAAGAAGTCTGTTCTATAGACGAAACGTTTTGTATATTTTGTGTACTTTGATACGTTCGGTCTTTGGTAATCTCCTTGGTTACAAGTAATAGCCCTGACAGCCTTGCTTTTGGTAGTGTCCTGATTTGAGGCAAGCAAACCTAGATCGGTTTTTTGGGTCTCTGACCGTAGATAAACTCTCCCTAAAGCAACTGCTTGAGCAAGCCGTTTACAGCGAGTGAATAATTCAACTGTAGCGAACTTGACCTTTTCCACACTACTACCATTTGCAAACTACCATCTTTACCAAACAAGCTTCCTTAACAAGAGCATCCTTCTTGCAATAAACCATTGCCTCACAAGTCATATATTTATTTGACAAGGACACTCGCCACTTGCGAGCAATAGCAACGTTCATTGCGAATGTACGTTGCAGTCATTTACTCGCTTACCCCCCGAGGCTCTTCTTCGATATCTCGGGAGACTTACTGCCAGCAATACGCACACAGTAACCTGAGCTGCAACTTCTGTACTTAGTGTCCTACACCTGCGCCCTACAAATGCAAGAACCTCGAGCAGAACCCGCAAAATCCAACTACACATAACAAAAGGTGGTGCGTCTTGTTACCTTTGCTATCTACCTTGTCAACGATTCCTTCGACGTCAACGATCTCTTCTTCATCAACGACATCTGCATCGTCAACGATCTATCTTTTCTTCATTAGCGATCTCTTCTCCATCAACGATCTCTTCTCTATCAACGATCTCTTCTCCATCAACGATCTCCTCTCCATCAACGTCCCTTCTTCATCAACGACATCTGCATCGTCAACGATATATCTTTCTTCATTAGCGATCCCTTCGTCGTCGCTATCTCTTCTGCCTTGTCGTCAACGATCTCTTCTTCATTGACAATCCCTTCTTCATCAATACTATTATCTCCCTTCTCGATACTTCTCCAAGTACATCCTCGTTATTGACTCAACGAACTCGAATCCTTCTCTACAACAACATATTTTGCGACAACACCATTGTCTCCTCCTCATCGCCGTCAAATCTTAACTACTCGGTTAATATTCACCAAGGTGAGAAGCTTCCATCCCAGAGCTCCTTCCTACTTCTGCCTTTCTTGTATTATCCTTTTTCCGTCGTCATTTTATTATTCCGTCGTCAATGTCATTTTCGTCGTCAATATCATCTTCGTCGTCAATGTCATGCTTGAAATCATTGCTGCTATGCACCTCTATTTACCTACCTTCTTTTTTAACTTCAAGCAACTCTGCAGCTTTAGAGGCTAATATTTTTTCTTTAGGGTCATTAAAGATGTCAGAGACAGAGCTAGACAAAGGACAGAACACAAAGTCTAATGGTCTTGGAGACATGGTGTCCAACGATAACACGAAAAGCCTTGCTCCTGAACCACAACAAAGTCCTGATGAAAGTCACAATGCTCCGCCCTCTTTGCCTGACATACGTGATCCTATTAGACGATATGAAAATAATACTTCTCCGTTCTCCCCGCCTGTCCTATATGATCCCACTGGACAATATGCAAATGGTATGTCTATATGTTTTTCTTAACTTATTGGCTTGATCCTGCTTCTGCTTCTGTTCTGAGTTGTTCAATGTACTACAGCACCCTTTTTACTATGTACATAATTCAAAATACCGAAGCTAACACCTTCTAGCCTATAGTCGGCTGACCAACACTACTTCCCCTCCGCGCCAGCGCGGTCTTGCAGTTGGCGCTTTGTCTACGAATAAGGAACATCACAAGTTCGGGTCTGCTGGTCGCTTTGAGTCGTTTGACTATCAAAGCCAAGGCCGACCATACCGTAGCCCTTCCGCCCAACGACAGCGGAGCAGTTATGCTGCAGTTGGCCCTTTATCTACGAATAAAGAGCGTCGCAAGTTCGAGTCTGCCGGCCGATTTGAGAATCAAAGCCAAGGCCGCCCACTCCGCAGCCCTTCTACGCCATATGGAGGATTCGAACAAATTAAAAAGGATGAAGCTCTAAACTTCCTTAGGCGACCTGTCGTCCGGGGTCGTATCGTCAAGCAGTCTGGAAAACGTGCTTTCTTGCAGCATCATGATGATGAGGATGAGGATCATGATGAAAACACTACATCTCTCTTTGATCAGCCCCAGCGTGGATTTGCCAAACAGATTGGAAAACACGTTTATCCTGGTAGCGATGATCTGAACGACAACGCTGAGAGCGAATCTATGCTGTTCCGGCAAGACCTGATTCCTCACGATGGCAGCATAACTCCTGCTGCAACAAACAGCTTTTCTCGAGGCGGTGACAGCATGCATATGAGTCTAAGTGGTAGCAGACACGCTGATAGCAAACATGTTTATGGCAAACGTGCTGATAGCAGACAATCTGGCAGCATATATTCTGGTAGTAGATACAGTGGTCCTGAAGTTGATGACGACAGCTATCAATACACTGGAAGTGGCCTTGATTCAGAAGAGGAACTCTTTATACAAGAAAATCGCTATCATCAACCTCGCACAGTCGAACAGAGTCCCTGTCCGGCTGCCAACGCAATAACAAGACGTTTCACTAGCAATGATCATGCCCGTGATCCTGCAAACCACCCACCAGCCCTACAAGCAGATAGTCATTTCCATGATTTTGGTTACAAGCTTCAACCATCTCGCTACTCTGGTGTTCCTATGCCATGGGGCGTCCAGGCTCCGCCACAGATGGTTGACCAAGATGAAGTTACTGATGCTGCTCTCCTGAAGCGTAACATCGCGCGTGGAGAGGGGAAGAAAATTTGCAAACGCAGTTACGGTGCCAATGACCCCGAAAATATTGCTATCGTCAATATGAAAGAGAATCAGAACCTCTCATTTGCTGAAATTGCTCAGATTCTGAATGACCAGCGTGTTGAGCAGGGCAAAAATCCTTCTCTTAGTTCCTGCGGCGTCAACAGTCGCTATAACCGCACTGCTCCGCTTCTCTACGCTTCCCAAGGCCGAGCATTTGTTCCCCTTTCTCAACGCAAAGGAGCCGGCAGACGTGCACATGGCAGGTCTATCAGAAGTTCCCAATTTGTCTGGTCTCAGGAAGCAGACCTTGAGCTTGTCAAGTGTGTGAAAGAAGTTGACTCTGCAAGATGGCCAACGGTTGCATCTTTGTTTGAGGAGAGAACTGGGATGAGAGTGGAATCATCCGCTGCAGCTTTGCGACACAGCCTGTTGTAGGCTGATAGCTCTTTCTGCTTTGGTTCCTGCTGCCGTTCACTATCCGCGCCGAGATTTCCGCTGCCGTCTTGCTTTTCGCTGCCGTTTTACTTTCCGCTGCCGTTCACTATACGCTGCCGTTCACTGCTTTTACTGCCGTTCACTGTTTCTGCTGTCATCACGCGACTAGAGCCGTGAACTTTATATTAATGAATAGATAATTGATAAATGGCTAAGCAAGACTCTGAAATTGTGTCAATTTTACAAATCTAACCTGTGAAAATGTGATATTAGTTAGATCATTCAAAAGCCTTATAGTTTTTGAAAGAAAAGAATCAAAAGATTATCAGAGATCAAAGATTTCTTCGCGATTGAAAAATTCTTAGAGACCAACAAATTCCTAGAATTTAAGAAGATATTGTAGAAACCGAAAAATCATTAGAAATTAAAAGCTTCTTAGAAACCGAAAAGTTGTTCTATTAAAGGTTATTAGGAATTGAAGAATCATTGAAAAGGTATCAAAAACTGGAAAAGTATTACAGACTAAAAGATTATTAGATACGGAGAAATTATTAGGAACTAAGAAATTTTCAGAAGCTGAAAAGTCATCAAAGGCTGGAGATTTAACCAATATCAGGGAAGTTTCAAAGATTGTAGGTTGATATATGTTCGCCCAGAAGCAGTTTAGTCTAACGCTAAGATTAGTAACCTCATGACTTCGCGTCCGAGATCGCAAACCACTTAACGCGAAGTTTATCGGACGCGTCACTTGATTTTAGATATTCCAATCATCACCCTTTGAAGTTTATTTCTTTTATGTACTCCCTTTTATGTGAGCCTTGTCCTGCCATTCCCTGCCTTATGCTTGCTTATATACACCCATCCTACCTGTCATTCGTTCAGATTTTCTCTCATGTCAAGAGATTGGTAGGGGTGGCAGCAGAACTTTCTCCCGAAGTCAACGATAGCTGTTATTCCACGAGAGCGGAATAATTCGGCTATACCGAAGTAAACAAGCTGAGGGCTCTTTTAAAAGCTCTGTTGTTCAATTCAGTTTCATTCAATTGATCCCATAACATCAACACCGTGGGTTGTCCAACCTGGACTTCAAACCACCGATTCTGGGCTAGGCTTTCTCAATCTCAATCATGTCTTCACCATCGAGCGAGCCCTCCGGGCTACCAAGAAATGTGCCCTCTTCTCTCCCGGATACTGGAATAGATCTGGAGTTTGCGACTGCTGAGGAGAAGGCAATGTTGGAAGAGGAGATCAAGGCCCATCGCGAGAATGCGAAGAATGACCTTGCTGAGGCACGACGGAAGAAACTCGCCGCCAAGAAGCGAAAACAACGCGAAGAGTCTAAAGCTGAGAGGGAGGCCAAAGCTGCACAACTGGATGAACTACTTAGAAAGAGCTCCTTATTCTCTGAAATCCTCACTAAGAAGACGGAAGTCCTAGGCCGAGTAGGGAGCGGCTTCGATAGCAAGGCCCTGGGAGAACACGATCTAACGATGGCCGAGCAACCAAGTATTATGGTGGGAGGGAAAATGAGAGATTACCAGCTGGAGGGTCTCACCTGGATGTATGAGATATGCCTCCAAGGCATGTCTGGAATTCTCGCCGATGAGATGGGACTCGGTAAGACCATTCAGACCATTGCTCTGATCGCTCTATTGCGAGAGGTAAATTATCTTGGACCTCACCTGATCGTTGCCCCTTTGAGTACCCTATCCAACTGGATCGAGGAGTTTGAAAAATGGACCCCTAGTGTGCCAGTTCTACTCTATCACGGCAATCCGAGCAAGAGGAAAGAGCTCAGACAGACCCGAATGTTTAAGCATCTCGACCGCAAAAACAATCGACCTGATTCCGAATTTCCCGTCGTCTGCACATCCCCTGAGATGGTAATCAGAGATGAGAAGGAATTATCTAAGATAAAGTGGGAGCTTATTATAATTGTAGGTCCTTTGGGCCTGTTGATCACTGGGTCTTGGTGCTGACATGAAGTGAAGGACGAAGGACACCGAATGAAGAATTCTGATTCGAAATTATTCCAGATCCTCAAGAGCTTTACGTCCGCGACTCGTCTGCTCATTACCGGGACTCCCTTACAGAATAACCTCAAAGAGCTCTGGTCACTTTTGAACTTCTTACTTCCAACGATATTCGTTAACTGGGAGCAGTTTGAGAGTTGGTTCGACTTTAGTGATTTACAAGACGAAGAGACCACAGAGGAGTTCCTTGCTGATCAGATGAAGCAAGATCTTGTGAAAAAAATCCATCTAGTCCTTCAACCGCTCTTGCTACGTCGTGTCAAAGCAGATGTCGAACACATGCTCCCAAAAAAGCGAGAGTATGTACTGTATGCGCCAATGACCAAGGAGCAAACAGATCTATACAATGCCATTAACGACAGGACGATAGATACCAGGAAGTACTTGGAGGACAAGGTCGTTGAGAGATTGACAGGGGCGGCAAATACTCCTGCTTCATCCCGGAAGGCGAGCCCCTCAACAAGTTCCCTGAAGAAGTCTGCAGTCAAAACAGAGGAATCGGACAGTGACGATAACGTCCCGTTAGCACTTAGGACCCGTGGAGCGAAAGAATCTAAGCCAGAACCCCCTAAGAATGCTTTTCAAAAGATGATGCAGAGGGCAGCTTCTTCATCCGACAAGTCGTCGAAGTCGTTAAAGCGCAAACCAGCGGCGAATCTTCCTTCTCCTCCTTCTAAGTCTACAAAATCCAGTAGGCAATCAACGCCAGGGAGTATTCAAGGACGAAGATCTAAGACCAGACGAAGTTACAAGGAAGCTAGTCCTGATGAAGAAGATGCTCTTAGTGACGAAGAGTTCGAAAATAAACTCGCTGAAGAAATGGCGGAGCGAGATAGCGAAGAACCGCGAATAGAGAATGAGGAGGAGATCCATCGAGCAAAGACACTTGAGTTGGCTAGTAAGTCTTTGTTGATAAGATAATCCCCCCCGATCAAGTCCTGACCCATTACAGAGAAAGAGATATCGACGAAGAAACTCGGAAATCCGTTGATGCAGCTCCGGTTGGTTTGCAACAGTCCGCATAACTTCTACAATCCCTGGTCCATGGACTCGGGATTACCAGTCGACGAAACACTCGTTACGCACTCTGGAAAGATGTTACTTCTCGATCGGCTCCTTCCTTACCTGTTCAAGCGGGGCCACAAAGTATTGATCTTCTCCCAGTTCAAGACCCAACTTGATATCCTGGAGGATTATGCCAAGGATCTGCGTAAGTGGAACGTGTGCCGTATCGATGGTTCCGTTGCACAGGATGATCGACGACAGCAAATCAAGGAGTTCAATACGAATCCCGAATATAAGCTGTTCCTTCTTTCTACTCGTGCCGGCGGCCAAGGTATTAATCTAGCTACAGCTGATACCGTTATCTTGTTTGACTCCGATTGGAACCCACAGCAGGATCTCCAGGCCCAGGATCGTGCTCATCGAATTGGACAAACCAGACCCGTCGTCGTTTATCGACTCGCGACAAAAGGCACCGTAGAAGATGTCTTGCTCTCGAGTGCCGATGCGAAGCGCAGACTCGAGAAACTTGTGATTAAGAAAGGAGGCTTCAGAACGATGGGCCAGAAACTTGACAACACGGAGGGCATGACCGAGGAGGCGTTGAAAGCTTTGCTTCTGAAGGATGGCGAGGTGTACACGTATTCTGGGGGAGATGCAATCTTGAGCGATGAAGATCTCGACGTCCTCTGCGATAGGAGTGATGCTGCATATGCCAGAGCCGAAAAGGGGCTTGGTGATGCTGCCGGGTTCAAGATCGTGGAGACAAAGCTTGGTGGTCTGATGGTGAAGACGGAAAAGTAGGGTACTTCTCATGCCCTATTTTTCTCTTTACATATCCATCCCATCGGAGTTCTGGAGGCTTTTGAGCGTTTTTTTACGGCGATGGGGAGTTATGGTGTTCATGAATCTACGAAGATAGGGAGGTTTAGACGGGCACCGGAGATTATGATAAGTCTGTTACTGATACAGTTATTTCATATAGAGATACCTACAGGTAGCAGAACACAGTTCTTCATAACCAATACCCTCCTCTCCCCGCTGCAGTGATCCATCCTCAGGAGCAGCTCCCATATGAAACCAAATTCAAGACCCATCAAAGACTTGGTTGGGCAATAATAATGTACCGCTTGGCTGGATTATAATACGTAAAGTCGAATTCTGTACCCTACATCTATCGACTCGCTTTCTCGTCCTCGATCTCCTGCCTCAGATCCGCGAGAACCTGCTCTCGTGACCTCAAATGGGCTTCCAAGCCATCGATTTGCTCCTTTACCGTCGCTATCTCATCCGAGACGCCTTGCAAACTGGCGCCAATCTTGCTCTTCCCCTCTCCCGATTCCAAATCTCGCAATTCCCTGCGTTTGTAATCCAGTAATTGCTCCAGTTCCCGCTTCACCAAAGCCGGCTTTGTATCGCGTCGTCCACCATGTCTGTTCGCTGCTGCTGCTTCGACTTTCTCAATCTTGGCCTCTAATTCCGCCAGCTGTTTCTTCAGCCGCACCTCCTCCCAATCCTCAGTTGTCTTTGTAGAGGAGAAATCGGTACCGGCAGGCCTGTAGCTGCTCTTTCCACCCACTCCTAACCGGCTTAGGTATGTGTCGCCGAACTTTGCTTTCCGTCCTGTGCTTGTCTCCTCGCCGCCCGTTGAGCCCCATTTCTGCGCTGGTGATGATGTGCGTTGATGGTCGATCTGGTAGTCAATCTGGTTCCGCTCGAAGCTTGCTCGGAGGGACGGTGGTACGGTCCGGGGAATGCGGTACCCCTCATGCCGGTTGTTAAGGATATGCAGGAATGCCAGGCAGGCATCTTTCGAGATAGCTGGGGACGCGGAGGGGTTTATGAGGTTCCATGCTGAACGGATATCGGTGTCGGGTACGTCGAGAGAAGAGTATAGAGTATCCAGAGACTCGACTTGAGGGAAATATAGTTAGATTCGCACAGGATTCAGGGAAGCTGGCATTCTCACATGTAATCTCTCCCCGCCTATCCCTATTCGCATCGTATATTTCCTCATATTTTGACTTGTCACTCGGACTCATATACCAATCGAATCCATCCTTCAGTCCTGGAGAGTCATCGTCATCCTCAATCCGCTCGAACTGAACCTGCTTCCCAGTGAGTGCCCGATTGGCCTGCACCAAATGGGCTTTCGATTCGGGAACAAGCCAGTCTGGCAACGATGGTGGTACATCCACATATTCCTATAACCCGATTAGCCATCTCCACCAATTCCACAAGGCTCCAGTTCCAGCATACTCCGTTGACCAGATCGAAGATTAACCTCATGGCCACGCAGAACTCCTCGAAATCTAAATTGCCATCATTGTCGACATCCGCTAGGTCCCATATCCGCTCGAGCTGATCGTCTCTGAGCTGACTGTTCTTCAGCACAGGCGCTGCTTGTGCACCCGTGAGATATTTGCCGCCATTTGCGAGTGATGCGAAGATCTCCCAGTACTTCTCGATTTCGCTTTGTTCGATGCGCTTGTTGGACATATTGCTGCGTAAGATAAGCCCTCCGGGCAGGGGCAGGTTCGAGGTGTTGAAGACCTTCTGGAGGAATAAATAAAGTCGCAATCCCTTAAAGATAGACGAATGTTATCTTCTGCAGCTCCCAAAGCCAATTCCGAATCTGGAATTGGAGTTGAAGCCTTTCTAGGTTACCAGCATTGCGAGCATAGCCGCACCGCGGTCTTTGGCTGCCGGCTGAGAGTTTTGTTTGGCCTTAGTTTCTAGGCAGTGAAGCTTATAATAGGGGATCGCCAAATAGCAGGGTTTGAAAGATCTCGGATTACAGTATCAAGTTCCCGTCAACGAAAGCGCTACAGTAGTGGTTATGTTCGTAAACTTTGCATTGCAATAGGGGTATCTATTTGTACAAGGATGAGCAAATGATCTAGTGATCAAATGAGCAAGTAAGTTGACCCAGTGCGCCTCGACTCCCAGAATCCACTATTTGGACTTCTTCTGCTTCTTGCCAACTGGAGCTTCAAGAACATCGTTAGACATCTTATCTCGAACTCTCTTGGGGGAGGTTGGAGCTGAAGTATTCTTCTTGATGTCACTCTTCTGCTGAGTAGATGCCACCGGGCTATCTTGTTTTCCTCCACTTCCTGGCTTCTGAATCACCTCCGAGGGACTGGGCTGACCAGCACTTGCTGTCTTTCCGGCCTCCTTCTGAATATCGCTCTTCTCTTTCTTAGCTTCTTCCGCGGCGAACCCTGCATCCTGTTTTTTTCCACTTCCTGGTTTCTCAGCCGCTTCCGAGGAATTGAGCTGGTCAGTAGTCGCTGGCTTAGGAGTAGGAGACTTTGAGCCAGCAAGAGCACTGGCAACGGCTGATTTAGCGGTACTCAAGCCATTCTTCACCCAATGCTTGATAGACGATCCTGGCTTTTGCTGTTGATCAGGTGACCTGACTGGCTTCTCAGCATCTTCAGTAGCCTTGGTGGAGGTGGGGCTTGGCGAAATGGGTTCTCCCAAGTGTGAAGCCGGGGCCTGAGTTGGATCGGATTTGTCTTCCTTGAGGAAAAGTTTGACCTTGGGTGCTACTGCCTTGTCGGCTGATTGACCAGAGATGGTGGGTTTGTTTGCAGATGTTGACTGTTTGCTGTCTGGTATGTCACTTGTGGTCGTGGGTGTTTGCAGGTATTGTTTGCCTCTGCCACCCAGAGCCTGATCTGGAGATGGTGATCGAGATGGAGAATTCTCTTGGGAGTAGTCACCACCAAGGCTCGAGAGCTGTTTGGCGGTACTCATTTCTGGGGCAAAACCCTCAACTGGATGCGCAGAACCGCGAGTCATAGCAGTGGCATTCTTCATGATAGCTCCAGACATTAAAGGTGATTCGGGGGGTGGTGTTTCAAAATCATCTGCATTGATGACCTCACGAAGTCGACTGGGACCCTTAGTAACTTTTTTTGGTTGAGAAGCTTTCTTGGGGGCCTTCTTCTGAGATTTCTTCGCGGGACTCTTGACAGCAGTCTTTTTCTTCTTCTTAGGAGCTGGCTCAAACTCTTCAAAGTCATCGTCTTGCTCAAACTCATCTTGCTCCTCGTATTCTTGGGGTTGCGAGGCATGCTTCCTAAGCCCGGCCAGATTCTCGTATTGTTTTGGTTGCCAAACATCCTCGAACTCGTCTGGCTGCTCAAATTCTTGGGGTTGCGAGTCATCCAGGTCCTCTTGCTCGTCGCCACTGTCAGAACCAGTGTATTCCTCAATCAGTGCTGCCGCGTCATCATACATCTCCAGAACCTCTGCTGCGAACTCCAGGTCGATGTTTATCGGATCGGCGCCTCCATAATCACGAACGCGGACAATGGTTGCCTTCAAGGTCACAGATGACGGTATAGCTTTCATATCATCAAGGATATGTTGGGGAGTTGTCTCCGGATCATAGTCAGGAAACTCCTCCCGCGAGCGAAAGTCTTCAAGGAAGAGCACCGCTTGCTTGGCATCGTCTTTGTTGAGGTAAAAGAGGGTTGGGTGGGGTTCTTTGGCTTCTCTCTCAAAGAAGGCTTCCATTTCATCTCGGGCTTGCTGGGACCCCACACTGATGACCAATTCTATCTGCCGGGCATTGGAGGCCTCAATCCGCTGCTCTTCTGCAGAGTGTAAAGCAACTTCTCGTTCGAGGAGAGCGATGAACTCGCGGATCTCGCTATCTTCCAACTGGAGAAACGAAATGGCATCATAGAAAGGCATGACTCTGCTGACCTCTCGGATGATGGCGTACTTGATCGACTCCGAGAGATCGCCCCAGTTGACATGCAAGTCATAACCCTGTTTTCAATCAGCCATTGACACAGATCGAAGGCAGTCCCGAGTTTTACTTACCGACAGGCCTACTCTTGGTCCTCCTTCCTTCTCCCCATCGCTCCACTCAGGGAACCCGATGAAGTCTCCTGGGTCGTCAAATGAATCAGACATCTTTGGCTCTTCAACTCTCCTAGTATCTCTGAATACTAAAGCTCGGGTCCGTGGTGCTTGCGTGTCTGGGATGCTTGAAGTAGTCTCTTTGGTCTCAGAGGGGTAATGATCCAACGGTATAGTTGGAAACGCCGCAGGTGGTAAATTTGGATTGAAAGGAACAGTTGGATAAACATTTGTTGGATTTGGAGGAAGAGGTCTGATTTCTGGCTCACTGTAGCGTCCAGGGACATGTGTGGTTCGTCGGGGCCGCATTGTGCTTCCTACCTATTGTGATTCTATTGTTGGTTGTTGGTATTGTCCGAGTTGCAATAGTGGAGTGTTGTCTTCCTAAGAGCAATCAAGGTGAATAGCACAATAGATGTGACGCGTTTTGTTGCTCACAGGTGCAGCCCAAGAAGAGGATCCAGGTTATCTTGGCACAGATGTTGTTCCCGAGCTTTATTCAACGTTGCCTTTGAGGTTGTAGATCTCATTGTGCCCGATCTCTCAAGACGTAGGGCAACTATAGTAGTTAGCAAAGAAGTGTATGAGTGAATAACTCATGTTTTGTCGCGTCGCAAAGTAAACATGGAGAAAATTCACTTAACACGGCTTAGCAATTTATTTTGTCGTATTAACACTATACTCTAATTGCTATGGGCAAAGGATCCCACATTGTCAGATGTGCTCCGCGAGTATAGAATGCGTGTGATGTCTGCACCTGGGTATATCCAGTAACGCCAGCCCACAGGAATAAATGCAGAACCTGTTCCCCCAACGCCATGTTATACCACGTCCTTCCTATGCCAATTCAAACCCGCCCATAGAATCCAGACGATGACCAAGATGAATGGTCATGGCGCGCTACCATCAGTTGTAGAATGGGGCAAATGACCTACGACCTTCAAATCTTGCCCCATCGTCTCTATTGTCCATGGTCATTTCTGTATCGTCATCAATCTCATCTCTGACTCTCTTGGGCCCAACAACCAATGTTGGTGCATGTTTGTCTGAAAGTGAGAAACCTTCTCGCTGAGCTGCTAAGACAGATCTGCGAGCTTCGAGTATTTGCTCATAATTGAGCAATAGGTTCTTGAGATTGTCATCGAAGGCAATGCAGAAACGTTGCGCTTGGACAAACTGGATCGCTCTCACCATATCCAAATCGTACACGGCCATTAAGTAAGCTACAGCGACAGCCGCTGAGCGCTCGTTTCCAGATTCGCAAAATACGAGAACCTTCCCCCAGGTAGTTGGTTTGCCATCCGGAGAAAACTTGGTATCTGGTGAAGGGTGAAGGTTTGCATATTGTCGATATTTCGAGATCAGGTGATTATTGATGATGCTGATGGCGTTGGGGAAGCCAGAATGGATAAGTTCCGCATTCCCATCAACGTCAACAGTTGCATGATCTATACCCAGCTGATTCGCGATCTTCTCTCCACTCAGAAGACCAGACATGGCCGACCTCGTGTCCCTGATAACCAGTAACATGGTAATCCCTTCCTCCTTCAAAGCAACGATATTCTTGGCTGCGCTAGAAGGGCCAAGATATAAAAATGCAAGTATGGGTTGCGCTTGTCTTCGGGATTCGTACTTCCATTCTTTCACCTTGACTTCGAAATGACCTCGTGTGATAATCTTGAGAATCTCCCTGCTTTCTGGATCCTTAATTTCTGCATCGAGAAGAGATCCATTAAATGGGGGCAGGACCAGGCCTTCATCCTCTGGAATCGGCGGTATATGTATATGGGGTGGAGAGGGTGGCTTCAAGAGTGTTAGCCCCCAGATCCTCATCGGGTACATGTAGATGTTGATCACTTACCCGCCAGGAGTATTGGCCGGCCGGCAGGGCTCCAACTGATTCGGAGGCCGTTATCATCGCGGCTTCGGATAGTTGGACCATATTGGAAATGGAAACGGTTGTTGTTATTCGGGTGAAGTTTTGGGGATTGGGCCGAGTGTTTCGAGGAGGACTGAATAGCACGGCTGGTTACATGTGGGGTAAGAGAGATATTCACTGGAATCGCAGATGATGAATGTGAGATAGGATCTAAGGCAGGAAATGCCAACACTCTTCAGATTCCGACTAGTCCCGCGCGCTACTCATGTCAATATCATTCTCGACCAACTTTTGGCGGTCACAGGGAGTTAGTTGCCATCAGGGTAGGGAGAGAGACCTTGTTGCGTAGGTATGTTCTACCTAGTAACAGAGCCTCCAGGAAGAATCGACGTTCAATTAGGCACAGTCGATGACTAAGCAGCCGTTCATTCTGATGCTCAGAAGGGAGAGCTGAGCACTCAAGGAAGCGCTCTAATGATTCTACTAGAACTATATCTGATCAGATCTGGAGCGAGGGGTGGTCGTACCGTGGGAATCAGACGGTTTCTATCCGTATAGAGGAGACGGCCAAGGTAGACAATATCTCCTCCGGGGAGAGTGCGTCCCTTTCAATCACTGATAGAAACTGGCCATTGCTATGAACGTAATATATCAGGACTACGGTAATGTTGACCTCGATTTGCTATTCTAAATACTTTTCGCTGCTTTTCCTGACCCAGGTTTACGTTCTGGACTTCCTCCAGGTCGGGCAGAAGACCTCAGAGATCTAACCGAATCACCATCTCCTGTCACAGCCGTTGAAGAACGCTCACTATCCGCGGAAGACACACTCGTGAAGCTATTCTGCCTTGCAAGGGGAGACTGTACTTCCGGAGCTGCTGAGGGCGTCCCAGAGGGAGTGAGCCTTTGGACTTTACTTCCCGATGTCGCCTTCTTCTTTCTTCGCTCAGATGCACTCGACGCGGTGCTCCCACGGCGACCCGGGGAAGCAATCTCTTGCTCTGTAGGTGGGGTGGTGCTTCGAGAGGAAGTCCTAGAATGGGATCCAGAGCGAGTATTCAGACTCTGAGTGCGTTTGTGATCCTTATGAATGGTCCCCTGACGGTGAGGGGGGTGCGTCTTCTCGATATCATGGACGTTACGTCGGTTCCAACCACGGAAACCCAGCCACCATAGCCATCCTCCTTGTTGCTTCATGAGCTTTCTTTCCCGATCCTTGATCTTCTTTCGTAGTATAGCACGACGCTCATTTTCTTTCTCCCAATATTCTGTTCGGTATATATCCCAATTCTCGCGGAAGTTGGGGGAGAAAGGCTTCGGAAGCAGTAGAAGCTTAATATGATCCCCCCCTGGCGCAAGATCTTCCTCGTAACCCGCTGTTACGTCGTCCTCATGTATATTCGGTAGCGCATGGTGCCCTCCGCTGCGTGATGCCTTCTCAGATTCCAGCAAAAGCGACTGATCCACATATCGATATGAACTCCCGCTGTTTCTGGAAAACAAGCCGTATGAGAGGAGAAAAGACAACGTGGACAGGATTTCCCTCCACCAGGATTGTTTGATGACTACTAGCTTGCAGTTGAAACCTCTTAAGCCTCTGTTTGTCGTCCACACCCATCGCCTTGGCCAACGAATGCCTCGTTCCCACTGCCCGGTTCCCCATACTAATATTCCTGTCACGATTCCGCCCATGAAGCAGACCCTCTCTGTAACTTCAACGACCCAGTATACGGAGCCACCAACGCCGCTACCATCCTCCCTCGGTGCGAGGAACAAGGCGTATCCGAAGTAGAGAATCCATAGTCCAAGCAGGGTTAGGAAGAAGGTATGTTGTCGTCGTCTCGTCCGCAGCTGGAGCCATTGAGCGCGCAAAGAAGCTTCGAGGATCAACAGGTTCAAGTATATCTGCGGAGGCGACGAGGGTAGGGAAGCTAGAGGATCCGACAAAGAAGGATTTGGATTGTCGGGTGATTCGATGGGACTGGTGGTTGGGATGCTATAGTGGCTCCCAGGAGGAGGGGCGCCCTTTACAAGCTGATCTAGATTCGACATTGCGGTCAGAGTCAAGGCCCAAAGCTATGCGCTATGGAGATGAGATATCATGATTGATGCGAAGGGATCGTCCCCGGGCTGCAGCTGGAAAGTTATAGCATAACGCGAAACATCAGGGGTCGACGAGATCGCAGATATGGACTTCGGAGCTGGGATGGATTCCTAAGAAGATATAGCAGAGCAAGACGATGTGAATGAAGCGTGAAAGAGCCGCGGAGGGGGTTGGTGGGCGAACGAGGACCGCGGGACGTCTTCGGCAAAGCACGGGTTCGCCCATCCCTATGAATGAAGCATCTCACCTCTACGGTGTTCGACCGAGGCAAGATACCACGGTGCTGCCATCGTTAAGGAGATGGGCATGTAGAGAGAGGATAGCTGTGGCATACTCAATCTCTACATTCTCCTCATTTCCTTTCTTACTTGTTATTTGTTATTTTGCCGTCTTTGGTCGGAAGTCGGCGGAACTTGGAGCCCGCAGGCACCAGGTGCTTGCATACCATCAATCTTGCCTTGCCGTACATACAAGAGATCAACCGTCTCAACTCTCTGATTATCAAGAGACCATTCCTCTCCTCTTCTCTTCCTCCTCCCAACCACTGTCCCGCTCTCAGCGCTCTATCTTTTTTCCCTTTCTCTCTATCCTTTCTCTCTATCATTCTCTCTTCTCTCTCTTCTGCCGACAAGCAATTGCCACATCGGCAACATCATCATCGGCCCGCCCCTCGAATGTTTCGGATGAAGGAGCTGCCTAAGTCCGCCCCTCCCTAAACCCAAGAACATTCAACATCCTCCCATGGTTGTCGAGAGGTGGTCTCACTGCCTCTCACGATCTTCACGCCTTCAAATTGTTTCGCTCATCTAGCCTGCCGTCGCTTTTATTGCGATCAATTCCGTCCAACACCTTCGCCGGCCGAACATCCGGCATCCCTCAACTTGGGCAAATCTCGAACTTCAGAAACCGACCCGAAGGGTATACCTACGCCACCATGTCGGCCTCCACCAGCTCGGATACTCCTCGAACCCGGGAAGAAGAGCTGGCATCGGACAGAGCGAGATTCATTGCAACCCCTCGAACGGGAGGACTCTTCCCTCTGGGGTACAAGGCGGGCTTTAGTCAGTGGTGGGCCAGCATATCCCCCGCAGTCGCTGAGCACAACGTGTTGTCCTTTGTCCCATACCTACAGAAGCCTCCTACCCATACACAAACTGGGTCAGCCCCAATGTCTGCACAACAGTCCACCACGTCTGTCAATACAGACCCTGCGAGGGAGTCTGCACCCGTCCAAACGAGTCCCTTAATCGATCCCCATGGGCCCAGATTGTGGCACTCGAATCTTGTGAAATTGAGTGGTAAGAATAGGGCACTCAACGAATTTTCTGTGGAGAGAGTGGGAGAGGAAGTAGAGGAGAATCTGGTCATGTTACACGGTTACGGCGCCGGTCTCGGATTTTTCTACAAGAATTTCGAAGGATTAAGCCGAGTCAAAGGCTGGAAGTTATACGCTTTGGATATGCTGGGGATGGGAAGAAGTAGTAGGCCACCCTTCAAGGTACACGCCAAAGACCAGGAAGGTAAAGTCAGAGAAGCGGAGAACTGGTTCATAGATGCGTTGGAGGAGTGGCGGATTCTGAAAAAGATCGACAAGTTCACACTCCTAGGCCACAGCATGGGAGGCTACATGGCTGTAGCATATGCACTCAAATATCCTGGCCGCCTCAATAAGCTTATTCTTGCTTCCCCAGTTGGCATTCCAGAAGACCCCTATGCAGTGCGAGCGGATCTGCCAGAGCCTGAAGACTCCACTCTAGCGAACGAGTTTACACAGGACCAAGAAAACGATATCGTCAACAAGAACGGGAACCTGAAGACAAATGGCCCCAAAAAATCAACGACAGAGCAACCGCCACGCCGACCTTTACCAAAGTGGATCACCTACCTTTGGGACGCCAACATTTCCCCCTTCAGCATTGTCCGCTGGTCTGGCCCCTTAGGTCCCCGTTTCGTATCCGGCTGGACCTCGAGACGTTTCTCGCACCTACCACCTGAAGAATCTCAAGCCCTGCACGATTACGCATATTCTCTCTTCCGCCAGAAGGGGAGTGGTGAGTACGCGCTCGCCTACATCCTCGCCCCTGGAGCATTTGCCCGGAGCCCCTTAATCCGACGCATCAGTGGCGTAGGGCGGCAAAACCTGCCTCCTCCTGCGCCAGCGCAAGGGAATCAAGGAACCCCCTCGCCGGATGCTGGAAAGGCGCTGACGAAAGAGACGGGGATCCCGGTCGTGATGATGTATGGCGAGAATGACTGGATGGATATCGCAGGCGGTTACGCGGCGGAGCAGAAGCTGAAGGAGGCGAAGGAGCAGGCGCTGAAGACGGCGACGGAGGAGGAGAAGAAGCGTGAGAACGGGAGTGCCAAGGTAGTGGTCATCCATAAAGCGGGCCATCATCTTTACCTGGATGGCTGGGAGGAGTTTAATCAGGTTATGAGGGAGGAGATGGAGGAGACTTCGAGGCAGACGAAGAAAGCCAAAGGATTGTGAGACGAGTAATACTACTTACTACTAGGCGGGAAGCGATGGGTAGGTTCAAGAAGTTATGTCTGTCTATAGGGGAGTTGGTGTTCAGGAGCTTTAAGAGCGAGGAAACGCGTTGAGAGTATCTAATGTTGTATGTAAGTGAGAGCGAGCGACGTAGACGGTTTTAGACTCGGCGTAGCTTGACCGAGAGAACTGCACATAGAGAGTCATCAAGCAATCTATCAAGTTTTACAGATTCTTCTACTACTACTCAAGTCATTTCAACCAAGTGAGCTAGCTCAAGTTACTATGCAAAACCACTTTATTCTTTTCTTCATTTTAGGATTATTATTAGGCCAGCACCACAAAACAAGGCACCGGGTCGCGCACGCTCAAGATATGCAATTTATCAAAAACCGGGTATAATATATGCCTGCCGCAAAAAAAAACGCACACACAAACACCTACACATCTCCCATCTCCTATCCGAGACCCTATCTATCCAACCAGGGTTCTTCTCCCACACGAATCACGGATGGGGGGTCTAGAATTTGCTACCGCTGATATAAGCAGGTAGATTCTGAGTTCCCAAGGTACGACCCTCTGGAGAGAGAGGTTGGTTAGTTAGCAGATTCAAAAGGGGAAGGGGAGGAAGATGATGGGGCTTGGAGCTTGGAGGGGGGAGGGGTTTCTTACTCAGGAACCAGATGATGAAACTTGGGATCTTCTTGTTGCCTGCGCGGCCGGTGGCTTTGCTGCGGCCGAGAGTAAGGCCCAGAACGCCTGATGCTTGTCAATCTGGTGTTTTTCAAAGAGGGAAGGGAGGGGGAAGAAAGGTACTTACGGTCGCCGCCGGTCTTGTAAGGTACGGGTTCCTTGCCCTTGAGAGTCAGATCTAGGTTCTTGGCTAGAGCTGTAGCCTGCTTCTCGCAATAGACGAGCTGGGAAGGCTCAATGTCGATGATGTCGCCGGCGGCCCAGATATCCGTAGCGTTCTTGACGCGCAGATGCTGGTCGACGATCACATATCCCTTTTCGTTCAGGAGAGCTTTGGGGACATATTCGCTATTGGGCAGGACACCGACGGTGGGGAGGTACAGATCGGTGATCTTGGTCTCGCCATTGTCGAGGGTGAGTTCTGTCTTTCCATCTTCGGTGGGCTTGACACCGGTGATCTTGACGCCCTTGACGATCTTGACGTGCAGTTTCTGGAGTTCCTTCTCGGCGACCTTTGCGATGTTGACGGGGAGGCTGTCGGCGCAGAGCTCGGGGGCCGAAGTGATGAGCGTGATCTCCTTGGATTTCCGGAATTCAAATCCCAACTCCCCAGCGGTTTCGGCACCCGTGGGCCCACCTCCTCCTAGAACGATGGACTTCGCAGTCTTAACTTGGTCGCGATATTTATGCAGGATTTCCTTGGTGGCCTCGTAGCCTTTCACGGAGCTCTTCCATGGCAGGTCGCCGATTGTTCGTGTACCTGTTGCTAGGACCAATACATCGTAGGCTTGTCTCGTCTCGCCAGCTGCGGTGGTGATGGAAACGGCTTTGGTTTCAGGGTCGAGGCTCGAAGCGGTGCCGACGATGAATTCGAAGGAGCCCGCTGGGTATTTCTTGAATCCAGATTCGATATCTCCGAAAACCTGGGGAAGAGGAATTAGTAAAAGTGTAAGCGACCATACGCGGTGGGGATCCCGCAGATAGCTTTTACCTTCTCATCTCCGAATTGGCCTGGGACGATGGCTAGGAGCAATCTCTGGTTAGAGCGACCAGGACACAGGAGGGAGTAAACAAACCTCGAGGCGAAGCAAGGTTCCAGTACATATGAGTTGTTGGAGACACTAGGACGACCTTGTAGTCCTTCAGAGTGGGGAGAGTCTTCTTCAGGAGTCTGCGAAATTAGCCAAATCGGCCACAGTTAATGTCCAGGGGAGCCTGACATGTGGGCAGTGGCAAGGCCAGCGTAGGAGGCACCGAGGATCAAAATTGTCTTGCTCATGGTTGCGGTCGAGAGGAGGAAGGGTGTCGAAGGTCTAGACAAGGTTGATTAATCGATGTCTGGGGGAGAGATCTGGGGGGGAATGCGGAGTATATGAAGCTTCAAAAGAATTATCTAGAATTTATTCTGATTTGTATTATTAGCTCTGGTGATTAGTGAATGCTCTCAAATCATGCCCTTCGTGCTTGGCAAATCCAGGGGAAACCAACAGGCCTGGATTGATCAGCGGTTCCATAAGAATCAATAATCGATAATTGACAATAACAAGCGCAAATAACGAATCCCGTCAGGCTATACCGCGTGATACGTGGGTAAAATACGATACAATCCAACGGATGGCTTGTGGGCGTGTCAATTGTGATACTTGGTAAAAGACACCCAATGCGTGTGCTTGAGCCTCCTTCCTGGAGCACGCTAGTCAGAGCACAGAGCCTTTTCGCTCTTCTGATACGACCAAACACAAGAGAGTCCGACGCTTTCGGGGTAAAAGCACTAATTTGCTGCCATTTTTTTGGGTCAATTGAAAGGCCTGAAAAGGGTGTTAATTGTCAAAGCATGCGCAACGCTCGTCTGCCTGTTGTTTGTTGCTGGGTTGAAGGCCGCCCAGTACCTATCTAATTCTCGGCAGGGAGCCTTCAAGCCCATGACCCCCGACGAAGATCTGTTCGAGGCTCTAAGACAAACGCGCGCTTTGGCCATGAGGCAAGCTCGTATTTGCTGCAATCTGCAGGAGAGGTTCATGATGCTCCAACCTCCGTGATAACCTCACGGAACCTCTCAGGATCATGCGCGAAACGTCCCAGAAACAAGCCATCCACCCCGTCCCGCATCGCATCAAAAGTCCCCGGTCCTGCTGATCCACCATAGAGGAACCTCACGGGCCGCGACCCGCAAAGCTTCCGCAGCTCCTTCGTGACAGCAACCACATATGCCGCAGAGGCAGGTTTGGGCTGGCCGATTGCCCAGACCGGCTCGTACGCAAAGATGATTTCCTGGTCCGTTACTTCTAGTATGGACTCGATTTGCGGCCGGCATTCGTCTACTGCCTCCTCGATCGTTCCCTGTCTCTTCTCTCCTATGCAAACTAGGGGCGTCATGCCGTTCCTGACAACTGCTCGTGCTTTCTTCGCAACGTCCGCGTCGGTCTCGCCGAATAACCTCCTCCTCTCTGCGTGGCCGAGTTCGACCAGCGAGCATCCAATGCTCTTCAGCACCGCCGGCGACACCTCTCCCGTATACGCACCACTATCCTCCCAGAAGCAGTCCTGGGCTCCGAGCCGGATGGTGGGAGCTTCAAGACGGAGAGCCGTACTCGTGGCTGTGAGGGACAGGAAGTCCGGTATCACGAAGATGTCGACGTTGTGTGCTAATGCGTGGGCTCCAAGTGGGGCACAAGCCCTTATATACTGGGACGTCTTTTCGAGGTCGAAGTACATCTTGAGGGATACACCCACCGTCTTTCGAGAGGGTGACGATGCCATGATATCTGGATCAACCATGTTTAGCTTGCTATGAATCTGCCAGGAACTGGTAGGTCACGACGGACCTGGGAGTCTCAACAGTACGAGATAATGTTCAATCTATGAGAGAATCGAATGGCATGAAATTGATCTTCAAAAGTGTCTTCTTAGTAGAAGATTTCTGGGTAGAAGTGGTTCCGCTACACAGAGATGTTCCTTGGCCAGACCCCACCCCTCGGATTGCCATTTTCGGCCATCCGATTCTCAGGAGTGTTGCCACGCGGAGAAGCAGGACTCGCAGTATCCATCCGTGAACATTATAAAAGTGTCAAATCTACATTCTCTTACTTCCAGGCTCTCTAACCATCCTTTCTTTTTATTCTCACTGTTCTGTGCTGCTCCTTAATTCCAGATATCATCACCGTCTTTAAGAGCGGAGAACGACAAGGCTACCCCGCATCCCCACATACTGCACCATGGCAGCCGAACCCAAACCACTCAGGATCGTAGTTGGCGGCGATGATGGTATTTATAGCTCTCCCTCACTAGCAATGCCCTTTTCACCAGTTTACCCTCCCACCACAAAGCTAACAGCGACCCCAGCGGGCTTCGACTACAAGGCACAGCTCACCGAAGACCTACGAGCCGATGCGCGCGTGGCCTCGGTGCACGACGTCGGGCCGCACAGCGCCTCGGACAAGAAAGCATACCCGCACTTCGCGGTCGATGCGGCGAAACTGATCCGCGATGGGGAGGCGGACCGCGCACTGCTGATCTGCGGCACCGGGCTGGGCGTGGCGATCAGCGCGAACAAGGTCACCGGCATCAGAGCCGTTACTGCGCACGATAGCTTTAGTGTCGAGCGAGCGGTGCTGAGTAACGATGCGCAGGTGCTGTGTCTGGGACAGAGGGTCATTGGCTTGGAGCTGGCGAGGAGGCTGGTGAAGGAGTGGTTGGGGTATAGGTTTGATCCGGTGAGTGGGGAGTTGGGAGGGGAGCCGTGAGTCGTCAGAATATGCTAATACGAGGTATAGAATTCGGGCAGTGCGGCGAAGGTGAAAGCCATTAATGATTATGATGCGGACAATTAGGTCGATTCTGAGGCGTGTGATGAGATGATGAATATGGTCGTTGGATTTATGGAGCATAAAAACGAGCTGCCTCTTTGACCCTGACTGTTTCTAATGCCTACCTTAATATACACCTTCAAGAACTGATACTGCACAGAAGTCAGCAATCCAGTAGCCAACGCTTCATATCTTTTGTTCTCTTGCAGCATTTGCTCGGATGCGGCGAGTAGAAATTCGGGCATCGATTGCTTCAGTTGCTGGCTCTCGCAGTTCAAAGATTCTGCTATATCCCATCGTACCTTACGAAGCAATTACCCTCACTTCCCATCATCGCCCACTTACTATGCCAGCGTCTGACTCAACTTGAGCTTGTCTCATTGTAAGCTTACCAATGGTCTTTCTCAAGCTCCATAGAGGGAAAAGAGAGGGGCCTCTAGACGACGGATGTCCTCATCGATCTTGTGCATTTGACGAATTAGTATTGCAATGGCGATCGAGGCTATCTCTGGGCTGAGATGGGAGCGGAGAATGAGATGTGGGACTTTGGTTCGGGGTCAGGGTGTACAAGGAATCCAGAGCGACAGGGCGATGGAAGTCCCTCGACCCCTTTCCTCTCGCTGTGCACTTTGACTCCGGGGTCATCGGGAGTGGGCTGGCTGTGACAATGCCTCCCATGAGTATCGTATAGATGCCATCCAGGTCTTGCCCTCTCGTCTCCTTTTCCTTCATCCCCTTCAAATGCTTTTTCTTTTTCTCTGCATCCAACCCAGCAGCCAGCACACCTATTCCGTTAAGATCATTCTCCAACACAGAGAAAGTGGCTCAATGGAAATCCACCTCGAGACACGTTTCAGTCGTCCCGTGTTCTCGAGAAACTCGGCTGGTTTGGACACCAATTCTCCATGGGTTTAAACGAGAGGCGCACAACAGAGCGCAGCATATACTGCACGGGCGTGGCTGGAGAAGAAAAAACGCCTCAGGACACTGGTTGTCTGGGAAATAGTGGAAATGCGGAGAGCGGAGCGCAGATAGCGAGAGATAAGAAAGAAGCGCGGTACAGTACAGTAACATGTCAATCAGATGAAGGACGGGGGACGGGAAGTATGTATGTAACATCTGAGGCAATGGGAGAAGGAATCGTGAGAATCAGGGGCCATACAGAGGTCCAAACATCGATCGTTCAAACGCGATACACATCTGATCTGTTTTCTGTACACATCTCTGTTCGTGTGCGATAAGGGTGGAGGGGGCGCTACTACGTAGCTTTTATTCTTACCTTCAGGTACCTTACCGTTTACCGTAGACCACTAGTCTCTCCCTACCTCACTCCAGAGTCCACCGTCTGCTAGAGATGGAACGGCGCGCGACCACAGCACCAACTCCCAACTCCCTTACTTGCCAACTTCCAAGGAGTTTGCCCTAGAATCCCAGATGGGCATTCTAGATTCCAGGCCAGACCACAACAGATATCGATCGATGTCGCCCACCCAGCACCAGGTACGCTCCCGACTCCCTACCCCAGTCCCTCGTTACCCCGGCGGCGTTGGCTGCAGCCCATTGGCCCAGCGACACGGGATGGTCAGAATCGAGCTTACTTGGGCTTACTCCAGTCTGATGTACAGGACTATCTATGTATCAGATTACCAATACGAGGGCGGCGCCGGGGTTGGGTGCAGCTCCATCGTCTCCACCCCTCCGAACCCTCTCACTTCTCTCAGCCTCTCCCCGTCAACCGATCGACACTGCCAAACCCAAGCTTCGCAGACCCATCACACGTTACATGCCATGGCCCATGATACTACGAACGACCGGCGACATGGCCCTCGCGACAGGAAGGGATCCGCGGCCACCAATGGCCATGGACTGCTCGATGAGGGCCGTTGATTAAGGAAGTTAATTGCAACCATACAGCAACCATCCGCTCGCGTCTAACCACTCATACCGCTCCCCCCTTCGCAGACGTGCGGCGGAGCGACCTCAAGCGCGCCGGCGTGTGGCCGGTTACCTCGAGCCTTATCTCTCTTCGCGCTCGTGTCAATTGACGGGGGCTTACATCCACGTCCAGGGCACATGTACATCCTGTGTGTACATCGTACGTAGTCCAGGACCAGTCCAGGACTCCAGATTCTATATCATCCTATCCTTCCCCGGCCCACATCTGCTCACTTCTGATCTGAAGCTCCAACCGCAGACTCGGGCTCGCGTGACCTCCTGCCAACTCCCTCCCGCCTTGATTCCTCCTGAGCTGGATAGCAATCCACGATGGCCGACAACGAACTGCCCCAGGGCGACGGTGCTGTTGCCACGAGCGCGACCGAGAAAGAGACGGCAGCTACCGCAGCTGTGGATTACTCCGAGGAGGCTACGGGAGACGTGACTCTACCACCGGGATGGATGTACAGACAGCGGCGCATTGGGAAATTCGTCATTCCATGGTACGCATCGCCAAAGGTCCAGCTGGGGATGGTCGCCTTCGTTTGCTTCATGTGCCCTGGAATGTTCAACGCGCTTGGAGGTATGGGTGGTGCTGGGAAAACAGACCAGACCCTGGCAGACAACATGGTGAGCGATGCTTATTCCCCACAAACGTCCACCCCGCACGCCTTACTAACAGTCGACTGCAGAACACTGCCCTGTACTCGGCCTTCGCCGTGTTTGGTTTCTTCGGTGGGACAATTGTTAACAGACTTGGGGTTAAAGTGACTTTGGCTTTTGGAGGAATTGGATACTGTCTCTACGCCATCAGTTTGCTGGTTTCCGTGCATGCCAGCGTTCGTGGATTCAACATCTTCGCCGGTGCGTGGCTCGGTATTTGCGCAGGCCTGCTGTGGACTGCCCAGGGAACGATCATGATCTCGTACCCAACTGAGGGTCAAAAGGGCAGATATTTTGCCTGGTTTTGGGGTATATTCAATATGGGTGCGGTCATTGGAAGTTTGGTAAGTCTTGCTCTCTTCTCCTAGCCACTATTCGATCACGTGCTATGCGCTCGAGATTCGGAAACATATGCTTCCATCTGTTGGTGAAGGGCCAGAACCGAGCTAACAGCCTCCTAGATTCCCCTTGGCCAGAACATCCATGTTAAGACCAACAGCACCGTCACCGACGGTACCTACATTGCCTTTATTGTTCTCATGTTCATCGGTGCCTGCCTTGCCCTTTGCCTCTGCAACGCATCAGATGTCGTCCGTGTTGATGGCAGCCGTGTGATTATGATGAAGAATCCTAGCTGGCAATCTGAGTTCATCGGACTCTGGGAAACCATCCGATTCGAGCCTTTCGTCATCCTGCTCTTCCCCATGTTCTGGTCCTCGAACTGGTTCTATACCTACCAACAGAACGCCGTCAATGGTGCCCGATTTTCTACCCGTACCAAGGCGCTCAACAGCCTTTTGTACTACCTGGCACAAATCATCGCCGCGATCATATTGGGTTATGCTCTTGATGTCGACAAGATCCGTCGTACTGTCCGAGCCAAGATTGCTTGGGGAACGCTCTTTGTCTTGACCATGGTCATCTGGGGAGGCGGCTACGCTTACGAGAAGACGTACACTCGCGACTCCGTCAACCCCAAGTTGAACCCTAACTTTGTCCCAACTGATTGGACGTCCTCGGGCTATGTTGGCCCTATGTTTCTCTACATCTTCTACGGCTTCTACGATGCTCTCTGGCAAGCCACCGTCTACTGGTACGTCCCTTACCTCTTCCCCTAAGCCCGCAGTTCTAACATCCACTAAAAGGTTCATGGGAGCGCTCTCCAACTCCGGTCGTCGATCGGCAAACTACGTCGGTTTCTACAAAGGCATGCAGTCCGCTGGAGCAGCCGTGATGTTCTCTCTCGACAGCCACAAGATCTCCTACGTGGCTGAATTTGCCAGCAACTGGGGTCTGCTAGCAGGCTCCCTCGTTGTCGCCGCTCCCGTCATCTTCTGGAAGATCAAGGACCATGTTTCTGTGGAGGAAGATTTGGTGGGTACTGATGAGACCCTCGCCGATGTCGTGCCCACGGATCATATCGAGAAGCACGAGACCTAGGAGATTGGTGTGGATTAATATTACATGTGATAGCAAGTCGGATACCCTGAAGCGCTAATGACATGGAATGGCGTATGAGATTGTTGCTTGGCTCTCTTACTAGTAATATGAACGTATATTCCAAGAGTTGCTCCCTGGGTACATAATTATTTGCACAGCCCCTGAAAAATCTGCAGTGAGACCATGATTGCTGAGGATATGTTTGTCAGAATTATATATGCGCATATATTATAATACTGCATCATTATTGACGTTTCTTAAGCCTGGGACTTGAATACCCAGTTATCCTCGCCCCATTGAATAGTTACCTAGCTTGGACATCCAGATGATAGGGGTAGCTTACTAATCATGGCACGTGACGGTATCGATTGACCCCTCAGTGCAGCATCCGATCGGAAGCTGCCCCTCATATGTGGGGTAGGACCTTTAGAACAGCTTGTACAGAACAACGACCAGAAACCATATGATACTTCTCCAATCCATCTCACGCTCTTCTCCTGTCAAAGTACTATCACGTGTCCGAGGAAAAGGAATCTGGAAGCCAATATCAGATTCCTCTAAGTTCTATCGCAAGTATCCCCAGTATCATAGCACAGCACCGTGCAAAATGCCTTCCGTCAACATCAACGGCAAGTCCATCTTCTACACGGACAGCCCTCAAGAAGACAATGGATCTCCCAGGGTGACCACGGTGCTCATCCACGGTCTGGGCTCCTCCTCGTGCTTCTACCACCCCATCATCCCCAAGCTACAGCCCGTCTCCCGCTGCTTAGCTCTCGACACTCCGGGCTCCGGGCTCTCAACCCTCGGAGCCACAGAGCAGAGCATAACCACCATCGCCGACGACATCCTGGCGTTCCTCGACGCTGTGGATGTCAAGGGTGAGGTCGTCGTCGTCGGCCACTCTATGGGCGGCATCCTGGCCAGTCGTCTCGCTGCCACGAAGCCGGAGCGCGTCCGCGGCGTCGTCCTCGTCGGCCCTGTGAACCCCAGCGCTGGGGCCGCGAAAGCATTCGAGGATCGGATTGCTGCTGTGAAGAAAGGTGTGTATTTGACCCCTATTTAACCCCCTCACCCATTCTCTCGTTAGCTGCGTCGTACATCTGTTTCTTTTCCAACAATTCTAAATCTCCAAACAGATGGACTTGAGAATCTAGCAGCGACCATTCCCAGCGCCGCTACAGGACAGAAAGCCGGTCCTCTGCAGCGCGCATTCGTGCGCGCTCTGATCCTAGGCACTTCACCAGAGGGCTACATCTCCCTGTGCAACGTGATCGCCAAGGCCGAGAGGCCAGACTACGAGACCATCAAGGCGCCGGTCTTGCTCCTCGCGGGCGGGGACGACAAGACGTCGCCTATCACCGGCTGCGAGGCTATCCTGGAAGCGTACGGGACGAGCAAGGAGAAGAAGGAACTTAAGCTGTTGGAGGGCGTCGGCCATTGGCATTGTGTAGAGGCGCCGGAAGAGGTGGGACGTCTCGCGGCGCAGTTTATCAAAAGTATTGCGTGAGCTGTAGATTTATGAAATATGTATCAGACTTACTTCCCTACCTTACCTTGCTTCTATATCCACTTTGACCTCCTATCAAGATAATTAGGTTCGAAGTCTCCGTGTGTCTTTGGAAGTGCAATGCCCCGATGTAGATGGATAAACCACTATTCCAATGATACCGGAGTTAGGAAACCAAACGTCATGTCACGGCCCGAAGCGGGGTTTGTCAGGGGGTGTTAACTAAGGTAGGTAGGGGTGGAGCCTCAGAGACCCGCCCAAAAACGAGTAAAGGATAAGTGAAAAAATAAAGCGAATTCTACCAATAATCGGGCTTCTGTGGTCCAATGGTTAGGATTCCACCCTTCCATGTAAATGAGTAAGGTGGAGGTTCGTGTTCGATTCACGGCAGTTGCATAAGGTATCTAAGAACAGCTGTTGTTTCTTCATTTTTTTTTTTTTTTTT